TCCTCATCTTGCATCCTCATCTTGCATCCTCATCTTGCATCCTCATCTTGCATCCTGATACGATACTGTTACGATGCTGTTACGATATTGTCACTGTTCTGATACTGATACTGTTCTGATACTAATACGACACTGATACTGACGGACACGATACTGAAATCCTCCCATGGCAATGACAACAATGTAATAGTTTTAATACAGAATTAATTGTCTTTTTATATACTAAAACGTCGACTTTTATCTTCTTTCTCTTATAAGGTTCGACTAGAAGTGGAATTGGTTGGACCTGAGTGTAAAGTAACTGAAGTGGAATGACAGAGGGCGAAACCCAGCGGGAAATCACCAATGCTCCTCCCCAATAACCACGTCCTCGACCCCCTTGACTCCCGCTCCAAACCACCGCTCGTCCCCGCCGAGTCCCATCCCCAACAGCACGTCGTTGCCGCTCATTTGCCGCTTCCGCATCCGCCCGTCCGGCGCAAACGTCCAGTCCTCGAGCCCGTAGCACCGTTTCCATTTGCCCTGGCCGATCTGCGGGAGGTGCAGCGTGATGAAGCTGTCCAGCGCGGCGGCGAGGTCGATTTCTCGTGATTCGCGGGATTCGCTGGATTCTGGTCCTCCTGTGCCCGAAACCGTCGGCAAAGTCCCTGCTCCTGACGTCGCAAAGCCAGCCCCGACAGCCGCCTTGGCCGCCTCAATAATGTCCTCCCGCGTCAAGACATCATGGGCGTCGCGATACTCGTACCAAAACTGCACGGCGATGCGATTGTCCGTGAAAGCAAACAGCTCCTTGCGCAGAACATAGTCTTGCTCTTTCGCCCATTTGGCGCTCAGGAACGTCTTGATGGCGTCCTGCCCGCGCAGGAAGGTCGACCGGTTGCGCCAGACGCTGTCGGGCGTGTATGCCAGCGCGATCCGCGCGGGGTCTCTACTCCATGTTAGATTCGGTCCGTAGCGTTGGGTGATATGGATTGTAGAATATGAAGGGTTCAATGTTGAGTGTGGAGTGTGGAGTATGGAGTACTGAGTATTGGACGATATGAAAGGGTGGAATGCATGTGGGAGTTATAAAGTATGATAGCATGTAACCGATATATCTCCCCAACATGGGCAAAAGTGACATGTTATAGGTGAAAAGAAGAAGAAAAAAGAAAACGGAAAATAAGATGCTAAGAGAATGCAAACAGCCATTTCAAGAAAACAAGTAGACGTCCCCGCAGAAGGCTTGCATGACAACATGCGTCATACAAGGTCTTCAAGCGTGATAGCCAAGCAACCAAGTTATAGCTGGGTAACCACCCAGGAAGATGAAGCGTTGAGAGCTAACAGCATGATATTAAGAAGCAAACGGAAAAAATGTGTACAAAAAACATCAGAAATAATATCGAAGCCTCAAAGAAGTGATATCGAATACTAACAGCACTGATAGCGAAAAACCAAAAGTGTCTAAAAACCAAGTACGTACTGCGTATTCCACAAGTCCTGCGCGGCTTTGACTTTCTGCCGCGCCGTCTCTGCCGTAAACGGGGGTTTATTCGCAGCCATTGCCCCGTTCTACTTTAGGACAACCGTGACAGTAGATGAGATATAGAAGCTGTGTAACTTCTTTTCTAAGGTCTCTCTTTAATAGGTGTTTGCATGAAATGGGACGAGAATTAAGACAAATAATTTATTAGAATCATGTATTGCTATCGTAGCTGTGAGTAGGTTGCTGACATGGTGAGTCAATAGAGCACCCTGGCACCGAGCAACGCACCTCGCTAAGTGAGCTCAGTCGGCAGATCAGCATGGCAGATGAGGTTGGGTCGGAGTTAACATGCGGGGTTAGTTGCGGTACGTTGCCCTGCTGCGGGGCTTACGATTGAGATGGAAATGGATCTGATAAGATCGGTAGCCCGGCGGGCGGGTAAGGCGGAGCTAGGGTTACCTACCGTAAGTGAGGTCACCCAAGAAAAATGGGCCGGAAATAACATGAATGCAATTGCGTGCAATGGAGACTTGCAAGTCAGAATTTAGAATTTGCGGTTGGGTATTGGTATAGAATTGCTGAGGATTCTGTAGAGGTATCTCGACAGACAAGATACTTGAGCTAATATGCATGAACCATAAATCTGGAAAAAATTTAGCTGTTTATTTAGTATTACAGAGCCCTTAGTCCTTCCCCAGAAGGCCAAAGATTCTAGAGACCACAAAGACAAGTAAGATTCCTAAAGGATAAGACATTTAGAAGCTCCTTTGATAGATTGGCCATAAGAATTAACTCCAGAAATCGGATCGCGCCTCGATGATGCTTAGATCCCCAACTCCACCCTGGATATCATTCGTAAACAAAGAACAAACGGGAAAATATCAAGTAATTGCGGAATTTGAAAATGGTTTGTGGCTAAGCACGGTTCTTCTCATCAGGGATGAACCCGGAACTACTTCGTCTCAGGGAAAGTCTGGCGCCTTTGCTCTGTGAGAGGCCTCGGCTGAGGCCGCCTCCGACGCCGCGGCCGAGTGCCGCCACTGCCAGCTTCTCCCATGGATCGTCAGACCATTCTGGATCTTCTTCCATGACTGTATCGAGACGCCCATCGCCAAGTAAATCACCGTTAGAAGCGTGGATATCCCTGCCGATCAAGGCGTCTCGCGGACAGAGACATCCGCATCCAGCAGCGCACTCCACAGTAGTAATTGAAGACGTCGATTGGCTGCCATTAGGGCGATTGGATCTGCCAGAGCTTTTGTCCTTCTCTTTTGTTTCTGGCTGGCTTGAATCTTTGGCGTCACCATCGACCGTTTCACGGGGGCCGGCCGCAAACCACTCGGCATGACAAGTCGAATGCGTAACATGCCCACAGCTCAGACATGGGGTGAAAAGACCACGCACGATTTCCTGGCAGATGGAGCAGCAAACATTCTTACGGACCGATTCGCATGACTGGCATCGGCTCGCTGGGCTACCTGGTCGCGCCTTTGGTAGTAAATCCTCGCATTGAGTACAGTTGACGCCTAGTTCAAGGCCCATCCAACGATCCTGCATTTGGTCCACAGAAGCCCTCTTGCCAAGTGCCATGAGTGAATCTTTTTCTTCTTGCGACAAAGTTGAAAAATATGGTCTTAGCATATTGAATTTTAGGACCTCGCAGCTCGAGAAGCGCAAGCCCCAGATATAGAGCAAGTTTGCGTATGCTTCACGATAACCACGGCATTTTGATTGCTGACTTGGATTAAGCAGCGCCATAGGAACACGGCTTTCGTCATCGAAAAGATTTTGATTCTTCAGGGAGACTTTGACACTGAGCTTTTTCGGTGCTGGCTCTTCTTGTTCGGTATCTGAGCCTTCGACAGACAAATGAGAGTAGATGTTGCGGTGCTCTTCTCTAAGAGCTGATTCTTTTCCGAGGGTTGCAGTCCCGCCCCGACTTATACCTTGTCCAGTGGTAGCTCCTGAAAAAGGCTCGTTTGGACTGGGACGTTTCCGTGTCTGAGACGGCGGCGAGGAAGCGGCAACGTTCGAAGAAAACGGGCGCGCAAAGGACGCGGCAAAGACGCTGGCAAGATTTGAGTTTGATCTCCGAGCATGCTGTTGCTCTGGAGACGTGGAAACGCTTTGAGTTTGCGATGGAGGCTCCAGGACGGCGCGAGATGACTTTTGTCGGTGAGGTGGTGTGGTGCCGGTCGAATAAGGGATGATAGGGTCGTTGCCCCACAAACCATTTGACGAATTTGCTGAACCATAGGTGCGCTCTATCGATTGCTGAGTCTCGATGTTGGAAGCTACCCGAGGGCTAGGTTGAAATAGACTCCATGCAACTTCCTCCGCGGCAAAATAATCCAAAGAAAAGGCGGGAGTCTTCATAAAGAGCGGTGCTTCCTATACATAACATGAGCGTCACAGCTTGCAAAAAGCCAAAGCACCTAAGGGGTTCCTCACATGTTTCTTTGGTTTTGTAATTGAGGTTGCAACAGCTTCCTTGGCTTCTGGTTCACAAAATATGCAGGATAACATAGCGAGCATCTGCACGTCCGCAAGCTTTTCAAAGTATTTAAACCTAAAGCGAGTCAGCCCAGTGAAACCGTACCGTGAGACTTTGAAATTTTCGCAGCTTACAATTCCTCAACAAACCAAGAACCACCGAATGGATGTTTTCCCCATCTGACACGGCCCAAGAATTTAAATCCTTTCCCTTTCGAGCGTTCGCTGGGTGTAGTCTCAACGGAGTTTGGTTTCTGCCGAGCCCTGCTCACACCACGCTTCGCAAGCACAAGAACGTGCTCTCTCCGATGAGGTTGTGGCATTATTTCGAGTGGCACCTCATTGTAAAGCACAAGCCCAATATATTCCCATATATCTGCAATGTCGTATGCACCATGCTCTGCCGCAACCTTTGAGTTGTGTGCGCAAACTTCCGGCCCGTCTCCGAATAAGGCATAATTCATGGCAAGCTCCTTCTTTGCAGGGAGCAAATCCTCCAAATTGTGGATAGAAATCACAGACTTCGGAGCATTTCCCTCCGTTTTTGTGTTCAAGGTGCCAGCGGCACTAGACTTTTGAGAAAGATCAGTCGAATTAATTCTCTGCAGCCGCAGAGGCTTCCCATGCCAAGCCATCGGAGGTTGAAATCGGCTCGGCAGGCCTACTGTACTTGTCATCGATTCAGAATCAGAAAAAGATGTCAAAGAGTCATCAGAGGAGTCTGATGCTTCCTCATCTTCATTGATGGAGGTCATCTTATTCTTAGGGCCAGGGGATCTTGCACGTAATCGCCCAAACCCTTCAAAGAATTTCGGAGCACCAGACAACCTATCATGGTCTCTTAGAGTAATAGCACTCAACAAGGACTTGGTTTTATCTTCTTTAGGCGGAAAGAAGCAAATCAACCGTCCAGTCTCCGACCAAATGGCGCCGCAGGCTTTTGGCAATGGGACATTCGCATTCAAATTCGCGGGCCCAAGCAGATCGTTGCCGCTCATCTCCATGTCATGAAAATCACCCACATCTACTTCTTCGTCACTGGAGCTTTCTCCTTGGCCCCCAACATTGATGCCATCTTCTGTCTCTTCTGGGCCCAACCATATCGTGCTTTCCTCCAGCTTGCGTTCACCGAGCAGATAACAGAGAACTGCTTCAAGACAACCTTTCCCTCTTGATGCATAACTTGCGGCAATCGTACGGAGTTCACGGGACATCCTTACAGCTGCATCTCCTGCGAGTGACGAAGTCTTCTCAAGTTTAAATGAAGGGGCAGAGGGTCCCGGATAGTCATGTGGAAATTTAATCTCGACTTTGACATAAACCACTTTCCCGTCAGAGCCCCATGGTCCGTTCATCGATATGGTCACTGTCCGATTTTGTATATCCACTTTATCGAAAGTGACTTTGCTAAATTTGTCTCCGACATACGTTACCTCGTCTCCCAGCGTTTCTGGTCCTTCCCAGAATCCACTTCCACGAAAGCCAGGCGATAGCAAAGACGATGCAGACTCTGTCATATTAGGAGGTTTGGGTAAAGGAAAAGCTTTTTCTTTTCCGATTTTGACGCCCTTCATCCACGTGATTGGGTTTGAATCCTTTTTTGCAGATGTCATCCCATGGATCGCGGCCTTGGACGTCATATAGCCACTTCCAACCCAGCCACGTCCGGCAGGAATAGGCACTTTACCCATGCCGGCACTCAAAGCCCCTCGAGCAAGCCCACGCTCAAGATTATTCCCTATCGCACCACGCTGTCCCTCATGGTCTGCTTGGACATCTCTGTAAGATCTATAAACAGCATCTTTCCTCGTGATGTAGATATTCTTATGTGCTCCTTTTCCTTTTTCGTAGCCTACGCTACGCAAAATCTCAGGGTCGACCCGATGTAACCGCACCTCCCTGTCCGTTCCCCATGAAATCAATTGGAATTCGCGATTATCAATGCCATCATCTATCCCTCCCCGAGGTCTCCATAAGAACTCTTTCACTTGACCGGCATGACCCTCAAACTTGTGGACTTCTGGTACGGCATCATCCGGCTTCATGCCTGGGGCGAGACGTCGATCATAAAGATGTAAATCACTATTACCCCGTTGTGGCATCGCCAGCAAACCACAACCAAAAGGTGTGTGCCGAGCTCTCCATACAGGAAATGGTGTGTCTATGACCCTCTCGGGACTAGCTGACTCGGAAGTATAATCCCAGAACTTAATCGTCTTGTCAAGTGAGCATGTTGCAATAGCTCCCGAACGGGTTCTGTTCCAATCTACTCCATAGATTTTCGTCTCATGCGCTTCGATGGATTTCAATGGATATGCACCCTTCCTATCGTCCCAGATATGCAAGTATTTATCATGTGAGGAGGCGATGATATGAGAGTCCTGGCGATTCCATCTCACTTGCGTTGCACCGGCAAACCAGTCACAAAATGTCATGGCCGGTCGTGCAGGACGGCGCAAGTCCCAGCAATGAACAAAACTATCCACAGCGCACGTTGCAAGCAGGTCTGGATGGAAGGCGGAGAAATTGATATCGGTAATGGCTCGGCTGTGGCCGTGCAAGACGTGCTCAATTGCTGAATGATCCGAAGCCATCCCAAGGTTCCACACAAGAGCCTTCTGATTTGATGTGCTTACTACCCAGTAGTCTCGCACGGCGAATGGCGACCATTGCACATCAGCTACCTCCCACGGAGTATGGTGGGGCAGGTAGCGGGGTGGTGAATACGGCGAATCGAGGTCTATAACATGCAACCCTTCACGGCTATTAAGAGGCTTTTATTAACTATTGTCACATAAAAACTGAAACTGTGAACTTACGAAGCAAGCACTACATCTCGTCCACAGGGGGAGATTGACATGGACCCAACTGCCTGAGGCCCCTTCAAGCTCATCTCAACATTGAATGTCTCACTTTCGAAGGGCGATTGAGGCTCATTGTGCCTCTGTGAGCGCGCCATCTTGCGTCAATATAAAAGAATTCTCCTTTATGCTGCATATATAAGAATGATACTAAGATCGCAGACAACAGTCAAAGACATCTTCTGAAGGAGAATTGCATAAAGCAATCATCTTTAATCTGGTATTAGAATTGAGAGCTTAGGACGAAAAGATCAGCCTTGTGGCAAATTATGCCGAGAATCTTGTACACAGTACTCCTAAAGGAAGTGCACGCGCATTATGGAGACAGTGCTTGAGTGACCATTTCAGTTGGAGCTCGACTCAGACTCGTTCTTTGGTGTTGACGCAAAGTGGTTATGCTGCCGACAAGAACTGGGAGCTGGGGTATCGGTCTACTCGGCCGGAATTACCCGTGCACCACGGCATGAGCTCCGAATCCTGCGCGATGGCGGGGTGACTTGAGCATATCAACCTGGGGAGTCGCAATACACTTTCTTCATTCCCTTTCATTTTACATTAACCTTGCTCATTCTATGAGCAACGCGCTTCCGAATCACTCTGTTTGCTTGTTAGATATATTGAATAAAGACTGTTCTTCTTTAGTCTTTAAAGCATTGCATTTCTGCTTACAAAAGTCAAATTCTCTCATTCAGCCCCTTCAAGGCAACGTGTTTGGTGCATCGTACACGGCATCATCATGGCCCTGCCCAAGAGAATAATAAAAGAAACAGAGCGACTCATGGCTGAGCCGTAGGTCTCCTAGCATCTCGGACCATGCTTGAAACCTTGTTGCTTTTAGCTAAGATATTATCTTCCGACAGTGTCCCTGGGATTAAGGCCATTCCTCATGAAGATAATCTAAGATATTTTGATGTTGAGGTTCATGGGCCATCGCAATCACCATACGAGAGTAAATATGACACTATCGATCTTACAGCGCTGGTACTGACCTAGAGCATAGACGGCATCTTCAAGCTTGAATTGTTTTTGCCCGACGATTATCCCATGACGCCCCCAAAGATTCGATTTTTGACAAGGATCTACCATCCAAACATTGATAAACTCGGCCGTATCTGTCTCGATGTTCTCAAGAGTATATTTGCTGCTCCACTCCTCTCAGAAAATACCATGTAGCTGAACGATAATTAGGTAATTGGTCTCCGGCTCTCCAGATTCGCACGATCCTCCTGTCCATTCAAGCTCTTTTGGGCGCGCCTAACCCCGATGATCCGCTTGCCAATGATGTCGCTCAACGATGGAAGGAAGACGAACCGGCAGCGATTCAAACAGCTCGCGAATGGACCCGCATGTATGCCGTTAGTGAGAACCGGTAACGCGACGAAAAGACGGAATTTCTGTCTACATTAGAGACTTCTGGTAGACGCACGGTCGTCCTTGAATTAGCAAGCAATTACTTTCTGGCGAATAGGAGCAGCGTGGGTTGTACTTCTCTCAGCAATGCTAAGGTGCCAGCGATTAGAACTATACAAACGAGAATCTTGCAAATTTCTGCTTTTCTTCGTTACGATTACCAGGTGCTGGTTCCATGCATATGTGCGTTTTTTATGACTTGCAACACCGTTCTTTGCATGTTTTTTTAGGGTTTATTGTTCCAATGTGGCGGCAAGATGACGTCGTCCCATTTGCATGCGACTGGAAAACTCGAATTGAAGGATCATTTGTTACTCACATTTCCAAGATACGGAAAGCCCTTGTCGGTTACAAAGGCGGTTAAGGCACCCATACTCATACGCCTTCGTATATCCTATGCTTTTCCACTATAACATTCACTCTCCCCGGCCGCTGTCGCCTAGAGCATTCACTTTGCTGCCATAACTCCTAAAATACACCGATCACAAGCGAGTTTATTAACCCAAGAGTAAATAGGTGCAGGCAAACAAAGTCCCGAAAAGGAAATATTTGCTCGAATCTTCCAACTCCCATACAATTTTGGCAAGTCCTTGATAGGACTGCATCGTTCATAATCTCTACACAACCAAGCAAACCGGCCACCGTACCATTACGGACTTCGACAGGGTTCATTTATGCTGGCATCATGGGGGCGGTCCAGTCTATTGTTGTTGCTGTTTTCCAGCAGGGGTCTTCTCTTGCTCAAACTTATCTGCGAGAACAGTACGATGCTGTCTTAAGCGGCAGCGTCCAACCCCTTCTTTTTAACATTATTGCTGCGTCTTTAATCCTAGCCATGCACAACCTCTACAAGGGACGCAAGAAGCAGTCTTCCCAGACCCCAGAGCTTTCAATTAATCTGGTCTCAAAACAGGGTTCTGGTCAGCTTGGACAGGCCGAGAACGAATCTACCATGTCTAGTGTATCGAAAGATGAAGTGCGGAAGCCAAACAACACCGAGGATCGTCTCCTCTCCCCTCTGGATCCTAAAGGGCCTAAGAACTCTGGATATCACCCTGACCAGAAATTGATTGGGGGCAATTCAGTCCCAGGCCACGATGCGATGTCATTCCAGTCGGATCTCATGGACGCTCTGCACCTTAGTCCTTCTTCCTCGAAGGATGTGTCCCAGTCCTTCGCGAAGCAGACCTCTGCCGTCCCGTCCGGAGCTAACTCTCTCTCCCCTGCCCCGAATGAATCCGCTCTTGTCGTTCCGGTGGGAAAGGGTAGCGATGTTGATGAAATCTTTCAGGCTCAGACCTCCATGGGAAACGAAGAAGGGGTGATGATATTTCAATGCGGTCACTCATCATCCAAGCATTTCGAGAACGTCGATGTCAACGAGAACATGGAGAGTCCCGAGACTTCTACAGCCAATACAAACAGTGAGGAGCGTAAGAAGAAAGGAGTTCAACCCGCGTATAGTTTGGTTGGCGGAAATCCATCGTCGAACGATGGAAAAGCTCAGGGAGTTGGAGATTTATCCCATACTGCAGAGGGCCTCGCCGATGAAAGCTTGTCTCCTGGGAAAAGCACTAACCCAGAGCTTACTGGTTTTGTGAAGGCAGAGGATCAACATACTACTCCGGTCATTGACATTTCTGGAATCGGAGAGCGTAAGCTCATTCCAGCCGCCACTCGGCAGAGAAGCTCCACCCTCACAAAATCCATCGACGATGGTCAAACTACTCAAGGGCTGCCTGGGTATATTTTGGACAAAGAAGATGCAGTTCTGGAGCAGTTCAAGGACGAAAGTCTTCGCAAAGAAGATTTCATAGCTTACCAGGTAAGACATCTCAGCTCATGCTCTGACCTTGACCACTGAAAATCTGATTGTTTTAGAACGAACAACTTCGGAAACGGCTTGGTGTTCAAATCGATGTTTATCAGCCAGGAGATAGACGCCCCCGTCATCCAAACCATCACCGTACCTGGTATTCAAAGAATCTCTGGTGCACCAAATGTCATGGCCGCTGCCAAAACTGCATGGCTTGGTGTTGCAAATACCAGGAGTCTTATGCCATCGCTCTTGGAAATAGAACCAGCGTAGAAGTGAAGGACAATGCTCACTCTATAATTGAGGCGATTAGAATGTATAATCCTACTGGTACCGATAACCCAACGTTCCTTAGGTGCACTACCGAGGGTTGCCGGAGACTGGTTTGCCCCGAGTGCTGCGGTATCTGTCCCAATCAGCTGCTTTGTCAGGACCTTCAGTGTGTTGTAAGTCTCCGTGATCAACTCAATCTTTTAAAGTCAGTATGCTAATAGACCGAACAGCGATGTAAGCCGGATCCGTGGGTTGAGTGCGACTGGCATGTTGGTCTCTAAATTGGCGCACTCAATGGAGACTGTCTTGCACGACCGAGTGGTCCCGTTATTAGCTCCTATTTGTGGGAAACTTTGCACCTACGATCTTTTTAGATTTTCATTCTGTGTTATGGACAGATGATTCATGTTATTCAGCTCTGTTTTAGCGGACTTTGAGGTTATGCAGGAGATCATGAATGACGAGATACTTATGACACAGATTAGAGATTAATTTCATTAAAGCAATATAGGTTTGAGCTGCATAATTTAGCTGTGCTGTGATTACGCTTTGTAAATACTTCACTGAAAGCTGAGATGCATTCGATATTATACCCTCGTTGTTGCACTAAGACCAATCACTTCGTTGAGAGCCGTATCTATTTTGGTGAGCAGCTTATTTGCAACTCTAAAATATAGTAACCCTGTACGAGTCAAAATGGCCGCAAGGATGATAGGTTGATAGTCTCTGAGCTTTTGTTTTGCCCTACTGCATTCATTTAAACACGAGTTTCAGATATTGCTGTCAACGATGTGACGAGATTAAGAGGGTACTCAAGGTGGGGAAAAAATAAGAAAAATAAAAGTTATTGCTACTGATCGATTAATGCAATACTCAGACCAATAGGAACTTTCCTTGACACTGAGAACGCTGTGAGAGAAAACAATGCCTCTCTGGAACAATTTCAGCAAGATTTCATTGAATGCGTTCAACGAAAGAAAATCCAGGAGAGCTAGACAGTCCTCCAGAGTCAGCCAGCATGAGACCATGGTGATCAGTCGCAACTACGGAATAGAACTAGTCATTGCCATGACAATACACGTCCATCGTGAGGTTGCTCGAGCATTGATATGATGCTTCGTTGTCGGTTAGGCTTGTGCCCTAGCCGACGGGTGTTGCCGCTTCGAGACTAGTCTTGGCCACAACGGGATTTCGACCACCAGGTATCGTCAGTCTACAGCGAGCAGTGCGCCGACAACCTCAACAGCGACAAATACGCATTTTCAGCCACCAAAATGCGTACCTACGACGGTCAGTGACTGACGAATATCCATATTTCCATGATCAAATCCAGGCTGATGGTTTTTTGAATCGACAGACTCCTTCTCCGGTCGGAAGATCTATCCCGGCAAGGTCCGCAGATTCCCCTCGTCCTTTTCCTGTCGAAATAATTTTACACGAATATACCACTGCTTCTCGAGACTATCGCCCGCAAAACACTGCATGAGCAATTGAGAAAGGCTTGGAAACTGATAAAATTTCGTGACGATATAGGGTAAGCTCTACGTCCGTGGCGACAACAAGATCTTCCGTTTCGCCAATGGCAAGAGCGAGTCGCTGTTCCTCCAGCGCAAGAACCCCCGCCGCATCGCTTGGACCATCCTCTACCGGAAGCAGCACAAGAAGGGTATCTCTGAGGTTAGTCGATCGCAAGGACTTCCTATAAATCTGTGGTTCGGAAGGGCTCGTTGGAATGGCGGCAATAATCGCGAGAGGCAGTCTAGCAAAGAATGTTGCAGGAGGGATAGAAGACCGACTCCTTGAAGGACGAATTTCTCGATTGCCGCCATCTCCTCAACAGCCTGCAAGAATCAACAAGGTGGAAATGATATGTTTTGGAAAGCGCTCGGAAAGCTAACGGGTATTTGTGGCATACAGGAAGTCGCCAAGAAGCGCACTCGCCGCACCGTCAAGAGCCAGCGTGCCATCGTTGGTGCTTCTCTTGATGTGATCAAGGAGCGCCGCGGCCAGCGCCCCGAGGCCCGCGCGGCCGCTCGCCAGGCCGCCATTGCCGCTGGCAAGGAGAAGAGAACCGCTGCTGAGAGCAAGAAGAAGGCTGAGAAGGCCAAGACTGCCGCCAACGCTGCCAAGGGCCAGACCGCCCGCATCCAGAGCAAGCAGGGCGCCAAGGGCGCACCCCCCAAGGCCGCTGCCAAGTCGCGTTAAATAAAATGCTGCTTGTCTGTGCTTTTCTTTTTTCGAAATTTGTGTCTGGGCGCCTGATGAAACATTGGTCGGATGTTGATGAAATAGTGGCGACTCTGGACGGTCTATCATGACCATCTGGATATCATATCCTAGCAATGAAAACATCACATCTGTCACAATAACAAAGTTTACGTCAATTCATACGACGTAGAGCCGACAGCTTCTGGATGTGATCCGTGATGTGAGCGAGACAAAAGCCGCTCTTCTTGAAAGATGAAAGTCTACTTCCCGCCCTGACTTCTGGACCGTCCTACAGGGCGATCCCAACTGTTCTTTTTGGTTATAATTCTGTCTTATTGTATTATGATATTGGCATATGCATTGAATTTTCGCTCACGGAGAAACAAAGTAAACAAATCGGTAAGTGGTTTGATAATTTGATATGTAGGTCTTTCAGCGTCTCGGTGAAAAGTCCAGCTTTCCGTCCCGAAAACCTCATATGTCAAGCACATTTTATGCCTTTGCCCTTTCCAAGTAGCGTCCGTAGGGAGTCAATATGCATCAGATACTTTGGGAAATCTGTGTCTATGTCTTCCAGATTTTCGCTCTCGTTTCAGAGACTATCGCCCCAAATTAAATCTATACACCCAAAGCCATGAAACAGTAGAGTCTTAGCTGGCTTCATACTTGCTCTTAGGGGGTTCGAAATAGTGTGCCATTTCCAAGCCAGCGCGCTTGAAGCCGCACTTGACGTAGAAACCCTCATTCGCCTCGGAACAGTCGAGGATGGTCTGCAATTTACATCCGTGTCAGCAGACCGATCAAATCTAATCACTCGAGCATTCCACGAGAAACGCCAAAGAAAATGACTTCACAACTAACCTTGTAGCATCCAACCTGCTGCGCCACATAGTCCAATGCCTGAATGATCTTCAACCCGAGTTTTTTACCCTGCTGATCCCGCGCGACAGCAATGTCTTCAATGTGGCCAACGAGGCCGAGATTATGGATACTATTCGCAGGTATCTCAAGTCAGCCTCTCAACTCTCTTTTGACAACCATTGCGTCGCAGAACTTCCAACAGTTCTTTCCATCTTGTTTCTTTGTCCTTGAAAGCAAACTGGAAGTAACATACAATTTCCTCTCAACAATCAATGCCCCTGTCGAAACAATCTTCCCCGTAGGATCCGTTATGCACAAAAGGAAATACTCGTCTGCCCGAGTCGCCATCCAGTCGTATCGCGCCTCCCATTGCTCCCGCGTCACATCTCCGACTGTTGTGAGCACGCGCAGAACGTCGAGGAAGCCGGCATCAAAGTCGGTCCGCTGGATAGGACGGAGAGAGTGGCCCTCAGGCAGTGACGCCGCGACGGCAGGAGAAATGAGCTCCGGGGAGAATAGAGGTCCTGAAGACGTCGTTGTTGAAGGCATGATGGAGAAAGTATGCGCGTAGTCGGGGCTTTTCTCCGGTTTGCGATGGAGTGCCCGGGTAGGTAGTTTTGGGAGACAAGGGTCGGGTGTGAAATTCGTCAAGGGAGTAATATATATGCGCAACGAATGAAATGCGAATCGAGTTGTAGATGTTGCTTTGAAATGTATCCCCGGATGAGTTGGGGTATTTATCTATCAACTAATATGCGATTGGATTGCAACGCGGGCTGCGGCAAGGATATCGAGTATGTGACAAGTCTGTTGGTGATGGATATATGTGTGAATCGAGATCAATATAATCTGGACCAGGGCCCTTCACCTCAATAAAACCAGGTACGCAGGGTAGGAAAGGAGGGGGGAAGGGACAGAGGGTAGTGGCTTGACTGCCATTATAGGCTTAATGGCTGCTATTTTCGGTGGTTTCAGCCTCAGGCACCGCCACCCTTTGTGCCCTGAAGATCGGTTCCCTTGGCTCTAACTGACCTGGGAAAGGGTTCACCAGGAACAAATTCCTAATGAGAAATAGGAGTAACTTACAATGGCTTTGTTTCTGCGAGGTTGATGATTCAGGTGGGATATTTTGCGAGCGGCTTGTGAAAGGAAATATAATTGAATTGATGATCTACTACGTTGTCTATTCCAACTGCCGCGGAAGAAGGGTGATAGTGATTTAGCAAAAATAATAGAGACAAAAACAATGGAAGAAAAGGGAAAAATGAAAATTCATGTGAATTATTCTGCAACTTTAAAATACCCGGAAGGCAGAGCCATATTTTTATAGGGTTATCTCCATCTTTTTCTTACACTCTCAATAGGTTTCATGCAAGTTAGCCAAGGCAATATGTAATAGAACATATTGCTCTTCGATTCCACTGGGAACATGACGATGATTCCATCACCGTTAGCTGTTGCGCTTCTCTCGGATCGCATCCGCTTTTTCCCGGCTCTTTCTCCGTCACTGCCCTGCTCGAGACGACTAACCATGAAATTTAGTCCCACCATCGCCACGTGGGCAGCCATGTATGATAAAAAGAGCTGGTAGGATGTCCTTCAGAAGGATTGGCGTGACAGACGAGCCTTAGTGTGTTCTAGCTCAAGGGTCGGATATGATGAATTGGGCTTCCTCCTGGCGTCAAGCATGCGAGAAAATACTACAGAGTAGACTACCGCGCTTATGACAGGCTCAAGTGTATCCCGCTGATCGGGCACACGTGGGGGGTATCAATTTGGCAATGGGCTACGAGAGGGTCTTTGCTGAAAGGGGTGGGCTGATATTGCTCCCATGGCTCTTCTCTAATGTATCTCTTGCTTAGGTATGATGGCGCTAAATACTTGACCAAGCACTATAGAAGCTGCAGTTGCGGAGAAAAAGCATGTTCGGGATTTAGCCGGACTTCAGTGTAAGAATATCAATCAAAACGTGGTCAATGTAAGTCATTTTGGAAAGATCAGTTGAGAATCTCGGATGAGCAGAACAGGCGAAGTGCTAACTTAGGTAGCGAAGTAAATAGCTCTAATTTCCATCCCCATGGCGGCGAGTGGGGCTGGCTTTTAGTTATAAAGGAGTCAAGCTTTCATAACAGCCACTCATTTCGGCACGTTGACTTGGACCCTTGCATCGTCTCCCCGCTTATTCCTCCAACATGCAGAACCCCATTGATCCTTCACCCCAAGGCTGCAATTGTGCAGCCCGTCAGATGTAGTCGCGTATTCGTCATTATTAGAGTAGGGTCTGATTTGAACGTATTCGGCGACTAAAAGCCGTAGGTGAACCGTCTCTTTAATATGATGGAGCGCCATCGATCTTCCTTCTTCCTGTTCTTCTTTGGCTGTTGTGGGGAGCCAGCCAAACCACCTCAAGTATCCAAAAGGATCTCCCCAATGTGAAATTCTTCCTCCTTAGCTCCTTGCAATGAACCGGATGAGCTCTGGTGACTTTGAAGACTGGCCTCTTCGACTACCGCAGCGAGGTAGCAGCATTTCTTCCTCGACTCAAGATTCTGATTCCGCAAGCATTCTATCACTATCACAATTTCCCGTTCCCCCTAGCCCGGCAACGTCTTCCGCAACCAGCGGAAGATCAAAATCCATACAATCTTTTCAGGATGAGACGATCAGATTGCAGCTTCATCCCGCTGTAACAATGTGCGCTACCGGCTCAATTTCGTTCAAGAATAGTCCATAGTGTGATACTAATTGGAGACTACAATGTGCAGATCATTCTTACGCGGAGCAAAATTGTTCAAGATACAGCACGCATTTATTGATATTTGCAAGGACGCCAGTGGCCATCTCAAGTATCTAGAGCTGGGGGGCGGAATTGGTCATCAAAGTGTCTTTCTTCATACATGTGAGTCAATAGACTTGTACAGTGTCTCTTTGGAGAGACGGGTTTGCTGAGACAACGTGTCAATATAGTTCAAAATACCAAACTCCCTGTACCGCATCTCGAACAACCCAGACTTACTGGAGAAAAGACTTTCCGAGTGTCATTCCTTGAGGAGCAAACTGTGCAAACCGGGCAGACCGTTTTCAATACACAATTATCATATACCTTTTATGACTGGGAAGGTGAGATGCCTGGTTCCAATCTCTTTGGCGCAAATGCTTATCCATTACGTACAGATTGTGTTCGTTTCCAAGAATTGCTGCTTGCATCAAAAATCATCCTCACTGCAAGCCTAGCTGAAGCAAGCTCCAAGGGCCGTGGGGAAGAATGCATCAGCCAAAACTTGCGCATACTTCAAGGGTGGAATGATCGACGAGTGATTCTCTTTTTTGCCAATTCTCAACGAAAGGAAAAGAAGACTTATGTTTCCATACCACGTGAGTTGAAGATCGACAAGTTTGTGCTATCCTGAGGCTGACCGGGTTAGTCCATTGCATTGATCGCGTGGTCAATGCCAAGAAGGCAGGGCATCCGGTCGCGTTGCATCTCTGCCCTAATTTTGATATCCTTTCCCAGATGAAAGTGTTGCGGGTATCCTTTCTGGATGATGAAGGTACGTTTTTTTTTTTTTTTTGGTTTTACCCACGAATCTCAGCCGAGTTAAATTACTGACATTCCCTCGGACAACCAGATCGAATAGCCTTTTTCCAGACGGTATCTCAGGGAATTGCGCATCGATAGCTGCAAATCTCTCTTTTCCACCTTGCCTCTCCAACGACCGCCTTTACAGTTTCATCACTGTGTTTCTATGATATTTGCGGCTCAGGGCATTTTGCGATTTGTCAGTTATTTTCATTGTCGGGAGTTTTCGTGACGGATAGAAATACCCTTAATTTACGATAGTTACGATGTCTCTCCAATATCATTACTACGACTGCAATCTAAGCAAATATACATGCTACGATTACCGCCATGCAACCAAACTTGTCTCCATGAATGAAGGGTCCGTACTCTATATCTTTGGTGCTAGTTGCGGGGATAGTTTCGTTGGTCTTTAATATAGTCTCTTAAGTCAACGCAGTTCTTGAGTTGAAACCCAATCTCCCGGGATGCCTCCCTACCAACGATGGGCGACAACGGAGGTAAGTCTAGTACGGTAGAGAAAACCGAGGGGACGGGAAGAGGGACGGGGCGTCGGCACCTTTCTGGTATTTAGCGCCAACTGCCGTCACAGTAGCAGGACCCCGGTTTATCGCTAAGGGGCTGTCCTGCCAATTCAGTTGAGAGTCAGGGAGCACGTGGGGGTTTGAATCGCACGGAACACCCGTTCCCCTTCCCGCCCAAAGCTGTCTGACTGTGCCTCGACTCACTACTACCACTGCAATGGGTAGGTAATCTCGCAATAATTCCACAGCATTAATCTTAGACCATGCTCTCTCTCCATATTTTGCACCTCATTAGGTGCCCATTCGCATCTGATATATTAGAACTAAATCGATAGTACGGGCAGGGGTCATAGCGATTAATACGATTAATATTATCTGCTTTAGGCCCGCCCCGCTTCCTGTCACGCCTGGTACTAAGGGTAGTCATGCCATCGTAGATCTCCACGTCTTTTTTTCTTTTCTTCCTTGACTCTTCTTTTTTTCTACTGTTACTTAGGCAGAGAGATGCCGTCATGAGTCTGTTTCCTTACGGGTTCATCAAAGTACGAGTTGTGTGAAGAATTGCCGTTGAATCCATCCTGATCAACGCGAGCGACGTTAAGCGCTGTCCTTTGCCTAGGACAGGACTTGTGAACCGCAGCTTTATTATTCAGCATGGGGAAATTTCGTAGTAGGCTGTACAAGACTGATCGAGCCCGAGACTTTGATCATGAACAGGTGTGTCCTTGTATCCAACCTTGTCCACAGCGACATGCAAAGTCCTAATTCTGCCACAGGATCGCTCTATACGAATACAACAAATCTATCAGACCATCGATCGGCAACCGTATCAATGGATCGTGGTTCTAGTTGCCGGGGTTGGCTTCTTCTTGGATGGCTATTCTGTAAGTCTATTACACACCTCCTTCAGCATCAAGGTCCAAGCCTCTCATAAAGACTTAGCTCTTTGCCAGCAATATGGCTCTTCCAATGATGTCCTATGTTTACTGGAGAGATAATGCCGCTTCCAGGAGACTTACCCTGATCAATATTGCAACTTTGGCTGGTACCTTTTTTGGTCAAATTCTGTTTGGTTTCCTAGCAGACAAGAATGGACGGAAAAAGATGTACGGCATCGAACTGCTTCTTGTCATCGGCTCGACGCTCGGAGCTGCCATGGCGTCGACCGGTTACGAGAATAGTATGAGCATATTTGCATGGCTTATCTGGTGGAGAATCATGGTTGGAATTGGTGTAGGAGCGGATTATCCCCTCAGCGCTGTAATCACTTCCGAGTAAGCCCGTCTCATTCCCTCATATCTCCTTATTGCTTCTCTCAAACTCACGCTCGAGCCCAATAGGTTTGCGCCGACCAAGCACAGGGCTCGAATGATGGCCACTGTCTTCTTCATGCAGCCGCTTGGTCAGATTTCCGGAAATCTCGTATCACTCATTGTCATTGCCGTCAGTAGACAGCACGGTAATGACGACCTTGCGCGCAGCGTAGACATTATGTGGAGATGGGTCGTTGGCATCGGCGTCATCCCTGGCGCTATCGCACTTCTATTCCGCTTTGCCATTCCCGAGACACCGCGTTTTCTATTAGAAATCGAGGGTGATCCGGTCAAGGCCGAATTCGACGCAACCGCTCTCTTCAATGAATCGCCAACGAGCCATGAGCTCGACTTTGCAAACTGGAACAACATCAGTCTCCCCACAACCACTCAGCGCAGTCTTGGTTCCATAGACGAAGACTCCGCTACGGCCCATACCGACATTAGCATTCAGCAAACGACGCTCAACTCCCACTGGCGCCTCGCAAAGGCGGACATTATCCAATACTTTTGGACCGAAGGAAACTGGCGGGCCTTGGCCGGCACATCCTTGACCTGGCTGCTTCTCGATTTCGGATTCTACGGCATCGGCCTCTCGAGCCCTCAGTTCCTTGCCAATATCTGGGGCTCCCTCCACATATCCGGAGCCGCACCGCCCTGGCAGACCGACGATCGTCCCGACGCAAACCTCTACGACATGTTCATGAACACGTCCATCCACGCCATGGTGATTCTGAACATTGGCAGCGTCATCGGCGGGTTGCTCCTGATCTTGTTCGCCCATCGTATCAACCGCATCAGCCTGCAGAAATATGGCTTCGTTGCCCTCGCAGCTCTCTTCATCGCCCTCGGCGTCATCTTTATCAACCTCAAGAGAGAGGGGCCTTTTGCCGTTGTCTTGTACATTATCGGCCAGCTCTTATTCAATTTTGGTATGCACTTTATTTCCCTTATAACTCTATCCCCCCCCCCCCCCCCCCCCCCCCCCCCCCTACCTATCCCAGTCCTACTTTTATCCCTCGTCATCCCAGTCCTACATCTCCCTCCCCCTTCCCCACACCAAAAAAACCAACCAAAAACCCGAACGCTGACCACCTTACTCCCTACAAAAGGCCCCAACGCAACAACGTACATGATCCCCGCCGAAATCTTCCCCACCCGCTACCGCGCCACATGCCACGGCATCAGCGCCGCCTCGGGCAAGCTCGGCTCCATCCTCGTCCAGATTTTCTCCGCCTACTACAAATTCGGCTCGTCGCCTGGCTCCGGCCAGACGGTACGATACGGCTGGATCCTCGTCGTGTTCAGTGTCTGCATGATTCTCGGCGCGCTTATTACGCATTTCTGGATCCCGTCGATACAGAGAAAGGCCGACCGGGGTAGGCTCTGGGGAGGCAAGCCCGAGACGCTGGAGATTCTGGCGCAAGGTCGACGTGGAACGCGGAAGTAGATTTTTTTTTTCTTTTTCTTTTTCTTTTTCTTTCTTTGTCTTTCTTTCTTTCTTTCTTTCTTTCTTTCTTTCTTTCTTTCTTTCTTTCTTTCTTTCTTTCTTTCTTTCTTTCTTTCTTTCTTTCTTTCTTTTCTCTTTTATTCTCTTTTCTTATTATTATTATCATCTTCTTACTTTCCCTTTTGGCTGCATTTCATTTGTAGACGTATGATTCATGTACATATATAGACCTACCTTGGATTTTAGCTTATGGGGTGCAAGTGTTGTTTAGATGGATACCCTATACATTATACCCTACACCAGATACCAGATACCATATACTATAGACTCTTCCTTGGTTCGCTTCGATATATAACTACCCAAAGTTACCTTATATACTCCGTACCAATGGCAATAGAGATTTAATTGCATTTCTTATGATTGTTACTTTCTACTTGGAACTTACTTTTTACGCTCCAAAGACACAACAGTAAAATACGGGCAAAGTCTAAAGGGAACATACCCCGTAGAATTACATCCCGATGGCGATTTGAAGGGTAAATAATGCGATTGGGGGGCAAATAACTATATTGTCACAATGATTCAATCTGTGTATATATGAAGCATTTCAAGCGAAGAGCAAATATATTGAATCGTAGTTTAAAATGAGCAAATATGCTGGATCGTAGCTTGAAATGAGCAAATATATTGAATGGTAGCAATGCCAACTAAATTGCTCAAAGCATCTGAAACCGAGAGAGCACAGAGAAGCATTCGCACAGGTATCGTGCATGAGCAAGGTGCCAAGGCCAATCAGAAATCCGTGGCGGAGGAATTAAAAAAAAAGGCCAGGGAGACATATATGAAGATAAAAAAGGAAGAGAGGAAAAGGATTAGGTAACTTAATGAGCAAAGGAATGAGATAAGAAAAAAGGAAAATTTTGCTATTGAGCACAGCTCACAGCCCATGTTGCTCCAACTCCAATGTGTTTCAACTCGCAAAATCCCATTGCCATGTCAAGCAAACGCTTCAACTCCTCCCAATTAAGAATAGCTACTTTTCGGCCCAACCCCAAGAGCTCGTCAAGTTCCAATAGTATCAGTAATCCCGGAAAGGCAAAGTCTCCACATTATCCCATGTCGAGCAATCGGGTGTGATGGCCTGGCCAAGGAGAGGAAAGGTATAAAATAAAAGAACGCAGGATCTTCTGGCGATCACCAGTATGGAAAAAAAGAAAAAAAATTTTGGCGTAGTTGAGACTAATTCTCAAATCAAAAGAAGCCACCTTTTGGAACAGCGACGAAAATGGCAACGGCCACTGCTGAAATAATAAACGCTCCAAGAATGGCCTGAAGGAAAATGGTGTCTTGAATTTGACGCAATGCTGGCTCTTGAATCCAGACCTCACGGTCAAAAACTTTGCGGATAATGTTTCGCTTTTCATACTTGGCTACCCATGGCTCGTCTTCGTAGCTATTGTTGGACCCAAGGCTGTCGAATGATCCCTTTTTGAGTTCGTAATAGGAGCTGTCATCCTCGTCTTCTGCAAAAAGTTCCCACGGGCGAAGATGGCGGTGATGCATGCCATGGAGTACCTACTCGGCATCAGAAATATATTCGCAATGCTTGTAATAAAAAGGAAATAAAAGAAAAGGGGAAGGAAGGAAGGAAGGAAGGAAGGAAGGAAGGAAGGAAGGAAAGAGAAAGTGTAAGCTACTCACCACACACATGCCCTTCCACGCAGCAATGAGGGTCGATACACCAATGAAGAAACCAAGAAAAGAGAGAACACGCCATGCACGGCCGGCACTGCTCAAAGTGATAATAATAGCAGCAATGAGGCCGCCGATGATGCCACCCACACCTAAGCCACGGGCAAAGATGACACGAGGCTTGTTTCCATTGCAGATAGACCATCGAACGAAATTTGGGTGGGCCTGGCAACGGAGAGACCACTCAACTGTGCGCGCAATCTGCCGAAAAGCTGACGGATGGGTAGTGCTCGCAAGAGCGTGAAGAAGAGCGACGCGCTCTTTCGATGAGAGATTCAGTTGACGTGGGGCACCGTCAGCTATATAAGTTCCAATGATGCGAGTGATTTCCTCTCTGAATGGTTGCACGGTAACTACCATGTCATCAGTTGAATGGCTCTCCTTTGCTCAAAGAGGGTCACAAAAGAGATACTCACATGGCTGCCATTTCAAATCAGCGCTCTCAAAGGCATTCGCTGCCTTCTCGGCAAAGCCTTTTCTGCCGTTCGGAGACATTGACTGAGTCTCACTTGAGTCCCATGAATCCGTGACTGGGGCGCTGCTATCCCGGTCACTCGGAGTTCGCGGGGGAGTGTGGAAGGGATTCCCATTCTTTTCCTGAGTAATTGGTTTCGAATCTCTCCCAAAATCGGTGCCATTGAGAATCTTGGCCGCTTCAGGACTGACTAGCCTGGGCTTTGCATGATTTGCCTGAGCGGCTGCGACTGCAGCTTCAGCTTGCTCTGGAGTCCATTCGGGAGACAAGAGCTTTTCGCTCTCTGGCAGTAAGTCAAAGCGTTTCTTATAGTCCTGATACCATAGAAAAAACTGTAGGTTCTCGGCGGCCAGCTCAATGTAGATGAGATAATTCATGAAATCCCGAGTAGTGCATGGCTGGAGTGAAAGAGTTAGTCAAAGGCAGAAGCTGGTTGGGTTCCAATGAGAAGTTATAGTGCGTGACTCGAAGTGGTCTCTCAGGTGCAAGAGCAGAGTCGTTTCTGCTCAGGCAGCTCAAGCGGAAAATATAAAAACATAGCTAAAATAGCAAGGAATGGGTGTCGTGGAGGAGAACATACAGGGCAAGTACCACCAGCAATGATGCGGTCAAAGGAAAGAGCGTCTGGGATCCCATGAGATTTTCCTGTGCTGCCAGAATTGACGGACCCATCCACTGAATCTCGTGAAGGGCTGCTCACGTGGGCCGGACGACGGTAATTGAGCGAATACACCATGATGCAATGTTATGGGAGGTTGATCAAAAGGTGCAAGAACAAATAGAGCGTATCTGTGACAAGGAAAGAGGCCGGGGCTATCAAATGAAAGCTGGTTGTGAGAAGTATAGGAAGAATAGAGTAGCAATATAGGTCAAGAAAAGTAAGATGCTCGGTATAAAGAGCGAAATATATGTTGCAGAAAGCACGTCGTCGGTGAGGAAGAATTGACGACGAGATGAAATAGTTCCAAGGCAGCTAAGGGTAACTACCACGCAAACAGTTGAGGGTATCAAGATTCGGTAAGCACGCGGATGCCACGAGGGATAAAAGCAACTGTAATAATGGGAAGGTGCTCAAACATGCCAACGGCCGGTTTATGAATGCAACATTGGCTGTTGCGCCCGTTGCCCATGGGGGAATGAGGACATGTTAAATGTGCTTGGAGCACAGATTGCGCTTCTGTTACGCCATTACATCCTCACCCAGGGTTCATCGGGCTCCTACGCCAGGCTGGTACTGGTTCAGGTCCAGTGCAAGCAGGACGAATCCGAAAAAAGAGACACAGGCGCCGATAGTGGCAACCTGAGTCAAGGACGGAAGAGAGCCAAGAGAATCCCGAACGTCGAGATCATGCTAGCCAGTGGCTTGCGCATTAAACGCTGGTTGGACCTGTACGCTAATAATTGAGTCCAGGGACTAACTGCGCGGCCTGCTTCCCTTACGAAAAAGGATTAAGGATGAATGGATGTGGAGAGAAAGCCAATGCAATCTATTCCATTCCGCAGATCCACGCGATCGGAGATCAGGGACCCACTGCGGGAGACAAGAAGAAAAAAGTGTGTATCTCCACTAGATTGTCTAACGTGGCAGAGAATTGAGGTGCTGACAATGGTCCACAGTTACATAGAGAGCTGTTCCGCGCTTCTCCCTTATGGAGGACATATGACTTGCATCTTCCGTTGCTTGTCGACACCGACTGCAGATCGAGGAGCCCACCTCGAGCTCTTTTTTTCCCCGCGATTCCCATCCAAAGCCAGACAGGGATATAATTTCGCGCGAAGACGATTCAACGCTAGTGAGCCTAAACAGTGAGTGGATCGCACAAAAGGTCAACAGAGAAGGTGAATAGGAAAGATACGAGGCTTGAGGAGTGTCGAATTAGGTCAGTTCGTTCTATTCCCTTTTGAACGAGACATGCACTTAAGCTCTGGCGTCAAGTTCTCATTGCTTTTACTCAACCTAATATCCCGATATGGATATCCGAGCGGTGACGTCGAAGACAGCCGCTGTCGCGAGTGGCTTGACTCCTGCTGAGCTGTTTTCGCTTCGATGCTCACCCTAGAGCGAAGACCTTGTCATTAATTATTTCATCCCCAATCATATGTGTATTAAGAGAACAATGCTAATAGCATATGCACAGGATCTCTTCCGTCCCGGTCTAATTTCCTAGACGGGCTGGTAGTGGCCATCGGATCCCACAGAAAGAGGAAGGAGAATGGAAAGAGGAAGCGAAACCCCAGAGGATTTTCTACTACGTGGTGCGGGTGATGGACCCGGCAGAACGGAATGATTGGCCATGTGCACATGGCTGGAGCCACATCGGGTTCGCTCTTGTCCCGCTCAACAGCACCGAACGAGAGGAAAGCACAGAGCGGACAGGGGACCTGAGGGAAACGGGACCCAGCAAGCGGGCCAGCTAGTCGCCTTTCAGCTCTCCTCCCATGATTCGCAATTGGCCATCTGTTTTTTCTGATGGGTACGAGTACGTACAGGGTATTGCTCACAACGCCATGCACATGCAGCTGTCCCAATTTCAACCCGCCAAGCCTGCTTGTTCTCCGTCCTCGCGCGTGTCTGTCCTTCCTTGCAATCGGAAAACAAGATTTTGGGGAAAAGGTTAAAGGTATCCTGCATGCATTATCTGACAGATCATCATCACTGTGCATTGCGACGACTCAATTGCAATGCCACGTGACGCAAACAGGATGTGATGCAGAAAATTCTCCATTCACAGCCCAGCCAAAAACTCAATTGATTTGATACCGATCGGTTCTGCGAATTACTTGGATGACTAGCCTGGCAATTAGGACTCTTCCCGTTTCAACACTTCCCCCGGTCCCCATTCAACTTGGCCGTGATTGGTCTGATCAAAAACTCTGCAATCTCAGGCCCAGTGACCACGGACAGATTGATTCGACAAATCAAAGACCCAAACAGCATCTATTCAATATCGGACACCTTTAGATCGATTATTTCATCATAGAGCTACTCACCCTTCTTTACAACGCATACGCGTACCTTGCCGAGCCCGACACCTGCCGAACACCAATGCCCGTCGCATGGAGATGGGTTCGGCTTGATCAGAATGACGGCCGCGAGCGCTCGCATTTTTCTTCTTTCTCAGTCGTCGCCGTCCTTGTAGCTCGTCGAATCGAGAGCAGAACTAGTGTCGACTGACTGAAGTACGGCCCATGTAAGTAATGTTATGTTATGTACGAATACTCTGTAGTAAAATTGAGTCTTTCTAGTGCATTTCCTTAGTCTTCCCTCTAACATCTTCTCTCAGCTGCGTTCTGGGACCTGGATCCTTGACCCTCACATTCCCTGCCCGTCTAAACAATAGTCGGAAACATAAGATGGGCTTTGCTAAGGAGCAATTTTAGTGCATTATCTATGGTAATAGTTCAATATAGTACCTTTTGTATAGCGGACTCCACCTTAAAAGATAACTATTGAAGATCTAAGGTTGGGTAAATCTCGTTTCTTCAGGCCAAGCGGGTTTGACGGCCCAGATTCGCGAGCTCTTAGTCCCGTCTCGCTCTGGCCTACTGTACAGAGTAAGCCCCGATCGGCGTTACCGAAGTTCCATAACTTATCCAGCACCTTCCCACAGAACCCCCCCCCCCCCGGATATTCGATCGTAAGGCTCAGGGCTGGTTTTTATTACGGAGTACTCATTTCTAATCGTTAAGGTTCTTGAAACGCGATATCAGAGTCAATTTTCATAACTAGCTCCGCAGAAAAGAGGTGACTCTGGCGGTGGCCTAATGGATTGGAATGGAATAAGTATGGAGGGGGACGTTCAATTTTCCTGTCGCTTACAAGCTCAATTGAGAAGGTTTTCGGGCAGTATAGACTTATGTTGATGCTGGTGCAGTCCAGGCCCAATGTTAGCATGTAAAGTCTCGGCCTAAATTGCCCGGAAATACGTAACATTTGGCGCGCGGCGAGGATCAACGGCAGAATCGGTGAGTAAATAGCTCTGGGATGGCAATATATTGATACAGTACTCTGTATAATACAATAATACTACACTATACGTGGTAGAATAATATAATTCCATAAACGTAGCCGTAACAGAAATCTTTGCTTGGCGCTCTTTAAACATGTGCCCAGCCATTCTCGACAAGGACCTGCATCTCATTAATGAGACAGAATTCCCCAGGTTCCTGCTCATCAGGGTGCAGCTTTTCCCATTCCTTTACGCGGCGGCCGACAGTCCACGACTTGAATCGCGTCGTGGTGGTCCATCTCCGGATCCGGTTCTGCCACAGGCCGGTAAATACTTGCCACGCGGATACCCATGCTTCGCCATTGAGAGGGTGCACGGCATCATACGCCGCACGCCGGTACCCGACGCGAACGTTTGGGTTCAGCCAGACCCCTGCTGACGAGGACAATCCGTTGTCCGCGTGGATCAAGCAGCATTCGGACCCTTCGAGGTGCGCGCGCGCCAGGCTATCCGGGATGCCGCGAAATTGTAAAGGCGGGTCAAGATCAATAAAGGGTCTAGCGTCCATGGCCACTGAATTTCGGCATTTCAGATTAGCACGTTTTTTTGGTTCTGCGAGGAGATTGCGAACGAGGGACAACATCTTACCTATTCCGTTCCAGCAGCTGGAAACGGGTACAAGTTGGCCATATTTTATTGCGGTTCGTGATGCCCGAGAACGAAAGTACGGCCATGTCTGCATGACGGTTTCGTGGCCTTGCGAGTCCCGCAGCGCAAATGTGTCGTAGTACGTCGGCGGCTTGGCAAAGTCCAGAGAGCATGCAGCTGCGTATTGACCATCATTGGTAGCTAAGAGCGCCATAATATCTTGCGTCTGGGTAGAGATACATTGTGAGTCTTATATCGCAAATGTGGATGCCCAGGCAGATTGATGGCATTCGGTACGCCAGTGCTTCGTCCGAATTGGCAGCATGAGGGTCCAATATATAAGAAAAGAAAAAAAAAACGTACAGTAAATACGACATCATTCAAGAACAATACGCGATCAAATGTCTCCCCTGACTGAGCAAGTTCGTGGAGTTTGCGCAATGTCAGATTCCTGATTTTAGAGAGATACGGTACTCGACGAAGCTCCTTCTTGCCTCTCGGCGTATCAATCCATCCCGACGTTCCCGGTGGTCGAGAAATCTCATCCTCGTGCGTGTGCTCATCGAGGGTAATGTTCCGCGGAACACTCAGTCGTTCAAGCTCGGTGTCAAGCTCCCGCAGAGCGTCCTTGGTGTTGTCCCAGCTCCCACTTTCGTAGATGCTCACGTAGACATTCTGCGGGCCGAGCATCTTCGTCAGGTCTACCAGTGCCGCGTTCCAGGATTCTCGTAGCACGGCTTCATTGTTCCAGTGTTCGCTGGCAATGTAGATTTTATGATGGCGCCCATCGAATGCTTGGATTCGGTGGTTTTGTAGTTGATCTTGGAGAGCCAGCTCTCGCCGTATAATGACCACTTCTACCAAGCTCCAGATCAAACTTATAATCAGCGCGATCCGGAGCAGGCGCGATTTCGTGGAGCGCCGTAGGCGCGCAGAGACCATGCCGTCGCCAATTGAGTACTGGCTCGAGCACTCATCGAAGCCTTATTCTGAATTTATTTTGAATATGCTGGTATCATTCAAATAGTCGGGCATTGCAACAAAAGAAAGTCGATTCCTTGCGCTCACATGATGATACTGTAGGGATAATAACTTCAACGGTGTCAGTATCTCTAGTTCAGGGTCCCTGCCGAGCACGGTCACGTGAATGGCTATCGCGTCCCATCGCGACGCGTTTATGGCCATTCCCTATTTGGTAATAAATGGCCTGCGCGTATGTTCGTTCATAGGTTGTCAAAGAAACAAGACAATTCTCATCGAGGAGCTTTCTGCTTCGAATTGTAGCAATGCTTAAAGTTGGAATAGAATCTTAGCTATTTCTAAAGCAATGAATGTTACAACTGGGCCATGTCTAGGGAATCTAGGATCCCGTGTTGCTTGGTTCGAAAATCTGGCCGATTTCTGCCTTGAGCTGACTCAACAAACGTAATCTTCTCCTCATAAACCCGCAAAGGAATAATTTCTTGCTTCAGAGCAGGATTAAGGTGTTTTTAGCCGATACCCCTGGCACAGACAACGGAGAATGTAGCAGCGATTTCGCTATGAGGGTATGCACTGCAGTTAATAGAAACATTGTAAGTCTTGAAGAGCGAAGCATTCAAAGTAAGAGCGAAATATCCACTCTGCTTTATATATCAAATGCATGAGAATTTCCCAAATCCATATGATTGAAGCTTTAGACTGGTTAAGCAAAATTTCGACGAATGATAAGTCATGACGTAATAAGTGATTGCATGGATGAATGAAGAAAAATATTTTGCAGAAAAAAAACAAAAAAAAAGCACGGAAAAGATTAAAAATTCAAAATGAAAAGTAAAATCAAGAAAATAAATTCAGATGAAGCAAAATTGAATAGAATCAGATTGGAGCAAATGGACCTAAGAAATAAAGAGCACAAAGCCCAGCAACAAAATATCAACAATTGAATGACACCGATGCTGACCATACCAGCTCCATGGTATTCGGTGGGCGATCAAAAGGGTCCGGCGTGGGGCCTGGGGGGCGTGCGAGGGTCAGGTGGGTGGGGGGCTCAGGGTCGCGCCGGTTGAATGGGGAAAAGCGAGGCAAGCCGATCTTTGCCCTCTTCCTCTGTGCAGTTGTACTGCCAAGGGTCGACATGTTTACACAACTGCCATCAACAAATCGGACAACAGATGTTCGTGAGCATGCATTTTCAAGAAAAGTTTCTCAAACTGGTTGATGGCACAGTAAATGATGTACCCTAGAACATAGACTACCCTGTATGTAATGGTGATCAGGTACGACTGCTTGGCATTTCTCCAGCCAAGTCAACCTTGCCACCCGCCGCTTGTTGTCCCAATCGAATTCCAGTGACTTGGGTTGATTGCGTGTGACCCTGTTGCATCAACTCAACCCACCACCATGGATCGCGTCATCTGAAATATCAACTTGAATTATCTGCTCCAATTCTATGGAAATTTGAAAACGCAGGCCTTCCTGGAAAATATCCAGATACTTTCCTGACCAAGGTGGTGATGGCCGACGAGGAGGAGGATGAGCGGTACACTCCCTCAGTGTATGAAGCGCAGACTCACCTCCAACACACGTCTGGCAACACCTTATTGCCTGGTCCTATTGCCTCACTCGTCTCGTTGGCGGCAAGATCGTCATCTCTTTATCTCCGCCTAGGTATTTTTGTCGGCGGTTTGGCTCTTGATGGCGCCCGCGCGACAACTTTGACCGGCCTTGAGCTCAGTAGAGCTGTGATAGAAGCGGTTTTGTCTAGAGCTGCTCACGATATTTCTGATCGTAATCATGGCCCGGATGGTCAAGCACAGGTCGAAAATTTATTGGAGCGCAGTGTACGTCTTCCAAGGAATCTATCGAAAGAACAATGTTCTTGAAAATGAATAATGCTAATAATGTGACAGCTTGCAGCGCTCCATTCAACAATCAACAAGGCATCATTTGTGGCGTCTGCGGGATTTCATTTCTCTTTAGCGGCACTGTCGTCTGCCTCGGAGCTTTCCCGTCATCTCCTCAACACCCTGGATGCGATTTTCGGTGATACCGAAACTTCCAGGGCTATTGCTACGATCATTACTCTCATTCGTAGGGAATTTCAGGGCCCCGAATCAAGCCTTGAAAGCGAGCGCGTGGGAACTCTCGATCTCATCGTCGGCTTGACCGCCTTTGCATTGCTCCAAAGATGGGGAAGGAAAAAGACGGGGAGGGAGCTCCTCGAAAAAGGCGCAGTCGAAGTAGTTTGGGACGTTGTTGTCTTGGATCGGAAATCCAATAATAGCGGTGACCGATTTGCGCAAAATGAGTTTGGGCAGATGCATGAGAACCCTAAAAGCCTTGGAAATAGTGCCGCCTTGGAAGACGCTCCTGCCAGAACTTCGTTTGTCTCGAGCATTGAGGACCCTTTTACCATTGAACGTGTTGAAAGGGCTCGACCGTCGTCCCGCAGTACATTCAATTCGACACATTTTCTCCAGCATCGAGAGGAAGATATGGCTGAAGAGCATCTCAAACAGCAAATCATGAGCCAACTTCCGCCGCAAGCTACGGTCTCTATCCGGACAGAAACCGTCACGACGAAGACCATGGTCGTGGATATCACTGGTGCTCACATACCGGAGATTGTGCCACCTTCTGGTATCATGATTGTGGATGAGGAGACAACTCCGCGTTCAATAACCGGAGTAGACACTGTGGGTCGACGAAGTTCCAATTTCCTCACACCTCATCATAGAATTGTCTACCAGACTGTCCACAATCGCCAGCGAAGCTCGTTTATTGAAGAAGCGGATAACATAGATGAGCCAGTTCTCGATGTCTCTTCAGAGGATACTATCGCAACCCTGAGCGGTGGAGACTCTCACAACTCAACAAAAGTCTCTTCCTTGTCTGAAAGTCTTCCGACTTCGCCCCAACCAGCAGAGATTCCAAGCCCCTCACCAGAGGACTCGTTCCGTCTGTATGAGAGCCCGACAACTAGCTTAACCCCAGATAACTTGGAGGCTGCGGTGGGGACGCCTTCGAGGCCATCTATTACATTGACCCGGCCCACAACCGAGGGCTTAATGCATAGCGCCAACCAAAAACGACAGAGAAAGCCGCTTCATTCTGCTACCACGAATACCGGCAAAGAATCCGCCAAACGAGATCAAGGTCATCCGGCATCCCAGACTCACTTGGCAAAGCATAACGATCTCGAGCGTCAAGAGAAAGACGACAAGAAGACTTCAATTCGTCGCGCCTTGAAAAAGCGAGCCTCAAATTCTGGTTTGGCAAACCTATGGAGCAAAGAGTCTGCTCTCCCACGGCCCACAACTTCCAGCAAGGGGAAGGAATCTCGAGCTCCCTGGAGCTCGAGTAGGTTCAGCGGATCAGAGAAAGCCAAAGCGCCTTCTTTTATTCCCATGCCACGACGAACTCCCGGGATTATCAAAACAGATGGTCGGACTGATGCCTCTAAGAATAAACTGTCTGGAGAACGATATGCGGAAAAAGCTAGCCCCTCGCCCGCATATCAGCGCCCTCCTTCTGCAACCGGCTTTTACGCCGTTCACGAGCGCCGACGCGATTCTATTGTGTCACAAACAGACACCTATTCTATACATTCAGCGGACCAAAGTCGTCCTGAATCTCCTCTGGACTTTCAATCTCGCCCGAGCATGTCGAATAACTTGGTGCGAGCTAGGTCCGAGAGGAGCATGTCAGTCTTATCGCAGCTTGAGGATGCCAAGTCACCCAGTCCAAAGAAAAGACACCATACCAGGTCAAAATCTGCGGCGCCTAGTATTTACAGCATTGCAAGCAACTCAGAGTCATCTTTGATACCCACATTTTACGGAGACCAGACCACCAACAGATACCTGCCGCGATCATATCTATCTAGCCAAATGCCACACTTTGATTTTGTTCGGGATCTTATTCGCTTTTGCCGTTTTTCTTCTGCATCATATGGGTCGAACTTTTTACGGTTCATGGGCATCGCCCCGGCAAACGCCATGTCACCGCCGCAGTCACAGCTGATACATCACCGTGAGCATCACTCATTCTCGTCGCATACAGGCCTTCCTGCATCGGCTATTTTACTCTCTTCATTTGTCGACCCGCAAGGAGGTTCCAACGCCGCTGGCGAGACAGGCACTGGAGTGCCACTGGTCCATTACGTTTCGCTTGATCATGAGTCCAAGGCTGTGATTCTCACCTGTCGCGGTACTCTTGGCTTCGAAGACGTCTTGACCGATATGACTTGCGATTATGATGATCTGATATGGCGAGGCAAGCCGTACAAAGTACACAAGGGCATGCACGCATCTGCCCGGAGACTCCTTGAACTTGGTGGCGGCAGAGTCATGGCCACTATCGCCATTGCCTTGGAGGAGTTTTCGGACTACGGTCTTGTTCTTTGCGGCCATTCTCTAGGCGGAGGTGTTGCTTCTCTCCTCGCCATTCTTCTGTCGGAACCAAACCCCCTCCCAGCACCCGAATCATCCTTTGTGATAGCATCACGTCACGCAAAAACGCAGAGACTTCTTGCTCAAAACGCGTCACCTGCTACACCAGGCCCTTCATCGATAACACTACCACCGGGCCGGCCGATCCACGTATATTCTTATGGACCTCCAGCCACGCTGTCAAGCTCGCTGCGACGGGCTACGCGGGGTCTAATCACAACCATTGTCAACGGACAGGATTTCGTTCCACATCTGTCGCTCGGAAATCTACCCGACCTACAAGCCGTCGCTCTCGCATTCAAAACCGATTCGTCAAACGCCAAAGCCGAAATCCGCGCCCGGGTCTGGGAATCTCTGACTAGCGGTCTTGCCGGCAAGCTGTACAGTCGGCCATCTGGTCTTCCATCCGAAGATGAAGACCAGTGGGCTTGGTCTGCGCTGAAGAGTCTCCGCGCATGCATGCTCGCGCCCAAACTGGTTCCTCCAGGCGACGTTTTCATCGTGGATACTCAACGCGTTCTTCAACGTAATGCGTTTATGCGACCTGACCCGCCCCAGCCAGCTGCAAATACCGGCTCTGTAGGCCCGGACACCAGCGAATTGGTTGCGCACGACTCACGAACAAGAACACAGTCTCAGCAGCAAGCTTTGAACCAACCCACGACCCCCAACGGTGGAAACTTTAGTAGTGATAACACAGGCGGCCAGTATTCGAGCCTCGGCCGACCTGCCACACGCGTCACGCTGCGCTACGTGCGCGATGTCGAGGCAATGTTTGGAGAGATTCGCTTCGGCGGCGCCATGTTTGCTGACCACAGCCCTGGGCGATACGAAGAGAGTCTGGCTTCGTTGAAAAGGGGAATTCTCGAAGACGATTCATGAACCACGTGAATTTGCCTGGTCATCAATCACCTTCCTCCTCCCCATCTTCGTCATAATTTCCACCCCCCTTTGCTTTCCCCTCGCCCAACAAAGACCTCCATTCACGGCCTGTTGTGCGGGCCCTTTCTCTCTAAAATCCTCCACCCAACTCATCACGTACTCTCCATCGATTCCAAACTCCTAAATTACTTCTTTTTCCCAACTTTTCCTTCCAAATTCCCCAAGCGTATCGCAGCATACGTCTCTCTGAATATTATTCATTCTTCATTTTCTCATCCCACTCATCTCCATTGGACAGGCACACATTACGCCATGATTATTCAAGATTATTCAAGATTATCATCATAAGTCGCCTGCGGAACGTATGTTGATATACATACCTCCTTTCCTCACTTCTCACTTCCTTCCTCCTCATTCCGGCGTATATCAGGGTATACATTGATTCAAGCACATTGACGCACGGTGTCCCTGTGCTTATGGGAAATTGGGGTTTCGCTACATTTTAAGGCTTTGCTTTTTCCCCCCTGCAATTAGATTGACAGCATGAATGGGCATGGATGGACTAGCAATCACACATGAATTATGTACTATATTATATTATACCTGGCTATCGCTCGAATTTGAAGAATCTAAATATCAATCAAGTTATATTTCAATTTGACTTTTTGATTTAATTTTCAAGTTAACAACAAGTTGAACGGGTGATTCCTGGGCGCTGGCCGCTGGGCGCTTCTAGTCCGGTGATCGGATGGTTCCTATTGAGAGGCATAGTAGTCATAGCACAGCAATTCATTTCATAGCATGGTGATGTTGAAAGAATTGAGATTCCGGGGCAATCTTGACTCCTTATATAATTGAGCTGCATGCAAGGGCTTCATTACTTACACAAGGATCAATTAATTTATGCAAGGCTTTCTCTTTGTTTGACACTATGTTTGACACAAATGTTTTCAGGGGGAAGTGGTATTGCTATCAGCTTCTGTAGCTCCCGGCAACGATACACACATTGGGCACAAATAAAACAAAGATAACCAATAGCCACCCCATAATACTGCCATTTTTTGTGTCCGTCGGGCTGATCAAGAACAAAATTACTGCCAAGACACATGGCAAGCAGACCAAATGCCCAACGAGCCACGAAGTAAAAAAAAGGCCAGTGGCAGAGGCGATACTAGCATCGAGTCACAATGGGTTCTTCCAAGAGACTGACCGATAGAAAAATGCAATAAAAGGAAAGATGATAAAATAAAACTATTTTCTTACCTCGTTATACAATCGTATATGACGTTGAACGTTTCCACGGAACGCCGTCATCACATTTGTATGAGAAGGAAACATCTTATCAAATGACGTAAGATCGCCATCTGCCAGAGCGAGAGCTCCCAAATAAGATTGGTTTGCGAGTTTTCGTGCGAGATCCTCCTTGACGCCTTGTTTACATATCAAATACGTGAACACGAAATCTCCCATATGGTCAGGATGTGCATCTTCCTCTGGGGGAATGAGGGCAGCAAGGTATATCCTGGGGTCGTCGAGATCAGGTACAAGATCTTGTGATCGTCGAGGCTATATTAAACACACAGTCAGCATCAGTATTCATGGTTCATCCAAATTTAGGCTTACCATGTTTTTGTAAGGCTCGTTCAGATATTCTTCGACATGGATCTTTTCAGATGCTGTGAGAAATACAGCGTCAGGACGGGTCAATACCAATACCAGAGAAGACAGATATGCCATAAAAGAAAGCGACAAAGTGATATCAACACCAAGGACAAACAAGTTGAGAGGCCAATCTTGATTATATTGGTAGCTACTCACAAGAGGATATGGATTCATCGTCGTCAAAAGATTTTAAAAGAGGAGAGGAGGACATGATGTGGTTTGATAAACGTCAGGGGAATAGATGCGAAGCTAAAAAAAATATAAAGAGCTCTTTCCCTGGTTTTCTTCTCTTCCTTCTGTTCCAAGGTAAAAGGAATTGCCCCTTCCCAAGTTGGAAGTATAGAAAAGGAATATCGAGAATAAGAAAGTAGTACTGTCCAAGTGGCCAAGCCTAGACCCATCCAATGGTAGAGATTGAGGTGTATAGGGAAACATGCTCTTTCCAAGAAAGTTCGTTCCTTCCTTTTTTAAACCTGAGAGGAGAGAAAAAGGACAGCTGATAATTCGTGACCTTCTGGCCAGGACACAATGTTACTATTCCAATTCCGTCCCGAGTGAGCACGGCCGAGGCAGCAACCACCAGAAGCGAAAGCAGACCGTCTGGCGAACACTTCTCTCACTAATCGAGATGGATCCAAGCCTCTCTGGCAAAGCCTTCTTACAGCTTAATTTGTGAGTATTGAATGATTATAAACTATTAATTTAAATTAAAAGAAGGTTTAACGGAAACCCTTCATCCATATGCGTGCTCTTCTTCGCCGAGAGTAGGATTCGCATATCGGCCACCGTAGACGCCGCCGTCGAGAATGACTTCCTCGTTGTCATCCTTGTCGTCTTGGACGCGGCGCCAGATGCTCTTTCTAGGGTGATTCTCTTGGTCCTCATTCGCTTCAGAAGACCCGTTCGCTGCGTCAGAGCCAGCGCCACTCGGCTCTGTGAGCTTGCCCTTTTCCTTGGCAGGCTTGTAGACGGGGCGAATCACGCTGCCGAGAAGAGGGTTACGGCCAAAAGCACCGCCGGACGGTCTTTGAGCGGAGGAGGAGGAGCTATCATTCGCAGTAATAAAGGTGTAGTCGTCGTCTTCTTCATCTTCTTGCTCACTATCGGACAGATCCGACAGAGGGTCTTCAGGCCGTTCAATCTCGCCCATACGCTTGACGATCTTGCCGCCAACCAAGTCAACGGATACGACGACCCGGCGCTTCTCGTACTCGGGTTTGGCGTTCCATTGAAGTTCCCGAAGAACGTGTTGCTGCCGCTTCAGCTGAAGGGCGCGTTCCTGAGGGCTGGCCCACATGTTCTGACCCGCGGAGGGGGTTTCGAAATCGGCGGCCTCGTCAATGATGTGGGTACGTCGTGCATTTTGGGCCTGGAACGAGAGGAGCTTGTCACGGTGCTGCTTTGCAGCGGCCAACTTCTTTTCGGCTTCGGTCGAATTGACCCCAGAGAAGGGTCTAGGTGTAGTTGACACGTCCGCGCGTCGATGCAGTGCATTGTTCGCTTCCATTTTCTCGTGGCCTCGCTCTTCGCGCAGGATTCGGACCATGGATTGGATCTCGTCTGGGGAGAGCAGCGGCGCACTGCAAAAGGTGCATGGTCCGATGCCCTCCTTGACGCATATTATCTTTCCACAGTTGAGACAGTTTGGTGCGGCGGCAAGCAGAGGATGACGGTGCGCGTTGCAATTGCAGCGCCGCCGGGCATTATCTTCCCTGGACAATGTTGGGTTTGTTTGGATTTCGAGCGTGCGAATTGCGGAATCGAGATCGTTAATCGTCGTAGACTGCCCCTTCATTGAGGTTCCGCCAGAAATGGCGATCTTGGCCTTGGCATTCGACTTGGCCGGCGAGGATGATCGGGAGGATTTGGTCGAGGAAATTAGCGGGCCTGCCGCTGATGGAGGTAATTTCGGGGACGGGTGTGCCGATGTAGAAGGTGAAGACGTTGCTGGTGTTCTTGATGCTGATGGGACGGGGAGTTGTCGAGCTTCTGGGGTGTCTGAAAGAGCAAATGCATTTGTGGACTGTGAAGGCGATGCATCCTTGCGCCGTGCAGCTCCGCTCATGTAGTCCTCGACGTCCCGTTTGATGTAGGCTCCCGATGGTGAGCTGGCATTGGCGTAGGCTGTTCCTTCGTTTGCCTGTCGAGGAGGAGGAAGCTTGTTTAAAGGCTGCTTTTGCTTCTTTGAACGTCGAGGTGCGCGAGGGACCTCTGATGCAGCTGCTGCATCTTGAGCAGCGGCGGCGGCAGCGGCAGCGGCAGAAGATTGTGATGCTTGAGGAGCTTCTCGTCGTGAATTAAATGAGGTGATAAATTCCAAGGATTGAGGGGAATCGCCAAGGAGGTCCTTGAGGTGTGTTGCAGCGGCGTCCTTGGGCAGTTGGCAGGCGTAATCGAGGATTTGCTTGAGGGAGTCCTCGTCGAGCGGTATGATGTTGGCCAGACGGGGGAGTGCCCAGGCCGTCAAGGACATAGTTGCAATGATGAATATAAATGTATATTTGTGTCTGATTGCAGTTGAATTAATTAGTAAATATAAACGTGGTTCTTCTGTATTACGGTGAATATACCAAAGTTGGGGATGCTTGGGGTGACGTGACTGGGGTCTGTCCCGTGACTGTCGATAACGTGAAGCGACACTGATGACACACAACAGATAATAAGTGACTTGATCGATGCCCTGACTTTGCCCCTTTCGGAGTCTCTTGTTGCCCTCGTCATCTTTCCTCTCCCTCGCTCCTTCGTCTCTCTCCCTCTCTTTTCCCTCCTTTCCCTCTTCTTCCTCTTCTGGCCACTGCTAGGACTTGATATCTCCACCCGTCACTCTTCTGTTCTTCCCACCACCCCTCTGTGCGTGTGATTATCCAGATTTTCATCCAAATTCACACCCCAACAGCCATCACGTATCAGAACAGGAAAAAAAATATATTGGGGGAAAATAATAATACCGACTCACGGCACACCCCAGCTCCCCTACAGCAATTATCATAACATAATCAATCTCGCCATTGAGAGAGAGTGAGAGCGAAAGATAGCACAAAAGAGATCATGAGCGCCGGCATTCTCGATATGCGGCGCATGCCTCCACGCGCCGTGCCTCCACCACCGCCCTCTGCCTCTGCTGCTGCTGCCGCTGCCGCTTTGCCACATGTTCCGCCGCACCAGACTCCTGTTGCTATCCCCGTCGCGGATCATCCAGGAGGACTTTCACTGCCTCATGAAAATGCCGATTGCGATACGACGCGCAAGTGGATCATCGACCTGCTCGTGCACCCGGACAATGGCTACTCGGAAGAAGAGGCCAAGGCGACCGCGGACAAACATCGCGGACGGTTTCGCGTCATGACCATCCTGACCTTGGAAAAGAAACAGTCTTTATTCGGCATTCTCGAAGGCGCGATTATCCACGAAGCAGTAACGCGCAAGGTAGAGGTATGGACGCGCTGCATCATCCAGTCTTCTCTGTTTGTTTAAAAAAATGTTCTTGTTTTTTTATCGACGCGTACCTTTGGTTGCACCACACTGACTTTCAATCTTGACAGGACTTACCATCCGCGCCACAAGAACAATCTTCTCCTCCCAAATTTACTCCTACTCTCCTTCCTCCTCCGCAGCTCCGCTATCCATCCCGCGAAGCTCTACTGCAAGCAGCACGCTCCTTCGCCGCGCGAAACGGCTACGCGATCACCATTGAACGGTCGCATACCCGCTCTGCCGCACGAGGACGTGTGTGGCTAAAATGCGACCGCGGTGGACGCTACCGCAACCAGCACAACATCACCGACGAGACTCGGATACGCAAGGGAGGCAGTCGATTGACAAACTGTCCCTTCAAATGCGTGGGAGCCGAAGACGAGGAGCGAAGCTGGGTGCTCATGGTCGAGAATCCTCACCACAACCATGAACCCTCCATCCGTCCCGAGGACCACCCGGTCAATCGGCGCATGGACGACTCGACGCTGCGTCAGGTCGTTGAGATGACCAATTCGGGCATGACACCCCGCGACATCATTTCGACGTTGCGTCGGACAAACCCCGAGTTAACCATTATCAACCGCGACATCTACAACGCGCGTAAGAAGCTCAAGGCGCACGAGCTCAAGTTCACTACGGATCGAGCGTCTGCGTCCTCGACCTCATCGGTCCCGACCACGACCGATCCGACAATGACTGCTGCCGCCGCCGCCGCTGCCGCTGCTGGTCCTCCGCAACACCACCCGCAGCAGCCACAACACCCTCATCCCGCTCAACAACATCACCATTCCCACCAGCCACAACCGCAACCACCGCCTCAACTCCGCGGTCCTACGGGCCCTGCTCCGCCCGCTCACATGGCACAGGCCCTTCACAGCATGGCCGCCCACCCGGCTGCCCAGTACCCCTCTGTTGCACTGGGTCAAGGGGTTTCATTTTCACCACAGGTTTGACACGCCGGCGCGAGCTACGATGGCGGCGAGTATCCGCTAGATGCGCGTTCTTCTCTGTGGCTCGGCCTTTTTCGTTCACCCTTTCCCTACCACTAACTACCTACCTCACAAACCATCCGTTTTCTTTTCCATATATATCACCAGATACAACTTTTTCCGTCCGCCTTTTCTTCTCCCTGCAAGACTGACCTATCTCCAAAACTACCTTCCTCTCCTCCTATATTCTATACACGGGCGTTACGGTTTTTCCACTGTTTCCTCTTTCTCCTTGCTTTTTCTTTGTCACGTTACACGATCATCACGATCACGACCAGGGTTTCTTTTCTTTTCTTTTTACCTATCCGCTTCTTCTTTTCTTCTCCCGCTTCTTTTGTCCTTTTCTCTTTCCCTTACCTTTCTTTTCCTTCCGCTTCCCCTTACCTTTCTTCTTCTTCTTCTTCTTCCCCTCCTCCTTATTCTTCTTCTGAGCACACCCGTATTCATCGTCGTCAACTACAATCATCATACCCCGCAAGACTTTACCTTCCGTTTGCTTTCTTTTTCTACCTATTACCTATTACCTATTACCTATATATCTCGCGTTTAGCTCCTAGTTCCCAATGCCCAAATGCCGAATGCCCTTTTAATAATTCTCTCGCCTTTCCTTCTTTTTTTTTTGCTCTTCTTTTTAGTTTTTTTCCTCCCCTATTTTTTTTTACTCTGAGTTGGGAAATATTTTACCTCCAGACGGCGAGCTTCTCTTTCGAAAATTTTTGCTTTTGGAATCCGGGCTAAGGGTTTTTAGTTTTAGCGTAAAGGGGTCAAAGGGAAACACCAGCACCCAACAAATTGACAAAATGACAAAATAATGAAAATGAATCACATATTGATTCTCCTCTCGTCCGGCTTTCACCTTGACTGAGAATATGATATATCTGTTGTTGCGTGATGATAACAAGGAATATGTGGAAGACGTGGAATATTTTGACATTTTGAAGCAGGCTGGTCAAGTATGAAGGATGGAGGATGGAGGGTGAAGCGTGCAGCACGAGGCATGAGGCATAAGGTATGATAGAGCCTAAAGAAAATGTGGTAAGAATAGTAGTATTCTCTATAAGACGCAAAAGGCGCACGTAAATAAGGAGTGGTATCATCAGGCATGTAACATGTCCAAACAGCAAAAGATAAATACAAGAGCTCAAGTTGATGTCCCATGTCCAAACACCAGAACGCAATGAATCCGGGAGCCAAAACAACACATCTTCCCTTCCCAACCAATAGGACGAGGACTTCTTCCACCCCTCCCCCCTCCTTCCTCTCCACCATATATATTTTACCCACCCCCACCCCCTCAAACAGCATAATTCTCGGCATGCAGATAAATCTCGTCACGATCTGCACTCTTCCAGACGACATCCTGCTGCAGGCGTGCCACCGTGCTGGCCACATCTATTCGCATGCTGGGGGGCCCGCAGACAAAGACACAGGTCCGTCGGCCAAAATCTCTGGCAGATTCGCGCAAAAGGTAGGAGATATCTGGACGACCGTATTCCGTTGTCCAGCCGTCTTTGCGTCTACTGCCGGCCGCGGTAGCTGCCGGAAGAAAGGCGAAGCGCATTAGGTTCTTCTCCAGCATGGTTGGAGTAGTAGGGAATCCGAAATCGAGGCTTCGAGAATTTCTTGCAGGAGGTGGCGGTGGTGGGGGCGTGATTTGGAGATTGTGGGTGTTGAGATTGCGGCCGGGCCGATGGTGTGTTGGGGCTGGGATTTGGAGGTTGTAGGAGGGGTGAGGTGGAGGGTCCGAAGGTTGCAGGTAGGACAGAGATGGTTGGCCAACTGGTAGTGGGGATGGAACCTTGCGAAGCGGTTCAGGTGAGGAGGCCGAAATATTACAGTTATCGTTGTTGATACCATGATGGGATGCCTTTTCTTGCATCAAGTCGTATGTAGGTTCGTCTCTAATTAGGGCAGAATTCCTTTTATTGGCGACCCCCTCAAGCGCCTCGCCAATCCTGTCGTAAAATACTCCACTGAGTCTCTGCGAAGAGCGCGCGCTGGGTTCGGGCCCTTGCCGCTTGGCTGCGGTGATGAAGAACTGACACCGGACCGAGCCAGGAGGAGCGTGTTCTCTGCATATTTTCAGCTCGTGTTGGAACCACTGCAAAACGTCTGGTCGCTTCATTGCCCAGATTATTTCCACAGTCTTGGTGACTGCCTTTCCATCCCGCATGAGCTTGATAAGGTGAAGAAGATGGCTGATGATGGTCGTTATACCACTGCCCCCGGCAATGAGCACAACGTGGTTGAATGATGCAAGTTGTCGTTGCATGCCGCCATATGGCCCGTCTAGAAACGCTCTGTAAGTCTTGTACGGGCCCTTTGCGAGCGCAGCATCAAGGACCTTTCTAGTGAACCCGCCAAAAGGACGAAACACCAGTACCATGTCCCGAAATTGAGGACCATACTCTGAGGGAAAATCATCGCTGCAAAGAGACGCAATAGTAAAAGGGTGGTTTTCGAATATAGAAATCCCTGGCATGCGTAGGTAGACGTACTGACCCGGCTTCCAGCGCATTTCTGTTGGAATGATGACCTTGAGGGCGTTTTCTGGAAGAATCGTGACAACGCATTCCTCTCCAATCAGCCACGATAACCTCCGCGGCTTAGTCCAGTTGAGATAGAGTACGACGCGGAGTGCATATGATAAGAGCCAGATGGCAAGCGTGGCAAATAAATAGCGCCACGAGGTAAGATAGTTTGCGCAGTGCCAAAAAAGCATTCCCAGAAAAAGGATGGCGACCGGCACATGCAGTATGACAAACAATTCATACAGCCTTGACCGGAAGAATGGATGTGAGAAGATGCAAAGAAATAAAAGAGGTGCGAGAGCGGCCCAGCCTTGATTGCTCGTCAGTTGGGCGGTTGCGGACAAATTGCTCTGGTATCTAACAGATACTTACCACTTCCATAGATGACGGTACCCTTGAAGAAGGAGCCCCACACTGCCATTCCTCCTTGATCCCAAACAGGCTGTATGTAGAACGGAATTGTGTGAACCAGACTAAGGAAAAGACACAGGTATCCGCCCCAGCGGTGCAAAACATTAAGCCTTTCATGCCCAATGCCGGTAATGAAGGAGATAAGATTGGCCTTCATACTCAATCCAATGATCCATGGAACCATGGCTATGGCGATCATTCCTGCACGAATCGCCAATGGGGGAGAACCAAACGCAATGCTTGCATAGTAAAGAGGTCGCGGGAGAAAACAGTAAAGGGGCACAAAAATTAAAGCAGCAGCAACAAGCGCAGTCACCGCCAGTGAAGGAAGTGCAATATGATGATTCCATACCCGAAAAACGGGCAAAGGCCGATAGAATATCCATCTTGAGAAAGATATAGTCCTGTTGAGAGCCCCGATTGAAGACACGGATGATTGCGTCTTGTGACGGCCAGAGATTTCACTAGAGGACAAATAATACTTTGCCTCAGTGTGCAGATTTGACAACCCATGCTCGTACTCCGATGCGCTCGAGGCTTTCTCGGTGGAAAGCGCCTTTCGTATGATATCCGTCCACATATGGTAGATTCTGACGGCCACAGTAGCGACTAGAAGAATGATGCAAAAGTATACCCATCCTAGAGAATATCTCCCAGCACTCCTCCAGGGGTCTTGCTGACTTGCTGCGATTAGACCAGGAGGACTTGATGAGGTCACTGGAATGTTGATTCTTCTAAAGATAGAGGCAGCTGAACGAGCCAGCTGATTTGTGGAGGTCGCTGGACCCATCTTTGTCAAATGTATTGTAAAGATTGATTTTATCGCGGTGAGTGTAATATCGACAATTCTCTACTGTTGTTAGAGTGTAGAGAAGAAGCAGAGACAGTGTTATTGATAAAGTACCCAGGAAACGACCGGGTTTTCAAAATCAATGAATTGCACCCAATTTCAAGGTATTCTGAGAAAAGCTTAATGTGTAAAAGAATATGATGAAATATGGCTAAGGTGATCGTCCAATCATGAAAAACAGAAAAGTTGCTAAGTGGTCGCAATGGAAGGACATCACCTCCTTCGATGCCACCAGAGACTCAAAATTTGCTGAACGAACGTAATAGTTGAAAGGAAATCAAGAAGAGAATGAACAACAAACCTTAAGATGGAGCGATATATGTCGAGTATATTGGGTTCAAGGGATGGTCGCCGGGACGCCCGCAAGTAAGTGGCCGGCACGGCGTGGTCTTTTGGTGCAGCGGTATTGACGGAACAATGCAGGCCATGCATGGCCGCATGCAGTACTCCACGGGAGCTAGTGCGCCATGATAATTCTTTGGCTGTATGAAGCAGGCCTGAAGTTATTGACCCATTTTCTCATGGCAGTGTCCAGTAAGATTGCGCGAACCGACATCATCAAGGAACGCCCACAAACTTCCACATCACCCACCAGAACTTAAACAGATGTGATGAATCCACACACCGATAAGCTTTGCAAGGCGACTGGGAAGATATACATCAAGCCGAACAAGTTTGTTGATTTCACTAATCAAATGAGGCTCGCAGCTTTTCCAGGAGGAACGCATGTCTGGGTAGCCGGTCGAGACGAATATCTGCCTGACCCCGAGTGCTATGTCCAATTGATTTGCTGATTAAAGCAAGTTGCTCTAGACCATTAGCCTTCTGCAATACCTGCATAGCGATGTAACGACCGATATAATCCTGACAGTATGGTGCTAGCTGCTTGTTGCTGAGCTCCAGTGTGCCCCTTAGGCGCATGAAGATGGTATGCGGTTGATGGCGTACTCTGTAGGCATTGAAGTGGCTCGGCGAATATCCTGCCGGACAATCCAGGTGTAGCATGTCCAAAGACCCTCCAGTTCGGCCTAGGAATGGCGACCTGCTGTGCAAGAACACGTAGTGCTGTCCCATACTGCTGGAAATTGTGCCGCACTGGCTTATGACAATCTCAGCATCAATACCGGGTGAAAAGAAGTCGGGAGTCCGCCAGATCGGCACAATTGATGACCAGCAGAAATGAATGATGCCAAAGACAGGGGTTTAGTTGGTGCATCTCCATAGTTTTTGTTTTCATATAGGAAGGTGCTTCCACAAGGTATGTTTGCCAGAACCTAGTTAGCTAGCTGCGATGCCCAATCATGAACCAGAAATACGCGCCCATGGACCACAAAGAGGATCTGTAGTGCAAGGCATTTCACAGACTAGCCATATCTGAATGTTGTATGCGCAGCGAAGGAACTCTGTGATATCGTTGTGATGACTCTGCATTATTATCACATCTATCCCTGTTGCATTCAATGAGCAATGGTTCAATCGCTCTCGGGTGGCTGCGCCTGCAAAGGTGTGGCACCTGACGGCCGCTAGATAAAAGGACATGTCAACCAAGCAACACTTCTCATTGATCATCAGTGGCAGCCTAAGAATCCCTTCCGATGCAGAGTGATCTAATCTTCCCTCCTTCATTACATGTATATTCTCAATACGACTTTGACATTGGACTAACTTATCCCGTGTATTGATTAATTGATTGACTTATTCCTAGGTGGCTAACCCTTTGCTGGGTAAGTGGCCGTATAGCTACCTAAGTTATGGGTATGATGTAGCTAGATTATATAACCATGAAATAGGGACGTAGCCGAAGGCCGGGGAAAGTCTCAAGCCTTCATACACGGATCCAATGGCGACCAATCTCCGAGCTCGAAATCTATCAATCGCTCAAAGCCCCCAAAGGCTCAAAAGCGCCATGTAGGGACGGTTTTTCTACGTTGGTTTGGAAACGCCTCTGGAAATACCTCGGAGCCATCATCACCCGGATCCTCACGTCGTCCGTTGATCTAGGATACCATCACCAAGAATGGAGAAAGGCTCGAATTAGAATTTTATGGCGGAGCAGGCGCCTTCATTGACGACTACTTCCGCGGGCGAGTCGACCGCAGTGCTGAGTAGAACTGGGCGAGAACATATCTCCAGAATCGAAGACTGGGCCCGGAAGACTTGGTCCTGCTTTGCCACGGAGAAAACGGAACTCATTCACATTACCTGCAAGAGTGAGGAACAGAGTCAAGGCTAGATCGTCCTGGACAGTAATACCATCCAACCTTCCACGACCACCAAACTCTAGAGAGTGATTTTCAGTCATGAGCTACCGCGGAAGGAACATGTATAACATTGAGGAACATCTCCGGTGAGGCACATAATAAGAAGACTGCCGCAAGCTCTGTCATATATGCATTCGACAGAATGACTTCGAAAATGTCACATCATCTACCCCAGCGCCCTCAAACGCCCGCCGAAATTCTCTCTTGAGCAGCTCCTCCGGACCTTCATCGTCTCCGCAAACTGTCCCTCTTATGTCGGTAATAACCAGACACATGGCGAATAAGAGTCCCCTCTCTATCGTCAATCTCGAGTATGACGTCTTTTTGCTTAGATGAATCGCCTTGACTCGCCCAACTGTGAGAGACAGGCCCGAGATATCCACGCACGGATCGCCAGTCATAGCATCGGACCAGTCTATGATGCCATTGACGGTGCCTTGAACTTCATCGATCAAGACATGTTCGGTACTAATGTCACCATGAAGAAGCACTGGGCGATATTCCTCCTCCTCCTGCAAAGTCGACAGCTGGGAGAGTTGGAATCTCAAGAAACTCTCTACGAGTGTCTCTGCATCTTCCACGTATTTGCAGTGCATGAGCTCGCCCCAGGCTTCGATTGCTTCGGGCACGAGTTCCTCTAGATTTTGCCTCTCCTCCCTCTCCTCCCCGCATTTGGTGGCCATCCGAGCCTCTTCAATGGGAACGGACGCAAGGTCTTGTAGAAGAGTAACAAGGTCGTCTCCTGTCGCCTCTGTTGGCGAGGTTTCCTCGAGAGAAGTACCATGTACCCTGACCTCGACGTTACAAATCCAGTCTCCGATTGTCACCCTCCCCAAGACCTCGGGGACCAAATTGGGCTTGCTCAGATGTTGGCGAAGCAGTTTACTCACTGCGGAGTCTTTTTCCAACGATGGTTCCGATTCTTCATCTGGCTGAGGCAAGCCGCGAAGAATCAAATTGCGTCCCACAAACCATACGTCGTGGTGACAGCCTTCACTGGACTGGTAACACGGGGAAACGTCGCCAAATGATGGGAAACGGCCTTGAAGAGCCTCTTCTATTGCTGCCGCAGTTAATTTTTCTTGTTTCTGGTTGTCTTTGGACATTTTTCTTTCCAGAGATGGAAGGGTGGCTGTGGCAGTTTTGACGTAGGAAAAAGGTTCTTGTTGGTCATTGGGCTGGTAGCTGTGCAGGATCAAGGAATGCAAGAATTATAATCTTTATATAACCCTTATAATTGATCTCTCATCTGTCCTATATAACTTGCCAATGGCATAAAATATGCTAATATGGCCATGTTACTATATGCTCAAAGTAGTACTTCGTATATACCTAGCCATTTACATTCAGATGTGACTCATTGTAGCTTCGTGTTGACTCATTTTATGTAATTAAATCTCTGCTATTAGTACTAGGCCACAAATGAGTTCCAATCAGGGATCACAAGGTGAATACGAAGAACAGGGTATCAACCAACTCCACCATTGGACCCGCGCCATTAGGAATCGAACCCAATATCAGTTATATCCACCAGGTCTCAGAACAATAGCCCAGAAATGGATAAGATTGATATCTTATCGATAAACAACCGTGATGACTAAGCGAATATTTCGATGTTGAAATCCAAAGATGCAGGTTGTAACCAGCTCTAGGTCGTTAAAAAATTAAGCTCACACGACATGAGGATATAGAGATCCCATCAGTATTTCCAGTAAATCAGCAGGAGACAATGGCGTCAGCATCTAATCCCCCGGTTCTTTCGTTTCCTAGGCAAACGTTTGCAAAACTCTCACCGGCTCCCTTCCTTCATGCCCATTTGAAGCCTACGACGAAAGGCGCACCAATCTCGCGACCCAATGGCCGAGCGCCCAATAGCTTCAGAACAGCTACCGCGCATACTTCTTCCCTTTCGCATGCTTCTGGTAGCGCGGTGGTGCGGACTGGAGACACAGCTTGCGTCTGTGGAGTAAGAGGAGAGATTCTGCTCGCTCGGGATGTGCCTGGCCAGCGTTTCGAAGGCGGCAATGGGCTTCGGGGTCCAACAACCGGGGCCGACGAGATTGCAGAATTGGGATTGGTGGTCCCAAATATCGAGCTTTCCACAGGATGTTCTCCTGCGCACATTCCGGGCCAGCCCCCCTCAACCTTGGCTCAGAGCCTGTCTCAGCGGATATTAAAGCTCCTGCAGTCCTCCAAACTCATTGATCCGGCTGACCTACGCATATGGCATGACCCTCGCGCGATTCTGCAAGCCATGGATACTGAAGATGGCGACGAGGATGCTCAACCTGAAGTGAAGGCTTTTTGGGTCCTCTATATTGATATCCTGTTTATTTCGCTGGATGGGAATCCTTTCGACGTTGCTTGGGCTGCCGTTCTGGCTTCTCTTTCGGATACTCACCTACCGCGCGCTCATTGGGATATAGATAACGAGATGGTTGTATGCTCGCCTTCAAAAGATTTTGCTCATAAGTTACGGCTCGATGGCTTTCCTTTGCCTGCATCCTTTGCGGTATTCAGCACAGGAAGAGGGGCAAGCAAGGAGGCATGGGTACTTGCAGACCCCGATGATTTCGAAGAGGGCCTTTGCACCGAAGAAATCAGCCTTGTTGTGGACTGTTCAGGCAAGGAGACACGCATCCTAAGGATAGAGAAGAGCGGCGGTGGTGCTGTCGGGATCGAAGAAATACGTGCATTGGTCGCACTGGCTGAGGGTAGATGGCAGGAGTGGAAGGACATTATACACAAAGCGTCGTCTTCTCTATGATACGCTTATGATCATTTCATACCCCCACTTCAGCATTTTTATGTTTATATTGGCGTTTGAAACCGGATTTTCATATTGCTATTTCCAAAATTCGTACCACTACTTGGACTAGGATGGACGGTGGACTACTTACACCTAAAGCCACAGTTGAATGAATTGGCTCTTTGCATCAAAAATTGAAAGCAGCTAGATATTTGAAATCTTGGGCTATGGAGCTTGAAAATCATATTTTACAAGGTGAAGTTTCTCCACAGATCTGTACCATCACCAACGAACCACCCTTTCAGATAAAATCCAGAGCAGCAGATACCGGATGGCCTAAGTCAGAGTCAGTCTCCCACGATCCGTAAGAATCAATGAAGATTCGACTGGCATCACAAGATCACCATAGTAATACAATGACCTGCTAGCAACGTGGTTGAAGATTGAAGAAAGCGAGTTGGGACGGTTTAAAAACTCCACCCGAACATTTTTCTTGCTGACTAATGTTGGAGCTGTACTAGCAAATTACCAAAAACGACTAGCGTTTTCCTGACTGCTCTTAATCTCGCTCCACAGCAAATTCCTTTCCCATCAACCATGTTTTTTAACCCCCCCTCTTCCAGTCCATCATGGATTCTCTTTCGGGGACATTTTGGGATGTCGTGATTGCAGGCACAGGACTACAACAGTCCTTGTTAGCACTGTAGGCTCACCATCCGTTTTGAGATCCTTTCAAGGTTCGCAATTTCTGACTGACGAAGACCTTGAAAAAGGTCATTGTCCCGCTCAGGGAAGAAGGTGCTCCACGCGGATAAGAATAGATATTATGGCGGGTTTGAAGCAGCCTTCACTCTCCAAGAGGCAGAAGAGTGGTTGAATAAGGGCGACGAAGGTACGACGCACCTCAGACAACCCCAGTCTCTATTTCCAGACTGACCTGTTCCTTTAGACAGTCCTCTTCGACCTTTCAGAAAAGCTTCAAGTGTACCTCAGGCTTCACTTGATGGCTCTAACAAGGCCCCAAAGCTGTCAGCTAGGGCCTACAGCTTGGCATTGTCACCTCAGCTGCTCTATGCGCGCAGCTCCCTGCTGCAAGCCCTGATCTCATCCAAGGTTTACCGGCAGCTAGAGTTTCTCGCAGTCGGAAGCTGGTGGATCTATGTTCCCCGTGACCGATCGGAGACAGGGGAAGCATTAACCTCCAGCCACGGAGAGTTGAAGAAAGTACCAAATGGACGAGAAGACATCTTTTCAGATGACTTGATTGACCTTCGATCAAAAAGGTCTTTGATGAAGTTCCTCAAGTTCGTAGCGGACTATGAGAATATGTCCGAGGTCTGGTCAGATTACGCATCAATTCCATTTTCAGAGTTTTTGCGCTCTCGATTCGGTATATCTATGTCTCTTCAGGCGCCGCTTCTTGCGCTCACCCTCTCTCCGGTGTCTCCTTCGGAAACGCCTACAAGTTTTGCCCTGCCACGAATAGCAAGACATCTCCGATCCATGGGTGTCTTCGGCCCTGGATTTGGTGCTGTACTTCCCAAATGGGGTGGCGGAGCTGAGATTGCCCAGGTCGCATGTCGTGCTTGCGCCGTTGGCGGCGGCGTATACGTGCTGGATGAGGGAATTTCAGACGTGTCAAATGCCCCTGCTGATCAAGGCGAAATGCCAGGTCAAGTGGGTTCATCGGCACATCACCCAGTAGCTGTTACGCTCTCAAGCGGGGAGACAGTGAATACCCTATGGCTAGTTGGCTCGCCCGATGATATCCCGAAGAAATCTGGGACGACTAGATCTGGAAATGAGCCCGAGTCACCCACCAGGGAGGAAGTCACCTCGAAGTCTATATCGATTGTGTCCTCACCTTTGACGGGATTGTTTCCTCAGACTGCTGAGGCAGGACCGGTTCCTGCTGGTGCAGTGGTAGTGTTTCCTCCGGAGACTCTACTAACCGAGGAGAAAGTTGCTGAGAATCAACCGCCTGTATATATCATGGTTCATTCCAGTGATTCAGGCGAGTGCCCATCAGGACAATGTAAGTCTCTTAGCAGTTTTTCTTTTCAGCATAACCCATGCTTGCATGATGACCCAACTTTATGAATACTTATCTACATTGCCTGAGATCTTCATTGAAGAAACCATACCTCTGACAGTCTGATGCACATTCAATCTTGCTTTTTATTCACATCTAGATTTGTTTGTGCTTGCGACTAACGAGTTCGCGCATCTAGGTATCCTTTATTCGAGCGTTTTTATTTCTGGGGACGAAGGTCAAGCAACCCTTGACCTGGCCGTTAACCGTCTACTTTCATCTCTCGGCGAAGATCCCAAATCGTGCCTTTTGTGGTCGATGAGATACTCGCAACAGGGCCCCTCCCTGCACTCGGGTGTTGTGTCGAGCTGTGAAGAAAGGAGCCCGGGCCAGATATTCTTTCCCAGATCTTCCAATGGACTTGCTTTTGATGACGAGCTTTTGAATAACGTCAAGTGTGCATACGAAAAGATTGTGGGATCAGATAATGAAGATTCGAGTTTCATGGCTTTTTCTGATAGAGAAGTCCCAACATCGTATATGAGCGATGAAGAATAGCCAGGCATATCATATAGTTGATTATACTACGCTTTTGAAGTGGAAGATCTTCAGTCCTACCCTTAATTAACGTTCATTGAAAGTTGAATGCATTTTGCCTCATGGAATGTCTAAGAAGCTCAAACTGTGACAATTCTGATTTTTTTCAATATTTCCCAAAGCCTTTGGGTCCAAAGGTGCCTTTCTCTCGAAGTCCTTGTCTGCTTTGCTCCTTGAATTCTATGACCAGAAAGCATCCGCTTGGGAAGATTTGATCAGGTTCCAGTCTTGCGTTATGTCTAGGACGGGGCAGCTTCTACAACGCTCATATCAACACGAACCCAGGCTTGATTTCCCGAGCATGGTGTGGTGGAGATCCCGCTTCACACCATCTTAAAGCTTGGATGTACCCGTTAACTACATCCAAGACAGGTAATGTATCACCGTAGGTCCAGACCTAATAGATGCTGGCATTCTTGCTGTCTTTTGCAGACGATCCCTTCAAGTGATTCGCATAGCTTCTCTGCTTGGATTATTCTTCTGCCGCACCTTCTTTGACAATCCGTGCTTTGGTGATTTTTACTTCTTCAACCGGTCGATCTTCCAAACCGGTTCTGACAAGGCCCATCCTCTGGACGACGCGCATTCCGCTCTTGACTCTTCCAAAGATTGTATGCTTTCCGTCCAACCAAGGCGTAGGCGCAAGCGTGATGAAAAATTGGCTGCCATTGGTGTTTGGTCCCGCATTTGCCATGCTCAGTATACCAGCCCCAGTGTGTCGCAAGGTCGGCTTGATTTCATCCTCAAATTTCGCTCCCCAGAGGGAGTTCCCTCCTCGGCCAGTCCCGGTGGGGTCGCCTCCCTGGATCATAAAATTGGGAATGATACGATGGAAGATTACATTGTCATAATATCCGCGCGATGCAAGCCCGATAAAGTTTTGGCACGTCTGCGGTCATCGTCGTCAGTAATATTCTTCTGATGCGCTTAATGTCTCTTGGATTCTGCTTGCCTTTGGCGCGTCGTTGGTGTAGAGCTCCAGTGTTATGGTGCCCTACAATTGGAACATGGTGAGCTTATTTTGGCACTAAGAAATAAACAAAGAAAAGCTGGGGTGAATCAAGCAGAGCTTGCATTACAAACCATTGTGGTGTCAAGCGCAACGTCGGTAGCCATTTTCAGAGGGAACCTGGCGTTGTCTGTAGAAATACTTATGGGCTACTAGAGTGGTTCAAGTAGAAGAATGATATCTTGACCAGCAATCTCAATGGATTTGTTGCGAGGAAAGGAATGTGGAGCAATTAAAGCTTTAAGAACAGCCGGGTAGAAATGAAGCCGTAGAAATGGTCGGCATGTTCGCTTTTCACCGGAGGGACCCTGGCGAAGTCGATCAGTTGTGACGTCGCTAAAATTGGCTGCCACATGTGAATAGCTCGACAATTATTATTTCGCACTGTTTGCTCCATACGATCACAATCTTGCAAATACGGAGACGGTCATTGACGCGGCAACGACTCAATTGAGACACCGTGTCAGCTCTATGCGAATCGATTCTTTTCTTTCCCTCTTTTGTTCTCCATTTTGACTTTTTCTTAACCTTTCTTCTGCCAGAATCCTTTCCAGCCCGTGGCACGCTCTTCTCATACAACAGCACCCAAATTATGCTTCATAGATAATCCTCAAATCCCGTATCCATTTCTCTCACTGCTGAAATGGGAGATCACGGTCGCGTGGCCGAGATTCTCGGTCGAATCGCCTATGAATTTTCTCTCATCCAACCGTTTCTACCAACCTATTTGCATCTTCTCGCATCCGCTCTCTTTCCAATCTACGCCGGCTCTCATGCCTCTCTTTCCAGACCGACATCTGCAGCAAAGCGAGGAGAACACAGATCTGCTGGAAAAGTGGACACATCTCACGACAGCGAGGACGAGAGTGACGAAGATGAGACCGAAGAAGTTGTCCAAAAGCTAGAAGGGTTTTCGCCTTCCGATGCCATTACTATACCAGTGTTTGCAGGAACTGTCTTGGCTGGGCTCTACTTTCTTATCAAATGGCTGAAAGATCCTTCTATCATCAACAAGCTTTTGAATTGGTACTTTTCCGTGTTTGGTGTCTTCACGGTTGCCCGACTCGTCGGAGACACTCTTAAAATCTTGACGTCCTTTGTCTTTCCGAAACGCTGGGCTGATGGTGGCATGATCTGGCGCATTAGCAAGGAGCGCAACAAGATTGTTAGAGCGGAAGCGCCCTCAGAAAGTCATTCAGTCTCCCAAAATGAACGCTCAACGCCGCTCCCAGGCCGACTCTCCAGACTTTCTTTATCGTCGCAGCCTTCCCGCCTCCTGTGGCTTGTTCGATCACTTCTAACTGAGCATTGGACGCTGATAGCATATACCCGGATCTTCAATGAGGCTCTTTTCGCAAAAATGGCATTTGGGATTCAAGATGTCACTGGCTTCGTGGTTGGGTTGGCTGTGGTTGTGTACTACAACACCATGAACACCTCTTGGTTCCTGACAAATCTGATGGGGTTCGGCTTTTCATATGGAGCTCTCCAACTCATGTCACCCACGACTTTTTGGACCGGAACCTTGATTCTCGGAGCTCTTTTCTTCTACGACATTTATTTTGTCTTTTTCACGTGAGTTGAGTGTGCCAAATATTCTTGTTTTGCATCGAAAACTAATGTCTGTATTCTCTAGTCCCATCATGGTCACGGTTGCCACATCTCTCGATATTCCCATCAAGCTTCTTTTCCCGCGCCCTGCTGCGCCGGGAACTGATCCGAGCAAAACTAGTTTAGCTATGCTCGGGCTAGGCGATGTCGTGCTTCCAGGAATCATGATTGGCCTGGCCCTTCGATTCGATTTGTACATGCATTACAAAAGGAAGCAGACTAGGCAAGTCAAGCGTGATGATGGAAATGGTGCTACATCTCCAGAAAAAGAGCCAGACCACTCAACGTTGATCAAAGCCAAATATGTATGTGCTACGGGAGGCTGGGGTGAACGATTCTGGGTCGGCCGGTCCGGGGCTGCCTCGCAGGATGGATCTTTCTCTAAGCCTTACTTTCACGCGAGTTTAGCTGGCTACATCCTTGGTATGATTGCCACCGTCGGCGTCATGCAGATCGCAGGTCATGCTCAGCCCGCTCTGCTGTATCTTGTCCCGGGAGTGTTGGGGGCGATATGGGGAACTGCTCTTGTTCGAGGTGAAATCAAAGAAATGTGGAACTTTTCAGAGGCTGGTGAAGACAACACTTCCGAAAAACATAAGAAAGATGAGGAAAAGGAATCGGCATCTGCAAAATCGCCAGTGCAGCGTGAACAGGAGAAAGAATCGTCCGAAGAGGGCGAGAAGTCGCGGAATGATGGGGAAAAAGCTGTGTCTAGTGCACGGAACAAACACGGCAAAGATCGTCCGGCGAAATTTTCTGCCAAACAATTCTTAAAGGAGCGAGCTGAGAAGAATGATCTGGTTTACTTCACTATTACCGCTCCACGTCTCACGACACCCTCAACGACAAAATCGCCCGAGACTGCTAACGCAAAGGAAAAGGCCGGAGCCCGTCCCCTCACACTCGAAGAAGAGCTCAGCCTTGCTGCAAAAGAAGAAAACGATTCTGATGCACCTTGCACGAGCAGCAAGCATCCTCACTCCATCGACGCAATCACTGATTGGGATTATATGCCCGCAGCAAAGCGTATGAGGATCTCAAACCGCAACCTTAAATGAGATATTTGCTACAAGGATTGAAGTCGCAAAAATTAGAGTTTTCAAAGGCGTTGGTTTCTCGAAGGAAGCTATTCTCCTTACCTTTAAAATTGTGCTCGACTGATGTAATATCGCATTATTGCATCCTGTAGTATCGTTGCACGGCATAGCATAGCATAACATAGCGATTTTCTTTAGCCAGAAGACCATCTAGGAAAAGAATCGATTCGTAACATGACATTTCATCCTATTTTCCGGTTCGACCAGCTTTTCTGCCGACTCGTGAAGTCTCACTGAGCACGTAGAGAAATGTAAACAAGAACCATCAGATGAGTTATCTCTAAATCTTATCTTGGAGATCTAATCTTAGATAATCTATATAAAATGTCAAAAAAAAGAGTCAGAGACAGGAAGTTCGACATATGACTCAACGAATCATCAAATATATAATCTGTTTTCCTAGATCCTAATTGTTTTGAAGTTGGAAGCCAGTCTTTTTTTTCTGTCAGTCCTGTGCTGCTTTGTGTTTTGCTTTTGGTTCATAGACCTTGGCGCTTTCAGTCTCTCTGATCGCTCCATTTGTCGCAAATCATGCCGCCCTTTCAACCAAGAGATATTACAGATCGCGCTCCTTATTTCTCTTCCTTTGTTACGGCCTCAGATGATGATGGGACTTCACCATGTCAGAATCCAAATCAGTCATGGCTCCCGATTCTCGAGCACGACTGCGACTTCTCCTCGCAGGTGTTCGTCGACGTCATGACCAATCTTATTCGCAATCCTAATCTGAATTCGACTCATCTTTTTCGAGCTGATATCTGGTATGACAGTCTAGAAGGCTCTAGCTCTCAGACTGTGCATCAAGAGGTGGAACACTCTGTATCTACCGCCAAAGATCTCAATAAGCCACAAGAGAAAAGACATGATACCAAGGCAACAGATCCGCCGACAGACGAGGTTCACAGTCTAGATCTCTCTTCGACAAAACTCAATCTTTCACAAAGTGAAGAGAGCAAAGATGGACGTCCAAGCCACTCTTCAGACCAGCATCCTTCCTCCCCACCAGATCGTAAACCCAGGAAGATACATGTGCCTGGCTATTCTCTACAACGCACGCTAGTGCGAGAAATGATCCCGCGGAACCCGCAATTGGATCGTCCACTTCTTCAAACCTGTCATCTTTTCCGCTCCATTGATGGAGATTGGGATGGAGACGATGGTGACGATCATCATTTAGTTGTCTATCTCCCGCATGCGTCAGATCCAGACAACATACCTTGGTATCATCCCGCTGTGTGCGGCTTGGCATTTTTCTACAAGTCCCGCGGCGCAACAACTACAAACGACTGCTCTTCAGAAAGCCCTCAGAGCCACGGCCACATTAATCAAAACCAAAAACAAGGCGAAAATGTCAAAGCCACAATATCCATCCACTACTCACTTTTCCCAACTCAACACCCCCCGCTCTCAACTCGGCTCGTCCGTACCGCCACTCAGCTTCTCTCGACCTTGGCAAAACACGGCCGCGGCACGGCATCTGGCTACGTCAAACGTGTGCAACACGACTTGCTTATCCCCCAGGCAAGACTTCAGAATACTTACTCCCGCTTAAAACTCGCACATGCGCGGCGCTTGATAGATGGCTGGGTCGAGCAGACCGATCCGAGTAAACATGTTTTTGAGGATTTAGGGATCGCCGCGTTTCTGATCGAGCTGTGGCGGGACATGTACGATTGTTGTCCTGCCAGTGAAGCCGACAGCAGCAGCAGTGGTGCTGATAAAGACGCCGATCAACCCGGCGCCGTGGTTGAACGTACCAAATTTCCAGGATTCGTCGATATCGGCTGCGGTAATGGTGTCCTAGTGGATATTCTTCTCCGCGAGGGCTACGAGGGATGGGGCTTCGACGCGCGGAGCCGTCGCACGTGGGATGTGCTGGGGGAAAAGACTAGTCAGAAACTGAAAGAATATGTTCTTGTGCCGGGTATTATCAATCCCGGCCTCTCCAGCTCAAACACCAACACCAATTCCAATTCCGTTTCCAATTCCAACGAGCAAAACAACACGAATCAGACCGCATTGGAGCATGAAGAAGAAGGAGGAGGGGGAGGAGGAGGAGGAGGAGAAGGAGAAGACACCGTGCCATTCCACAATGGGACATTCCCCGCCGGGACATTCATCATTTCCAACCACGCGGACGAACTGACGCCGTGGACGCCCCTATTAGGAGCTCTCTCCGGTTCACCGTTTCTCATTATTCCCTGCTGCAGCCATGATCTCTCGGGAGCAAAGTTTCGGGCGCCGGCCGTTCATGCGCTTGCTGCGCAAAAGGCTTCTTCTGCGTCCTCGACGGATCAGAACAACAACAAGAAGCAGAACCATACTCAGAATCAGAATCAGAAGCAGAAACAACCAAACCCGCAACAACAGCAGCCGTCGACATATGCCTCGCTAGTAGCATGGGTCGAGCATATTGCGCACGACGCAGGCTACATTGTCGAGCGGGAAATGCTCCGTATCCCCAGCACGAGAAACGTGGCGCTGATTGGACGCAAGTTCCGCTACTCTCAGGAGACGGTGGCGGTGTCGCCTCCTGCCGATGGTTGCGAAAGCGCCAGGCATGAGCGCCAGGGCCCAGTAACTGGAATGAGGCAAAAGGTGCAGAGTCCACAGACAATCTTGTTCCGCGAAGGCGGTGCTGACGGATGGGTTGAGCGCGCAATGGCACTACGCAAAGGGAAAATCCGGAGCCATTAAAATATAGTCTTGTTTCTTCTTGGACGTGATGTTCTGTTCTTCATTCGGGACTCTTTTGGCTAGCGATACTTCTGTCATTGTCGTGCGGAATTACTAAGATAAAAGAAAAAGGATAGAGTGATGGGAGGTCCGGTCATAGGACTATAATTGCGCCATATACCCATGGGACGCGGACTCAATAGTTTCCAAAGATATGCATTCCCAAAGCTCGCTCGCTGCAAATACTATGTGACACATGAAATATAAATATGGATATCTAAAGAAATTGGGAAATCATTGAGGGAACAGTCGGCGCTAGAGTATCATCATCAGCACGTCAAAATGAAATACTTGTCGAAAACAAGATATGCAAGCCCGAGATTGCAAAAAAAGTCCAGACCCGTCTACAACTCCGCCATCGATGCTGATATATTCCCGCTGATAGAAAGAAAAAAGAGAAGTAAAGAAAGAAGGGGGGAAACCCTCCCCCCCCCCGTCCCCCAACATGGGGAGCGAAGAAATCGCTGTTGCCCGGGCACGCGCCTCAATTCTGCAATATGGACCGCCAGCGTCCTCAACCACCCGCCTTGATGGCGCGCATTTGGTTCAGACAGCTCTTGAAGTCAAGTTCGCGGTAATTGCTCGGCATGTATTCGCCACTGGCAATGCACAAAACCTTCATGCGTGGATGATACTTGAGATCATGTAGAAGTTTGGGGGTGATGAGGAAATATTGCGCAGTATTTTCGGCGCATGCAATGTCGACCATACGTTCATGGACCATGCGCTCATTACGAGGGTCCATACCCTGATTGATCTCGTCAACAACGCGGAAAGGCGCGCGTGCGAGAGACTGCAAAGCCATCAGGTAGAATATTGTGGATACGGCACGTTCACCGCCGGACTGTCTATGGGCGTCAAGGATCGCTAGTGATTCATTCTCCCTGCCAATTGAGTCAGCAATGGAAGCCTCTCAGACGTTGACACTTGAAATAATGTGGGCCATTTAAAGGCCCGAAAAGGATTGCATCACAGCGCGCTTACCTAAATTTGACTTGAATCTCAATCGACCATTGATCGAAATCTTCATCCTTATGTACGGCAACCTGGCCAGCACATCCGATCTTCTCAAAGCTGTAGGCAAAAGCATCGCTAATATTCTTGACAAGTTCATCGAGCTGTGGCTCCCAACTCTCCCTTAAATCAGAGATGTCTCGAGTGAAGGCTTCCAGCCGGTTTTCATGCTCAGCCAATCGTTCGTGCAGTTTTTCAATTTTCTTCTGCCGCTCTTCGAATTGTCGAATAGTATCGGGGTTGCCTTCGTGGACGAGTTCAAGCCGCGCCTTCGTAGAGTCGATATCGGCTTCTAGTTCGTCTGGCATTTGGCCTTGTGGTAAAGTGTTCACAAATTCTTGAATTTCTTCGCCCCCCTCTTGTATCATTTCCTTGCATTGTTCAAGGAGTTGCCTTGCGACCCGGCTTATACTTTCGGTTTCTTGCGCAACCTTGTCAAATTCCTTGCGCTTCTCAGCAAGCATTTCCCTTACTGTGCGACTCCGTTCCGTAAGCTGCTCAACCTCCGAAGTTGCCTCAATAAGCATGAGCTCTACTTGATAGAGTTCTTTATGAGCGATCCGAAGAGTTTCGATAGAGCGCTGCACGCGTGAACGTTATTATATTAATTCCAGAAAAGGGTTGCATCTGACATACTGTATACTCAATCGCAACTTCCGCCCTCTCCAACGTATAATCTTCAATCTTTTTGTTAATGGCAAGACAGCGTTGTTTCACTTCGGAGCCGAATTGTCGAATTACCTCCCGCCTCTCTTCCTGCTGTGCTGCATGAAATTTAGTTTCACCTCATTCAATATTGCCTACGCTTTGAACATACCAAGTTTGGTAGGAAGCGCCTTAAAGTCAGAAAGGGCCTTCTGCTTAGTTTGTTTCTCGGCTTCCAGATCTCTCTTTTGACGAGTCAGCATCTGATAATGAGTATTAATTGAGCTAAGACTGACCTTTTCTCCCTCAATTTCGTCGTGCTGTTCTTTTAACTGTGCAAGCTCTTGCCTTACTTCCTCAATATCATGGCTCAACTGTTGCACCTCCTCCGTCCAGGCATGAATATTTTCTTGTAGCTCTCGCTTCGCACCGCTGTCGACCGGTTGATTTGTCCAGACTTGAGCACGCTTAAGGTCACGGACACGCGTCGACACGGCGCTTGGCCCATATTCTTTCCTTCTTGTGATTTGATAACTAAATCTTCCAGTGACCCAGCTGCTAATGGGACTTCGCTCAATAGCAGCATATTGATCGTCATTAATGTCACGGAGAGCGACACCCGTTTGATGTAAGCGACATTCTCCACAGAGCATGGCTAACACAGGGGCAGGTCCTGAGACATAGTCCAGGGCCCAACCTTCGAATGCTAGCCGTCGTTGTTCTTCAGGAGAAACTGGAGGTTGAAACTTTTCGAGTAAGGTTTCAGAGTAGGTGCGAATGTTGATGTCTGCCAACTTCATATTTCCGTAGAGCTGTTCTTGCAGTTTTTTGAAGTCCGCTCTTGTTTGACAGGTGAAGGCAAGAAAATCGTTCTTCTGAAGTAAGGATTCAATGGCGTCAACATATTTCGGATCTTTGACAGAACATTCAACGACAGGAGGACCGTAGACGTGCTTTTCGAACTGGTCCTGGTTGGCTTGAACCCATTCCCATGCACGATAAGTTTCCCGAGAAATTTGTCGGAGCTTATTTCCTTGTTGGCCTGCTTGCGACTCGAGACTCCGAAGTTCTGCTTCTGCGTGCTCGAGCATCTCCTTGCGTTCATCTTTTTGCGACACAAGATCGGTCTGCTTTTGCTTAGATTCTCCGGCCTTGATTTGGATTTCTCTAAGCAGCCGCGACTTTTCTCTCTATGGGACAGCCAGTCAGCGTCAATCTGCAACGTCACGGGTCTACAAGGACTTACAATCTGCTCATTATACACTGCTGCATCGAATTCAACTGGCGTGTCCTCCAGCAGTCTTTTGATACGAGTGATATTAGCCTCTATCCTCGGAATCTCCTGTTTCCTTGATTTAAATCCGTTTGTTTCTGCCTGATACTCGGTTCTCAAATCATTCACTTTTTCTAAGAGGTCTTTTTGCTTAGCAAGTAGCGATTCGGCTGACGCGTCGGCGCTCTCAACTACCCCTCTCCTGTCTTTGACCACATGCTCAACCTTACTTCGATAAGTTTGCTTGCCGTTGACAGCCCGGAGAGAAGGCTCCAACTCGTGTTCCAACTGTTCAAGTTCAGCTTGGGCGGTGCGTTTTTTTTCTTTGGCAGCTTGCACTTTCAACCGGGCCTCCCTGTATCTTGCGAAAGGCCTGGCTTTCTCAAGCATTTTGAGCCGCTGCACTATCTCCGCCCGCTCTCGCAATCGATCCACATCGGCTCTTTGCATATTTTGCCTCCCCTCCAAGTTTGTCAAAGCATCCTTATCATTATCCTGCTGCACAAGCAGCCGCTTTTGGTCACCCCTCAATTGCTTCAGCTGCTGATGCCACTCCAGCATATATGGCGGCGCTGCGGCTCGTTGAGTTGAATGAAGCAACTCTACTGGAGTTAGCGCCGCGAACTCGCAGACTTTGTCTTGGGGAAGAAACTGGCAAAGATTATCAATCTGGATCGAAAACGATGCCGTGATTGCTGCTATCTCAGCTTTGGTGCATTGCTTATCGTTTACAAAGAACATGCTCTTGTTGGTTTCGCGTTTGATGAGCCGCTTTATTATGGGATTTCTTCGCTGTTTGCTTGGGTCTGCTGCTAATTCAATTTCAATAGTTGCTTCTGAGCAGCCATGTTTAACAAATTCGCTGACTTCTTTAGCCCTCCCCAGGTGCTTCACCGTGTCAGTTTTCTGCCATCAACCAGAGAGCTCTCGCCATGAACTCACCACAGGGCCCCATCCTAATCCCAAGCATATAGCGCAAACTAATGTACTCTTTCCAGTGCCATTAGGACCAATGACCATATTGAGGCTAGGACCAGGCAAGAACTCGGCGGATGTGTAGGTCACAAAATCAGTCAACCTCACACGCACGATCGATCCCGGTTGATATTTGTAATGATGATCATCTGTTCGAGAGGCGTCGAAGGTCGCTACTGGTAGGGAGCTTGCCAGATGACCATTTGGCAAAGAACCGTTGCTCCTGTCGATCCGCGCGCGTTTGTTGCTTGCATGGACCAGGCCATCGATCTCTTCTTCCTCCCTATTTTCATTTTCAAGTGACAGGCTGCTTCTTCGCCGACGTTGAGGCAAGGCAGGCATTTTTGCCGGCGGTGATGAGGACAAAGCGGGGGAATAAGGTGTGCAGAAACAATGCCGGCTGGAAAAGGGTAGCGATTGGGGTGACGCGACGCGACTTGTCGTTAAGGGGATTTCGTGAACTCATCAGAGACGGCATTCGCCGGTGAGAAACCCAAACCATTGTCAATAATATACGGAGTAATTTAGGACGACAAAAGTGCTCTCAACGATCGAATGGACAATTTTACAAGCATATACGTAAAAATAACTATATTTTCATATTTACAGGCATATTTTGCCAATTAAACCTCAACCTCTTAGAAGGGCCCTCTTCATGGGTATGAGACAAAGAGGGCGCAGTTCAAAGCGAGTCGCCAAGTACCGCAGGTGATATTGGCCATATTCGTTTTATCTGAATTTGCTCGGTGCATTTATTTCTTCTCCTTGGGCGCCAGCATGAGCTCCGGGCGAACATACTTGTCGAAGTCTTCCTCGCTAAGAGCCTTGAGCTCCAAAGCGCTCTCCTTCAAAGTCAAGCCCTTCTTATGAGCGTTCTTGGCCACCTTGGACGCCATGTCATAGCCGATGACGGGGTTAAGGCAGGTGACAAGCATCAAACTAAAAAGTTAGGTTAGTATATTCAAGAGATCGAGAATGGGTGCAGTTGCTCACCTTTCATGAAGCAAAGAGTGGATTCTCTTCTCATTCGCCTCAATTCCAACCACCAGGTTCTTCTCAAAGCTCCTCATGCCATCGCTTAGGAGCTTCACACTGTGGAGCAGATTGCGAATCAGGACAGGCTTGAATACGTTGAGTTCAAACTGGCCACTGAGACCAGAGACCGTGACAGCAGTGTGGTTACCCATGACCTGCGCGCAGACCATTGTCAGAGCCTCACACTGCGTGGGGTTGACCTTGCCAGGCATAATAGATGAGCCAGGCTCGTTTTCAGGCAGCGAGATTTCACCAAGACCGCAGCGAGGACCAGAGCCCAAGAAACGAATGTCCTGGGCAATCTTGAAGAGAGAGCAAGCAAGCGTGTTGAGAGCACCGGAAGCCTCAACAATGGCGTCATGCGCAGCAAGCACCTCGAACTTGTTCGGGGCGGTCTTGAATTCCGTACCGGTCATCTTTGTTACTTCGGCAGCAATAGCCTCGTCGAAGCCCTTGAAGGTGTTCAAACCAGTGCCAACAGCTGTGCCTCCTTGGGCAAGAAGACGAAGGTGGGGCAGGGTAGCCTTGACGCGCTCAATGTTGCTGCTCAACTGTGCAACGTAACCCGAAAATTCCTGACCAAGGGTCAACGGGGTAGCGTCTTGAAGGTGAGTACGGCCAATTTTGATCAGCTTTTCGAACTGGTCACTCTTCGTCTGCAGCGCGTCACGAAGGCTAGTGAGCGCGGGGATGAGATCCTGCTCAATTTCCAAGACGGACGCAATGTGCATAACAGTCGGGAAAGTGTCGTTTGACGAGGCTGACATGTTGACATGGTCATTAGGGTGAACAGGCTTCTTGGTTCCCATCGTGCCGCCAAGAATCTCAATGGCACGGTTGGAGATGACCTCGTTGGCGTTCATGTTGGTCTGAGTACCTGAGCCAGTCTGCCAGACCACGAGCGGGAAGTGATCGATCAACTTGCCAGAGGCAACCTCCTCGGCAGCCTGCTGAATAGCCTTTCCAACCTTAGGGTCTTCAAGTTTCTCAGCTGGTCCGTTCTTTAATTCAATTGAGAGCGCGGAAAAAACGTACCAAGGCCGAAATTTATGTTGACGGTCGCAGCTGCACCTTTCAGTATACCAAACGCTTTGACGACTGGGGCGGGCATGCGGTCCTGAGGCTGGCAGATCTTGAAGTTCTCAAGGGAGCTATACAGATAAAATAATTAGTGCTCTGTTGTTGCATTTACTGTGTTTCTTTCTCTGAGTGTGTTCCACAATGCTAATGGGTGGATGGTCTGAGACGCTGCTGGATCCGATAGATTTTAATTTGAACAGACATACCGCTCAGTCTGAGCACCCCAGTACTTGTCCGCAGGGACCTAAAAGATTCGTACATGAGTTATAATGTTCCTCAGAAGGACGTTTGATTGCTTACCTGGATCTCGCCGAAAGCATCACTTTCGGTTCTCGTTTGGGAAGCCTGTACGACTAAGATTCAGCATTACTGATAACCACGACATATGACAAGAATGACATCCATTGCTGGCATGAACCGGGCGATGATTTTGTCAGAAAGAAATCTTTCAGAGTTGCAATTTGCTCGCGCCGGTCACACAGTTCGCAATGTCAAGCCTTCGCGGGAAACATGCGGCATACCATGGTGTTGCTTGTCGCAAAAGTCCTAAGGCCAGGGAATTGTTGCTTGCACGCTGAAGCCGAAGATCGAGGCTGGTAAGCTCCGCGGGAAGTTATATAGCTGATGCTGCGCCGTGCGGCATTTGTAGAACGCTCAGATAGCGTCGAGGAGAAAGTGGGGACGACAGCGGACCGCTGAGCAGCATGTGCCCATGAAGTCACAGTCGAGGGCCTCGGTAGTCCGGAACGCAACATGGCTGTGGACTGACGGCTGCAGAATAAAGAAAGACGCGTCAATTGAGGTCAATTGGAAGGCAGGCAGTTGTAAGACCAGCAAGGAATGGCTAGATACGCTTACAATTAGCAATTGGGGATGGTGAAGCGAAGCTGATGAGCTTTGCAATGGGAAATCGACAAGCACACAGCGAATAAGAGAGCAAAAGGATTTGGGAGCTCTCAACACTGGGAAAAGTCGCTCCGGGATTTCCCGCAGGCTTTAGAGTGGCATATTCCGTGCCTTTCGTCGGACACTTTACCACCCAGCTCTTCAAGAACTATCAAATGATTATTACGAGTTGAAGATGAAAGGTCGCTGACAACAGTCACAGTGCACCCACGCTCGTTTGAGACAGACTGCATCTTCATTCATCTTATAGATCTCACTATTGCAAGAATATCGCCATAATTCTAACTTGACAGGCAAAGACATCATTACAATGGCTTGATGGAATTTTGAGGCATCATATACAATTTCGTGATCTGAACTTTTATGATACATCAAGGTTCAATACAAAGCTATAGCTGGCAGTGTTTAGGCTCTGCAGCACAGCGTAGATAGGCCCACGCATGTGTTAAGCCTGTGTTCGTACAAAAGGGCACCAATTTTGTGCGTTAATAATATAGATGTTCATACTTCATTGATATCGATTTTGCGGCTTCTGGGGCCGCTGAGGTACCTTTCGTTCCTCTTTCACGATAGAAACTCACTAACAAATCGATGCAGCATCTTTATCTCCGTCTTACGAGGTCTGCTCGACAAAAGGCGTCTCGTAGGGACGCTCTGCCTGCGGGGTCAACCTAGCGAGGTGTCGCCGTTGACCGTCTTGCCAGTCATAGATTGCTGAATGAGCCGTCACACGGTTCTATAAAACGTCAGTGCTCTGAGCAAGATATTGTACAAAAAGCGAGGGTGGGGGTCGCTTACATCCCATACGACAACTGTCTTGGGTTGCCATCGAACTCGAGCTTGGAAATCTTGTCCCAATGCAATATGGTCATAAAGGAACTTGAGGAGATAATCACTCTCCTCTCGTTTCAGGTTGACGATATATCTTGTGACTGAAGGAGAATTGCCACATTAGCTATTACTCATTGTTCAGGATCAATGGGTGAACTCACATTGAGGGTTGACAAACAGAGCTTTCTCTCCAGTGACCTGTTTCCGACGAATTAGTCTGAGATGATTTGCTCTCCACGTGGGTCTTGCGCCAGGTGAAATTGACTCGGATGTTCAGCGCTTACCGGATGAGTGCGAACAAGTGGGTGGACAGAAGCGACTGGTTGTCTCCGAGCGCGACCACCCTTGTCAACAGCGGTTTGGATCTGTTCGAATCCAGAGTGCAGGGCATTCAGCCCATGCAATCTTTTCTGGAACTCAGGGGATAGGCGGTTATACGCCTCGGCAAGGTTGGCGAAAAGAGTGTCGCCGCCGGACGTGGGACCATCAAGAATGTACAAAAATGTTGTTCCTGGTGGCTGTTCTTCGAAGGTGATATCCGAGTGCCATGCGACCGAGTTGGTCCGGGTGGTAAAGAAGTCTCTGCCTGTAGTATCTTCCGCTCCACGATGGACGAGATGCACCTCCGGGAAGCCTTCAGGAGATCCACTGGTCTGATGCATGTGATGGCGACCAAAGTAGCCACCAAACTCAACAGCATCTTTGATCGGGATATCAGCCAAATCCTGATCACGGAATGCTAATTCAACAAAAGTCAGCAGGTCTCACATGAGCAAGTTCTTTAGCTTTGGAGCACTCACCGACAACCTTCCTCTGGGCAACGAACAGAGCCAGCTGGTCTTTGCCTTTGTCGGTCAATTTGCTCAATTGCACACCGCGGACTTCTGCGCCGATTGGTGCAGTAAGGTTGTCAATCGTTACCCCTTCACCAAAGAGATCCTTGAAGGAAGGGTCTGCGTCTTTTCCATGCTCATAGTGAGTGAATGGCTCCAGAGGGGGGTAGCTTGCGTCAGAAGTCAGTATGGCATATCACCCAGCATCTGGCCTAGACTTACACTGTGTCTTCCCATACGGGCAGGTAGTGTGGGTAAGTTGCGGCAGGTTGGTTTTCGCTTCCCTCTTCTTCTACCTTCTTCTGAAAGTCTCTTGGCCCCGAGCTTGCTGGCTCTTTGTATGCATGGATGGGGCCTTTGTAATGCGCCGGCTTGAGACCAGCGCTAGGAGCAGAAGGCTGCGGTTCTGTAAGGGCGGGTGCCATGGCGATAAGATTTGGCAATTAACGCAGCAGTGGGATTCTAAAGAGTGTTTTCTCGAGACTTGCTCAGCAGAGTGTATTTGCTGCTTATTTTTTACAAGGAAGAGAAAGAGATTTCCATCTCTCAGCTCTTTATAGCCAAACTGACAGTCTCTACACGATTCGTCATTCGAAATTCCAAATGCATGCTTACTCAAGCGTCAAGATTGCACCATTCCATACCTTATCTCTGGACAATGGAACAAGAGGGGTATGGAGCGGGGTTTGCAGGTAGGTTGCGTCTACGACAATTCATATGTACTCTGTAACGCAATGCACACAACGTACCAGTGTCACTTGCGCGTATAACCCAGTACCTGAGTATAGTCGACTTAGGGATTAGGTAGTATTGCGTGATAGTGCACGTTCCTGTAGAGCGCCCCTTAGGTTGGCACTTTCGACCTGTAATTAAATTAGGAAATAATAAACGCTGGATACTAGAATCATGGCCATGTCATTCTGGTCACTTCTTATCAGCATTTTTGCAAATTTTTCTTTGTTGTTGGAGTTGTCGATTGTACTGGTTTGCACGATCTAGTATGCATACTGTTTGGTGTTCCAAGGACGCGAAGCCCTGGTCGAGTCGCAGCACGTCAGTTCCCCGGCTCTTGCGTGATGTGATTGAAACACCCCCCACAACGTCAACATCTAGTCAAGGATCAACGACTGCACCATTTCTTTGAGTTACAATTCGCTCAGATCTTTCTTTTAGTTGACAGCGATAAGGATTCGGCATTTTCGACGGTATCAGTGGAGCAGGGGCGCTGCTGGAAATCAATGTAGTTGGATATTCAATCAGGGCGCCTTTCTTGGCCGCCATATCTGAAGAAACCACTTTTCAGCCGTCAAATTATTTTTCTATTCTGCATGCGATGGTGTCATTTTATTGGCGTTGATTTCAGCACTTAGATTGTCGCGTGGAGGTTATGCATGATGGATTCCGTGCAAGGATTGCTCAATCACCTCATTTGGGTTTTGAAGCATATATAGAGAAGATGTGCACTTAAATTTTTGACTGTAGTGTTTACGAGATTGGTCTTCTGCTATTCTGGTTGTCGATCTTTTCAGATTGCTTGGTCCTTTTCGACATCGTCTTTTGACGACTTGTGGACTCTTCAGGACCATACCAGGATTTCAAATATCCAGAGACTTCAACACCCCAGGGCGCCTCTGCCAGCGTCAAACCTTTGCAAATGTCTTCCACATTGGGCAAGATGGACTCAAATGTCAAGACATCTGAGTTCTCTGATGCTAGTCCTACCCTGAACGGTGCCAAAGGAGGAGCCTTTGATACAAAGGGGGTGGAACACTTGTACGAACCAATTGATACGTACGAAGGAAAACACAGATGGGACCCTGAATTCGAATGGGAGCCACAGGAGGAGAAGAAACTTGTTCGGAAGGTTGGTCCGCCTTGCTTTCATTGGCCGTTGCCCTTCACTAATGAGACTAGATTGATTTGCGTATCTGTTCCTGGGCTTGCATCATGTTCTTTGCCCTCCAGCTGGATCGAGGAAACATTAGCCAGGCGCTTTCGGACAATATGCTTGACGACCTTAAAATGAACACAAATGATTACAACACGGGCATGACAATCTTCTATGTTTGTTTCCTTGCAGCGGAGCTACCATCGCAATTGATATCGAAGAAACTCGGACCCGACCGATGGATACCAGTTCAAATGCTCTCCTGGAGTCTTGTGGCAGCTTTGCAGTCACTTTTGAGTGGACGAAGTTCTTTTCTCGTCTGTCGTGCTTTGCTAGGCCTCATTGAAGGTGGCTTCATTCCCGATATGATTCTCTATCTGAGCTACTTTTACACCGGAAAAGAGCTACCAACCCGGCTCAGCGGTTTCTGGACAGCCTATCAATTGACCTCGATTATTTCATCCTTCCTTGCGTATGGTCTGCTTCATATGCGTGGATACCACGGCATGAGTGGTTGGCGATGGCTCTTTGCCATTGAAGGATGTCTCACTGGGCTGATTGGTATAATCTCATATTTCTATATGCCTCCGTCGCCGACGCAAAGCGCTAGCTTCTTCCGTGGCAAAGACGGCTGGTTCTCTGAACGAGAGGAGAAAATCATGGTTAACCGGGTCTTGCGTGATGACCCTGGAAAAGGTACCATGCACAATCGCCAAGCAGTTACGCCACGGCTGCTCTGGCGCAGTCTGAAAGACTACGATATGTGGCCAGTTTATCTACTCGGTCTCAGTTGGGGTCTGCCAAATAATCCCATGACTTCCTACTTGACATTGCAGTTGCGATCGGTTGGCTTCAATACATTTAATACCAATCTTTTGACGATTCCGTCTAGTGTCATATTTATCATAGGTCTGATAACTTTCACCTGGATTTCAGAGAAGACCAATCAGCGATTTCTCCTAGTCCTGGCTGGTCAGATATGGTTCTTTCCTCTCGTGATCACGCTTGAGGTTCTTCCTGCTGATTCCGGACCATGGGTTAAATGGGTCTTGTGTACTCTGCTGGTGGGAGGCCCCTATATTCATGCCATCCTGGTGGCTGTCACAAGTCGAAACGCTGGGTCAGTTCGAACACGCACAGTGGCATCAGCTTTGTACAATATGTGCGTTCAGACAAGCAGCATTATCGGATCAAATGTAAGGCTTGCTTTCAGTCTGGGATATAACTCAAATGGTTACTAATGACGGTTAATTTTAGATTTATCGAAATGATGATAAACCTCTGTATCGGCGTGGAAACAAAGCCCTCATCGGCATCTGCGTGTACAACATGTTCCTTATTGTTGGTATCAAGTTTTACTACGTCTGGAGGAACAAGTAAGTCATCTTTAACTAAGGTGGCCGTCCTAGTAACTGATTGACCCTTCTTTTAGTGTCCGTCAAAAGAAATGGGATTCGATGAGCAGGGAAGAGAAAGAACATTACCTTCTCACGACCAAAGACGAAGGAAACAAAAGGTTGGTACAACTATTAGCAGTTTCAAGATTGCATAACTAACATCTCATTAGACTGGACTTCAGATTTGCGCATTAAATTTCGTGGTTTAAATTATTCGACCCAGATTCTCCTATACCCCTCCATTCTGTGTTTCGAGTTGTCTAAAAGCGAGCTAGACCTTTTCGGTTGCGAATGCATAAACTTATAGATTTTGGAAGACGAGAAGAAGTCTACAGATTTGAATTACCAAATACATGATTTTGACGGTATGCCAAGTTCGGTTTTATATTGTGTCTACTAGATTTCACCTTCGCTTCGATCCTCCTCTGCCTTGAATAAACTCCCTTAGGCCATATAAACTACCTAAGAACATTCCCGCTACTGCATAATTTCTTCTTCCCCCTGGGACCAGAAGCGATTCCCCGCCGTCCTGCGCTGATCTCGGTTAGGAATAAGCTGCTTACCTTATCTCCTCACTGTACAACACTCCGCTTTTCCCCCATCTACTACGTATGCCCAGGGTTGCCCAAGACGGCGGGCCTCTCGGGTAGCTATCAGGCTGTTTATCAGTGTCATTTCTGCTGAGAAAGCTAAGAAAACAGCTTATCAAGCATAGTATTTTATGGGTATACTACGTTACAAAGCTTCTAGGCAGCAGGCGGAGGGATGTCACTGGCGCGCATACTTCCGTCTGCATATCTGGGTACTCCTTTATTGATGTGGATTGATATGGTAGTGCATTTTACTGCTGACCATTGGCTCAATGCCGTCTTGGTCTACGTTTCCTCTCTGCTTCCATCCAAACTTCATCAGGGCGCCTTGCTCTTTCAATCATTATACGCTTCATTTTGAAGGTGTGACTCCTCTGCGATCACTATTATTGAATCGCCGACATGGGCGAGACGGCGAGTGCAAAAGCTCCCCCTTATCTTTCGCAGCGCGGCGAGGCTGCGGCCGCAATCGGCAGGAAGAACATATTCTTTGATGTGATATCCAACCTTTGGCATCCCGAGGACAATCCAGATGGATTCGTCAGTCTTGGTGTGGCTGAGAATGTACGGCGTTTAATTTAAGGTTTCCCCACGTTTAGCCGAACGTTTGTTGATCATTGGGTTATATGTAGGCCTTGATGCACGAAGAAATGGCTCAATTTGCGAAGAAAACGGTAGATCCACACCCTGATCTTGTCATTCGTTTGTTCATCTACTCCAATACTACCATGACAACACTGTATGCGCGTGGCGAAACCCCGTTGACTTAGTTCTACTCTTCTCTTTCAGTTCCACCTCCCTCATCATTCTCTTACATACGGCGATGGCGCAACGGGAAGCAAACGTCTACGCGCAGCCGTTGCACGATTTATGAACCGTCATTTTGACCCGGTTACGCCGATAGACCCCGAACATGTCACCACGACTATAGGTGTAACGACAGCAATTGAAGCTTCAGGGATGGCATTGGGAAATCCTGGTGATGGCTTTCTACTTGCACGTCCTTACTATGGGGCATTTCCGCCTGATCTCGGTGCACGCGCAGAGTGAGTTTATCGCATGCACTCCATTTCACTGGTCAATTTTGGCTTTGACTCTCAATTCTATCCGAACCTTGATTCGCAAAAGGCTGACCCTGGCTAACGTTTCCTAATTGACACTCAGGATCAAAGTAGTTGGGGTTTCATTCGGTGACGTTGACCCATTTGGATTGGACGCCATCGCAAAATATGAAGAAGCTCTACTTCAAGCGCATCATGATGGAATAGAAGTTAAGGCATTGATACTCTGCTCTCCGCATAACCCTCTGGGTGAGAACGCTTTTTTCTTCAAATAATGTCCCTATCACCCGACTGACCGACGTGACTACAGGTCGATGCTTTCCAAAAGATGTTCTCATTGAATTGATGCGCTTTTGCCAAAAGTATAGACTCCACCTCATAAGTGACGAGATCTATGCCCTTTCCATTTGGGAGAACGCAGAAGCCCCCGAGGCAGTAGGATTTACATCCGTATTGTCAATTGATACGACAGGAATCATAGATCGAAATCTTATCCATGTGTTTTGGGGCATGAGCAAGGTACGTGACATTGCTCTCAAACCCATCCAATCAAAACACGATGTCTCCTGCCCATTTAAACCCGCAGAATCGAGCGGTCCACCCCGTTTATACCCAAGATTGTCGTTGACGATACCTAGGACTTCGGAGCCAACGGTCTCCGAATCGGCTTTATAATCAGTCAGCATAATCAAGAATTCCAAAAAGCGTTGCGCGGACATTCTGCATTCCGATATCCGTCATCGCTTTCAGACAATCTGGCAGCAAACGTCTTGGAAGATGACGAGTTCACAGAATATTACATCCGTACTAATCGGCAAAGATTAGCCGACTCGTTTGCTTGCATGGCAGATTTCCTAAAGAGAGAAGGCATTCCGTATTATCATGGTTCTAACGCGGCATTCTTCATGTGGGCAGATCTACGGCCGACGTCAAGACGTGTATCGCCTAAGCCTGAGACTTTGGATGCCAGCCTTGATGCGATGAGACTGGTTGATGAAGTGACAACTGAAACACCCCCATCATCGGGTGCGTCGACCGAGACGGAGGCCATCATGTCGAGATTGCTCGCAAAGAAGGTCTTCTTAGCAAGCGGTGAGGCATTTGGAAGCGAGGAGCCCGGCTGGTTCCGGATCGTGTTCTCGCAGCCTCGGCCTTATGTGGAGGAGGGTTTGAGGCGCATTTTAGAAGCTATGAAAGAGTAATTGGTACTGATACAGCGCTGTATTAAACTTCATGCTCTATCTATAGATGTGCTGGCAATTAAGTGGCGGGAGTCTTTCTCCGCAGTTTGATATTTGGTTACTTTAAGGTGTTGTCAGGTTATCGTCTAGTGGACATGTTATCATTAAACAAAACCTGTGTGCATACTATACCATATTTTAATAATTCGATCAATAATTATTAAATATTATCTGAGGCTAAAGACAGGACTATGATCAGAACATCTATTAAGATGTGCTGCTATATTTCTGTCGGCACAATTATATTCACAAATTTTAACGAAAATCAATAGATTCCATGGAAAAACCTGATGCGGAATAAATATTTTCTATACAAGTGAAAAATTCAACATTTGCGGACAGATTTTTTTTGCATATATATATGCAGGTAATGATTCAGGCACAGCAATGCTTCTAAAACGTTTGGTCATCAAATGCATTGTTGTCATATATGCCGATGCTGCCGTTGCCTCGGTTTCAAAGAAATGTCGATCCCCCTTTGGCCCCTTCGAACAAATACGAAACAAGGTACATCCCTGAGATCGGAACGTGGGGTGTTCCCCTCGGGAGTAATAGCCGCCAACTCTTCGCTTCAACCTGCAGCACCACGGCGTACCGGACCGACAACTCCGCATCATCCCTCCACATTGACGTATTACCAAGCCTGATCACTGATATGATTTGATTCCGAGCATCACAAGTACTGTAATCAAATTGATAATCTCGCGCCCCACAGTCAGCCTCCGCAATTTATTTTTCAACAATTTTCGGAATGAGCTCTGCTGCTCATGTCACGAGTCGCTGCATTGCTTTTTTGATCATTACGACACATTTTCCATCTTGCTTTTTTAGTAATAATTACAGAGGTAACCTGTGAATGTTGATTATTGAGCTGACGGACCGGACTTCTTTTTCGGCTCAACAATCCCTTTTTTCTCACCCACAACCAGGTTAGCCTTCATGCTTGAGCTTGCAGCTTGCGTCACAGGAGAAATACTAATGCGTATACGACCAGGACATCTGAGATAATAAGGATGGAGAGTAAGGACCAAAATGTTATGGACACACTGCTACTTCAATATTGCGGAGGATTATGTCCGAAAAGCCCGAGATATCTCCTTTGGCTTATTCGAAAAGTCCGACGGAATACTGCTTTCTAACCCCGCTATTGTTCATCCTGGAGCTTCATAGTCCTTGTGGATTTCCAATCTGGAAACTAGATCAATTGGGCACCGGCACCGGCACCGGCACTATCGTCAGCGGCAAGCGCTGAATAAGTCTCGCAATACGATACCAGCGTGGCAATCTTCCTGAATCCAATATGTCTGGCACCAAGATGCGTCAGTCTTCCTGAGCTCCTGAACTGCCTGGAGCTCCTTGAACTTGCTAACCAGCGCAGACTTGCAAGCTCAACGTTTTGGAATTATTGTTAGGCTCCACTTCGTTGCTGACGCTTACGGAGCTTATGAAGCGTTGATACTAATCGCCAAGAACCCGTAGCAGGTTTGGCGAAGGCGACTTGAGCTCACTGAGTCTTTCCTTTGCCGTGCTCAGGAGGAACCACTCGTACAACTTGGCACACTCCATTTTGGACCAGTTAGGCTGGTTTCCTGGGAGATTGTCGCTGCTGCATCTCTGCCAGGCCTACAGGACCAATGCGAGGTCACGCAGGAATACTACCTAGGTAGTCTCTCCTCTGACTGTCGAAGAACAAGTTCATAGTCAGCTGGCGTGGCATACCGATACTTGTACGTAAATCCCAAGGCCAACTGGAATGCTGCCTACTGGACCATGGTAGGCTGTGCCTAGTTTCCGTGACATAGGATAGATCCGTGTTGTACTAGTTTGTTCATGACGACAGCTAGAAAATTACAGCCTGGCTAGAGCTTCTAGCTTGAGAGATAGAAGAAACGAATTCTCCCGCCTTGGCTCTCGCACATATCTAGTATTTGACACCGTGTAAGTCTTGCCTGATAGATGTGATACGAGATAGTGCGGTTGATTTAGGCCTCACTGCGGTTTATAAGGAGGCCCTATACACATGTGATCATACTAGTATACTTTTTAGCCTATTTTTGAGGTAAACATATCACGTTTCGAAACGGCTCAATTGTTTGTCAGAAAAAACGCTGCCAAGTGACGACGGAAAAAAAGGAAAAGGAAAGCTACAGTAGTGAGATATCAGACAGCTAGGCAGCGTCGGTGACTCATTTGCCGATGGTTGACCAGCGGATGGAGAGAACTGCCATTCCGGTTCTCTGAGCTCGCCCGACTCGGTCTGTGGCTGATGCCGTGGCGAGACCTTGGGCTGGCATACCTGGGCAACATCCTTCCGGGTCAGCGACGACCGACACCAGGGGCGAAGGGGACGGGCACCAGCACCTGATCCGGGTCCGCAACCGAGATTTCTTACCTGAAGCACGAAGGGTACTGTACATTACTTAGACTGCTGTCATCGCGAACCTCTCTGTGCAAACATCGGTATTTAGTCCGTACATGTACTTGATTTCTCCGCGGCGCGGATGACATGGTGGCAAAGTCTTTTGGCTAAGCCAGCCTGCTTTAGCATGATCGACGAATAACAATCCAGGCAGCAATCCGACTTTAGGACGTTGCCGATTGGTTCAGCCTTTGACTATGTACAACCGCAATGGGTTAAATGAAGACACATTGATGCTGGAAAACACGGCATCTGAGCAGTAAATCAGCTGCCATTTGCATAGCATCCAGACCTTTGGAAGGCAACCGTCGGGCTCTTGCGTTTCCCCACTCTACGTGTATTTTTTCATTTTTCTTTCCCTTGCGTGTCATTTGATATTTCTTTGTTTTTTTATTAAAACCTGTTTGCTTTTACGGACGATACCGTGATTTTCCGATCCCAGAGGATAGGTAGTCTAGGAATCGCGAATGCGTTTCGTATGAAAACAACTGATCCGATGGCAGCCAAGGAGGATGATTTCCGCCGCAGCTGGGAACAAAATGCTTTGTGTCATGTCAGTGAAGACTATGATTGCTTATCGACCATGGCAGCGTTGCACAATTAAACTCTGAGAAAATCAGAAACAAGCGGCTCCCCCCGTACTCTGTGTATACTCCGTACACAAAAGGGTCCAACAAGGAGACAGGTGAAGGGGAGGCGTCAGCCAGCAACCATAATTTCAAAATGCCGTATTTCGGCAATCGAAACGACTCCTGGCCAATCACAATCACGTATCAGCCTCCCAGCGGAGGTTGCCGTCTAGGCGGTGTGGTGGCAGGAGGGGGTCATGCTGGGTTTTACTGGGTCTGTTCTTGATAATACTTTGCTCTTCTGGGCATGGCTTCATCCCATTACGCACCCTTCATCTTCTGCATCGCATGCCGGAGAGGCCGAACAGCGCGAGGAATACCGTTTTGGTTGCACAGGCTCTTTCTCAACTTAAAAAAGTGGCAGTGAAAATTTGCGTGTCGTCTCACTACGGGAAGCTTCCAAAGGGAGACATGGTAGTACTGTTTTTCGTAGAAGAGAGAGGAGAAAGAACACGTCGTGCGGGTATCAATCTCCACTTGGAACAAGTATCGACCAAGACTGAAATTCGGTGCCCAAGGTACCATCATAATTGCTTCCGTCTATAACCTCGGTTTACAGGTCCTCCTTGGTACCGCCTATTTGGGGGTCCACACGAACGGATCAAGTATTGAATGATTACGGACAGTGGTTGGAAGAGGATAACACGGCAGTGCGGCAAACCCATGACCGTTTGTGGAGCTCAGGCAGAGACCCAGCCAAGCCAGCCAGAGAGATAGACAGATCAGTCAATCGGAAATGATGGCAGGTGAAAGGGCGCGTAGACATCATTTATGATACGGAAGATGAAGACGAAGAGCTAGCTAACACAAAGTGCAAAAAGATCTCAAAGTGATGATCAGAAAAATTACGTGTGATGACTTCAAAGATTTGCCCCAATATGGCCCAAACCTCTCAAGACTCATTTCATGACTGAAGGCGAATTCTCAGACGGAAGGAGTTGGCCGAAGGCGGATAAGTTACCCATAGCAGAGTATGAGGAAGTGCAAGTTAGGGTAACTTGGTGATGAAGGTGGTGGCGACGACCTTTCTGGGAACCCCGAATCTCTTCCGTTCACCTTCTTTGGGAGGAAAAGGATGGGATGAGTGGGTGAGCGGATGGCTCACCCACAAGGCATCCAACCTACCTATTACTATTACTTGTCTTGATTTGGGGCGACTTGTTTTTTTCTTGCTAGCGATGACTCTACTCCCTGCGCGCGCCTCTCGCCTTCGCTCTCTTCGGTCCCCCACCCACCCATTACTATTTGCAAATCCCACAGCCCGAAGGCAAAAGGAATCCCCTCCAGCCGACCGTAGCCCACCCCCCGAGCGAACGCAACAACACTTACCCCCCCCAGTCCGGCGTGTAAGAGTCAAAACCGCCTTGCCTCCCCCCCCCCAGATCATTTTCGAAATTCTTTCCAAGCAAGCAAAGATGATGCTCATCACGCCCTTCTAGATCTCGAGCGTCTCGCTCTAATCAGTCACCAAGGTCATTTTATCATCCACGCTTGTATCATCATTTACGGTTTACGAATCTCTCCTCTCAACGTCTTTGTCATTACTTCTTTCGGTGCAATAATAGCTCTGTTTTCTCTCTTACTCTCTACCTAAATCTCTCTCGGTTACTCACAGCCTGCTGCCTGTGTGCTGAGAAAGTCTGAGTTGGTGCCTATTTGCACTTTTGGTATAGTGCGCCCACTGTTGCTGCTGCCTTTGTCTCGGGCGCGCGCGAAAGTGCTGTCATCCCCACCAAGAGTCTCGACCGCCACACACCTCCGAAAGACTCATCCGCCCAGGCCTCTCGCTCTCACTCTCCGACTCATTCAGTCATATCTCGGCCTCCCCCATCGCCACTTCCGCCACCCCTATTAATCCTCCCCGATCTTCCACCTTTCTTCAACCTCTCCTCTCTCTTCCCGGTCGACTAGGTCTCCGCCCATATTAGTCACGCTGCATTTCCGCTGACTGAACTTGGAGAGACTTTGGTCAACTTCCGCTCCTCTCGACGTGTCCTTCACCAGTCCTACGCCGAGGTACACGAATCGTTAAAATCGAAACCTCTCCTTCCCGGAAAATCTCCACTCACTATATTACGATTTATTATATCATCATCTCTTTGACCTTTTAGCTGCATTTTTCGTCTTCTGCTCGTCTCGCTTTCCAACCGCTTTTTTACACTCGTCGATTATTACGTCAAAATGTATATGCCCTACATTGCCAGTCCGGCCACCAGCTTCGTCCTTTCCACCGTCGTTGTTGTCAACTGGGAATCCGCTCGTAAGGGTTCTGATTACTAGATATCTTCGCGTCGCTTCGATCATAACATCTCCCACGACATCTATCAAGTTTATTTAAACTTGATCTCTGTCGTGTTTCGTTTCGTATCGATACGGCGCCGTGAGGAGTCTGGACTGTCTCATCTCTACGTTGGATTCTTTCCGGTTCACACATTCGCATTTGTGGCGCGTGGGATCTTTTTCCTCTGGTCTGATAGATATCGGTCTGTTTCGTCCTTTTTGACAAAACGCTCGTCTTGTTTCCTGTTTAGGTTGCATCAAGATCGGTATCTAGGGGAGCAAAGGAGAAGCTTCTCATTTTCTGCAAATCAAAACGATTGGAAAGGATAGAGGCCTTGAGGTTATCCGCCACCTCTTGAAATAAAATCCGGCGGATTACGGTCACAGGAACAAATCGAACGGTTTTTGTCGCATCGGTAAACTCGGTCACCCCACGGTATCTCGCGATCATCACGATCATACGTTTTCCTCCGCATTACTCCGCATTTCCGCTTCTTCCCGAACTCTAATTGACCCCCTTGTCTTATCTTCTATTCATATTCTCCGACTGACACACGGTTGTGGTTGCTGTCATTGACTTTACTTTGCTTTCGTGATGGAGCTTGACGGTGCCTTACTCACCGTTCCGAGCCCCCTCGAGGCTTCCCATGGTCGCGACATCAACACTACCACACGTCATCCTTACTCTTCATCACTCTCTTCCTCTGCCTCTTCCTCTTCCTCCTCTGTCTTTTCTGTCGACTCAATCCTGTCTCAAAGCTCGGCCAGCTCTGCGAGCTCGTCCCGTTCGCTTCAGGCCCTCCTGGAGAATGATAATGATGCGTCGTATCCGTCTTCTGCTTCCCAATGTTCAATCGCTCGGATCACCGCTGCGACCAATACTACTGGAACGGAATCGGTTGCTGCGTCGTTGTCGGCCTCAAAGGTTGCCGCTGGTGTAGTCCCCTCGGAGCTGCGCAAGCACCCCAGGCGGACACAAGCTGCGGCGCCCTGCGCGGGTCAGGTCTCCGGTGCTTGTTCGCAAGTGCCTTCAGCCCGGGCTCCGCCTTCCCTGGTGCGCCAGAGCGAACGGAAAGTCAACTTCGTCGATAATCTTGTCGGTAAGGAATCTGTACCCACCACTACTGGCCCACCAAGTCTCGTGCTAAAGCGTTTTGTCATCCTCAAGTCTCTGCTGCACAGATGGTCGAGACTATCTGGCCCCTTTCGGACGTTAGCTGCCGCACCGGCAACAACCTGGGGAGTAAGAGTGTACTTCCTCTCCGCACCTTCATTCAGGAGACACTGCGGCGCTCAAGGACCTCTTATTCCACACTCCAGGTTGCGCTCTACTACCTCGTCCTGATCAAGTCCCATGTCCCGAAGCACGATTTCACCATGGAGCAGCCGCCAGAGGACAGCCACAGCATTCGGGCCCTTCAGTGTGGCCGCAGGATGTTTTTGGCCGCCTTGATCCTTGCCTCCAAGTACCTCCAGGATCGGAATTACTCTGCTCGTGCGTGGAGCAAGATTTCTGGACTCAACACCTGCGAAATCAATGCCAATGAGCTGTCTTTTCTCAAGGCCGTAAATTGGCGGCTGCACATATCCGAGCCCGTATTCCAGCGGTGGACTGATATTGTCCTCAAGTATACTCCATCGGCGCCGTCTGCATCCCCTGTTGCTGCGTCTTCTCCAATTCCCCTGGATAAGAACATGAGCAATGCGTGGCGATCCGTCATTCCCCGGCTAACACCGGAGCTCGAAAATATCGAACCCCCGGCCGTGGAAGTGACGGAACCCCGTCGCATCGTCTCACCGGTCAGCCTCAACTGCTCTCCTCATCTTGCTGTTGAGTCTGAGCGTTTCAATGCTTGCGACATGTCGACGACTTCCACCTTGCCTACGCCGAAACCATTGTGCGTTCCGCCACGTGTGCTGGAGCCCACTCCGCGCTTCCAGCCTCAGACGCTCCCGTCTCTATCGCGCATGGTACCGCTTCCGACTCCTTCTCCGTCGCCGCCTTATGGCTTTCCGGGTTCGACACCGAGCGTGCCTGACATGTGCCTGAGACGGCCGTCGATTGGGTCAGCGTTGGCAATGGCTCAGAACGCTTGCATGGCCCGCACCTCGTTGGAGCAGTGGGTCGTTCCTCCCACTTCTGCATCTGCTGCCAAGCCTTTTGTCCCCGAGGGCTACGTTTCTGGACGTCGGACATCGCTCGCTCGCTCGTCGCCTCCGGTCTCGTCACCAGAGTCTATGACGTCGGACAATTCTTCTGCTTCATCTTCACGGTCTTCTCGATCCTCTTCGATTTCCTCTGTTGCGTCTTCACTGTGCGCGCCACCTTCAGCCAATTTCTTGGCTGCTCGGGCGACTTGTCGGAACGCAACGCTGAAGGGATCTGCAAGGGCCATTCGAGGCGGTTCCGTGTTTGAAGATGTCTTGGAGAGTGCCGAGTGCACGTCCTCGCCCGAGTCGTACGCCGGGTCCGTCCACTCTGTCCCGGACTTTTCGAACTTTTCCCTCAGCAGTGGTACGCCTTATGAGCGATCAGTCTCTTCCCGTGCTCCCCCTTGCGAGACCGTGCAACCTAGTTGCCTCATGCTCAACCAAGGCACCGAGTCGGGGGATGGCTCTTCTGTTCTGAGGGGCCAGAAGCGAAGTCGAGGTTGCGAAGAGCCATCGCTGCAGCGTCACGTGCGCAAGCTGATGGCCTCGCAATCTCTCCGAGGGGATATGGTGGTTCAGGATCGGTCCTCTACCAGCACTCCTTCAATCCTCTTGGATCGTTCCTACCAGTCAACACCCACTGTTGTTGGAACTGGCGTCGAAGACGGCGCAGTCGTCGCCAAGGCGACACAGCTGCCCACGAGCTTTGCCACGTATCGTCTCCCTCTGCAGAAGGACATGGGACGAAAGCGAGCGTGCTGCGCTGAAGAAGCACGTGTAGTTCCCGATGCAGGGTCTCGGCCCAGCATGTGGAATGACGTCTTATGATTGCGTTAAAACTCTCTCTCTAATGCCTCCCCCCACCGCTTTCCACGACAACCCGCCCCAAAAAGATATAACCAAATTTAATATATAATCTGGTGTGTGTGTGCCTTTTTTTTTCCTTTTTGTCCAAAGTGGCAAGACATGGGAAGGCGAAAAAGGAAGACTTGAGACTTGCTACTTGCTACGGCTTTGCTTAGCTTTCCTTTTGTTGTCAAGCAACTGCTATTCTGCTGCTCCACAACGCTGCTTTTTTTGCGCACAACAAAAGAGGTTTTCTATCCTTTTCCTTTCTTTTTGGATTGGATCTTCTGGCAACTTGCATCGTTTGCGCAACATGGCATTTGTCTTGGCTGGGATATACCTATCCCTTCCACTTTACCCCCTTACCTGTCTTTTCTCCCGTCCCTACCTTTTCTTCTCTTCCTCACCTCGCTATCCGTCTTCACATCCTCCTTTTTCTTGCTCATCTCGTCTGCTACTCTATATCTCCACCCCCGACATGTCCAACCAACAAACTTGTTCGTTGTTGGCCCCGGGGATCTGTTTTCGCGTCGCGTCGCTTCGACTCTCACGCAATGATATCACTTCTACATTATTTGCCTTGGCGAGGGGGGGTTTGGTCCTTTGGTCCCGTTGGTCCCGGTGTTTTCTTCTTCCTTTTCCTCCTCCTTTTTCCCCCCTCTCCTTTTCTTCTTTACCGCTCTCCTACCCCTTGGCTCCCTGGTACGGGTTACGGTACGGGTTCCGGTACGGGGACTTTTCTCTTGACTTTTTTTTTCGCTCGTACCACCTCTAGTCACTCCTAGCATCGTAGTTTATAGTAGCTATATATATCAACCATACCAAATGAATTATCACCTTATCTTCATATCATTATCATTATCATTATCATGTCGTCATATCAACATAGCTTTATAGCATCATATCTTCATATCATTGTAACAGTCATCATTGTTCCCATTGTCATCGTCAGCATTACCATCATTGTTATCATCATATCATCATATCATCATGTCATTATCATTGTTAATATGCTTGTTGATTTGATTGTCATCATCATTCTCGACTACCATTTCCATCGTCCCTGCAGTACTACCACTCCTGCATTACAGTATACCTTACAGTGCTACAATACTACGGTACTACTGCACTACCCGTAATCATTATCCTTTGCATCGTAACATTAGTCGACTATTGTAATCTCTCGTCGTCGTTGTCGATGTCATTATTGTCGTATCCTCATTAAGCCATGTACGTTATGAGGCCAGGGCGGTGATACTACTAGGTATATACGGAGTAGATTAAGCTTCTGTATCGACTATGTATCGTACCTTGCCTTAAGTTCATTAATGTATACTAACTTAGCAAGTAAAGTCAAGGCAGACAGGCAGGCGGCTACGGGTGTATGACTAATGGTAGGTAAAGCTATGTTTGTCTAAAATGATATGTTCATTGATATGGATATTTGATATGGATATGCTAGTACACAGTACGAAATACAAAACATGAAATACACAGTACGAAATACAAAGTATGAAATACACAGTACAAATACACCCTGGGAGAAATGGCATGAGGTGATTACGAGGTACAATATATATCTTGCCGAGTGTCTTAAAGGGGAAAATGGAATGAACGCGTAAGGGAAGACAATGGGATAAAGACGCAAGAAGACAAGAAAGTGAAAAGTAGGCTGTTGTTTTTGATTCCTAATCTATTTGTTTTGATTGAGGCTGTGAATTCATTATGCACCCCATGGGCATATTGGTTATTGGTTATTGGTCAGATCAGCTCAAACACAAACTCAAAATTCTGAAGCCTCGAATGCTCTACTACTCAAACACTCAGACACTCAAAAGCTCAAAAGCTCAAAAGCCACAAGCCCTCCTCCTTCCCGAACATCAATACGCAGGATCAGATTACAGATACTGCTCAAATGCCTTGGCGGTATCACGAACCGACTTGTCAAAGGGAATATAGTCCCATCCACCACCAATCGCGTCTATGATCTTGGTGCCATACACCTTGGGGCCGTCCTCGGGGAAGCGCCAGCCGGGCAAGACGTAGCCTGCTCCGGGGTTGCCCTTGGGGATAATGTCGGTGCGTTGCGGGTATGCTTCGCGCAGCGCATCGGCAATGGCTTGCGGAGGAGCTGTGCCCGCGACGGCGAGGAAGCGCTGGCCGGCGCTCTGAGCGGGATGCTCGGCGGCCCAGATGTGGATGGTCGCGACGTCGCGGACGTCGACAAAGGATCCGCTGCCGATTTTTGGTGGGATCGTCTTTGCCTCGCCGGAGAAGATGGACCAGACGGGTAAAAGGGTCTCGTTCAATGACGAGGGAGAGGAAGGCAACTGGACAGGCGGACCCACGACGACGCCGGGGTTGACGGCCGTGAGGGCGAAGTGTGGCTAATACATTGTTAGTAACTTGGTTATACGTTTGAGTCGTATTACACAGATATGAACCATCGAATCGATGGTCGGTCTGACGGGGGTATATGTAGGATCTGATCTGAAAGGGCTTACCTTTTTCTCATCTCTAAACTTCCATACGGCTCGCTCGGCTGCAGATTTTGACGCAGCGTAGAGCACACCCACCGGAGTCTCTTCTCCACGCGCCTTGGCCTCCTTGGCCTGGGGCTCGGCCGAGGTGTTCCAGTCGGCTTCGGTGTAGTAGTGGGTAGGCCCATAGACAGCCGGGTCCGAAATAGCGGCCACAGACGATGTGATCACAAGGGTTTCAAGCTGGGGCCCAGCATGCTCGAGAGCCGAGGTCAGAACCCCCGTGATACCTGCCACGGCCGGACCCACAAAGTGGTCCCACGTCTTCAAGTCCCGGAAATTGATGGGCGACGCCGTGTGGAATATGAGGTGCGTGCCTGCAAATGATCAGATCAAAATGCTCGACTGGGAAGAACAGGAAAAGATGGAGCAACTGTGGCGCAATGGACTTTTCTAATATAGGAAGGAAGCAAAAGGGGGCAAAAAAAAAAAAAAAAAAAAAAAAAAAAAGATGTTATGACGAGGTGGTAATAAAGTTTTTCTCAAAGAAAGAATTGAAAAACACCAATCGAAAGGCATGAAATAAGCAAGGAATGATTATTGATATTTGCAATCGGCCGAAGAAGCCCGAGCTTGACACTTATGCAGCAATGCAGACGGCGAGACAGCTACGGAATAGATGGCCCGAAAGAATGTCCCAATGGAACATTCTTGAACTGTGTAATTCGGTACAAGAAAGGATGGCTTCACTAACCTTTGACGGCTTCATCGAAAGCGCCAGGCACAGTCATGTCCGGGACTTGGATAGCCTGGACACGACCGGCATCCGCAAATGGCTTGTATGCCCCTTGAAGAAGTCCATCGACGCTCTTGGCAGATCGGGACGTGCCTCGGAGCGTATAACCTTTACGGAGTAAGTCGAATCCAATGGCGGAAGCAATGTAGCCATTGATGCCGGTCACAAGGGCCACCTTGCCATTGCTAGCGGCGAGCGAGGTTGCCATCTTCAAAGCTCCCGATTGCGTGATCGGGGATGCTTGTAGCGATGAAGGTAAGTCGATGGAAGCACGGCAAATCAAGTCGGAAAATTTATTTCTCTCGTAAACTGACGAATAACTGACGATTGGAATTAAGTTGGTGCGCTATTGTCTTTGCTCTGCAGTAAAAGATTGCGATTTCCCGTTCTATTGATGGTATGCAGTAACAATGAAGCGATATGACTGCTTTCAAAAATGAACCCCGAACGAAATGACCAAGGCTTTTATACTTTTCGTGGAAGCCTGAATATGCTCAGCAACAGGAAGAATGGGCTTTTGTAATCATCCCGCATTATTAAAGCACAGCATGATTAGTTTGATCTTCTCCGGCCCGGCATAGAGAGTACACGGGGCGAGTACAGAGAGGTAAGAGGTGAGGTGTTCCCAGGCAATGGCGTCATTTCTCTTGCCGTTCACCCAGCTCGCGTAAGCCCAAAGCACTGGTTGACTGGAAGACATACACAGGTATTCTGTCTACCTCGAACAGATGGCTTTGAAGAAAATAAATCTCATCTGGTCAAATTCTTCATCGAATTGTTTTAAGGTGGGAGACTTGTGGAATTCCAAATTATATGAAAGAACTTCATGTTCACTCAAAGGCTTGCACGATAAAGACCCTGAATCACGAGCACCCTAAGGCCAGGGGAGGGTCCCATATGGTACTTGTTTGTGGATATCAGTGAAATTAGAGCGTCTTATCATCTTCTCTATCTCGCCAAGCATGCGTGCAAATCTTCCTGAGTAGGAAGCTGCGAACGGCCCCTAACCCCACCATCGGCGTAGACAACAGTACGGCCAAGCATACTTGTAGGAACGAGCGGAAACAAGCGGAGTCGGCGGCCGCAAGCCAAGCGCCAGTGGTCTTGTTTAACTCGCCGGCGGGCCGCTGCTAAAGTGACAGTGGTTCGAGATGTTGCCGAGAAGACCTTATCCCCGGCGATTTGACTGATTTCATTGTTTTGTACGAAAGGTACCAAATATTGTGACAGAAGGTGGGTATAGTTCGTGCGCACGCAACAATTGTCCCCGATGCCGTGCCTTTTTGACATGTCCTGACACCGATCCGGCTGCTGCTCGATCAAAAGCTTGAGAGCTTAGCTCGCTCGCCCGAGGCTATCATCAGGACAGGTTTGTTACTTTCCAACATAAGGCCACTGAAACGGAAACCAGCAATTGAGCTTCGACAAGATCCAGAAAGCGGCTAGAATTGGTATCCAAAGCGTCTGCTGCCTTCTAGAACCATTCTTTTGGTTGCATACTCCGTAAACCTGACCTTTCCATCTGGCTTGTTTAACATCTTCCTTGTACGGAGTAGTAGGGAGATAATGCCGCAGTCAAGTGCCTCCTGATAAGAAAGAAAAAAGCAGATGCAACGGAGGGTGATAACGCAAAGGATGCCCAGAATCCAATCCATTCGAGACAGCACGTCTGGTGGGTCCAGATGCGAGTTTCATCAAAGATCCCCGGGCACATGGTAGCAAATACATACCTAGTACTGTAGTAGCAACAACAGCAGCCCCATTCTAATCCCCGGCGATAAAGGCCACGACGTTACATTCTGTCCAATCGAGCACCACCAATTGGTGGACAACCAATTTTCACTCCAAGCCCTGGCACACCATAATGGACCATATATCAGCTCAGGGGTGGGAAGCATATCGTGATCCGCATATGGGCCAGACTGTGGAAGCGTCCTTGTCGCCTTTCTACTTGCCTTTTCTGGATTCGTCTCCTTGCGGCCCTAAGAGCACCCAACATGGATTTATCAGATACTTGAGACGCACCTTTGCCCTGGGGTTTGGTGGCAACACTAGGAACCAACGTTGTGGGTTGCAAATCGATCGAGTATTTAGTTTCCCACGATTTCCCTCTTTTATGACTTTGGCCTTCCTTGAGTTGATTTGATAAAGCCCAAGTTTTCAACAGATAATCGGCTGAACCTATCATGGGTGAGTGAGCCTCAGCAGAGCTTGTTTCCGTCTTGAATCCTTACAAACTAACCCACAAATTGAAGCCTCCAATAATCTCCCAGTGCAGGATATCCTGCCGGCTGGCTCCCACGACGTCACAGTCGCAACGGGCCCAGAGAGATCCTTGGACATCCAGCGCGGTGTGCCAGGTAGCGAAGTTCCTTCTTACAACGATGAGAAGGCTAGCAATACTGTGGTGACATACACAGATGGCGAAGACGAGTTGGAGGAGCCCACTACTGAAGAATTGGCCACCCTGCGCAAGGTTGCTGGTCCAGTGTCCAAAGTTGCTTACACGTTGTGCGCCGTCGAGTTCGCCGAACGTGCATCTTACTATGGATGCTCCTTTGTCTTCTACAACTTCATCGAGTTCCCACTCCCCAAGGGTGGAAACGGCTCGGGCGCTCCGCCCAAAGGTTCTGAAGAGACCGCTGGCGCTCTTGGAAGGGGCCTGTCCACTAGTTCGGCTTTGGTTCTTCTCTTCTCGTTCCTCGCCTACTGTATCCCAATCCTTGGCGGCTGGATCGCAGATACAAGACTGGGTCGGTACAAGACCATTTGCATTGGAGTTGCCGTTTGTGGTATTGCACACATCATCATGGTCTTTGGTGCACTGCCAAGTGTGCTGAAAGCCGGCCATGGCATGGCGCCCTTCGTCATTAGTCTCCTGATTCTCGCATTTGGCGCAGGTGAGTATTTGTCAATGCGGACCTAAATAATATTCCATCAGAAACCAGGCACTGACAATGGTACTTTTTTCTAGGCCTCTTCAAGAGTAATATTGCACCCACCGTCATTGATCAGATTCCCAACAAGAAGGCACACATAAGGACTCTCAAGTCCGGAGAGCGTGTGATTGTCGACCCAGAATCGACAATTCAGAACGTCATGCTAACCTTTTACGGTCTTGTTAACGTTGGTGCTTTCTTCGCCCTCGCCACTACCTATGCCGAGAAGGATGTAGGCTATTGGCTTGCTTACCTCCTGCCTGGTATCATCTATTTTCTTCTCCCAATCCTTCTCGTCGTGGCCTACAAGCGAACTGTGAAGTACCCTCCTCAGGGTAGTGAGCTTGGGAACGTGCTGAGAGTCATTGGAATGGCCATTAAGAAGAACGGTTTCTGGAAAATCGGGCGCAAAGGCTTCTTGAGCGCAGCCAAGCCATCCCGAATCAACGCAGATGGAGCAATCGGAAAGCAGGTCCCCTGGACTGATGGCTTCGTCGACGATGTTAGCAGAACTTTGGAAGCATGCCAGATCTTCCTCTTTTTCCCAGTCTATAACCTGAACGACGGCGGTATTGGCTCAATCCAGACCTCTCAGGGAGCTTCGATGACCACCAAAGGCGCGCCTAATGACTTGTTGAACAACTTCAACCCGCTCACAATCATCGTGGCCGTTCCGATCCTGAGCTATGTCGTCTATCCTTTGCTCCGCCGATACAACATCAAGTTCGGGCGCATCACCCGAATCACCTTTGGCTTCATCTTGGCCGCCATTAGCTCAATCATTGGTGCCATACTCCAATGGCGAGTGTACAAGACTTCCCCGTGCGGATATTATGCCACAAATTGCCAAATTGGAGATGGTGTCTCTCCAATTTCGATCTGGTCACAGCTGCCGCTGTATATTCTGGGCGCTCTGTCAGAATGCTTCTGCAACGTCACGGCATATGAACTTGCCTACGCTCGCTCGCCCAAGCACATGAAAGGTCTCGTTATGGCCATCTTCTTGTTCATGACGGCCATCTCCAGCGCTATCGGCGAAGCCGTCACTCCTGCCTTGAACGATCCCCACCTCATCTGGCCATTTGTGGGTACCGGTGTTGCTGGAATCGTCTTGGCGATTGTGTTCCACTGGATGTATCGTCATCTTAACGATGATGACTTCACTCGCAAACCCACCGAAGACGAGCTGGTCCAACATGCAGATAATGTTAGCTCGCCTAGTGACCTTGAGAAGAAGGAGAGCAGGGAGGGAGCCTAAACACCAGGTTAATGTATGTGCTCTGGCGTTATGACTTATGTTGTTTGATAATCGTGGCTTTTTGTTGGTCCAAGTCACCAAATACCCGGCTGTAGGAGAACGAGGTTACGCTTGGAATGATTCTCGTCGCTGCTGAATTTTTATTTTTATTTTTATTTATTTTTACTTTTTTTTGATCGACAGCTGGTCTCTTATGAAGACATTAATTAAAATGATTCGACATCTTCAAGACTGTGCATCCGAGCAATAATAGTTGGTGAAAACTCCTGAAATATTGTGCATTCTTTTGCTTTTGCAGTGATATAATTCCTTCGACGATCATTATAAGTTTTAAGCGTCAGATGACAAAAAAAAAATATAACGTATTGTTAACGACTTTGGATCTCCCCCAGGGTTGAATGCACGAGCTTGGGCCAGTCAAGGGCTTCAGGCAATGCGTACGTACATGGCTCTACACATCCCAGCGACGTGCAATGAAATGCCTCTCTCCTTGGGGTTACTAAGCGAGCGATGATACAAGTCTCGATTCCAGAAAGTGTTTGAAGAACACGAGGAACACTGTAGAGAGTCTTCGAACATGAAGTAAAGAGGACGTTGACGGTTGAGCGTGAAGAAATTATGAACTAGGATGTGAGGCGGAGACGAAATGTTACCGGCCTCAGCAGGCCAAGGTTGCTATCCCTGGCCCAGCCACAATAGGAGGCGTGCTTGCATTGCGCGAATTCGAAGAAAATAGCCCGGATGAAAGATCCAAATCTTGGACTGACGATGTGGATGGCTGTCGTCAAGCGGCTGGCTGAACGCCCATGCCATTGAGGCTTCACTGTGTCAGGAACCTCCGGGCCCCGCCTTAGGTCCGACTTGTGCGTGGCCTGGCAGCCATCATTATTTTTTCTTGTTTGATATTGCAGCATTACAACCGCATTCAGCTCACGAAAGAAACAGTCCTTACCGGTCCTAATATTTAACTCGCGCTGGTTTGGCTGATGCCTAAAATCCCAAGTAAATTTAAGCAACGGACTACAGAGATACAGAGGTACAGAACATCGAACTTTGTGGTTGCCTGCTCGCCCGTTACGGGGCTCTTTCTCCAGTCCACTAACCCACGTTTGAGACAAGATGAGCTTATGTGCCAAATTTGGAATCAGCTACCGAAGATAGCTAAGGCAGTCGCTAGAATCACACCAAAAGCATTGATTGGGTAAGCCGAGTAGCTCTTACCGGCGTCTCCGGACAGGTACGTACCAAGTGGCACCCTTATCCTGGTATGACTGCTAGCATACTCCGTAAGAGCGACGACAACGTTTCTGTCTCCACCATTGGAAATTCCAGAGGGTAAAGGAATTGGATGAGACCGTGGTGAAAATACCAGTACTCTATTAGTAAGAAAGCAAACTGCCCAACGTTGGCTGGAGAAGAAAGGTTCGCTGCAGATGGCATCCTGCAAAACTGAAAGAAGAACTCGTGATGGTATCTGTAGGTGTATCTTGTCCCACTTATCAGAGTCCAATTATGCAATACCCACGAGGGCAGTAAAAGAACTCCCTGGCATCTCTGCAGCATCAACCTTGTCGATGACATGGAATTTCCGCAACAATTACCAGTTTAGTCCGCGTCGAGACGTCAAATAAGCCCGCATCCTTGGAGAGGACGTTGGCATCCGCCGTGACTCGTTGCGGTGTTTCGGCGAGAGGGGTAAGGTTTGGGGAGGAGAAGAAGCGTTGTCATTGGCTCATCCGTGCACAGGCGATGGTTGAACGCGGGAAGCTCTGGATTCATTTACGGCATTATTATGATTCTCTGAGTTAGTGACGCCGTCTGCCCGTTGTCCTGACTTTCCCAAGAGCATAACTTCATTGTCCGGTTCCCCCTGTCCATCCTCGCTAGTACGCCGGCTTCAATTGGTCGCAGAAAACCACAGCTCCGTACAAGGGAGTCCTGTACAGTAGTGCCATTTTTGATCTGGGGACAACACCCTTTCGGAAGGTTTATGAGAACCCGGGATAGTGTGTCCATCTCCCACAATCGTACTTTTTCCTGCGCATCGCGACTCCTTCGGCCGTGCACCGTTGTACTGTGCCAAGACTCGCCCCGACTCAATGGAGTTTCCCGCTCCTTGTCTGCAATAATAAAGATAGTATAGCACATACCAAATACAATCATATTGCACAATTATATTGCCCCATGCGAGTCGAACGATATCGAGCGTAAATGTGCTCTTATTAATCCGTGTGGAAGAGTAAGTACCCGCAATACTCCAAGCTCAGCGGAGAAACACGCTCATGCTGGATTCTTCTAGGCAGAGCGAAACCCCCCTGTTTGCCCCGCATTTTCACAGAGCCTTGAATGAGCAAGTGACCCAGCTGCTTCTCCTTGTGAACATGATTGTGTGATCATGTATGTCGCTCATCCATTTCACGAGCAAGCCCTGAATATTCTTCGCTTTCATGAGACAGATCAGAGAACGAATCAGATGAAGCTCTTTTTTTTTTATTTGCTTTTGTCTTTTTTTCCACTTTTCTTATTTTTTCTCCTTTGCGCATCTGGCGCCACCTTTGCCACCCGTCATCCAAATCTGGTGAATGCAGCTCTTGAATAAAATACCTGATACATCGAGGTACACAATTATAGTCCTTGATCTTCCAAGATTTTTTTTTTACTTGACCGATGTCATGCTTCGCATTGTTATTTCCTCATCGGGGTTTTTAATCATTTCAGTTGTGGAAACATGGACAAATTTGTTTCTTGACAAATGTTCTAAACCTCTGCGAGCCATTCTATCTGAATCTTTTGTGCCGCATGTTTCTCCTGGGCGATGCTTGGAAGTGTGGCTGCCCAAGATCCGAAACCCATATGGTGTTCCGTCCAGATCTGCGTCCTTCCGTAGTAGTAAACGGGGTTAATCATTCCCAGCAGCACTAATGTAGAGCATGTCATGAGCGCTCGCTACAACAATAACAACAACAACAACAACACCTTTTCCGTTGATAGCTGAGCAAATATATCGTGCGGCTCAGAAGCTCCGTGCGAAAATGCAAAAATGTCTGCTGATTCGAAGAGGCGCGCCCTTCGCTTATTGTCCTATCGGGACGACAACTCTTATACTGAAGTTGAACTGATGCATTTCAAAACTACAACCATTTTTAACAGTATACTTACCTAAGATACCATGGAGAATTGCAGCGGTCACACGGCGGAGATGGGGGCGTCTTGGAGCGCATGGAAAAGCCGGGATCGTCCAATTCCCCATGCATGGCACGTGGATTTTCCCACGGTCCGACAGCTCGGGACTCGAATCAACAAACGCTCCTTGCCGGTTAGACACTATTGAAATCGCATGGATTGGCCTGCAGCCATAAATCGGCACGTTGAATGGCCTCAAGGGAAATGCAATCACTCTTTGAAACCGGCTGGGGAAGAGACCCAGTTCGATTGAGCCAAACGCAAAGACAAGATACTCATGGAGCAAAGAGAGTCATGCCGGTACTTTCAAAGCTACCAGCAAATCGATGATTCAAAAATGTCGAACCACGGCCCTGGGTTTTCATTTGGCCGACTCCCCACCCCCAAAGACCAAAGGTCTAGACCTCTAGCAGGTTCGAATGGACACAACGGGTGGGCAAATGAATTTCTTGGCAGGCAAAGCATTACTCGCAGGGTTTACCGCTTGTCGGTTGACAGAAAGGGGGCAACACCGGGACAACTCTGGTGACAGAAAAAAGGCCGGGGCGCGGGTGGGCGGTCTTGTCCAAATTAAGGTCAAGGGAGGGGCATCGCGCAACGACGGATGGTGGCCTGGAACTCTACCGCCCTGCTTTTAGACTGCACATGGTGCCGAATAGAGCCATGCCCGAAAGCGAAGAACCAACGGATTGGCTGACTCAACCGAGAGACAACATTCCCCCCCAGCATGGGTCTGGCTCGCTAAATTAGCTGGGCTCGGGCCAGGCTGCAGGCCCGCGCTGTCCGTCCCAAAACTGTCCCCTCTAAGAGGTGCAATTCGCCTTTCCAGGTAGGTCTGGAAAGGCATCGATTGCCTGAGAGAGAGATCCGCCCTGTCTGTCGTTCCACACCGTCTCAAACCACGCGCCCATCAGGATCGCTGTCCCCATCAGTGCGACCGATGCTTAAGATAAACCTGACCTACTAGGGCCGCACGGTACCTGGTTCGCTTGCTGGTCGTAGTGGAGGCGAGCTGCAATATCGTGCCACTTTTGCTTGCGACATGGTCATTTTGGGCAGAAGCCGGACGCCGTGGTGTTCCCTATCCCGTCACTCGGTGCCCTGGCAGTGTCCTACCACCTCTCTCTCCTCTCTCACTCTTCACTGCTCTGGCGTGGTTCGGGTACGCGTTGCGGCTGCTTTGTGGGCCCCAAATATCCAAATCGGGCACTGCTGGGTACGACCGCTGTACCAAACAGTACGGAGCACCTGCAATCCTTGGGCCGTGGCAGGGGGAACCCCCCGAGAAAGGTAGGCAAGGAAGGACAGCGAGGCATTCCATCCCCGGGAAAAGACATGGAACCATAGCTCCCAAAGATGATCCCCCAGATCATGCATCCCGGGTACCCAATCTTCGTAGGTGACGTTTGTGCAATCAATCCTGGAGCATGAGGTGACGTCTCTTGCAAAACAATTATTGGAAAGTGGTTACAGGACATATGAAAAGGGAGGCTTTCAGCTATCCGGATGACTAGAGCAACTTTTCATTTCGAAACCGCAACTCAGTATCACGTGCCGAGGGAGTGACCATCAAGCTCTCCGAGGTCATGGTTTAAGATCACGTCGTCGTCGCCGCACAGACGATCGATGTGCGGGTCATTCCAGATACACTCACGCAGTGATGAAGGACGGACTCGACAGGTCCAGGAGTCTTAAGCAGTATGTTAGTGCAGAAGCTGATCGATCGAAAGTTCGGCGATCGCACTGGCCCCATCTCAACGGTAGAGGTCTTGGGGGATCAATATCTGCTTGAATGCCCGAATAGAATGTAAAACATGCGCAAACCCTGAGATCAGAAACACCTGCTACACATTGTACGTTGATCCAGGGCTCTAAAACCCCCGAGGTGAGAACGGTTCCCATCTCGCTGGGAAATACACGAAGCGCTGAACCACAGATGAGAATGTGCAAGTTGGGAAGAACTAGGGGAACCGGGAGAGAAATAGCACGCTTAGGAGTAGAGACGAAGGGGGTATAGAGTGCGGTGCAGTGGTTTTAGCAGGAGATGAATAAGGTGTGCGACTGTGTATCTGGGGGGGGCTTTTTCCCTTCGCTTGCACCACGGACTAGACTCAAAGAGGGATTTGGGGTCGAACTCGACGGATGAAGCTCGACTCGATTCGACTCGACTCGAACCCTTTGAACCATTCGAGCCGTGCCGGGATCGATTGCTATTAGTTTTCCAGTCACGACTGCTGGTAACAAGTATAACCGCGAATGCTTTAGGCTGCCCGGGGGAGGCTGCTAGTCCATGTACGGGCAACGCGCAGGCGCATCCTCACCCACACATCCCGCCTGGCCCTGATACCGGCGCGAAAACAGAAGTTTAAGGCCCCCCCCCCCCTCCGCCCGCCCAGGAGAGACAGAACAGGCAGGGCAGACAGACTGAAATGAAGCGACAGACCACAGATAGATGAACGAAGGGCCTAGAGCCAGACCCTCCCCGGCCGTTGCTTCTCTTTCCCTCCCCCCCCCCTTCCCTCTTATCCTCGCTACTTGCCCAACTCACCTTTCCTCATCACGACTAAATCTGCCCCAGCGCGTTCTTCCTCCGGACTTCCCCAAGCGCACCCACTAAATGCCTTGCCCACCCCAGAGTAATGTGTACGGAGGTAAAGCAAGCCAGAAATCCTCCCAGGCGGCTTCCCTAGACAAATCTGTTTCCCTCCACACGCGCACACACCCTACGCTCAAGAGGAAAAGAGGAAAAAAAAAGAAGCTCGACCCGTATCCGCCTTTTCACAACCAAACCCAACAGCCCACCCCTCGGCCGTGATCCAGATCGTTTTGGTTTGTTTCCCCTCGGCCCTTAATCGCATGGCTAGCACCTGCACCAGTCCAACCACGCGAATGGTCACCTAATCCTGGCATACATAATACCTGAGAGTGCCACCGCCGCGGTGCCAGCCTTCAAGACCGCCATCCGCCCTCTAAAAGCGCCAGGTGAGAAAAACGTACTGGTGCACCCCTCCACTTGACCCCCATACAGTACCTGACCTTGCCGTCTTCTTACTCTCGTCTCCTCTTACGTGGATTCTGTCGCTATCTGGTTCCCATCTGCCCAAGCCCAGCATTGCAAGACGTCGTGCGGGCCTTTCGATCAAGTTGCTTCAACTGCGAGCCAGCTCGCAGTGATAGATTTGAGCAGCATCTTCTCCTCTTCGTGCCTTTCAGAACCGTGGGTGTTCTTGCTTCTTCCTCTGTCTTCATCAGAGAAAGGTAACACGCGAGATTGCCTTGGTGAAGTTGGGACGGAAACACTTAAGCTTCATATCTATACAAGTCCATTGTTCACAGAACTTTCAATAAAGCCCATTCGACTTCTTTGGAAACGGCTTTCGGAAGCATCGACTCTCATAGTCATTTATCCTGTCCTCGGCTTGGAGCTCAGCGTTGATCAGGAGGACGATCCCCGCCATCATCTCCTCTACTGACATCAACGGCCACATCGTTAATCAACGACGCGAATTACTGGTCTCATTGTTAGACAAAGAGGATTGAAGCTTCGCCGACTCGTATTCGACCTTTCAAAGCGGTTAGTATATACGCATATTCTGGCTACCGGTCTGCTTAACGCTCCTCCACACGTTTCTCATCTCGACTATCAAGGCGATTCACACCATCATATTCTTCCACGAGAGGTCTAACTCGCACCGACACATCCTGCCGGTTGCTGAGTAAAGCAGTGCCATCAGTCGAAGGATTTTTCAATCACCAGCTTTAACCCCAATAGAGATCGACACGGAGTTTCACTGCGCTTGACCTCCGTCATTACTTAACCCCCAATTAACCCCTCTTCCCCACCTGCCTCTGGCGGATTCCATCTATATAAACCGTCAACGTGGCTTCCGCAGCTGTCCAGACGTCTTACATGAGTTCTGCTACTGATCCGATGGGCGCTCCCTCGAGCTTTGCTGCCCGAAGATCAGCTGCTTCAAATCTCCCAGCCTTCGAGCTTCCGCCTCCATCATTATCTGCTATCCAGCAAAAGTTCCCGTCATTCACCACCGTCAATGTACCGCAACCGTCTCCCGTCAACGCCAATGTCAACAGCGTCGGCAATCTCTTGACGCCACCGTCCCAAGCTCCCGGTGACGCACTAAGTCCTGTTTCCTCTGGACTTCATAGCGGGAGTTCTGGCTCCACCCAGGGTTTACCGGCGTACAGCCCGGGTGCAATCTGGGCCGCCGCTTCTCAGGGAGCGGCTGCTCCGTATACCCTCGGCTCCACACCAACCTATGGCACGCCGAATGTCATGAATCCGCTTCTCCCGCCGCGAGGAATGTTCTCACCCTCTTTTAACTCGCTGACCCGGAATAATACCAACTCCCCAAGCGCAGCAGATGCACTTCCTCCGCCACCCTACGAACTCAGTCTGCCGCCTTTCCCTACATCCGCGTCCATGTCGGCCCCTGGAGCTCTGCCAGCATTGGCGGTACAGCAGCAAGCAATGGCGCTTCTGAGCGCACAAGCACCCACCAGTACAGCTGGCTCACAACCCTCTCCTATCCCGGCGTCTGATCCTTATCACGCCCAAAGACAGCCTCCGACACCGTCCTATTACGGCGGATCTCAGTCGTCCTCAACGCCACATCAATCCCAGTACGCTGGATTCTCTGCTCCTTCGCCCAGTCAACAGAACCCTCTCAATGCTCGACACCCCTCCTCGCGACTATCGCCTCCTGGTGTTACGCAAGCTCCCATGCTCCAAGCCGCTGCAAATCCTCAACTAAATCATTACCCCCGAGCTCTTAGCGCATACTCTCTCCCTGCGATGCCCGGTCCAGTGATGTCGAACATGCACAGCCCGGGAGGACAGATGGCGCTCATCGGAAGTATGGCCAACGGCTTGCTTACGGGTTACCACGGACCACATGCAGCGGGCATCTCCCAGCTATACGGAGCCCATGCTCAACCGCCCCCTCAGCCTTCAAATGATCGGCCTTTTCGATGTGATCAATGCCCTCAAAGTTTCAATCGCAATCACGATCTGAAGCGGCACAAACGAATTCACCTTGCCGTGAAGCCTTTCCCGTGTGGGCATTGCGAGAAGAGCTTTTCCCGTAAAGATGCTTTGAAGGTAAGTTTGAATCGTGAAACCGGTATAGTTGTCCAAAAATTTGGAATGCTAATTTCAAAATAGCGACATATCCTTGTGAAGGGCTGCGGAAAAAATCGTGACGAAAAGCACGAGGGTTCAGTCTCGCCCGTCGATAAGTCGGAAATAATAAGCAACGACAGTGCCGACGAGGCCAATAGCATTTCAGGCCATCGTCCGAAGAATGAAATTTAGGCATGCGACTCTCTCCTTGACAGTTCCGTTTCATACTACAAAGCGTGTATATTTACGGCTACGAGCGGAAAGCGGCGTTCTCTGCGATTATTTTTTTTTTTTTTTTTTTGGTCGTTGTTGGGCTACAGATCAACGAAGTGTTCGGTGTCGTTTGCCCATTAGGGACTATCAGAGTTGTATGATGAAGTCCTTGGATACCTCAGGAGCATGTACTGTTTTTAGGCGTCTTGCATCTGGCTCTGGGAGCAATCTTAAGGGATTTACATCTTTTTCTTATTCGTCTTTCATCTTTCTAAGTTCTAACATTTTTTTTTTCCTATGATTTTATCTTAGTGTGCTGCAGTCAAATCCTCGTTACACATATATGGAGCTGCCACTTCTCTATTTATCCTACGCCTTCCCCTTTTTTTTTTTCTTGGTTGAATTTGGATTATCTATCAACTTGGTCGGATGCGCTCAGGGCTCAGGGCATAGGCATTGCATACTTTTGTAGCCACGGTGTGGTTAGTCCCGAGCGAGGACTCCTGGTATCTGATTGTGATTCCCTGAAGTCTTAATTGAATTTACAGTGGTCTTCAAGTTGGTGTCATGCTCAAGTGTATGCGAATTTTGCCTGAGCTTCCTGGATAATTGCTTGCATATATTGTATTTAAGCTGTCAAGAATCAAGAAAGTCGCAAACAGAGTGGAGCGAAAGAATTGTATATGAAAAAAAAAAAAAAAAAAAAAAATGAAAATATAAAATGAACCAATCAAAGAGGCCAAGTGAGGATGGATTAAAATGTATCTTTACACGTACGTAGGATTCATGAATGAGTATTTGTCTCCACCTGGAGATGGCGCAAATTATACATTTCACTTTTGAAAATAAATAAACAGAAGTTGGACGGGGTGCATGGTCCAGCTGCTGGGGAAGCTGCAATGATCGACGAACAACCGAGAACCCTGATTAGTCACGCTGCAAAGAGTTGCTGAATCAGCGTGGAGCTGCCCCCCTTTCCCCCGGGGCTGGAGAGCAGTTGGTCGATCCGAAACGGCGGCCAACGGATTAACCTCCAATGATCTCTCGGCCCGTTAGCCCCCTGGTAGCCTCTATGGATGATCAACGGGACGACTGACCACCAGAATTTCTTATATAGACCTTTACCCTGCATGCACTTCCTTAAATACGCTCTTTTCCAGTTCTTCATACTAACAATGAGAACTTGCTTTGAATTGACACGTTATTATAGTTTTCTTTGCTTAATGTTTGATGTTTACTAGTTGGTTTGAGCCGAAACACCCCGCTGAAATCCCCTAGTATGTGCGAACCAGCGTGCGAAAGCGACGTGGTTTCGATTCCTCGAACGTTTTGCTTCGACCAAATAGGCCAATGCAAACAAGGGCCTCCTTGGCGTCTATTTTTGGATGAAAGGATATACGAGCAAAATAATTATCCCGAATTGCCAATAGAAGAGACGGCATCCAATGCTGTAAGGACAAAAATGATTGGTGGAACCGCCTACGTGGTAATGCACATGCCTTCTGCACACTCTAAAACAGCTCGTTGCATGCATACTTTGAAGGTAAAAGCTGAGTCTGTTGAAAGCAAAGCCGTTGGCTCTTTATGTATGACTGTGGAGCCGAGATGAAGTGGCATTCCTTGGTGGTCTAAGGTGGTGTCGGAGGACGGGCACTTGACACATTCCTCACCATTCGGCTTCGCTTCGTCACAGTACTGCTCTACCAACAACAAACACAAACATACTACCCTTTGCGTTTCTAGACTCCATTCTTCTCCTAGATAGGCAATTTGCCACTGGAACGCATTGCATGTTTCTCACCATGCGCACTTCTGCTTTGCTCGCTCCTTTCTAACATCATCGCACGAATCCCGCTGTGTCATCTTGGTGTCGTTTGTTGTTGTTGTTGTTGTTGTTGCCTTCCTTCAACCTCAGCTTGAGCAGGAGCAGTGGCTCAGTCTTTAGACAGAGGCAATACTAAGCCTACCCAAGGTCGGTGATTTACATGCAAACCAAGAGTATCTTCATATTGACCGGCCTTCCTTCAGACGAGCACAGGAAAGGGTTCAATCTGAGAGCTTCATTGGCTTCCAGATAAACCAAACATCCCAGCTGGATAAATAGTGCCACACTGGTTTCATGATGCGGCGTGGATAGCTATTGACAACACTTGCTCACCACCAAAAACCCAATCGAGGAATTGAAGGATCCAATAATTCTAGTGCTCTGCCCCTAGAGGATCCCTCACACTCTGAACAACGTCGAAACGGAAGACTCCTGTCCCCTGACGGACTGTTTTGGCTAGAAACCATGGGGCCTACCAACGCGCACGACAGACCGCCGACGAGGAGACAAATTCTTGGAGACGCAACCTCGAGAGCGAATGTTTCTCGGCCATCAAACAGACGCCCAACTACTGACAACAGCTTTTCGTCGCCAATACCACATCATGAATCCCTTAAGCCTGGAGGCAATCTTGCGGCAGTTTCGGATTTCCCCTCCCCAAAGGTGGCCGCCGGAAATCCAAGAGTCTCCGCTGTCGTAAATGAAGACGTTTACAACTCCAACCGCAACTCCCAAATATCCACAACGTCGACAAAAGCATCAGGGAAGAGAAAAACACATATAGGCCCATGGCAGCTAGGTAGAACGCTCGGAAAAGGAGCCACAGCTCGGGTGAGACTGGCGAGAAATGTTATCACGGGCCAATTTGCTGCAGTCAAGGTCGTTTCCAAGAAATCAGCGGTTCGAACCAGAGCAACAAGTCTCGCTGGCTTGGATGCTTTGGCAGCTGCGGCTGATGGGGAAGATGCTCCGACTATGCCGTTTGGCATTGAGCGCGAGGTTGTATTGATGAGACTCCTTCAACATCCCAACGTGATCAATTTGTATGACGTTTGGGAGAACCATGGAGAGCTGTGAGTCGACTTTTTTTTTTTTTTTTTTTATTTGCTTGCACACGATCATAACCTTTGCTGATATTCATAACTTTTTGACCTCCAGATATTTGGTCCTCGAGCATGTTGAAGGGGGCGAGCTTTTTGATTATGTTGCGAACAACGGCCGGCTCCCCGAATGGGAAGCTGTCCGCTTATTTCGACAGCTCATCGCTGGCTTATCTCATTGCCACCGATTCAATGTTTATCATCGGGACCTCAAGCCGGAGAACATACTTCTTGACCGAGACTGCAACGTGAAGCTGGCCGATTTTGGAATGGCTGCCCTTCAACCGGTGGGTGTCTTGCTTGAGACATCTTGCGGGAGCCCGCATTATGCAGCCCCGGAAGTTCTCAGCGGCCATCGTTATCGTGGAGACAAGGTTGATATATGGTCTTGTGGTGTTGTGCTTTACACCATGATTGCCGGACAACTGCCCTTTAATGGGCCCACACTGGCGGACATTTTCAAGCAGGTGAAGCTCGGACGCCTGATGATGCCAACCGATATGAGCATGGAAGCGAGGGATCTAATTCATCGAATGCTTCGTCGAGATCCAAATGTTCGTATCGACATGGCCGGCGTACGGCAGCACCCTTTGATGACGAAATACAAGCCCGAAGGGGGATATACCGGAATTGATTCTACGCTAGAAGCATGGGCTGATATATCACCGTACGACCTTAACCAAGAGTATCAGAGACCGATTGGCGGTCGAGACGAGATTGACAAGGAGCTCCTACGAAATTTGCAAACGCTATGGCACAGGGAAACCAAAGAGGACTTGATCAAAAAGCTGCTAGATCACGAGTAGGTGCACTAGACTCTCTCTCGGATACCTCCATCTTCTGACAAAAAAAATCCTCTGTAGACCGAATCAACAAAAGTACTTTTACCGCGCTCTCATGAAATATAGAGAGGACCAGTTGGAGAATTTTGCCGGGGCAGCGCTAGGATACTCGGCAAGTGATTACCATCATAGCAAGCCAGCTGCCCGAGGAAGGACTCCAGTCAGGCAGCAATCTCAGTATTCGATCATCTCTTCCGATTACATTCACCCGCGGGATGCGTATTATGACGAACCGAGAGTAGCAAAGACCGGTGACAGCTACGATCCTTTCCGAGCCTCGTCGGGGCCAATGGGCGAGGCGCGAGCATCTTATGCTAACGTAACGGTCCATCGGGGCCGTCAACCTCACACCAGACATGCAGCGACCATCAGGAGCCATGGACCATCCAGCTCTCGGGCTTCGGTTGCAACATCCCGCAGATCCCATCGCGCTGCACGTCGAGATGGACATGACTCTAGGAGCTCTTTAGTCAGCTCGCAGTATCCAAGTAGTCCACCAGTTCTTGTGCCGCGAGGCTCCCGACGCAAGAGAGGGGTGAGCTTCTCTCATCTCCGAAAGCGAGTTCCCTCGGGCAGCCCTGAAGTGGTCACGCAGAGACTAGAATCGCCACGGACCCCAGTTCGGTCGTCTCCGTTTATGGGGTCGAACTACACCGCAGCCAGCCGACTCGCCACGTACGGGGACGATAGTCCGATACCGACTCGGGAACAAATTGTGCGGTCTCGAAAGGGCCCAGCTGTCGTGGAGACGAATGTCCCTCGAACAAAAAAGTCTCGCGTCCCCAGCCATGCTTGGAATGATGAGACGAGACATGTTAGCAGTGAGCTGGAGAAATTCTGCGATGAGCTCTTCAATGGGCCGCCGGTATCTGAACTTCAAGGATCTACACCTGCCGAGAAGCCCAACGGCAAACAACCCAACCATGGGGACACATTACGATCGGTGTCTGTGAATGGCCCAACCCCTCATAGCAGATCTGTTGCGGGTGTAAATATTGCATCTCTGAAATGTCAGACGCTCACAGCTTCTTACTCTCGCCAAGGAGCATTTCCTGACCAACAAGTCGATTCCGAGGGAGAAATGGAGACATCTGGCCGCCGGATTCACGACCGGGATGAATCTGAAGGGTACTTGGACGATGTTATCGCTCACCTTGACCGTCTCATGCAGCCCAGTACAGCCGCTCACGACATTCAGGATATGAACAGACGAATCGCATCTGCGCCGGGTCCTCGAACTCCCATGAGCCAAATACATCTCCCTGCAATATCTGAAGAAGGCCGCTTCTCTGATGCTGATGCCTCGCAAGGTAGCTTGGATGAAATTTTTGGAATGAGGTCAGTCTCGCAGCCAATGACGACCACTCGGCAGGCTCAATCGCTCCGACGAGAGGTACACGAGTTGGAGACTATTCGTTTGGTTGGCAAACCGCCGCAGAATGTGCCCGCCGATGCGATACCAGCTCTTAACATTCGCAAAAGAAACGTCGAGAGAGTCTTGGGGGCACCGAATGGCAGACCCATGCCAGAAAAGAATACGCGCAAAAGTCCTATGCTCGACTTTGTAGATATCGAAGACGAGATGGCTCATGGACAATCGGACAATGTGGGTGGCCGCAAAGGAAGCGGCGACCAAAAGTTGAAGAGCTGGTTCAAACGACGGTCGAAGCATATGTCGGAAGGTTCGCGAGAGACGAGTGCAAGCTATGAAAGCTCCCAGGAGAAGCAGAACAAGGACGCACGAGCAGTCGATTCCACGGGCGACAAACGGTTTAGTGGAGCTTCTCAAAGAACAACAACCTTTCCAGCACAGCCGGGTTCACGCAAGTCTTCAGGGGCAAGCAAAAAGGGTCTTTTTCGAATGTTTGGTAAACGCGAGTCTGGACACGAAGACGAAGAGATTCTTCCCTACGGTAAATATAATGTTTCAGCAATTGTACATATTCGACCGACTAATGAAACAATCTAGGTGATTCCGTCAGGGATAACGATATGGCTTCAGATGTAGTCGTCAAAAACAAGCGGAACCAGCGTAAGCGAGTCAGTGAGAGACTGGTCGAGGACGTTCACTTCCGCTCGGCACAGCCACAGCAGAGCTGGTTTATGCGATTGTTTCATATCAAGCCTGCTACGGCCCTAATGTGCTTTGCCACCACCAAAACGAAGGCCCGCCGAGAAGTAGCTACCGTCCTCAGGGGCTGGAGAAAATATGGACTCCGGGATGTTGCAGTTGACGCGCAGCGCAGCTTGGTTTTTGGACGAGTCGATCAGAATAATTGTGAGTCTTTCTTATCCAAAATATTTTTTATTTTCTGGGTAGCTGACTAGACCAGACCTTCGAATCAAGGAAGTGGAGTTTGTTTGCGAGGTCATGACTGTCCTTGAACATGGAAGACGAGCACAACTCAGTATTGCTCGATTTACGCAACAGCGAGGAGCCGCTTCAAGCTTTCACAAGGTCGTTGGTACTCTCGAGGCGGTCATGAAGTCGAGGGACATATTGGTAAAGGATTCGAAGAAGAGGGCAGAAATATGCAAAGTTCTTGGATGAGTCTGATCATTGTCGGCTTTTGCTTGCATTCTTGTAGTAGCCTTGAGCCAGCGCTACTGATATTTTATCCGGTATTCATCAGAGCTGGTGGTCTACCAGCTCTCATTTTGTCTATCACGCTTTCATTAGCATTATTTACGCGGAGCAACCAGTCCTGCATTCTGACAGGTTTTCCACCGTTACAAGCATCAGGACGGTCTTTCTTTTAAAACATCATTTCCTTTTCTTTTTCTTGATTTCCCGCCTATCGTTTCCTTTTTTCGATATTCATGTCAATTTTGGGGTAGCGCCTCCAGTGCAGCCCTTTCCAGGATCAGGACAGGATCTCGCAAATAACATTGTCCCACTGTTGCCCCTTTTCTTACTTAAAAATAGCCATCCATCCTGCGCATCTCGTCGCAGACCTCCTGACCATACTTCTTCTGCAATATAACAGTCCTATCAATGCACATTACGCCGTTTTAATTAATACTTTTTTCCTTTTCTTCTTCTTTTCTTTCCTTCCTTTCTTTCCTTCTTTTACTTTCTTTACTTTCTTTGCTGTCTTTACTTTCCTTTCTATCATTTCTTTCCTTTGTCTTACTATCGACGCAAGTATTGTTAAAAACTTAATCCTAGACATAATCCCGCAACTTAGCACGCCGAAACGTCTCGTTGCAAATAATAAACTGATTACCGCAGTTTTCGAATACATGGAACATGTCGTCCTAAATGATCTGATGATTCTTTAACATCCGGTTCATCCTGGGCTAAGACTCCTTGATCGGAGTTTTTCATGGCATGGTGATGTGGTGTACCGCGGTGTATTATCATCGTCGACCGTGGTGTACTATCTGTCCAGTATCCCTTTAGTTTCCGTCGAGGGTCCCTTCGATATCCCTTTACTATCCCTCCGATATCCCTCCAGAACCCTTTCGACATCCCGCCAGTATCCCTCCAGTATACCTTAGGCACTCGTCACGAATGACGACATCTGGAAATGGCATCTCAGTCTAATCCACGGAAGCTTTGTTGATGCCCGCTATGCAACACCGGGGCGAAGTTCGACCCGACAGTCTATCTTATGTATAGGTGGTTAGCGGGCTGCGGAGAGTTCATTTAATTCATTGAGGTTCATAATGTTCATTTACCTTTACATTTAAGTTATTTACCTTATGAATGTAAAATGGGTCCTGGATTCCTGGTCTTTATTATTCTCTTTTCTTTCCCGTCTTTCCGTCCCCTCTCCTCTCATCCCGCTCTTTTCTTGTCTACTGCCGGAGGAGGAGGGGGTTGGGGTCTTGTTTTGCCCTTGGGAAGCTTGGAAGTACCTGGAGTGTGTGATGTGACCGTCATTGCTCGGCTGTTACTTATTGCCATTGCCGTTGCGGTTAAACGTTGCTGTTACTTTTTCTTGCAGATTGTTACTCGTCAGATATTGCTAATACTATACTCAATGCTCAGTGCTCAGTGCTCAGTTCAATGTGGCTGCCAAGTCTGGTCCACAGTCTGCCGTCCGCTGTCCACCATCTGCCGTCCAAGTCGATAGTCCGCTCCGCAGTCCAGTCCGCAGTCCACGCTACACAGTCATAGTTCGCACTCCGCACTCCACAGTCCGGTCCGCACTCCACAGGGTCGGCACGCTTCTGTATGAGACTCTAGGAATAGTCGTGTTGTCGTATTGTCATGTAGTAGTATCATTGTTAGTTTTGTAAGGTTTGGACAGTGGAGGCGGGCATTGACATTGTCCATTGTCCATTGACATTGACATTGACATTGACATCGTTCATACTTCATCCTTCAACATTTCGTCGTCTCATCTTGTCGAAGTGTAAGCAGACTCAAACAGCTACATATATAGATCAGCTATATATATATATGGGGTATTTAATATGGCACGTAGAAGGTGCAAAAGGTACCTATATAAGGTAAACAATAATATAAGCTACCTACCTAGGTAGTTAGGGGCTAGGTATATAAGGGGGTATATAAGGAAGTATAGTAAACATGTATTGCTCAATGCATATGTGTGCTGCTCGTCTCATCTCAGATTCATATAAGACGTCCCCCCACCTGAGTAGCTCGTGTTTTTGGACAAATACTATAAACCATGAACTATAACAAGGAGCATGAGCATGAGATGAGTATGAGAGGGTATGAGAAGAGCATGGGCGTAGGCGTAGGTAAAAGTAGATGCGGTGTATGCGGTGTATGCGGAGTATGCGGAGTATGTGGAGAATAAACGTACCCCTGAGTCGCATAGACCCGCTGAAGATGCTGAAGATGCAGAGGCCCGGAGGGGCCGGAGGGGATCAAAGCACATGCACGACACAAGACACAAGATACAAGATACTTTTTGACAAGTAAAATCGGTTTCATGCCAAGTTAATTACTCCTGTACTTGTAGCTTAAGGTGTAGGAGGTAAGTCGTGGTCTAGCTCGCAGGAGTCAGGACGTAGGTCTAGCTCAATCAACACGGGGGTTCACTCCGAGGTTAATAATTGTGAGCATCTCATCTACAGCACCTACCTTACCTAGAGATATTAAGGAAATAGGAGGTATATACGGTATAGTAAGTATAGTGTTTAAGTCATGGCTAGCTATACGTTCAGGAGCTACAGAGTACCTATTTACGGGCAATAAGTTACTGTTGGCGCTTGAGTAAAGTCTAATCAACACCGAGCTTGCATTTGACTCGACGACGGTAGAGCTTTCATTATCCACTATCCGGTTATACACGGCTATTCGAGTTCAATAAGCTGTACCTCCCATGATTTGAGAATGTACCTTACGTATCTACCTCACTATTCTCCTTCCCGCCGTGAAACTAATACGAGACATAAAGGGACTCCTCCCCAGAGGCCATCATCTACGTCAAACAATCTAATGCGAGGAGAACGAGGGTCTCGCTGGGGGGCTGACAAATATCCAGCCCAGCTGATCGACATTATGTCAACGATTGCGAATCGGTTCTGCTCAGCGTGTGTACTCCGTAGCTGAGCTATATCCAATAAACGCCACGTCCACTGGTCGGACGCGTATATATTGGGATCTTCCCAGCACAGAGCGGGCCGTTTTCGAAGCGGAAATCACGAACTATTGTCTCGTGCGAGCCGCGTACCCTGGAGAAGGGCGTCTTTGCCCGCGGTACATTGGTCTGCCGCACTGACCCTTGAGAAACCAAAAGGGAGCTTGAAGTGACTTTTTCGTCCAAGGTCAAGGTATATTCATACTGTAATAGACAGACTGGGGCTGAAATGGACGCAAGCTGGTTCATGCATCAGTCACCTTGACTAGATCTCAGGGCAGTCCAACAGTCCTATGGTCTTTCGGCTTCAGTCCGATGACGTGGAACCAGAAGTCGATCCTCTGGGGCGAGGTCCAAAACCCAAAAGGAACTGGTACAGAGTCCTGTATTGTGATGGTACAAGTATTCTGCTCATCCAATTCATTTGGTCTCAAAGGAACCTAGGTCCTTTGGACCTTGGACAAGAGTAGACGGAGCGGTCTAAAGAAATTAGGGTGCTGTTCGGGTCGGTCGTGGCGTTCCCGGTCGCGACACGACAGCGTGACTGTTGTTCTTCTCGCCCTTTTTGCAACTGGGTCTGGCTCCGCACCGGCCCACGCATGGCTTCCTTTTACCGAACCCACCGTTCAATTTCCACCCGTCCCACGCGAAAAGACCCAAGAACCAGACTCCATGTCAAGGACGGGTACAAGTCGGCCGGCCAGCTTGAAAATAGGTAGGTCACCACGGGTACGGTACGGTGCGGTGCGGGCAAAACTTTGTTTTTCCTGTATTTCGCGTGGGAAAAAGACTGTAGGGGGGAAGGGGAAAAAAGAAGTGAGAGAGAACAAGAAACTTGCGCACACACACGCAAAGAGAAGTAGTTCAAAGAAAGTAGCTGGCTTTCGTGTATGTTTGCTGTATTCGATTTAGTTAGATGAGGCCGATCAGTAACTCTACTCGTACTCTGTTGGTCAGTTTCCCAGCCGCCCTGATCACGACGGATCTAATCTCAATCTGGATTCTGCCATTTCAAAGCGGTTGCGCAAGATCACGATGATGATCATCGTTACCTTTTCAACCATTTTTTGAGGAAAAAGCAATAACGAACCATGACTGGTTGGGGGGTCGACGTTGGGGTAGAGGGAAAAAGGAAAAGAAAAAAAAAACGTGTAATTCGATCGACAAATCCCACATGAAACCAAACCTCGACAGGCCTAAACGCAGGTAGTGCTCAGTACCAAGGGTACAAAAATCTGAAACCAACGATGATCGACGGGTGATTGCAGGGAACGGTCGTCATGTATGGTCACCTTAGGGTTTTCTGAGTTTTCCTTTCCCAAAGGCAAGTGGTCCCGAGATTCAACGGCAGAAAAAGAAGGAAAATAGACGGTAGGAAAAGCAATCAGAGTGGGGACTTGCACGAAAACAGACCGAGAAAAAAAGCATATCGTGACTCTGTACGTAAAATGAAATTACCATTGGCGAAAATCAGAAAAAAAAAAAAAAATAATCGAATTATTGAATTGCTTGTCAGGGAAATTGTGAGACGAGACTGTGAGACGAAACTTTGAACCAAAAAAAGCTTGCGTACAAAGGACCGAGGGCAAAACGTACAAAGTACCGCCGAAATTAAATGTGTTTCCAATTACCAAGTAGTGTTGAAGTGAACCATGGTTCATATGAGAGTCGACGATTATATCCTGTCTTCATTGAAGTGCCAAGTGGGGCGTAGAAGGGCTTGGCTGTCTCGCAAAAAGCCGCAAAAACTGTCAAAAGGCGGATTGTGCCGAGGTTTTACAGCTCCATCTCGGTCGCTTGACTTAGCGACCGTAGACTTGTCGATCAAAAATTTCCGAGCGACACCTGGCGATCACCACTCGAAACACACACCCTGTCCAGCTGCAACAGTGCCAATGTGTTTCATGCAATAGCAACATGGATTGTTGACGAATTGAAGAAATATCTTCTCAGAACCTCTCTTTTCTTGAGGCTTTTCCTTGCTAGTTAGATTTAACTTTTTCCTTTCCCTTCTTTTCCATGACAAGGTGCCTATACTGTCCTGGTATGGTGTCCTTACTAGACTATGACATGGTAGTATGCGTCAATGGAGGGACAGCGGGGCAATACAGTACTCCAGAGCCCCTCCTAGAAGTATACAACTGCCGCCATTTCAAACCAGTGAGGACAACCACTCCTGTAATGTTCAACTGCAATAATCCAACCCATGGTTGACCCTTGGTTGTGCGGGCTATAAAGTGAGATATGCTCCAATCATCACCCGAACAAAACAATTGACTTGACACATGAGGGTCGCAGAAACAAGGTTCATGCCGTTATAGTACAAAGGACAACCCATCGGCGTTTGCTGCAAGATGACGGTAGTAGCGGTGGTTTAACAAAACTGGCCTCCGCTTTGTTCACCCCTCCCGGTGGGGCAATAAAACGGTAATTCCCTTTTCGTGGCAGGGCTTTATACTAAACTTGAGAAGATTATTTCCTGCCGTTGCAGTTGCAGTTGCACGTCCTGCGTAGAGTAACCAAAGTATATTAACTCAATAGTGGGAACAGTGGAGACCAAACCCACCTGCTCACGAAAAGCGCAGTCTCCCATCTGCAATAATACCCATCAGATCGCTAATCTTTTAGGCTTCTATCAAACATCATTGGCCCATACCGACGGTTAGCACTCTATTGTCAATATTAGGGCCCCCGCTGCCCCTGCCCATGAACAGGTGGCCCAGGTCTCCGGAAGCGCTCCTCATTACTCTTTTAGCCAGTAGACATACCAAACGGCGCTTCTTCTTCTTCTCTCTCGTTTCCCCCCCCTCCTTCTCCTCCCTTTTCTCCTCGGACTACGGTAGTATCGGGCCGGTCAGCCTTTGCCGGCCAGAAAAAAAACGAGCGGTCAAGCCGCCAGCAAAGAAAAGCGCAAAACGAACAAGAGTCCGTTCTCAATTTCTCGGCAAGTGGGCCGACAAATGATACGCACAACCGCGCGACTCTTTAGCATAGCTCGCACCAACGGTACGGCCCCAAAATGAATCCACCTCCCCCTCTCGAAGCGGATGACGCCGCGTTGGCCGCTGGTCTGACGGGAATAACGGCAAACTTGGCGGGTAAGTGGCTTCGGCTTCGCACGTGGAAACAAGGAGAACAAAAGGGAAATTTTTTTTTCTTCTTCTTTTCCTCTTTTTTCTCCATTATTTTTGTGAAAATATAAACCTCCCTTTGTAAATGACGTGTGAATAGACGGCCAAAATCCCGGAAATTAAATCCCGATTTGTTGTCCAATAATGTCAGCCTCCTTTTCCCTTTCCTTGGATGCAATTTCTTTCAAAGTAGCGGGATATCTGCACCCGCAATTCTACACTTGGTAAGTGAGTCGTCTTTTTCTTTGTCCAAAAAGCTAAACTCATAGACAGTTTCTGTGGAAATATGTGTGACATGGAAATTTTGTGATAAAAGGAACAGAGAAATTAAAGAAAAATGAAATAAAAAATTATTTACTTTACCCTTGGTATTTTCAAGTGCTTCCGAATGACAGAAATGTATATATCCACTAAGTTGCAAATGGTTCGGACACTGTTAATTTCCCCCTCTTCGATTTTTCTCTTTTGTGGAAAGAAAAAAAATTAAAATAAGGCCGAGCTACAGTTAGTCGCTGCGGTCGGTGTACGGAGTGAAAGACAGCGATGATGGTGATGTCATTTGCCGAGAAAATTCTCCCGAAAGAGGAAATATGCAGCGTGCCGCAAACCGCTAGCCGCGGTATAACCGTACCCTGTAAGCTGGTCAGACCCTCGGACGTACGTTCGACAATACAGTAGGTAGTTAGGAGACAAAGAGCCAAAAGACATTCAACATGGCAAAACAGAAAGTGAAAAGATGACAGAAAGAGCATATTGAAGCACAAAAGATCCCAGACTCACAATAGGCAGAATATCAAATCATAACCATAAAATAATATTTGCAGTGTAGCTATGTACCAAAACCGCAGCATTCAGACTTCATATAATCCGTCAAAACAGTGAAAATATCAATGAGGCCGCCCATTTCCATTTCACCCAATGTAAGTGTTTCCAAACAACCAAAAAAGCAAAATTCCAGCCCGATTAAAAGAGACATAGAAAAAAAAAAAAAAGAAAAAGGGCGGAGAAGCGTTGCAAAACAATACCGGAAGAACAAAGAAGTGACAGAAAATAACAATTCAGATAGCCGTCCCATGCTCGATGAAATGGATATTGCTGCAGATAAGCCGCCCAACCATTTATCCCAAAGTTCAAGTGCTCCCGCCCTAGGCGCAGTATATGGGCACCTTTTCCCGTTTTTTATTCGTAGAAAACCGCAAGAAGGACAATAGCCACCCAGATTAGAGGAAAAGAAATACATGGCCGCTTGTAGTGCAAAGGAAAGCAGGAAGAAAGAGCAATAGGCGAAAAGAACAGAGAATAATACCATAATAGAAAAACCACCAGAGTACAATTAAAAGCAACAGAAATTTGCCGCCCATTGTTGATGACAAGTTGGGGGGGAAATTATGCTACCCATGTCATCTGCCGTAAGATTCGGATTGGTATGAAACAGAAAAGAAATCGTACGATTGAAACAATCAAATATGCCTCCGTATGACTTTTTGTTTTTCCTTCAAAAGGAAACACGCAGTGTCGTCATAAAATCAATAAGTTTGCAAGGAATCGACTGGCGCAGAAAGGCATGCCTGCTGCTCATGTCTGCGCGAAGAGGTCGGCAGGTTTGTGACTTCCCGCTCACATGGGTCGTCGGTTGAGAGCGTTGAGCATGTCACTGTCCGTGCTGCTCCTTCCACCTGACCCTTGATCTGAGTTCATCATCACTCGGATGCTCATGCCTGATCGAGCGTCCTGGTGAGGCGAGGGCTGCGATGGAGGGGGCGGAGGGGTCCTGCCATCTAACCTGGCAACTGGCGGCACAGCCGAAGGGGAATGCGAAGTCGGATACGGATACGCAGAAGGTGCTGCCGTAGTAACAGGAACCAGACCATGAGGAGAAGCCGAGCCCCTATTTTCGTACGCATAAGTCGCCGGAGGCGAGCGTCGAGGCGGCTGGGTCGAGTAGTAGGGTTGCTGGGCAGGCATGGCGTGGGGGGTCGCAGTCGTGGCCGAGACCGGCTGCACATTGAGAGGCGTGGGATCAGGATATTGGTATTCACCGGAGCTGCGCCGGCCTGGCGCTGGAGCACCGGGCAAGGGTCGCGGCAAAAGCGCAGCGTGAGAATCCTCCCGTTCGCGATCCCGTCGGTCATCATATGGATATCCGTTTGCCGTAGGAGAAGGGTAGGACGCCGTTGTAGGCGAGGGAACGGAATATCCTGGGGCAGCGCTTACTCCATACACTTCCTGCTGAGGAAGCACTCCCGTCAGAGGCTGGCCATGCGCGCCGAACAAGACAGGATTTTGCGGATACAACGGCCGATCACGAGGCGGCATGGCCGAGTTTCGAAGATGCGGATAGGCCGTGTGTGCAGGCACAAATGCTTGAGTCTGGGATGACACAGGCATGAAAACACATTCTTGGCGGAAGCGCATGCAATTAGTGCAACGACCTTCAGGAGACGAATCGAATCCAGAGCATCGAATCTATAACAATGTGCAAGGACGTGTTGTTAGCCAAATTGAAATACCCCATAAACGACCCAGCGGGAACCTCAGTACCTTGCGTCTCCGGCAGTATTTGCAGGCAATAGCGGTCCGCTGACGAGGCGCAGGCTGGTTGAAACTCATGTGCTGCTGCGGCGGCGGCCGGTAAGGGTCGGGCGGTAGACCCCGGTAAGGGTCATGAGGGCTAGGTAGGTAAACGTTTGGCTGACGAGGAATAGTGACCATGTTGTCGACCGTCGTGGTTGGAGGACGCTGTAAATGCCAAATGGTAAGCACCCGAAGAATGAAGCACCAAACAGAGGAAGGTCGAAGAGAAGAAGAGGGTCGATCATGCACTTACCCCGTACTCTTGTCGAGGAGGATAAGCTAGATGAGCAGCTTGCTGATTGTCCCACTGCGATGGATGTTGGCCCGGTTGACCTGGGTTGGCATACATTTGCGAGGGGGGGCCGAAAATATAAGAGGGACGGACGGGACAAGGCGACAAGCGGAGAGGCGTCCGTGTGTTGGTAATAAGATGCGCGCAAAGCGAGCAATTATAACCCCATTCGGCGCTTGCAATGACTGATAGACCAGGGGGTTTCCAAAAGAGCAGCGGTGAACACGAGGGGTCGCGGATCGAGAAAGGGCGGCAGCGTCAATGACAACGGGGGTTGTGAAGAAGGGGAAAGGGGATTTGGAGGGGACAAGGGACTAGAAGTAGGGCAATGAACAAGATTGATATGGGCTGGGATCCGACAGAGCAGAGACGAGAACCCACGTTCCACGGCTGCGTCAACGGGACGTGGTAGGGCACGCCCGCGAGTGGGGTACGTGGGTCTTTCTAGGTGGTCTCCCCCTTCCTTTGGGACAAGCAGTCCCGGGCGTGGTCGTTGAAAGTCTGTCCCGGACGGCCTGGGTTCTCGCCGGCTTGTAAAAAAGGCGTGGCCGAAGTAGTGAAATGAAATTCGAAACTATGACCGGACTAAAGCTGACTTTACCTGTTAGTATCGATAGTGTCGGGCCGTCTGCGCTTGATCGTATCCGTGCCCGCGGCTTGCAGCGGGTCGGCTTCGCCAACGCAAGATGTGCTCAGCCCGCCCCTAGCCAAGCCGGTCACGCCAGTCAAATGAGAACTTGTTCGCAAACCAAAAGGGGATTGCGACTGGCGGGTGGGCCTTTTAGCTAACCACACCGTAGTTGGCGGAGGGAAGCTGGCGCTGCCCGCCCGACCGCCCGAGTGCCCGAGGGGTTCTGACCAAAGTGGGATCGCCCACCGGGAAGTGGCCAGAGGCAAAACGCAGACTAGGCGTCACCCACTCGACCAGGTGGCCACGCGAGGATCCCGATTCTATAACGCTGCCGGCCCTCAACGCTTGCCCCTTCCGGCATGAGTCGAGCACGCGAAGAAGCAGTCGGCTGACACCGACTGGAGGGGAACAGCCGCTCTGTCCTGGGGAAAACGAGGAGGAGAGGGAAAAGAAAAAAAGTCTACTCACACTCTTGTGGTCGCGGCCTTGTACCAGTTACGAGCGTCCAAGCTGCAGAACCGTTCGACCCAAAAACAGTCATAAAAGCAGGAACCGGTACGGAGCTGAGGTGAGAGAGGGGGTTGAAGGAGCCAGTAAGAAAATTTTTTTTTCTGCCCTCTTTCCCTCTCGGCCTTCCGTACACTTGGCGTCTTCAGCGCAATCTACCAATTGAAGTCGCGGACTACTGTTGACCTTTTTCCTTGAAATATCTTTCTGCAGGAGAAGTGGGTCGGTGAGATCGTGCCAGATTGTTGCGAAAAGTCTCGGACTCTCTAACCAGGAAGGAAAAGGCGGTGCGAGTCTGCAGAACGTTGAACCGGGCGAGCTGACAAGGACGAAAAGGTGCGACAATAGGCCAGAGACGAGGAGGCCGAAGGAACGGGCCTTTTGCAAATAAAAACCCTGCCCCGCTGTCTAGAGGATGCAGGTTAGTTTCTAGCTTGCGACGATAGCCGTAAACGGCGCGAGCCCGCTACACGCGAACTATGCAGTAACCAAAACTTTCCCGAGAGGACCGAAAAATAATCAGAGGAAGTAATGACGAAAGGAAAAATGGGTACAGAAATCCACTCGAAAAATTAAAAGAAACGAAAATTCAAAATTTAGCTGCGCAGAAAAAAAATTGCAAAAAGGAGGAGGAAAAAGTTAAAGAAAAACAAATCGAGCCAGTGACAAAGGGAATTAGGGAGTACTAATGAAACGGGGACGCTCAGCTGCGATGAAGATGGAATCGGATATTAAGAGGGATAGCAAAGCGCCGGATTGGTCATAGTCAGCAGCAAACCATAACTGCCTGCGCGGTATTGCCTAGTCGGAGGCTCGTCCGACGCCAACATTTTGAACCCTGTGCGGCGTACTTTGTCGTCCACAGCACCGTCTCATGCCACAAGGGGTGGGTAAGCAATGCGGAGGGGCGGAAGAAACCTTGCTCTAACCATGTGTGCGAGAAGGAAAAATGTGACGACAACGATGCGGAAAGGTTACCCATTCTGTGCGAGCAAGGGAGCGAGAAAGAGGAAAAAAGGCGAAACAAGACCAAAATCAAAGCATAAAAAATATGACGTACCCGTGACCAATGTCCAATAACAAATCGCGTGGGAGCCGCGAAATCAGAAGCTAAATATTATTTTTAACGGCGATTAATAATAACAAATCATCATAACAATTGAGCCAAGAATGATAGGAGAAACAATGAGACGGATGTGACGAATCGGTGAGTCTAAATCGCCACGTCGTCGACTTTTTCCGTCGAATTTGGGCGGCGGGATTTAATTTGGTCGACTGTGACGACAATGAAGAATGGTAGGCCGGCCTTGAAGGTAGGTTGTCGTAGTGCGTTTGAGAGAGTAAGGATGTGGCAGCCGTGGCTTCAATCAGTTGTTCTCTGCAAGATACCTCTAGGAGAGAGGTGTGTGTGTGCGTATGTGTGGGCAGAATGGAATTACCCGTCCGCCAATTTAGAGAAGAAAACCCGGTTGAGATGAGAAACGAGAAAAGGCCGAGTGTGAATGAAGAACCACGACCGCGCGGTGAGTGGTCTCTTCAGTTAATCAGGCGGTCACTTACTGAGCCACGGTTGAGAGCCAACCGGTCTCTGATGGAATCCTAGCTAGCTTCGTCCCAAAAGGTTGCGAGGACACACACCGCTAGGCGTGGATGAAAAGGGTGTGGATGGGTCGTGTTAACTGGGCCGGACTGGCTCAACCCACCGCTAGAGAGGACCACGAGTCTTTGGTATGTTATTATAGTTAACAATTCTCAAATGAGCGACACGCACCAAAAGAGAATCAGAGCCTCTGACTGTATTAACAGAATTGTGACCCCCTTTGATCTCCAATCACATAGGACACACGTGCCGCTGTTTGTCACTTTCCAACTCGAAGCTGCACAGGGCGTGGCCGGGCTCCAGAGATCTCGATGGAGAAACGCTGGGGAATGGACCGTGCCAGTTTAGAGGCGTGACGGCGAATCGACTGCTCATATAGCCTGGACGCGCCAGCCAGCAAGCGGCCGAGCGTCGATTATGTGTGGGTACTGTGCAGTGATGCTACAGTATCAGGACAAGACGGCTAGCGGACAAAACTCGCAAAACGACCACGTTGGGTTTTTTTTTTCTCGGCGAAGCATGTGCAGCAAGGCTCATCGCCACGGTGATCTTACGACTGCTTGCTTGGTACTTTTGCTGCTGCCCCCTTCGGCCCCGAAGGCAGCATGAACAATACGCGCAGCGAAGCAGCAAGGCCCAAAATGAGAGCTCACAAGTCGATTAGGCATAAAAACAGCAGGCATCGTGTTCCTTTGATCTCCTACCTACTGGGCTGAACCACGCGAGCGTGGTATGGCAAGGTTGTCACTTGCTGAAAAGATGCATAGGTACTGTGCGGCATAGTACAGGATGTGTGCCCCAGGATGGTTCCGCGGATCGGCCCACGGAGAGACTATGACGGTCCTTCAGGAGGCTGAGACCTGCCCTTTGAGGGAGAGGACAATGTGCAAGGGAATGGACAGGGTAGGGTTGGTGTTTTCCAGCGCAGTTGCTTTGACTATGGTCCCGGAGCCTGGGCGCCCCCCTTTTTTGACGTTTTCCCACTGTTTAATGGGAGGAAACGAGGACGGGGCGAACAGACGGCCATGGCTTGGTTTGAACCCCGGTCATGGCTCCCGCTTGGAGCAAGGCTAAAATGCGGTGCGGTGCGGTGCGGTGCGATGCATGTGGACGGGATGATGGTGGTCGATAGGTAAAGTACAGTTAGCAGGTCTCGCGCCTTGGGGGCGTGGCCGACCGACCGGCCATGCAGTACTGATACCGCAAGCGTCTGTTCCTCGCCGACTTCGCCGACGTCGCCAACAACGCCTTAACCGTCAACGTTTTCCGTCCACCCAAGAACTATGACCTTACTTCGCCAACAACAAAACCAACAACACCGGCACATGGATTTGTAATACAATCCTACTACACCATCAGTGGTAAAGAGCGACGGGTGTGATCGACTCAATGTTGAGCTTTTAGACCCCTGTAAGTATTCGCGAAAGATTATATATTTGCTCTTGTAGACTTGGCATGAAAAGCGATTGTGGCACAGTCAGGTTGGGGCCTGAGTTCCCAATAGATTGCATCAGTCGGGTGGGATGCTTTAAAAAAGGCGAATCATGGGCACAGCTCGACAAAGTGGATCCCAGCGGCCGTGCACAAGTGTGTAGGCGAATATGAAATGCTACATTAATGGAACTATTGCACCGTCCAAATTTCCCAGATGATTAGGCTGCGCCACCGGTACAGTCTTGTAGATTATCCTGTTCTTATGGGGACAAATAGTTATAAAGGATGTTCTCAGGGGCGCTTAGATGCCTGCTTTCGCCGGTAAAAAAACCACGCGAGTCAGGCGATTAGCTTTCACTTTCAGACCGGGGTCGATGGCCCCTTGGAGGGACGAGCTAGGGGATAGGTCGGCAAGGTGCTGGAGGTGGGGGTCCCTTGAACAGACAAGAGCGTCGAATCGCATAAAGAATAATTCGGGAAGGTGGGTTGTTCCCGGATCGCGGACGGGACGAGAGGGTACGGGAAGGAGAGATACGATCGGGGGCGGTTGCGTAACGCGGTAGAGATGCGACGCGATGCGACGCCATGACATCTATTATTCCCCTTTGCAGATTTGTTGAATTTGAATTTTCGAATCATCGAGCGCTGCTATCGACGAGTTGGATGCCAAGTTTGATAGGCGGAAAAAAGGGCCGTCTGGGAATTATTCCGACCCGAAACCGGTCTGTATTATTTAGCAACTCTTGCCTGTGCGCAAAATTGAGTTCAAGCAGCAGAAGCAAGTTGCGGCCAGACATGGGGACCCATTTCTCCCCATTTGGCCCTTCCTTTTGTCCGATTTATCACTCTTCTATTGCGTTTGTCAGGGATCCTCTTTGGAAGGGAGGGTTGGTGCCTGCGCGGTTTCGTTCCGGTCTCGATGATTGAGGCTGAAAATGAGGCACATAGAGTGCCAGCACATTCGATTCTGTCGCTCCTCTGACCAGTTGAGTGGATGCCTGAACTGCCCTTTGGTCGCGCCTGCGCACCAGGCGCCTAGTACGGCTAGTCGTGACATCAGCCCACAGGGATATAAAAGCACCGTTGACCCTGAGAGTACCAGGATGTTCCAGATAGACCAAGGGAACGTCGCCTCGAGGAAGGGCGCACCAGACCCAAAGGAGAACCGCCAATGCACTTCATGATAAATTATTGTTTTCCCGGTCCTTTTTCTTCGGATTGCTTCGCCTCACCCATGCAGCGTGCCACGCTCGGACATCAGCCATGGATCTCTCCGCGAGCGCTTTTGACATCCAATCCTCTGTCTCCTCGACAGGCGAACAAAAAAAGAGGATCAGAAGCCAACGCGGGCAACCAGAGTACGACGTTGCATGACTTCGGCAAAGTTTGCAACCCTGCCCTCACCACCTCTCATCTTTCGGAATCTTGCTTGATCCGGTTCTTGAAGCCGTTTTTGACCAGGGGGAACAATGGGAGAAGGAGAAAAGATCGTTTCTCATGCGCCAATAGATATGATGCAATCACGATCCTCTAAAAATCCGCCCTTGTCGTTTCTCAGCCGATTAGTAAACACAATATAAAGGTAGCTCCGTGAACTTCTTTATTATTCTTGATTTCGCTAGACGGGACCCCTGACGTTGCGGCCCATCCGTCTCGGTTCCCCACCATATCTGTCAGGAGCGCCTTCACCGCCTCGGTATCGGCATGAATCTCCGTTTCGTAAGATTCTGAAAGAAATCAAATCCTGCGGCTACAAGCCAATCGGCTAACGTAAATATTAGACACTAACACAAAAGTTATAAAGGAAAAGTCGCGGCAACGAAAAGCTCATGGATAATTTCACGGATGGGGCCGGTGACTCAAGACCGTGGAATCCACCCATTTGGTAGAACAGTCTCCACACACACCTTTGTTTCCAACAACATTTTCCGCGCCCATCACTTATCTTTGACTGCCGCCGTACGTAGTAAATGTGATTAGAACGTGGCCACATATGTAGCTCTGCGGCACAGGCAACGCGCGGGCCTCGACGGCGTGCTTGCTTAGGTGATCTTCGCCTGGACGCGGGTGACGTTTGCAAAGAATACTAATTTTTATATGATAAGGAAATTTTCTTGGTGGGGAAGGAGGCCCGACGGGGGAAGTTCATTTATTGCATGATTATGCCTCGGGTTTCTCGGCGCTCTTCTGAAATTGGTGGGTTCGGAAAGGTTGATACAGTAGCGACAACAGGAGGCGGGCGTTGGAGCCTCAAATGACCGACTTAATGCGCGGGCCGGTGCGGGCCTTTCCGTCGATCAAGCGATCAAGGAGGCTGCTGCTTTTGATCATCTCATTTCTTTTGTTCACTTTGGCCCAATCGAAGCTGAATTTTTCTTTTCCGTGCAGCTCACCTACCAGGGTAAGCTCACTAGAGGAGGAAGCAATAGAGTGCCGTGAAACAAACAAAGTAAAAAGAGGTGGCGTTGCTTCCAACTTGGATATACCGTTAGTCGTCACCTACCCACCTACTTACCTAAGGTACCTACCTTATAGCCCATATCTGCCCAGCTGAAGTACCGGCGTCCAGTTATAACTAAACCCTGCCAGCTTACCAAGGCCTAGATATAGTGAGTCGCTAAAGTAGCCGGTCGGCACCTCCACCCAACAGCGAAGCGGACTTGTAGAAGGGGAGTCAAATAACTTAAGCTGCTCGAAGGCTAGCAAGCAGGCAGGTCATTTTTACTTTTTCGCATGGGCCAAGAAAAGATTGCATCTAAGAATCCTAGTCCTAGGCGAGATAAGCCCTTGGACAAGTGATGACTCCATTCTTGGGAATCCAAACTGATCGCGGCAATTTTCATCATTCGTATGCCCAAGCGTTCTGTGCATGGGTTGTTTGCTTTTGGTCTGCAACGGTGTCTTCCGACAAGTGTTGGTGAGAGAAAACCAGCATGCCTGCATGCATGGTGCATGGTGCATGCGGCATGCATTTTGGCGACACTCCCCAAAAGCAGTGTGTGGTCTTGACTTTGTGCTGCCAACCTCTCGTGCAGTACATGATTCTCCATTCAGATGCATTTTCATTGTTGTCGCTCCGCGCTTCGTTTGCCCTCAACCGTCACAATTCGGGTTCCCGAGCCGGGGGGCATGGTGCGGCAAGAGGACATGGCCAGGGTCAAGCCCCCCCCCGGTTCGAGCTGTAGGTCAACGACTCACGGGACTGCCCGCTGCTGCAGGTGTATGCGTACAGTACTTCCGGTAAAGGAGGTAAGGTTGAGTACGGGTAGTGGTGCCCACTACCCGTACAAGTACACACCGGTACTTCAGCCTAGCAAGTTCCGCAAGTACCTCTACCCTTGTTGCTTTCCCACTGCCTTCGAACGGGACGTTTTGCAAGCCCCTTCTTGGTTTCGCTCGGCCACCAGCTTGGCCACGACAAGACACACTGTAATTCCCATCCCCCACCCACCCACTCAAGCCAAAACCTGCAGCCGCTCGGGAAAAGGTTCAAACGAGAGTTCAGCCAACCCGAGCCCGGCTCGACGCTACCCGGCCACCCGCAGGAGTCTCTGGTCTTGTGACTTTGGGTCCAGACGACCGCTTCCCTTTAGGGATGACCCCGAAGGGGAGATTGTGATTTCCGTACCTGATCCCTTTTTCCCCCTTCCCGAATATCTGTACTCTATTGAATGCCTTTCGACCGGTCTCGACACTCAGTAGTAGTAATCAGATTGCACTGTGCTGGCTGCGACCTTTGCAACTTAACCAGGGGCGCGCTTGTGGACCCATTGATGGGCGATCCACCGACTGTCCGCGGCTGCGCTCAAAGCCATCAAAGTATAATTGTAGTCCCTTCGCGGGTAATAACAATTTCAATCTGTGTCCGTTCGGATCGAATGGCTTTCACAGGTCAAGCAAGTGCTAAGCACGGTCAAAGCGACTTTACGTACGGAGTACTGTGCAGAAATATAAGCCGGTGTATCCGGCTCAAGGCAAGGGGCAAAGCGCCAAAAAGGCAATCCAGCATGCTTTTCAACCACTTTACAGGGATGATTGTACACAAAAAAAAAATCGAAGATTTGTATGGTAGGCTATGGTACGTCTTGGAGCCATTGATCGGCCGGTCCCCGTATTAGCTTTGACCTCGATGGGAACCGTGGACGGTTGAGCATTGATCGAACACCCCTTATACCCCCGACAGTCATCATCCAATACAAGGGAATCAATCTTGGCCGACGTGGCATTACGGTAGATAATATTGACACCCCATGCTTGCAGATCGGAAGGACCGAAAAGCGTACTGCAAGACGACGGCCTCAAACGACCATTGAAAGGGGGTTGAGGCAAATATGATCGCTCACTTCCTGCTGTTGTTCCCTACCATTCATGTAAAGGCGAAGACCAATCCACTTTGCGGCCCGCGCCTCATGCCCTGGTAGCTTTAATCTGCCCCACCAGCTCCATTATTCTCGTCCGATGAATCTTCGCTGCCGTCATCGTCGGGCATGACGACGCTGTTCAGGTAGGTAATCTAAGGATGAGCAGATTAGTCGATGAACGCCCACTCCATAATTTTTACACACAGACGCGGCCTGGTCAGTCATATTGCTTCAGTGCTGCCACACCCAAGGTGCCGCCCCAGTTGCAAGCACCAGTGGGAAATCGACTTGAGGAGATGATGGGGCGGTCACTAAACACACAATCTATGGTGGACAAAGCAGGCTTAGGCGAAGGGCTTGAGGGTTCATCTAAGCGCTAGCGCCGGGGAGAGACGAATTGAAAAGGAAATGCACAGAGCAACGGTTGACTTACGAAAGGAGTCAAAATGCCAATCAGCTCGGCAATCCGGTCCAAGGCGTCCGGTCCGACAATCTCTTCATCCCTTAGCCTCTTGCCCACTGTGTAGCTGCGCAGCCGTAGGAGTTCAATGTTTTCGTTCTCCAGTGCATAGCCCTAAATTGTGATTTGAAAATGTCAGTACAGTTCTTTTGTGAAACGCTGAGAAATGTAGCATGTGCGTTCGATATGGTGCCACGGAAACACCTGAGCGACCAAGCCGACTCAAGGTGGCTGCGGTACTCCATCCAAGGTAGAAACCGCTCCGCCCCAAACCAAGGCTGCAATCGGTTGAACGAAGTACGTAGAATTTAATGCCAGAAAAGCGCCAAAGCAAGGCATTGAAAAGCCAAATTGAATGATTTGACTTCAAGTCCATATTCAAATCGCGTTTAGATCATCCGCGGGTTGGGTCCAATATGTGAGAACACCAAGTCCAATCTGCATCCCGCACCTTCTTGCACCTTACCCTTCATCCATTTTACCTGATGAACACCATACGTCGGGCATTTATTCAAGAGCTTGTCATTAGGTCGTGCCTCTCGCTTTTCAATTCCCAAGATGACACCATCGATCTTTAAACCGCCATCGTGCCAAAGAGTGACGAGAGTTTTCGCTTCAAAGCCTTCATGCCAATTCGCCCGGTATTAACACAAGAAGCGGATGCAATCGTGCCACTTTCAAGCGTCACAGGGCGAGTTTCCGGTGGATGATTTTGAGTTTTGTACGAATGTTGATGCAGTGCGATACAGAGAACTCCCAAAAGACGCATGGCTTACCTTTGGCTTCGTTTTCAAAGCAGTGTCCGAGTTGTGAGCCGCAAAAGCTTTCACGGCCTTCTTTTCATCCTTTCCTACGCCTCCAAGGAACTCTTTCCTCAAGCGCGCTTCTAACAGCACCTGTTTGAGTTTATGAGGTTTGCGGTCGACGTCTCGACGAAGAAATTCCAGCGAACGCGCTTCAGGCATCCATAACCCTCCACCTAGAAGACAACAAGGCAAATCAGCCCAATCCATATTTTGAGACATTGAAATCAGGCATCAAAGGCTCAGGGGTATGCCAGAAGAACGGATAAGGCAAGCAAAGACATTCTCTCGCCGACCCTCTGCCGCCGGCAAAATATCTTTCGGAAATGCGCAGACCATCGAGCAAAATCTTGGACAGTACAAAATCAGAGCCAGAAAGTGAATCTGAGTCCTGAGCTTCCTAGGAAACCTATAATCGCCATACCGGGCCTGTGATTTGCGTCGCAGAGACAAATGGCAGCGCGAGAGAACTCAAGCGATAGGGTGTCGATGATAAAAATGCAGAATGAAGCAGATTTGGAGCCCCAAAACCAAAACAAGGAATGTGAAGGACATGTCGGAGTGGAAAATGACCGTTACATAACACCCCAAAAAGATTGAATCCAGCGCCTTGCTCTCAGGGTCTCTTCATGTCAGGAGTTTGAATTCCTTGGAGAATAGAACCACATTGTCGCGCTCATCGCGCCAAAAGAAGCAAGGGGGATCCCTCGTCGCCTATCGCTAACTTTCAATGACGCTTTCATATTTCGTCTCGGGTCCTGACGTTACACAGAGAAAAGCCCGGCCATGGCGAGTCATCCAAAATTCGCTCCATACACAATGCGGGGATATGTTATCCCAGTAGAAGTCGCGATAGAAAGAACAAAGGGAAGAAAAACAGAGGAAAGGTCATTCGAAAGAACATTCGGAAAAAGCTAATGAATGAAATCGCTTACCGACAAAAGTCTGTCCAGGTTGAATTTGGAGATAGTAAGCAGCGTATGGACCTTTTCTGCCTGTACGAGACCTGTTCATGGATTGGGTCAGTGCTCTTCGCGTTGAAAATTGCCTATCGATGTTACCATGCAGCGGAAAAGTAGATCTGCGCATTATCGTGCGTTAGTTTTCTCTGAACAATTCGGAATTGAATTTTTTAACTACCTTGTACGGCGTGGGATCTTTTGAGAATCGTATATCCCGGTAGATTCGAAATATCTAGGAGTTCGTCAGTGGAATGCTTGAAGAGATTGGAAGGGGATTACTACTATATCTTTGACAGGAAGCTCAGGAATCGTCTCATCCTTTTCAATGATCTTCTCTGTAAGGTGTTCAATGAATGAATTGAAGTCATTCTGGGAGGTTCGATAGTCCGCGTCATGTACTACATTAAAGGTTAACGCCCAAGGCTACAATGCATTCTTCTCAACGAGGGTGTTGCGATTCAAATTTGATTTTCGGACAATGAATTACCTTTAAGCCATTCCCTATCATTATTATTGCGGAGGTCACCAAGAAATAGTAACGTGTTGGGATGTATAGTTGTCTTCATATAAGGGATGCTTCCGGCCTCCCTTGCTTTTGGAAGTTCAACGAAGACCTCTTTTCCTGGTCCAAGCCCAGTTTTGATTCCGGGTCTCCATAGCTCCTCTCCTTTTTTCGATGACTTGCGAGAGGAAGTATTGAGAGTTCTTATTTGGATGGCATCTGTAATAATATAAGCTCAAGCTAACGGCTCTGGTCGCACGGCTCAGCATGCTAATGAGAACAAGCGATCCACCGTACCGTCTTCCTGGGAAACTTCCCCAGAGGCTTCAGAGTCAAGATCAGAGGTATTTTCCAAATTATTTTTCTCAAAATACCGACTACGACGTGGAGTAACATCAGAAACTTCCGAAGTTGTAGTTGAAGGTTTTCCCCGTTTGGATCTTCGAGAGTCCAATGGAGTTGTCGCTGACTTCTTTCTCTTCGTTACGGCTGAAGCGGAAGCGACGTCACGACGTGAAGACGACCGCGTCATGATAGATCGAAATCCTGTCCGATTTCAAGGCAAATTCACAAATGCTACCAGAGAAATATTACTGCTGAATGAGGTATTCGAAGCGGACAGTGGCGAAAATACTCTTTAATACATATCAAAAAGTCAAAGAGCTGTTCGATCACGTCGTCGGTGGGTAAGCATTATCCGTTGGCGAAAGGCGCGCGAGCGCTTGAATCGCCGTGTTTACGCGCTGATCGGCTAAACCAAGATAGGAACAATTATGGGCATCAACCAAAAAAAAAGCGATCTGACTGAGAATTGGAATCTCGCATATACGCTCAGCCTTTTTCGTTTGACTTCCCCTCCAATGCAAGTCGTTTTCATCTCATCTCAAAATTAGCTCAATATGGAAAATTTGCCAGAGGCTCCTCCAAGCTTTGTCCGCAAAAAGCAGACTATTTTGCATCAACTTGCAGTCCCGACTTCGCAGTACAGTGACCTATCCCCCAAAGGCTCTGTAGATGAAGCTATCCGCACCTTAATTGATGGAATCAACAGTTCGGAGGGCCTTGTAACGACTAGTAGCTGTGCAGGAAGGGTAAGCGTGTTTTTGGAGGGGGTCCGACGGCAAGGAACAAAGTCTGAAGCGACTTTGAGCAGTGAAGTGAACAACGGTCAACTAGCAGGACCCGGTGGAAAAGGAGGGGGCGGAAGATGGCTTTTCGTCTCTCACGATCCAATTGTTATTCCGAACGCAGTTGATAGTGAATCTTTTATCCATAATCTCTTTCAATTACCTTCGAAGCCGACCTCGCACTTTACATGCCCAGAGAATTGCAGATATCTCCATTTTAAATTTGAGCCAATGGTATACCTTGACTTTAATGAAAACGATCACGATATTTATGTTATTACTCCGCTAACTTGTATACCAGATTCTTCATGTATTGACGTCATCACTGAAAGAAGCCCAAAAGGTGCTCAATGCTGCGCTTCAGGCCGGATTCCGTGAGAGTGGGGCAATGAGCCTCGAAGGGGCCGAATCTATGTCGACGACCCCAATGGTCGCTGTTCGCTCTATTGGACTAATGTTTGATTCTATCATCGGATTTGCCACCAACGATGATGGTGCCGAGCATATCAGAGTCACCGTCAGTGATGAGCATCTACGCATGCTTGTCGATCTTGCAAATGAGAGGTTTCGAATAAACCAAGAGAGAATCCAGAGGTTTAGAACCTTATTGCTTTCTCCCAACTCAGAGAATCGTAAGAATAGTAAGAAAGCCCAGAAATGTACTGGAGAGACATGGGAAGAGCCTGAAGTAAGAAGAGCACGTAAAAAGGCTGAGGGCGAGAGGAAAAGAAAGGAGCATCAAACTAAACAGGCGCCGAACCCTGCATCCAATGAAGAAGACAGTGAAAGCCTAGAATACATTGGAAACATGCTGGAATAATCGTTTCAACGAAGGGCACGAATAATAATATCTATGGTCAAATGAGATCCGATTCATGCCGCAATATTGGATGCAACAGGGGATTTCACATGTGATAATCTAGGGAGTCTTTCAAGGTCGCTTGTAAAGACCCCATATTAGTCACGACGCATCGATGAAGAGAATTAGCGCGCCGATAAATCGCTGTACTGTCAAGATTTATGCAACAGAGTATTCTTGAGTTGTTTCTCCGATCTTCATATTGGCCACGTTGTCTTTAATTGCACTAACTAAGCCCACGTCTCTTGACAAATATCCTGCGCTCACATCTGCTATGGGAATAATTCATCAATTTAATATTCCGAAGTCGCTGAGAATGTCAAAGCAGGTGACATAGGGCCAGCTACGATTTGATGAAGATCCCGTACAGCTTCAATGAGAAATTGACTAAGCCCATGTCTTAGCCCAGGACACAAGCCCACTTATTGCTATCAGAAAGAGACCAGTTCCGTGTTCGAAGTTTATGGTACGCAGAGCAAACGACGTAGCAGTGCCTCCACAACGGCCCATTCTTGTGAGGCAGCTTCAGCAAAGGTCATCGTTTCCTTGGAAGATGACCAAGGAATCACGATGTTGCCGAATAACGACGTAGCAGCATTGGAGGCCTCAGCCGCGGAGTGCTCCGCCAATGAAACCATCGTTGGAGACATGGTTGCCTTGCGGAAAAGGTACGCATAGAACTAAATTCGATAGGTTAGCTGGGGCAATCAGAATGGAATAAAGAATATGTAGATGAATGCCGAGCGGAACTAATCGCGAAAAATTATATACCTCCACCATTTCATCACTTGCGTTCGGATTTCTTACAAGTGTCTCAAAAGGCCAGTCTGTAGCAATTCGCGAAATGGTGACGCCAGTTGGAGAGGGCTTGGCAGCAAGGATGAGTCTCGTCTTCTGTTTCTCACTGAAACCTGGGGCCTTCAAAGAAGTCTCCTGAAATTCGGCCAACAATCGCTCATGGACGATATTGAATTGCTTATATTTTACTGCGTTCGCCAGTGCTCGGAGCATTTTTTCAGTCGTTTGAAACAAAACGTCACGGTCTTTGACGGTATAGTGGTTCACTGCCCACCAAGGGTACTATCTGACACTCAGCAAAAGTCATTCGATAGGACAACCAGCTGATATGCACTTACCTTGGCCAGCGTGCTTATCATACACTCGTACGTGCGCTGGGGACATTTTGTAGCAAAGGGAGACTGGTATACCTTATTAAGTAACGAGTCTCGAGTCTCAAGTCCAATATGATATGAATGTACTCACCCGATTTGGAACCTCAGCGTGCCTGAGCATCATCACTAACTCCTCACCAGAGAGAAATCCCTTGAAGCCAGTATTATATGGTTCCTTCGACTCGAATATACTTGGATTAGCTCCTTGCCAGGTGACATTCTTTGCTTTTGGAAATATTGCTTTCATCAGTGCTTCCTGCCCGCTCAATACCACGTCAACATGACGATCCCCAATGCGACTGGATCTCCCCTCTTGTCGATTCCGGGCAAATCGGTTGACGGCACCAATAGCATCCGAAGTAGTCATGAACTCGACGAAGCAATCCATTGTTTTGGCCGTTGCACGATCCATGATGATGTGGACAGCGCACCCTAAATCTGGAGTGACGGTCTTGGCATTGCGGCCAAGGAAAGCATATATCTCGGGTTTGGTGGCAGTGTATGGAATCTAACTCTGGTCAGCACCCGGAATGCATTCAATTGAGATCCGAATCTAGCACGGTCAATGTATTGACGTACATTCGAGATCTTGATAACCCCCCACTCGGCAGGCTTCGTACGCCTCACCAGTTCAACAAAGGGGGCATCGTGACAGGCTTGCTCGTAACTAATTAATCTTGGCAAAGGAGCATCTTGATTTCGCACAGAACCAATTGGAACGGCACTGGTCACAGGAACTGGAGCCACGCTCTTTGGAGTAAAAGAAGACTTTGCGTATCCATGTGGACTTTTGCTGGTAGAGTCATGCGTTTGCGTACCCCCAGCGAAGGTAGAAGCAGGGCCGCTAAGGTAAGAAGTTGATCCGACCTGCGAAGAGATCACTGAAGCAGTAGATCCAGATGCATGCTCAGGGTCCATTGCATGCCCCATACTGACAACATCCCCATGCTCGAGATGCGAACCTCGGTTTGTCTGCGACGGAATAGACGGAATGCTCCGCGAATATGGCCCAACAGACTGCTGTAGAGAATCTATCGGAATTTCTGCAACGGGTAGTGGAAATCTTGAAGCTACATTTTGTTGCAAGTGACCGAAGTTCTGCAATTGGCCTTGGTCTCCATTCGCAAGAGAGACGGTAGATGGCGGATAATTTAATGAATGAAAAGCTGGTGGACTGATAAAACCAGGGAGGCGTTGGTTTTGACTCGCTGCAGGAGCCATAAATGTACCTCCTAGAGACACCGGAAGAGTGAGTTCTTCAGGTGCCAGATAGTGCCATCCGCCACCATGAGGTTGCGGAAATCCATGGACATCGGGTATATTTGAATGAGCGATCCAATTATGGCCAGCCCGGGGATACATGGTATTGGCATGCGTCGGATACAAAGTATTGGGCTGGCTAGGATAAATCGATATTTCTGGTGGTGACGTGAAATATGGACCAAAAGCCGTATGCGAAGACGGAGCATAAACGGGCATGTGATCAAGGGTCGGCAAGCGCGACGCTGAAGCTGCATCAAGAGTTGAGGCGGTTTTCATACCAGTAATCAGACTTGCTTCAGTGGTTGAGGTTTCAAGCTGCTCAGCAGCCTGAGGAAATCCGTCTAGGGCAATGTCAGCTCTCAAAGAACTTGCAAAGTGCTAGAGAAACTCACGATTAGCGCCTGCAGCAACCATGACGCGTTTGGTAGAACGGTGCTCTGGATACGACCCTAGCGGAGCTAAGGAGGTCCTCGATGTAGGTAGATTGGAGCTTAACCCGAGGGCGGGACGTGGCGGACTACGAGATTGGTCCGACATATCTACAGATTCTGGCGGATGGTTGACAAATGGATGGTTATGCACAGTTGCACTGGCAAATCCCTGAGAAAGCAGTGAATCGTAAGCGATTCTGCTGTTGTTGATCCGTGGCACCATTCTAGGAGGCGGCTTAGACGTCAGACCTAGCGATTCCTCAGCGATGCTGTGAATTCTCGGAGCCTTCGTCGTCTGTACTGGCTCGATTTTGTTCATTTTCTGGATTATTAGGGATATGATTAGCAGACCCAGAACAATGTGGATGCGAAACTAGAGGCATCTGAATACTCACAGCGAAACAAAACCCACAGAAATATCGGCCTGAGTTTTGATTCCTATCATCGAACCAAAATGAGGCGCAGCTCGTGCAAATCAGATGCTTACACGGGCGAATTAGCCAATTTGAACTATAAAGGCAATCCATGCAGCTCCTGAAGCCCAGAATCCGTTTTGGAAGGTTAGTCATATTGACCCTGTCGTAAATTAGACGCTTTTCACGAGAGTTTATTTCATTTGGCATGGAAAGTTGACTCAGAGCGACCAAATTGGGTTTCGAAGCATGCCTGTCACCAGACTTTTGATTTGGTCTATTATCAGGAGCCTGTGAAACTGCAGTAAATTGACCCACTCCTACAACAGCCTTTGCCTTTTCATATGCAGACTTTGGATGCGCTGCCATCGGAAAAAGACCTTGCTCATTGACAGAACCTGGCCTCACGTCATCCATCGACCCTTGGTGGTGTGCGTTAATAGTTGCTGAAACAGGCTCATCGTTGGTCAATGATCGGACATTATTCTTAGATGACTCAAGTTCCAGTGGAGGAAATGGTGAACTATTTTCAGGTTCCGGCCGAAATAAGGGGCTCAATATCGACGGTCCATGTGGATATCCAGGTGCAGGAGGCGTGTTTGTCCTCTCGTTTCTCATGACATAGTGGTGTCGAACTGATTCACTGTTTGTCATAGATTGTTGACGAGCATTGGACTTCTCATTTGCACATCCGACCCGTGTAGCGAACGGAAGAGAACTATGACCCTCTGGAGACTGGACGTGACATTCTCGGACGATGGAATCTGAAACTCTATTTCCCTCCTCGATCAGACGTATGTGGGTTCGACGCCGCGGGTTTGGAGCAACGATTTCTAAAGGGCTTGACCGGCTAATGTGAGGCAAATTGTCATCCGCAGTATGTGCGTTCCTTCTCAATCTTTCTAATGCCAGTTCTTTGAGACCGGCTGTAAGACCAGAACGACGAATACTGTCCTCAATCTTTGTTTGGCCTGCCTGCTGATAACGCTCTATGACTTCTTGCCCTCCAGCCCCGTTTCTCGGAGATCTGGAAGGATTACCCCGACGTTCCGCAAATTGATTATTCGACATAGGAATAAAGAATTCACTGTTTCGCTGCAGAGCCTTCAACATTTTCTCCCGCAAAGAAGTAGTACTTTGTGAACGGCTTCCTAAGGCTCCTGAATGGGATATCCAATCCATGTGGTACGGGTATTGAAGATAGTTTCTGTCTGAATTTCTTGCCGAGGGAGAGTGCTCTGCATAAAGAATGCCCGAAGAAGAAGAGGCACTAGGATTGGGTACGTGCTGAAGCGCTTTTGAATGGGGGTTTTCCGAAAGCAACGCCAAGTCTGCCGGATGAGGAGGATACGGAACGTAAGCTTCCTGAAGACCGCCCTGGAAAAAAGAATTTTCAGCATTTCTCAGATCCATGATTGAGGTTTCTATCAATCAACGCAATGACTCGACTAACGTTTTGCCCAGTTACTCTAACGTTTCCTGGATGAGAATAAGTTTTACTGGGAATCGGTACCTGTATTGGAAGTCCGGAATAGAGTTCCCCATTCACGGCAATCTGACCTGGTTGAAATGGAGGAGCTGAAGGCTTGAACAAAGTCTCTGTGAGTAGAGACCCACTGATGCTGTGTTGCTGCGGTTCTGCACCATTTCGCCAACATTGTTCTGCCATCTTGGTATTGAGCAACTAATGCTAGTCAGCAACTGCGAAAAGCTCATGGTCTTCTTCCACCATCAATTCAAAGAACCAAGTTTCATTAAGCAGACTAGAGAGGAATCTCGAAGAAGAGTATATTAATCAATGATTTAGCGAGGTTGATTCGAATGATCACAAAGATTCTGGGGGTGCGAGAGACAGAAGCATCGAGGTCAAATTGATCATTTGGCGAATGAACCGAACCAAGGGACATTGTATATTCAAACCTAACCTCTGCAATGGCTGCAAAAGCCAGTCCGAATGCCAGTACAAGGGCAAAGCTGAACAATTGACGTTGGGTAGGAGGATTGCATGTCATAACATAAGAAGCAGAGAACGTACTGCAGACACGATAGTAAGGCCAACTGATCTGACGTGGCAACTCCAAGCTGGTCCACCTAATCCAGAGGGAGAGTTGAAACTCTAGATGAAGCACAGCCGTCTGTTCTGATTTCACTAGAGGAAAGTTAAAAGAATTCAGCTTCCAAACTCCCAACTAAAATGAACCAACCTGTTATTGACGGATCATTGTGACCATCACAACACTAGGATTGAGACGTTGCCATCTTGATCCGACCCACTACCGACGTGGATGCGATTATCGTGAAGTTGCAAGCAGTTGCAAGCCTTTGAAGAAAAGTAGTTCACTTCACTTCACAACAAAAACAAAATAGGAACTCGGTTAAATGTGACAGTGAATGGATCAAGGCAAACCACAATTCTAGATATACCAACTTCTGTTATGGTGTGAAATTCCAACGGAACAGAGACAAATGCATACTTGCGTTGAGAATATCAAACAGAGCTCCACAAATCGATATTTTTTTCCCCCAAAGCATCACTTACTAAGAGACGTTCAATTGTGGAGGCTGCAGGACTAGGGGACGTCGAGGTTTGTTGAGATCCTTCCACTAAAAAGCATATCGTTCAATTCCTGCTCTTTTAGTTCTGCTCCCAAGAGTGGGACATCAGCACAAAATATAGAGCGAATCACAACACACTATCGGGCAGTATAAAAAAAAACAATGACTTGAACGGAGCAACACAGGCAAATGGCGAACAAAATCGATCGAAAATCGGTGCGAGCTTTTCCATAAGCATGTATGATAATTGAACATGGATAGCTCTTCAATGGGCGGGGTTCAAGACATAGAACCCATCGGATATCGATCCAAGCCGCAATTTATGCTTTCGAAGGTCGCTCGCAACACGTCGCGGGTCACTAATAAATGCATGTTGAGACCATGGACGTTGCACAACACACAATATAAGCAATTATGTTTACCAGAGTAGACTTGAGTTACGGTCGTTTTATAAGCCTTCCAACGCCTATTTACAAAGTGCATATTCGAAATGGTATAGTTAGAGGAATTTGAAGCTTCCGAGTTTAATCGAACTGTGTAGGTGATTAGAAGATAGCCTAGGAAAAGGTTTGGAATTTTGATTACCGGTGTGAGAAAAGACTCAGCAACAAATCGTGCCCGTGCATTGAGCTGAAGAAGTCAGTTCAAGAACTATATTTCCTCAATGCAGAACCCTGAGGGTGTCCAGGTGCCCTATGGAATACTTACAAATAGTTTCATTTCGGAGATCTCTTTATCGACCTCTTCCATGAATTGAATGATGAAATCGACGAGTTTATGCTTCAACATCTGCTCAGTATGAAAATTTGTGATGAGGAATGATATGTCGTATCCCTGGTCCCATGTCAGATCAAAGCTATCGGGTATTATGGTGGCGGCTGGCGAATGATCAGACCTTGACAGGCTTCCTTCGTAAAATGAAGAAAGCTTCAGCCCTCTGCGTCAAGAATCTTGTAAACTTGTGCACAAGAATATGCTCAATTTCATCGGCTTGTTTGATCTTAATGCTGACTCGGACGCTGTTGATGCTGGGCTCAATGAGGACCTTCTCATTTTCGTTCCTTGAAACAGAAAGGGGATTGAGCAAAACTTCGGGATTACTGGCAGCTTCAATCTCAGGAACATTATGTCTCTCTGACGTCTGCGAAGCGAAATTCGAGAGGGAAAGAGCGGCAGTAAGGGATGAGCGGACGCATTGGAGATAAGGGCGAAGTGATTGAGACTAGGTAAGGTTAGCACCTTAGGAGTCACCGGAGTAAATATAGTGTAGGTTGAATCGATTGCTCACCATATTGGAATGAATTTCGTTCAGAGCATTGACCAAATTGAGCGTCGACGCTTGATTGTTTGTTGGCTGCCAGTGATGACAGGTTCACACGGAGGTGAGCTGTTGTCCGATCCAGCGGGGAGCGCGCGTATGTTTGCTTCGTTTGTTTAGTCGCTCGTCACTCCCGCCTCCCCACGGCAGTGGCGTTGCCCATCATCATCTCTAACTACTACACAAGCAGAGCCTAAGCTCCTGATAAAGCCCAATCGAGGAGTCGAGGATTTCCGCAATGGCGACTATACCAGGTAAACTTCTTCATCAATGCCTTGATGGCGAATTTTTTTGTTCTAACATGTTCGCAAGTTGTCGTAAAACATCAAGGCAAACGTCACAACGTTGAACTTGACCCGAGCTCCAATGGCGAGACTTTCAAATACCAACTTTACTCGCTCACCGGTGTGGAGCCTGATCGCCAAAAGATTCTGGTCAAGGGAGGACAACTGAAAGATGATACCGATCTGTCTACTCTCGGCATCAAACCCGGCCATACTTTCCTTATGATGGGTTCGGCTGCAAGCGGGGACAAGGGCGAATTAGAAAGACCCAAGGAGCCTGTACGGTTCCTTGAGGATATGACAGAAGCCGAGGCTGCAAGAGCTGAAGGCGCTACTCCTGCGGGTCTGCAAAATCTAGGCAATACGTGCTACTTAAATTCGACCCTCCAGACTTTGCGATCGGTGCCAGAACTACAGGAAGAATTATCCAAATACAAGCCCTCTTCCTCTGGTTCCGCAGCCGGATCATCTCTGCTCGGAGAACTTGGCCAGTTTGGCTTGGGCGGCCTCGGCTCTTCGATGGATCTTACAGCATGCTTAAGAGATCTTTATAAGCAGATGTCAGAGACACAGGAAGGGTTCCCTCCCCTCATGTTTCTCAACGCCTTACGATCCGCTTTTCCACAGTTTGCGCAGAAATCCCGAACAGGGAGTGGATATGCACAGCAAGATGCGGAGGAGGCCTGGTCGCAGATCGTCTCTCAGCTACGTCAGAAGCTTAAGGTCAAAGATAGCTCTCCTCAGCTCGGACAGGCCGGAGACGCTAGTGATGAAACCTCCTTTGTCGACAAATACATGTCAGGCAAGTTTGAATCGGTTCTAAAATGCGACGAATCCGCCGCCGCAGACGTTGGAGAGGAACCTGTGAAAACCGAAGATTTCTTCCTCAAGCTTGATTGCCACATAAGCGCCCAAGTTAATCATCTGCGGGATGGCATATCAGCTGGCCTTGAGGAGAAGATTGAGAAAATGTCGCCAACACTCGGTCGAAACGCTGTATATACCAAGACTTCACGCATCTCTCGGTTACCAAAATACCTCACGGTACACTTTGTGAGATTCTTCTGGAAGAGGGACGCTCAGAAAAAGGCCAAAATAATGAGGAAAGTCACGTTTCCGCAGGAGCTGGATGCTGTGGAGTTTTGCACAGATGAATTGAAGCAGGCTCTTATCCCGGTCCGTGACAAGGTACGGGAAGTTGGGAAAGAAGAGGAAGATAATGAGAGACAAAGGAAGCGACAGAAGCGAATGGAAAGAGCGGAGGGATCCGACAGGAGTAGGGAACTCAAGGCAAAGGGACCTGCAGATGAGCGCCAGCTTTCTGAGGAGAAGAAAGCCTCCAGTGGCGGTGATTCTGAAATGGCGGACATCGCTTACAAGACTGACGCAGAAATAGAAGCGGAGCGCGCAGCTTCTATCTTAGCCGCGAAGAAGGAACTTCTGCAACTGGTCAACTCCCAGCCGAATCAGGATGAGGGTCCTAACAGATCTGGACTTTATGAGCTGCGTGGTGTCATCACACATCAGGGAGCCAGTGCAGACAGTGGACATTACACCTCTTACGTGAAAAAGGACGGACCTCAGGACCCGAAGACCGGAAAACGAAAGGAGGCGGACGGTAAATGGTGGTGGTTCAACGACGATAAGGTATCAGAGGTTGATTACGATAAAATCGAGACTCTTGCTGGCGGAGGTAAGTTCCACCAAAGAGAATTGTACTCAGGTCGTCAACTAAATATGCTATGTAGGCGAGAGTCACTCTGCACTCATACTCCTTTACAGGGCCATTGAGCTTCCGTCTCCCGAAGACGTCCAGGGTTGAGAAAATCGATGGTTCTGTTCGGTCTTGAGAGTGTTCTGATCTTCCCAGGCCACTCAGGATCACTACGATAGTGCTCTGATGAGTTTCTGAGCACATGCAATTTATCTTTAACATGTACATTATTCAGCGAAAGAATTAGACTAGAGCGCATGAATCTCTGTTCTTGTGTGAAACCTCCGTCCCCAGATAATTTGACCCTCTGCGATGTTGAGTATAGTTGAATTAATTCCTTAATGTTGTAGCTCCCCTTCCCTACGAGGTGTTCTATCAGCAGCAATCGTCATTTTCGAAAATTGTCGCCTGGGCATAACTTCTTCTATTCCTCCGGGGCTCACACTAACATCTATATAGAAGTTGAGGCTTTTACTTTTGCCTAGCACGATTAACCCGAATTGTATATTTGAATAAAACCTCAATTCCCAACCCAGAAAATGAAATTAAATGACGCAACATTTTCACAAGTAAGTATCTGCCGTTGGCGCAAAAGGATGGAGCGGGCGGAATAAACTGCCTGGGAGTTACCTTGACGCAGCTGTCTAGGTTTCGTGAGAGTCGTTGGCTTGGAGAGAGTCCTTGTCGTTCTTGTCCGCCCCACGACGTTCCAGCTGGGCTATCTTTCCTTCGAGACCAGCTTTCGTGGCCATGAGGGACTCTCTGGCTTGATTGAGTTGAGCCACCCTATCTACGGGCAATGCTTCAGCTCGAGCGCGTTGTTCCTGTCCTCAAGAGGTTTAATTAGTTAATGAAATGAACGGAAGCTGCTTGATGGACCCACAGCATTGTATTCTTGTCGTGTTTTGATGCCAGCGCCGTACCAAGCCCCCGTGGCAGTGATTGCCGCAACCGAGCCCGTCAACACAAGGCGACGTAATTTGGCGTTGGGTTGAAGCATTGTTATTGCGGATATTGGATGTGCCACATAGGTAACTTACTGCCAGGTGGAGACTCTTTAGTCAACTCTATTATAGCAAGGAGGATAGTTTGCAGAACGGTCGGGCGGATGTTTGGATCCCATTTGGGACGGAGCGAGCGATAGTTCGACTTCCGATTCTGCATCTCTTGCTGCATTTGCGCTGTTCGGTTGCAGATTATTGAAACCGACAAGGGCACACCACAACAGAGAAAAAACGCTCGCCCTTGACAACCTTTGACCAGATCCCAAATAGCTTCTTTTTACTGCTCTTACTGCCAATATCCAATTTGGCTATCGTCCCATTTCCTCTCGAGTTTGTCAGCAATGGGATGAGTGCTTGTCTTTTGAGACAATTGCGCTGGGGTTGGAGAGGACTTGCCAATTGAACAGGCCTTTTGGGAGCCGGAAACAACGAAACGAAACGGAACGCCGACCTGTTCGATTTCGCTCACTGCTTTCGTGTATTGCTGCCGGAGGGGATATTCAAGCTCATAGTAGGTAAGCATCTACTTATTGCGTTACGATACCTTGCAAACAAACAAGCTGCATGCTCCCATCTAGTTATGTTCTGGCGGCCGAATGGACGGGACGTTGCCAATTGCTTCTTGGATTGTGAGAAACGGATCATTTATATTACATCGGGGACCTGACCCTCTACTTTACCTCAACTTGAAGGCTAATGCTGTTACCAGCTATTCTAGGTCACCTCACTCCCACCCTCTTGTAACAACGACCACGATCAACCCAAGATACCTGCGGTTCAAGAACAATCGGAACTTATAAATGCCCTCGCTCGGTGCTAGACGATAACTCGTAGCTGTGCAAAATGGACGACGCAGGGGAGGCTGGACCTCCACCGGATCCTAGTAGCATGGCCGGACTGGTTCGTTGAAACTTTTTTTCTATCAGGGGAAATGTTTCTTTCTCACAATAGTGCAGGTCACGGCTATTTTAAATGACTGTTTGCAAAACATCATTCACGACATTGTGCTGAAAACTCACCGGGAGGAAAAGCTTCTCCGGATGCAATCGGCCGCGATCATTGCGGAGCAAGCTGCTATCGACCAGGGCGTTATACCAAATGAAACCAACGACGAGAACAACCCTTCGTCTACTCCTTCCGCCCAAATTTCGCCCAGGAAAGCTGGGAAAAAGGTGGAAACTCCGGGGGCTGTATATGATAATGGAAAGATCTACCTGAAAGGAAATCCGCTGGAAACAACCAAGGACATATATTGCCCAAGTTGCAAACTGCCCCGGCTGCTCTATCCTGCGTCTGGAGTAGGGTCAAAACCGCCAGAACCTGGCGTCGCTTATTGCACCAAGCAGCCATATATCACTAAACCGGGACATGATATTTATGGCAACCCATTTCCGTCTGAAGGTGCCAGAACTAAGAAAGATGCGAAATCGCAAGTTGCTAAAGAGGCGACCCCTGGCAGCTTCGACTCCCCAACTCCGCCAGAAGGTTTATCCTCAACGTCATCGCAAGGGCCAGCATTCCCGAATGTGAAATGTCCAGTTTGCAGTCGAAGTTTGATCATAACCCGCTACGCTCAACATTTGGAGAAATGCATGGGCATTTCTGGACGCCAGAGTAGTAGAAACGCCATGGCCAAGTTGAATAGCCAAAACAGCACGTCTGGAACGCCCTTTGGAAGCCGAATGAGCACACCGGTGCCGGCTCCTATGAAGAAGAGCCCAAGCAAACGCGCCAGAGAAGAAGCGGAAGGCGATGACGAGGGTGTCAAGAAGAAGAAGGTCTTGAAAAAGTTTGGGGAGAAGTCTAGATTAAGCAAATTGGGAGAGGGCAAGGAGGGCAAAGGTATCGCTCGGCCTCTGTCTTCGGCAAATTCAGAGAAGAGCCCTCAGAAAAAAGATCGAGAAGGCACGCCGAACGGGACATGGGCAATGGGGAAGAAGAAGCTGGTCAGACCGTCTGCTGGCGGAGATGCCGGACCCAAGGGCGCGCACTGGTCAAAAAATTCCACGACGACTTGAGACCAACCGGATCGAATTTCGAACACCTCTTGGCCTGTCTAAGGCAGATTCAACTGCTTTGTATTGACTTGGAGAAGCCGCGCCATTTGATCGAACTATCGGGGACTATTCTCATGCTGTTCCTCTATTCTATCAGCAAAATGCTTTGCCAGGGAGAGATTATATTTCTCTAACACTGTGCAAAGACCGCACTTAGACCCTTTTTGTTTTTTTAATTTCATTTTCACTGAACTGAAGAATGTACACTTTGTAGAATAGCATACGACTTTGGTAGCATTATTCGGCGTTGTGTCACGACTCATTACGGAAATCACTTTATTTTGCGGTTATTATTATTAGGGGTTTTATTTTGTTACCCTTTCCTGTTTGTTTTATAAAAAGCTCCATTGAAGTATTACAGAGCTTCGGTTCCAACCGCCAGGTGAAATAACAATCCTGCTTGACATTTTTAATTCTGAGCAATATTTTTACACAGACTTTACCTAAGGTTTTCTTTGCTTGTGCACGCAAACTATGGGAAATGGCTTAGGGATATGGCAGCCACAGAAGATTAAATTTCCAATTCAGCAGTCTCAGAACAAACCACTTTGAAGTAGGTACTACCTTATATACCTGTAAGTAAAGTCACATCAATAAGATACATCTATAATCAATATAACTACCTTGGGTATGTCCCTTCAGCTACCTCCCGGAACAACCGACCATGTTTCACCCGTAAACGCAAGTTGCCCACATTGTCTCATCTGCTCTGGATCAAAATATACGCTCATGCCAATATTGTTGCTCTCCAGCCCAAATATCCGTAGAATGATATAAACCTCGGAACAATCATTTGCGTCATGTATGTCTCTCATCTGCAACCCCACTGATTAGTAACGCAGAACACAAATTATTGCAGTTTCGAAGAGAGAGAGCTTTCATCAAAAAAGAGAAGTGTTTTGTCTCTCTCTCTCTCTCTCTCTCTCTCTCTCTCTCTCTCACACACACACACACACACACAAACTTACCCGTTTATACTGGTGCTTGCTCATGTAAAATGGAGTATGGCACGGCCCTGTAGTGGTCTTGACTTCAATGTAGTATTTTGGACTGGCGTTTTGCCAGTCGTCGTCATATTCAAGATAACCACAGTCTGCAAGCATCGCCGTGAGCTCGCCTGCTGTGTCGTTGTAGGTGATATCGGCTGTCTCTCTTCCGTTCCAGTCGTGCATGTCTGCATATTCTGGATGGATTGTGACGTATCGCCGTATCGTGCTTTGCCAGTTCTCGCGGCTCCAGCCCTGGAGGGGAGGATTGAGGCAGGACAGTAACTCGAATACCTTTTTGATAGAAGGAATATAATCAGAATATAACGGGCTCATGATGATATGGGGAGGGCCGTGAAGAAAAGAAGGAGAAGAAGAGACTCACATATAGCTCGCCTGCAGCGCCGATCTTCTTGTCCCGCTCGAGCTGACTGCTGGACCGGAACCTGTCTCCAACATCAAAGCCGTCAAATGAGGCAAAGCTGCCTTCTCTGGGCAAGGCGATGAGGAGGCCAGTCATGTCGAATGCTCCCCTTGAGGGGAACTGGGCATTCCTTGCGGCTTGTACTACCTTGTTGAGCAGTCGAAGGTATTGCGTATCCTCAGCACTTCTAGGAAAGTCAACCGAGGTCGCCGGCGCTGGGCGTATGTACGTCGCTACTGATTGGTGGGAGGCCATTCGACTCTGTCGGGTGATAACCTGCTCCGAAACATTGTTCGACGATTCGTACGGAGTTGGAATTTGCAAGCTTTCCGTGGACTCCTCCAGAGGCTCGGTATCTGACTGGTCGGAAATTTCATATTTTTGTGGAGATGCTTCATCTTCATCCAGAGACTCAGTATGTAACTGGTCAGAGATTTCATACTGTTGTGAAGATGGAGCATCTTCATCCACGGGATGGACAAGCCGCTCAGCATCATCCCCTACGATCTCCGCATCTTCGTATGGAACTGAAACTTGGATGATACCTTGGCGGTCAAGAATGTCATCCACAATCGAAAAATCAGCGTATAGGAGTGTGGTGAGCGCAGTAATTAGCTCACTCTCCACCTTGTCACAGATCTGGGTCGTTGGGTTTCGCATCAGCCAGTCCGCCAGGTGTGTGGGTAGAGGCGAGGCGAAGCAAAAATCTTGCGCTTTCTTATCCATAGGGACATAAATTGTAAGTCCAGATGATCCGTCGTCGATGTGCATGTCGCCAATTGTTTCCGTCACTTCCGCAAGTTGCCCATCCTGAGAAATCTGTAGGACCGAGGATATACCGGTCGTCTCCACGACTTCCGCTTTGCAGAGCCTCTGGTAGAGCCCGACTGCGTCGACTTGATACCTTGGGCTATTGAAGGTGGCTGCGATACTGAGATGCACGAAGTAGTTAATAGCGCGAATCTCAACACTAAAGGTTGGAAGCTCACCGGAGAAGGGCATGTGCCTTTCGTTTCAGATTTCGGTTTACCACTGAGATTGGTCTTTTAACGCCTTCCGAGACAGAAGTGATTTCTCTGATGGCAGCTGATAGATAGCGATATGTAAGGTTTGCCCACTCGAAGAAGGGCTGTAGCCGCCGGACATCTGCCAGGTTATAGTCGAGTAGCTTAATTCGACCTCTGAATCGCGTGGCCAGGTACTCTCGGTCGGCAATCGCAAACTCTGTGGATGCAGATGTAAGGGTCTTGGCACCATTTTGATACTCAATAGGAAACACAGAAGCTTTCAGAAGAGCCTCAGGGTTGACGTGGCTTGATTCCGTTTGCAGAAGGGCGTTGAAGGACCAGATTGTGTTTTTAATCTCGTCCAGTGTTTTCTGCGGGCTCGTCTGTAGGAGTTCGTCATATACCATCTGCAAGGTTAGCGTCTTAACACCTAAAGTTTTGATGAAGAAGTCCTTAAGGTCTTCATAATGATCATTCAGTGTCACTTTGCCACGAATCTCAGTTGTGCTAGACCATAAACACTCAGACGTCTTGTGCCAACCAACCACACCCTGTCTCTCAACAAAGATGAGGTTTTCGGTGCTAAATTTGTGTCTATAATCAAATTAGAACGCGCATAGCAGTTACTAGATAATAAGGTATGGTGACTTGCCTGAGACTGTCAGCAAGTTGTCCGGTTACCATGTCGTTTAGATATATGTACAGGCTTAGGACGTGATCGAAGTCTTGACAGTCGTTGTCTCTCAGATGCTCAAGTTCACCCGTCAAATCGGTCCAGGAGGCTCCTGAAAGACCTATAGTATGCTGAAAGAAATGTGGAAGCAGATTCATGTGGTGTTTGCTCAACAATGGTGTGTATTGATGCTTGAGTGAATACTTTGTCATCATGGCCGGTGGTGCATCCCACAGGCACTCTTCAGGAGAAGCCCAGCATCTCTCGAGCCCATTTTGTCCTGGAACAAAGATGTGGTCATCAAAACCACCCCTATAGTTGAGAGTTAGTGATATCAAAGCAGGAAATCTATCGCCTACTCACAAAATATCGTCCCGGCTTGCCTCCTGATCTACGGTGCTCAGAATTTTTGCATCAATTGCAACGTATAGGTCTAACAATAGTTCAATCTCTCTACCTGACAAAGACCTAGGTTTTGCTTTGTGGATCCAGTGCAAGATGTCAAAAAGAAACTCAAAGTCATCATTCATTCCGACACAGAAATCGGTATGGAGGAACTTCCACTTGGCGTTGAGCTCCTCCGAAGACACTGGTTCCTCGAGCTCAAGAAACGGGAAGTTCTTGGCCCCATTCATGAAGTGCAGGCACTGTTGTTGAAGTTGTGGAAGTGGCAGATATGTTAGGTTAAGGCCACATGTAAGGGAAAATTCAGCGATGCAGAGCTCCTTTGCACTAGTCTCGTAAATCTTAGACTCTAGGGTGTAATCTTTTTTGAAATCGAGCCTTGGGTTCTTCCAGAGATACTCTAACAGACCGAGAAGCTGTTTAGGACGGTGTTTGGCGACATAAAACCATATCTCAGAGAGAGTGTCGCCATTGCGAGAAACAAGCCTCAGTCTTTCACGAACACCAACCGCGCTGTGAAGCCATTTCTCCCATGACAAATGTGACTGATCCGTTGATTTTGGAATTCCCTCAAGGTATTCCGGGTGCACAAACGCGACTTGAAGGCCTGGTGCGGTATCTGTAGGTTTCAGAAGTGCTTCCGGACCGTAGGGGTGGTCGCTTGGCAAATAAAAGTCCTCTTTATGCGGATATTCTGCACTACCGTCATTCTTATAAATATAAACCATGAGATTTCCTTTGGTCTGCTTGGGCTGATGAGTCAGGTACAGGTAATGAAGATGAGCCTTAGACTCTGCCAAGCTAACAAGGCTGTTGGACCTGTACAACCCTAGTATCAAGGTCCGCACGTCGTTAATTAACGGCTCTACAGCTCCGAGCTGAATGAAAAGCTTCTTTCGATCTTGATTGGTCACCGCTGCAGGGTCCAAGATCCTGAGAGCGACACCTTGCGGGATGGAGATTCCAGCTGTTGTCGGTAAATACATCAGGCCACTGGCAGCGGAGACCCACTGGCCACCACTCAAAGGAAGCTGTTCAATCTTTTTCAGTCGTGAAATTTGTTTGATACCCCCCTCTTGCAGAATTCTGGACAAAATTCTCGCGACAGCCGAGTGCCAATCCTCACTTGTAAGGTTTGACTTCATCCTTGATGCTGGTGTTTTAAGATCGGCATGCAGCTGATCGATCACGACATCAAAGTTCATTATTGATAACCCGTACTTTCCCAAGGCCCCCGATGAGCTCCAAGGGTAGGCACCTGCAAGAAACCGGTCGAGAACAGGATCATCAATGAGAGGATCTCCATTCTTATCAATAAAGTCGCTCGCAAGAGTTACAACATCGCGAACCCTGCGAAGGTCATTTCTATGGCGCGACTTTAATATAGGAGTCTCAGATACGAGGTGCTTGATCTTCTGGCTCAGGCCTGACCAGAAAGAACCAAAGTCGTCGTCCAGCGGAGGAAGGAATATCGGCCATGTATAGCAGAGACTTGGGTGCTCGCAAAACTCTAAGACAGCCTTGATGAATGCCGAGGCAATACCATCTAAGAGCTCCATGTTCCTCCTCGAGGTTGTGACAATGTCCTGCCGACTTGCGCTTGTGTCAAAGTCGGATTGGATAATGAACTATGTCCGTCAATTAGCAAATACTCATCTTGAGTGGTATCCGTCCAAGGATTCAGAATTCAATTGACCTTGAACTTTGACTCTCTGACAGGCAAAAATGCGAAAATATCATGTTGCTCGATGAGTGGCTTCGAATCACTCGTCAGGGGGAATGCCAGAATGACTTCGGCCGCGGAAGATGCTCTCCTTGCTTCGTCCGTGTCGGGGAGCTCCCGATTATCACTCTTCGACAAATTGGTCGCCATGTGCTTTGTAACATGATAGTTCTTCTTCTCGGTTGTTGTCTCACCGTCTGCAAGCGTCGAGACAGTCTCAATGGAGACGCTATGCTGGTCGACGTTGCCGATGCAGAAGTCCTTGGAGCGTTTCAACTTACCGTCGTCGTCATAGAAGGCAATGCGTATCCGCTTGAGATTGCGGAGGAACAAAAGACATGTCTGCTGTAGATCGCCAAGTTGCTTGAAAATGGTTGCATGGAGATGCTGGAGCTCCCTCGGGTCTCCCTTCTGGTGGAGATGAAGGGTCATGCGGGTTAACGGGCGAGGAAGCTCCTCTTCGGTGTCTTTCCATACCGGTAACACCATGCCAAGCCCAAGGTCACCCTTTTCGTGTTTGAAGTAGAAGGAGAAATTACCAGACTGTATGAAGACCTTCCAGGCGGCAATAAAGACGGACTTGAACCCAATACCCTTGGCTCCAATATACCCGTATGACGCCGCCTTTGTGCTTTCTCCTACAGTGCAAATGGCCGACAAGTCGTGTTCGGTGAATCCATCCTCGTTGCATTCAACAATGATGCGATCGGGATGGACATCGAAGGAGACGTAGGGTAGGGCGCCTCTGGCCGTGGCGTGAGTGAAGCGGTTATCATCTGCGTTCTGGAGCAGTTCGAATACGAACCGCGCATCGCTACCGTAAATGTTCTTGGCAAGACTGAATGTTTCGAGTCAGCAGGTGTTTAAAATTGAAATCTCATGCCCGCTGTCATGCACGGTGATTACACACGTTTTGATGGAATGCGCTGCCAAGTGATCTTTGGCGAGCATGCTCTCCTCGATGATGCGCCGAATGTCTGGATTCCAAGATTCGATTTCCTCTAGAATCGCATCATCGACGAACCCGTACCCCTTGGCGATGCCCAATACCGTTCTCTTCGCATCTTCTTTGCTGGTCATGCTTACCGGTCGAGTCGCGAAGCTGGTAAGGTTGAATCGATCCCATTGAGTTGCAACACGCAAATCGGAAGGGAAAGTGGAATTGTAGGGACATCACTTATCTCGCGTTCCGCCTGCTGACAGTTGAATGGCCTTGGCGCCATATGAAACTGCACCCGTTTCCTTTTGCCCGGTAAAATGCTCGAGCCTTGCATGCTGGGTGCCAGCATGCCTGTCAACTACAAGGTTCGATTGATAAAGTACCCGAGAGTCCTTGCTTGTCCAAATTATGCTCCGAGATATTCCAAAAACAGAAATACAATTGTTACACCAAATTTGAATAAATAAATAAATAAAAAATAAAAAAAGGAGCGGAATTTTAGTAAGTTATCAAATGACAGAAATTCCTTTGTTTATCTCTTAGACATAGATGGTTGATATGTAAGGCAATTGGCGTGCCGAGACCAGGGTCCACTAGAGAAAATTAGTGTTGGTTCATCACAGTAGATTATGACAGTATCATTCTATACAAACTTCATCACTTCCACCGTACTCCCAACTCGTCTAAACTTTCAGATTTCTCCCCATACAAACTTCGTTATAGTGAGGACTTCAGCAGGGATTGGGGCTCAATTAGCGAGCCATATCTCCCATTTCTGGTCATTATCCTGCTTCGGGAAGCAGGCGGAAGTTCCGGGCAAGAAGTACTCCAAGACTGTACAGGAAATTCTCAGTTCAACCATCATTTTCGTTGCCAGAATCGATCCATTGTAGCAAGGATTACTGGATTGCAATAGCATCGTCTTACGGAGTAAGGCCTAAGTTAACGATAAGCATAGTACAAATAATTGTAGTGCAATATCCACCAACCAAGCGAAACTCTACGCGTTGGACTCAAACAACCACGCGCACGCGCGCGCTTCGGCCCGCAACGTAAACGACAAGGAACAAGTAATAAACTGCCCGAGGCACACATGGCACATAAACTGTAATATAGAGTAATTTATTACTATATTTTAATCCGTTCCATACGGTCAAGGCCACACAATCTCTCATAGATACAATTTCCATTCCTCTCCATTCTACCCCCCCAAGACCATTGCTGCGGAAACCCTCTTTTGGTCCTTCTGACAACACGGCGCCCCTTCCTTAACTTTTCCCCCCACCTCGAGAGGTCCCATAGTTGCCCCCTTCCTCGGCCAGTCGACGAACACACTCTATATGCCCTCCGCTCTACACCCGAATATTACCATCGCCGCTTGCGAGGAAGAGCACATCGCTTCCGCCAAGCGGCTGAATGCGCTTCTCCTTCCCGTGCGCTACGCGGATAAATTCTACAGCGAGATCCTCACAGACGATGTGGTCGCCAGTCTGACGCTTGTCGCGCTCTGGAACGATACCCCGCGTAGGTCGGCTGCTTTGGGATCAGATGGCGTCGAAACCTCCAGCAGCGGTGGCGGGGATGCGGCGAGTGGTAATGGCACAGGCGCGATGGGTGCTGGAGAAGGGACAAAGGAGGAGACAGCTGCACCAACAACACCGTTAGGAGCAGCAGCAGCAGCAGCAGCAGCAACAACAACAACTAAAACAAGTGGACCAGGGCGCGTGGTAGGCTTTGTTCGATGTCGATTGGACATGTCCTCGGCAGCTCTCCCTTCAAGCTCGTCAGACGGTACGACGGGAACAACTCCGCGCTTGTACATATCCACAATATGCGTATTACCTGCGTTTGCGAGAATTGGAGTAGGCTCTGCGCTGCTCAGAGAGGTCATCAAGACTGCAGTTGCGGATTACGGCGCCGGCACGGTCTACGCGCATGTCTGGGAGGCCAATCAGGAGGCTATAGACTGGTACACCCAACGGGGGTTCGCAGCAGAAGGGGAGCTTGTTAGAGGGTATTATCGCAAACTGCGACCAGATGGGGCCTGGGTAATAACAAGAAAACTTGGGGTAAGAGATGGACTGGGTGGTCTTGAAGACGGTTGGAGAACGGCCAAATCCGCGAAACCGGTTCAATGACAGCCGCTATGTACATCTTTGCTACACAATCTCTTATGCGCCGGGAACCTCTTTCGTCTGGGATGCTTCAAGACTTTTGAATAACGTCACCGTAACGTCTAATGACTTTGGTTGGAAATTTTCATTCATAAATGCAGTACCTAAGGTGCCTGAATATACCACTGAAGAGGAAGAAAGGGAAAGAAAAAGAAAAAGAAAAAGGGAAAAGGGAAAAGGGGAAAAGGCGTTCATCGGTTTGCGCAACAATGACAGTACATTACATGGACATCTCAAAAAACCAGCTAGCTACATCCTTTAGAAAGAAAAAAGAACAAACCTGGGCTGTCTAGTTATGTTTAACCCACGGGAAGCTCAACTATACACCCCTATTTCTTCTCGCGAATTGGGGACACGGGTGGTGAGGCCGTCAATGGGCCGGCAACAAGCGCAATCAATGCTGCACCTACACCACTTCCGTCTTTGGCGATGCCGATGCGGATCTTCTTTTCGCCCTTTGCTCCAATCTCAGGAATCTCCCGAAGAGCCTCGCGGAGGTAGTCTTCGAATCCAGGGTAGTATTCTACCAAACTGCCATCGACACCAATGTCCACCACATCATCCTCGTCATTGCCCACTCCACCAGTCGGCGGCAAGTCGACGACAGGAGCAGCAGACGCTTGCACACCCTCTGCTGCCGTCTTGGCAGCCTCGCCAACCTCGAGGTTCTGAACATGCTCCTTGACCTTTGATGCGGCGTGGGAAGCCGAAGCAGAGGTCTTGCCGAGACGGCCACTCTTGTGTACAATACCAGCAATGGGGACGGCACTGAGACGTGCGGCGCGCTTTCCAATGGCTGCGGCGAGTACCTTGACGGCCTCAGCATCCTCAGTGCTGGCCGCGCTGATGCCCAGCTCCTTGTCCAGAGTTTGCTTGATAACCTTGAGTCCGTAGCTTGTGTCTCCGGCAACAATACTCAAGAAACTGGTGTCAAGGCCCCATTGGGTAAACAATGGAGAGTCGGGCGCAATATTGGTGGTCGAATGAATGTCGTTTGAGCTAGAATCCTCGTCCTTGAACAGCATGACCTTGGGATCCTTGACCAATGCAAGCATTGCGCGACGCAAAATCTCGCCCAAAAACATGCCCGAGACACGCTTCTCAAACATTTGGATACCGGGGTTAACACTTTCCTTGTCCAGCGCTTCGTCATAAGAAGTGTTTGGAAGCACACGAAGACCATTGTCAAATGAACCCCACTCCGTGTTGACAATCATCTCGCCAGTCGAGTCATCGTAGTTTGCGCCCGATGCGGCCGGCAATTTTGTGATATTTTTGAGTTTCTCCACGTAGGCGCCATTCGTTCCCGTGCCAAAAATTGCGCCCAGAAGCGTACCCGTCTTTCCTGGGGAAGTATATGATCGAGCCATCAATGTTCCCACGGTATCATTCACCAGGGCGGCAACCCGGACGGGGAGGTGCAATTCATCAATTTCATCCTGGAGGAGGACGCAAACGTCCTTGCCGACGGCGTCGGCAATGTCAAAACCCTTGGTCCACCGAATCAAGGTTCCGCGGTTGATTCCATGTTGCTGTACAGGAAAGCTGAAGGTGAAACCCAGCTGAAAAATCTCCTCTTCTCTGAAGCCCTCGGATATGCTCATTGTCCTCCGACGACGGACGACGGCTTGAAAGTGATCATTATGGTGGGTCTTCAGGAAGACCTCAATCTGCTTGGCCAAGAAGGAGAAGAGCTCTTTGGAAGTCTTTGCGACCATGAGCTCGCGAGGAATGGCCACCTTGGATTGCGTGAGCGAGAATGTGGTGTTTCCGCGCAGCTGAATGGAGCAGACGCGGAAATTGGTACCGCCGAGGTCGACAGCGAGATACAGTCCCTTTGGTTACTTGCGTTAATCGACGGACTTGAAACTTTGAAGATTGGAACATATCGCTACCTTTTCAGTGCCATTGGGAACGGACGTAACGTATGTTGGAATCTGGCTCAAAGTTGAACCCGAATGGGAAAGACCCTCGTCTTGTGAAGCAGAAGTGTTAACTGGGTTCGGAAAAAAAGATTAGACAAAGCATGAGCTTACCCATCTCGCGAAGGAATTCCTTCACTCCCTTGTTGACATCCTCATTCGTGTAGATAAACTCATCGGCCACCTTCTGTACTTCTTCCTTCCACGACATGATTACAGCTCTCGACAAGTGAGACGAAAACTTAGTGTTGGGGAAGGTGAGAATGGGGAAAGAAGTTAAGAGTACGAGAGATCACTCAGAAATAGAAATAAATTTTGTTTTCGTGGCAAGGTAGAGGTATATACTCTCGAAAATATTCACAGGCACCGATTGAGGAGAAGCAATGAGCTATATAGGGGGCATGATCGTGTTGGGCCAAGAGGAAATGGGTGATCCACTTTGTATTTCTAGAGGTCGAGGTTGTGGACTAAACCGGCAGGTGGGGTGAGGCGGAGGGGGGCGCGCCAGGCGTCATCAGACTCCGCGTCGTGCCTGGATTGACTGGAGCCCCAGACTATTGACAGACGGACAGGGAAATGGCCGGAAATGTCTCGATTCGGTCTCGCCACTTTTTATTTTTTATTTTTTGCCTTCAATTTTGGCTCGACCCCGAGGGCTAGAGTATCAATAGTTTTGACGTGGAATTTATTTTGTTGCATATATGATGCGAAGTGCTAATTGCCACTAAGACTTTGTGGTTATGGGGGAATGAACCACCTCTCCCCTTTCTCTCTCCACTGTTCGGCCATGACCCCAAGTTTGCGGGGAAAAGGGGTCAGGATCAACACGAAAAGTTGGGGATCCCTCGTTCCGTAACAATCAGGCTATAACTTCACGAGGCGCCATTGCAATCATAGATTCTCATCGACGAATATAATTTTCATTTTCCGCTTTCCCAATGGCACATAGAAAAGCCCATCTAAACGAGGAAACGCCGCCAAGTGTAGGTCTTCCTCGCGTGACTTGAGGCATTTCGGCTGGGCTTGGGAATCAGATGGCAACCACACCTTGAAAAATTATGGCTGAAGCGGATGGGCTTTGGGCAGAAGAAAATCACCTTACAATTCATCCGCTTGGGGGGGGGCTTGCAAATTCGCAAGTTCTCTACTCTCATGGACAGAGACGCCTAAAAATACGCGGCGCGGTGCTTTGGGTACGAAGGGGCATTTTCTGTATGGGTCCATACTGTAGGTTAGTTCTAACCAAAAGTTGACGAGCGAGGGAGGCCGAGATCTTGTTCCATCTGATGAGATGTGCGCTTCGCCAACCGTAGTATGGCGCAGTACAAGTACCGGTCTTATTACCTAAAACTTCGTCATAGTAAAGTACTACTACTCTATCTAAGAACACCGGCCTCACGGCAATAACTGAGCGATGAGCGCTCAATTCGAGTGTTTCAGCGGAGCCTGATTACATAATCCTACGCTCGTCCTTCGCGATGGTATCCGACATCAAGCAAGTGTGAGAGAGTCCAAATCGGCCGACTCGCGCGCTGAATTCCAAGCCTGTGAGGATAATCATGGGTGCCAATAACTCCAAGCCCGAGGCACAGACCTCGCAGCATATTTTCACAGGGTTTGTTTCTTCCGCTCGGCCCAATTGCCTTCCCAATGCCTCATCTCATCTAATTTTGCAGTGAATCGCCTGTCCGATTCTCCCAGAACCTCATCGATAGTCTCCAGAACAGCGCAGAGGTATGAAACTGCTTGCATCGCCTAATTCGTCATGCGCATTATATTAAAATAGGGTGTTCTAGACGGATTCCACGAGGGCCAAGGCTCTGGAGTTGCACATCCAAGCCCGCGTTGCTGAGGAGTTGGAGCGGTTACAGACTCGTGAGTCTCAGATGCTCCAGGAGCTTTCAGAAAAGGTTTCCTCCGCCGAGCAGTCCAAACCTGCCGCTGAGATATCGGAAGCCGCGCAGTCTGCTGGCGACAAGCTGCGTGATCTCGGACGGGACAGCGTTCAGAAGGAAATTGCAGAGCTGCGGCAGAGGCTCGAGGGTCGGAGAAAGCTAGAGGATCTGGACAAGGACGTCGAACACGCAAAGGAGGATGTTGTCAAATGCTTGAGAATAAACGACCGTCGGCCGCTCGACTGCTACAAGGAGGTCTCCACATTCAAGACCCAAGTGGCTCGCCTCGAAAAGGGATTCGTCGACAGAGTGATTGGTTAGAACTAGACGAAGCGTATGGGATTTCCGTCGGTGTTGGCATCTTGTTGTTGATGTATTATAGAGTAGAACAGCGCGGCGTTATATCGCGCAAGTGCAAAGACTCATGAAATACAAAATTGTCCTCAAACATTTCTCCAAAAGTGGTTCCAGCGCCTCCTCATTCACGGTACATACATAAAAGGTTCAATTAGGCTGCTGTTCTGCCTAGATATTTGGTATATATATCTATGCCCTTTAAATTAGCCTTGGCCATCAAGATCATTCTGGTCTTGTCGAAGTGCAGTCTATTCGTGAGCGGCCCCCGTGACTTCCACGACAAAAGCACTACCCAAAAGGATCGCTGGCTCCTCGATATTGTTATGCTCATAACTAAATTCATGGCTGATTAGCGACTATCTTTTAACAGTGATGCGTGAGATAAAATACCTTAGGGTTCCAACACCGCCAGCTTCGAGAAGCAGTGCTGGATTGTCTTCAAGCGGCTTGTTCACCCATCTCATGGCGAAAGCCCTAAGGATGTGCCCGTGACCAACCAAAAGTATATCCCCGCAGCTTTCCTCATGAGAGAAACCATCCATAATCGGCTGCTGAAATCTCGTGCGAATGTCATGTATCAGTTGGTCGAGCCGTCTTGTAACATCCTTTGGAGACCTATCGAGGAAGGTTAGATGTTCGGAGGCCCTTAGAGAATGCTGGAACAAAGAATAACCCACTCTCCACCAGGACAACCTTCTCGCCAAATGTCCCATTGTTCACTCTGGCCCTCTTGGCGCCTTTTTTCTCTGATTTGTTGACTAGTCAAGCCCTCGTAATCACCATAGTCCCACTCCCTGATAGCCTCGGTGATTTGGATCTTTGCTTCGCTCTTGACCTCCTCGTCAGGATAACCGCGCTGTTCCTGCCATGGTAATTTGTCCCTGCACCCTATGTTGAGCAGCTCAAGAGTCCGTTGAGCTCGGCGTCGTGGGGAGACATAGCTATCGCACATCAATATAAACGGTTAGCTCGGAAGCCGGCAGAGAAATAGCAACGATCGCGCAGCTAGGAAATGCACGTGTGGCCTACACATGGGCAAGTTTGGAGGGGACGATAAGTCGATTGTTTCCAACGAGCGCTTGTCCTGTTGCTCTAATACGCTTTTCGCCATTGGCTGTGAGAGGCAGCTCTGTTGTTCCAGTGTGTCGTCCATTTAACGACCACTCCGTCTCGCCATGCCGGATAAAGAAGACACGAGGGGTCATGGCTCTCAACCGGGGTGTGAACTATGCTTAGAATTGATCTCGAATGTCACTGATAAATTCCCCTGTCAAAACCGGGCAGGCCAATAGAAGGGGAAAGGATATGACAGGCAGGGCAAGAGACGACCAGTCGCTGAGCTGGGCAAATGTCGTAAGAAGTACAGAGTTAAGCTACGTTAAGCTGGGTTGATTAGACTCGCCGCATTCGGTGAGTCGCAGGAAATTACCGTGGTACGTTTTGCTGGAACGATGAGCCAACGCCCAGATATTTAAACAGAACACATTGCGAGATGAGATTTCAGGACTACGGTATACGCCAGCAGATAATTAATTCGTTGCTATGAGGGCGAGCGTAGTCTTATGGCTTGACGGCCAACGCGAGGTGCGACGTTCTTGGTCGACCTGTCTGGATGTAGGAAAATACGGTTAACCGATACGTCACTTCCCACTCGTCGTTAATAAGGCTAACCAACTGCAAGCCAACTCAAACTTAACTTAGCTATAACGTAATTCCCAAGCGACCCGAACAGGCAGCAATCCCATACACAAATAGGCGATTTTTATAGAATTGATACCTCAACAAACACTTGTTGTTTTAACTTGAAATTAGGCATACTGATTCTCTAGGGCTAGATATATACATACAAGGAAGTTTGAATATTTTTTTGGTCAGTTTTTCAGATATTTTTCTGAATTTTTATGTATTTGAGACTAGAAATAGTATATAATTTTTATTGTGAAGGATGTAATCAAGCACGCTTCCTATAAATAAGACAGCTATCTAGTATAAACCTCTAGACCCCATGGCAGAAATATCTATTCAAAACCTCTTACTGTTGTTGAGATATAATCATACAATTGTACAGGATTTCAACCTGTTCGGGTCGCCTGGGTGTTTGGGTCGCTTGGGAATTACGTTAGTTTCCTTACCTGAGCAACCCCTTCTTAACATTGATGTTTCGGAAATCTCTCGTCCGCCTGCTGCATTTGCCGACATCGGTCTGTCTCTAATCCATATCACAAAAGGCTGTATTTTGATTGACCTTTGTTGCTCCGACCGGTTTCCACGCTCCACATGGGGAGTCTTTCTGATTGTCGTAAATCCATCCAATAATAGTACCTTGTTAAAACGCACAATACGCCATGTCATATGCTTATCATGAATAGATTTGTGCAAATCCGCCGTGACATAAATGTGAAGAGAGTTAGCGACCCTACAGGGGTCAAATCGGAACATGCTCGCTCCCGCATTCCCTCTACGGATGTGGGAGAAGTTAAAGTAGACCCGCCATGGATAACTAAAGCATGGCACGAGGCCTGTCTGTAAGTTTGTTAGGGGCGTTGGATCGCTATTCTCTTATCTCTGGCTTTTCTGCTGCCCTCTAGCTACTAATCTAGCCGTTCTTGGCTCGACAAATTCTTCTCCCCCCTCACCCCCCCCGACTCCGGAGCTTCAATTAGTTAACCCCAACACTGATTTTCCGCGGGCTGATAATCGTTGATTCTAGGGGACTGACCGGGTCTTGCCCCAGAACTTCAATGCTAATCTTTGACTACCATGTGTTCGGTGCCGGCCCGCTGGCAGGCCACTAACTCCAACTTTATGAACGAGGAAAGACATCCCAGACTATCCAATCATGTCGTAGTTGAAAATTTGGAACGCGATATCAGGGAGATAGGCAAGGAATGTTGATACCCGGTCAAAAAATATCAATAAATATCTATAGCATCATGTCCGAAGGCCTGCCATTACTCTTTCATTAAACATATACAGAAATCAACGGGTTCAGACACGATGGAGCCAGCAGAAAAGGCAGAAAAAAGTTCCGTAACCGAGTTCAATCCTCAAACGGATATCGAGGCGTCCAAGAGTGATCATGAGCCGTATATTGATGTCCAGGCGGAGAAGAGCTACCGTCCGTCCTCCCCTTTATCCAGTTTTTCCCAAGCAATATTGACTTCATTCTAGTCAGAAAGCTCGACATGTATCTCCTGCCCTTCCTGTCTCTCATGTACTTTTTCAACTCTGTCGACCGGACAAATCTAGGAAATGCTAAAACAGACGTAGGGAATAATCCTCTTGAATTATCCGCAATGAATGTGCAGCAGAATAACTGACGCTCAGCTGGAGTAAACAGGGACTCGACAAGGATCTGAAATTTAAAGGAAATGAATATTCTTTGCTCATTCTCCTGTTCTATATTCCTTTTGGAACGCTCGATTTGCCTTTGAACATGCTTACCAAAAAGTACTCTGCTCGCTGGGTGCTGCCAACTCTCATGTGGGTATGGGGAAGTCTCGCCATGCTTCAATGCGCTGCGAAGAATTTTGGTGGTTTGCTTGTTTTGCGTTTGCTCTTAGGGTCAGTTTCAATATCACGAAAGTGAAAAGTTTTGCTGACTTCCCATAGGGTTTGTGAAGCTGGATTCTTTGCTGGCGTTGTGTTTTACTTCACCATCTTTTACTCTCGGGGAGAGTTGGGATTTCGAGTGGCAATATTTTTTGGATGCGCCCTGCTCGCTGCAGCATTTAGCGGTCTGATTTCTTATGGAGTCTTTCAAATCGGCGACAAACACGTCAAAGGCTGGATGTGGCTCATGATTATTGAGGGCGGGCTAACAGTCCTAATTGGTCTATTTGCCTACTTCTGGCTTCCGGCTTCTCCCTCAACGGCCTGGTTCCTGAACGATGCCGAAAAGGCTGCCGCAAAAGCGCGAAACTTGCGTGATTCATCGAGTAAAGTTGACACCAAGTTCAACTTGAAAGACTGCTTCCAAATTTGGAAAGACTGGAAATTCGCACTCTGGTGCATCATTGCATTTACATACCCCGTGGCATTCGCGACGACCTCAAACTTTCTCCCTCAAATTGTCCAAAGACTTGGCTATTCTGTTATCAAAACGAACCTCTGGACTGTGGCACCCAACGCAGTCGGTTTTGTGGTCCTCTTGCTATTCGCAAAATCTTCTGACTATTTCCGGGAACGGACTTTCCACGTCATCATTGCCCTCTGCATATCCATGGCTGGAATGCTGATTCTGATCATAATTGACGTCCTGGAAAATAAGGGTGTCGCCTATTTTGCATGCTTCTTAATGGCAGCTGGATCATACATCCCCAGTTGTCTTGTCCAATCTTGGCACAACAACAATAATCTTGACGAAAACTCTCGAGCCGCAACGACTGGCCTGCTTGTTGGTCTTGGAAATTTTGCCGGTATCCTATCTGCAGGGACTTTCCGCGTAGAGTACGCACCAAAGTATATACCAACTCTCATAGCGAGTAAGTCGACCAGGCTAGCAGAATGATTTAGACAGATACTAATTCTGCTCCAACAGCATGCATCTGTAACGTTATTGCTATAGTGGGCATCCTCATTTTGGGTTTATGGATGAAGGCCGAGAACAGACGACGGAACAAGGAGCAGGGAGTCAATCTTGAGGCAAAAGATGTGGACACCAGAGACCTTCCAGATGGCGAAAAATCGCCCAAATTTCGCTACTTCACTTAAGGGCTTTGAATTCTGCAAGAAAACAGGGGGTTTCTACCCATATCCCATATAAAATAGACTTAGATTAGTGCTGCTTACCCTGGCCAAGAGGCAATGTCAGATGACCATAGAGAGAAAATTCAATTATTCGCAATGCATCCCAAATACTTTGGGAAATATCTGGCTTGATCACAAAATGTCGATGATGACAGTGTGAATGAGATACGTAGTACATCCTCAAAAACAAGGACGATATTTGTTCCCACCAAAGCTGGTTAGAATTCGCTTGGGGGTCGCTACAGGAGATAGGGGAGATTGTACTGGGGAGGGCAGGGGCGGGTGACAAAAGGTTTGGAGATTGATCTGGCCATTGGCTGGAGCTACACGGCAGTTCCAGGTCACTATCCAGAGCACCTCGCCAAACCTTTTGTCACCCGCCCTGAGGGGCGACTTTCTCATTGGATTGGGCTAAACGAACACCTCAACGCTACGGAGAAAACCTCCCGTCCTGCCTTTGGCACTGCCATACCCCGACTCGACGATAAGTCAAAACTTTTCTCTACACAGCACCCTCTATTACAAAGGCATTCATGTGCACTCCATCATTCGTGGAACCTTCTAGTATAATCCTTTCTTAAGAATCCAGGGCATTTACCCTTCAGTTTGTTCTCCCAGGGTCACACCCTTTCCGCCGCATTTCGGGTTAAGACTTCGGGTTGATGGTTGCAATTACCCCATACAGGATAGGGTGTTCTTAACTGCGACTTTGACTTAAGATAACCGGCCCGGAATCTGCAACACTAAATAAACCAGGCTGGAGCGAGGTAGGATGAAGCTACTCCAGCTTCAACCGGCCGTTATCGTCGCAATGACTTTCCTCTCTGACACATGTCCTGCGCGTCAGAACCCCTCTCCCCTCATTGGCGTGCATCAGGCTAACGGCACGAAATGGGAATACCCTGCTGTCAAGCCATAAAATAAGATTATCGTCGGCCCAAGAGCAGAGAGGCCGACTCAAGATTCTCGCCGGAATAAAACAACAAGCCCTAGAGACAATCGTAACATTGTTCACTTTCAAAAATTATATTTTCGCAGAAGTCGATCCATGAAATGGGCCAGGTAAGCGTGCTAACTGATTACAATTTGTTGGTCGTAGTCTAAGGTCAGATAGCCAGACGCAGCCGAAAATTGGCCGAACTCCTTGAGTCTCGTTGAGGCCAACATTGATGATCTCCAAAATGCGTTATCGACAGGGTCCATTACCTCGGTAGAGCTCGTGGCCCTTTACTTGCGCCGCATAAGCAAATACGATTGTCGGGGACCATGCCTGAACTCCATCCCTCTGCTGAACTCTTCGGTCTTTGAAGAAGCCGCTGCTTCTGATGATCGCCGCCGAGGCGGTCATGTCGGGCCTTTGGAAGGAATTCCTTTTACGGTGAAAGACAGCTACAAAGTCAAGGGCATGTCGGTCGCTTCTGGCTCTCCCGCCTTCAAATCTTTGATGTCAAACGAGGATGCGTTCACCGTGGAAAAACTTCGGGAAGCAGGAGCGGTTCTAATCGGAAAGACCAATATGCCTCCAATGGCCTATGGCGGCATGCAACGAGGTGTTTATGGCAGGGCTGAAAGTCCATATAACTTGGACTATCTCACCGCCGCCTTTGCATCGGGCTCCTCCAATGGATCGGCGAGCTCGACCAGCGCCAGCCTCGCAGCATTTGGAATGGGTGAAGAGACTGTATCCTCGGGTCGATCCCCCGCATCCAACAATGGACTCGTGGCATATACACCGTCGCGCGGAGCAATTTCGATCAGGGGGAACTGGCCTCTTTATCCCACATGCGACGTTGTCGTACCTCATACACGCACCGTCAGAGATATGTTTGACTTGCTCAACGTCATTGTGACTGAGGACAAGACCTCTTCGGGTGACTTCTGGAGAGAACAAAAATATGTCTCACTTCCCGAAATAAAGGATATACGTCCAAAATCATATCATGACCTGGCTGACCCTAAAGCTTTGTCGAGAAAGAAGATTGGAGTACCCAGGATGTACATTGGCAAAGAAGACAATGCCGGAAAGCCCGTTACGACATCCAGCTCAGTCATTGAGCTTTGGGAGCAGGCCAGATTACAGCTGGAGTCTCTGGGGGCTACGGTTATAGAGACAGACTTTCCAGTCGTCTCGAATTACGAGAAGGTACCCGGGGAAACAGCATTCGTTGAAGGCGCACCTGAGGAATGGAACAAGGTGGAGAGGAGTTCGATGATTGCCCATATTTGGAATGACTTTCTTTTGGCCAATGGCGACCGACAAATACCATCACTAGCTTCTACTGACACCGCGAGGATCTTTCCGATGGAGCCTGGAGCCATTCAAAGCAGATATTCTGAGCCAGCAAATGCTGTTCAGTTCCTCAAACTCCTGGAATTCCTTAAACCTGAAGTACCATCCACATTGGAAATTTCTGGTCTCGAGACTGCACTTTTGGCCCTCGAAAATGCCCGGAAACGGGATCTTGAAGAGTGGCTGGACAAGAACGACCTGGACTTCGTTGTCTTCCCAGCTAACGGCGATGTTGGTCGCGCGGATAGCGACCGGGTAGATGCCTCCGCGAAACATGCATGGCAGAATGGCGTTAAATATTCGAACGGAAATCGAGCGATACGACATTTGGGAATCCCGACCGTCTCGGTCACAATGGGCACCATGAAGGACACAGGCATGCCCGTAGGACTCACGTTTGCCTCCAAAGCATATGACGATTCCAATTTACTTCGATATGCGTATGCATATGAAACAGCTTCTAGAAAGCGCGTTCCACCGGGATTGACACCATCGCTGGATACCGACATCATTCCCCGATCCATCGCAAGGCAAATTGCTGGAGATCGTCCCGCCTTGTCAGTGTCAAAGTCGATCAAATATAATTGTGGGGAAATGGTCACCATTGAACTTGCTGGAGAGGTTCATCCGTGCACTGGTTCAGCCCTCCAATCTCTAACTGTCTGTGTGGATGGTGACTACGTCCAAGCTATCCAAATTGAGGGTTCGAAATGGAGCCTTGCCACGACCGTGTACCCGCCACCCAAGCAAGACTTCCCCACCGAGGCAACAGTTCCTCGAGACCAAATTACTGTAGTGGTTCTTGCAAAAGCCGACAATGGCGCAGCAACAGGACATCTTCTTCTCCTTGACTGAATCGGTAGGATGATATCGTGTGCGGCATTACTCTTAAGCATATTCATTTAGATATGAGGGCAATGATATCATAACAAACAGAACAGAGGAGCCAAGTGGATATATCAAAGAGGATTCTTATTTTCTTCAGCGGTTCTTTCGCTCGATGAATGATTCATGAGGGTCAAGTCAATATGGAGTTCGAAATATATGTCAATACTGCCCTCCTACCACAAGCATTTATCCCACTGCTTTTGCTGATATGTTGCTCGCACGGCTTTTGCCTGCCTTAATTGAAGCATTCAATGTCTCTGTCATGCAAAACTGTTGCAGAGGTTCTGGAAAATACACTGTAATGTTTAGGGTAATGGTTCAACCGGGCACACTTTAACCTTCCGTGAGGCGTTCTCCGTAGCTTCCGTGGGTGTGCGCGAGTGCTCGCGTAGCATTATTCGTTAGTGCGGGGAACAAGCAAAGCAAAACCTGGGGTCCCTTGACCGACGTAACCACCTACTTCTACCTACGTATATAGTAATCTTGTATTGTCTAGGCTTTCGCGACGTCTCGGCCTCTGCTATCGAAGGCATATATCCATCTCAAGCTTCTATCGCTTCTATTAGTTCTGCGCCGATTATGGAACATAAGAGTCTGCGATATTCGAGCGAACATGAGCTGCAACATTTGTCCGTCTGGTTTCCGCCTTCGGACGTTCCCCTAAGCAATACCCAACATGCTTCTAAATACTGGGTAATGTAAGAGTCACATGAAACTTCTTCAAAGCCCATCAACTTTCGCGTCATTAGATGACTGAATCAAATACAATAGTTATATACATGGAGGTGCCTGGAGAGACCCAGCAATAAAAAATGAATCATTCAGCACCACTATTGAGCGATTGATTTCTACCAGCGAATATTCGTCCATTGTGCCTAATATTGCTGCATTTGCATCAATCGATTACCGCCTATCACCACACCCAGACTTTCCTCAGGACAAAGCAAGCACGCCATCAAACCAGCTGCGCAACGCAAAGCACCCGGACCACATTCGCGATGTTCAGCAAGCCATAGCATTTCTGCAACGCGAGTACCAATTCGGAGATAGGTATATCCTCGTCGGTCATTCCTGTGGAGCTACATTGGCATTTCATCTCGCCATGGGATGCGGTATATCCAAGGACGATGACCGTCGAAACCGCAGTGGGCCAAATGAAGGTAACAAAGAGCAATCTCCAATTGATCTACCTGTGGCAATAGTTGGCGTTGAAGGCATATATGATCTGCGCGGACTGCGAGACGCGCATCAAGATGTTCGTATCTACCATGAGGTTTTAGAAGGCGCTTTTGGTCCGGATGAATCCGTCTGGGATGTCGCTTCTCCTGCGAAATACAGCGCGTTTCGCGAAACCTGGCCCTCGGGAAAACTGGCCGTGATAGTACACACGGAAGCCGATGAGCTAGTTGAACCCGAGCAGATGAGCAAGATGGCTGCCCATCTGAGAAATAGCTGGAATGGCTCGACCATTGCGCTGAAAGATGATATCCCCGGCGGCCGAGACCAAAGTACTGGTGGCCACGACGAGGTTTGGAAACGTGGAGTTGTTTTGGCAGATGTCATAGCTAAAACTATCAAGGAACTGTCCTCTTGAGTGTCAGAATATGAAAATCTCACTTTCGTTTGAAAATGTTAGAATCAAGTTGTCTAAAATTATTCTTGAATGATTTGGGCGGTATTGTAATACTATTGAATTCATTATTATAATTATTTTTGATAGTAAAACTAACTTTAAAAGTTTATTGGGAACGTGTTTAATTATACTCTGGCGGGTGCATAAAAGAACAATAATTGTTTAGTAGATACTGTTCGAGTTCGTCGCTGTCGGCCTCGACCGACCAAGTGATGCCATTGCCAGGTTTCTCCAGACGGGCTCTAGTTGCATGAGTAGCTCGAGTCCCATTCTCCTGTTCAGGAATTGGACCCTGCATTGTTTTGCCAATCATGTCTGCCGGCACTTCTTGTTATTAAGTTAGCTAAAGCCCTTTAACAGAGAAGTTAGAAACTAGTTGTAGAACCAGATGTAGTACTTACATGAAAGTAGATCTGGACATGTTTCCTAAGCGTACTAGCAATGAGAAAATTCATTCTTTTATCATCCTAAACTAGTTTAGCAACCAGTTTCTGTAATATGAGAAATCCTTTCAACTTATATCATTGTAGGCACACAATTTCTTACAAGATTCGATGTACAAAAATAGTTCTGCACTTGGGTCTTCTGGTGGCAGCAGTCAAACATGTATATAATCCCTTGGGAACGTCTCCCTCGAAGAGGAGTGCACCGGCTTCCTTCATGTCGGCCAGCGTGGCCTGTCTGAAATGCCATGGAAACAGCTCTGGTCGCGCGCTGTCTTCGCTGCTTGGGTCCCAACGATCTATCTCTTCTTCCCAGGGTCTCTTTGTCTTCCATTTTGGATTAGCATCTAGACCTTCATAGAGCTTAGGATCCCTAGGTTTCTTTGGATTCTTGACAACTTTGTCTTTCTTGTTCTTGTTTACTGACTTGCTACTCTTCCTCCTGCATCGTAGTCCTCGTGAACAAAAGAGACAACCTGGTGAATCTAGATCAACAAACAGATATTAATATCAATCTTGAAAATTTTCGGGGTTAGAATAATGGTACCTCGGGATGAAAGGTTATCATAAATGCATCGAAGAGACTATGACAAGTAGCGGTAAGGAGTATGCCGTTCTGGACCGAGTTTATGCCGGTATCTGATGGAAAAGTCCTGTTCGTAATGCAATTTGAGAGCCTGCTACTGAGGAATAATCCAGCGTAGGCAATGGAAACACGTGCGCGGCGTGAAGGCCGGTCCACATAGTCCTTTTAACAATAGATCATGCTCATCGAGGAGGGAATATGACACATCTCTCATTTCTGGCTCGGACCCGATTGCGAAATATCTCAAACCGGGGATTGCTTGATGATCGAGTTTTTAAATTCCACGTTTCTGATTTCAGTTCGACAAAGGCTGCCACTTAGGAAAATGTTCCTTCCATTAGTTCGATTCGTGCCGGCTAAAGCTAACACAGCGCTTGAATAAATATATTTGCAACAGCATGCTCGTGGCATAACAGGGGAAATCTGAAAAGTCTTGTTCAAAAATGAATCATCGATGGAAAGATTGAATTCAAAATAGGTTCAAAGCATAATTTCGTATAGAACGCAGGTAGAGAGACATGAGCAAGCTTTATATATTACAACAGTCAATGAATCATGAAACGGTGCAGACAATGGGCCGGGCAGAATGTGTGATTGGACAAGGTAATACAGCTATTGGCCACAGAGAACACAAAAAAAGGCTTTATTCACGATGTGAGAATGCTACTGGTCACAAAGAAAGTGAAGAAGATGATAAAATGCAGCAAATGGATAGCCTCAAAACCATTGTCGTAGAAGCTGAATGCAGAGCGAGTTATGCACAGCTACATAAATGCATAAAATATTGTTGCAAGGATTTGTGCTCGTTTATGCACTCCGCATTGCGCCAACCAGATCTTAGTCAATTCAGATCACTGTGCATAATTTTCGCTAGGAAGCATAATATGCACAACTTACCCCTGGCTACTCGCCTTTCTAGAACATGACGGGTGATCGGCTCGCTTGTGAAATACAGGACTACCCCCGAACCATGATTGGCGTTAATATGATTGGAAAGGAATGGCAAGAACCTTATCATCGTCATCATTTAGTTTACTGTTTATACATCCATACTCAAAGCTGGACTTGTCATTTCCTTCGGCGGACATCTCCAAGGATGGAAGTCATATTGTCGAGAGCGTGCGCCTATCTCTTGGCCTTCACGATATAGCTCGTGGACTCCATCGTTAATGTCTTGGCTTTTCTGACAGACGCTTGCAATTCGCTACCACGCCGAGATCCCTCCGCCTCTGCTGATGATGGCTCGGACAAATGTCTTGGCGCCGAGCCTAACGCGCACAATTTGTTGGAAGATGGCCAGTCGGACATGTCCGAAATGGAATTTACGCCTGATAAGACTTCAATTGATACGAGAATCGAAAGAGTAATTGTCCCTATGCTCTGTTGATCTCGCGACTCTATATTCAGCGACCAGCCTGCTCTTCTTTTGAAGACTGCCGAATTTCAGAGTGGTCGAACAGCGAGGCTTGAAACCGACTTGTTTACTTTCTCTTTTCCGAGTCCTTGCCCGAGTCGATCTTGAGAACGGAAAGGAACAATGGCAGTCACTCATATTGCGGAGAAAGTCAACTTAGCTGTGGCTCGCAGCTTTGTTGGCAAGCGCTTCAGGCTGGAGCACTCTGGTCATGTATGAAGACTTTCACGGAGTCAAATGGCAGAGTGCTAATATCTGCGTTAGAGAAAAGAGCGTAAAGGATCGCGTTTTTTGACGGAGATCCGGGCGGGATTGGCTACTTTCTTTGCCATGGCCTATATTATCTCTGTAAGGCTAGCCATAGTTTGAATGGGATCAATCGGCGCCAACTGACAATCTTTCCCCCTCTGTACAGGTTAATGCAACTATCGTGAGCGATACTGGAGGCACTTGTGTATGCAATAGCACACCCGATGACCCGATCTGCACGTCAAACGAGGAATATGCGCTCTGCCAGCAAGTCATCCACCGCGACCTGATCACAGCAACTGCCGCTATCGCAGCGCTTTCCACATTCTGCATGGGGTATGGCAAGGCCTGTTACTTTGGTTATGAGTAGTACTAACTGAATGTTGACAGTATTTTTGCCAATATGCCTCTCGCCCTCGCTCCCGGCATGGGTCTCAATGCCTATTTTGCATACACTGTTGTTGGATTCCACGGAACTGGATTTGTCTCCTATCGACTCGCTTTGACCGCAGTCTTTGTGGAGGGATTGGTATTTGTTGCCTTGTCTGTCCTTGGACTTCGGCAGTGGTTGGCACGGGCAATTCCCCACTCCATTAAACTCGCAACGGGTGTGGGGATCGGTCTCTACCTCACAATCATCGGTCTCACTTACAGCGACGGTATCGGATTGATTACTGGAGCGACTTCGACCCCGTTAGAGTTGGCGGGTTGCGCAGCTAGTATGCGTGACCCCGACACTGGGTTATGCCCCAATTCCGGAAAGATGCGCAGTCCTACCATGTGGGTAGGCATTTTCTGTGGTGGAATGTTTACCGCTATCCTTATGCTTTACCGTGTCAAGGTACGTATTGTCGACTCTACAAATGAGACATTTCTCTGATTTGATAATTTCTAGGGTGCAATTATTGCCGGAATCCTATTGGTGTCCATCATCTCGTGGCCCCGAAGCACGCCCGTAACTTACTTTCCCCACACAGCCACCGGCGACGCCGCTTTTGACTTCTTCAAGAACGTCGTTACATTCCATCCCATCACCAAGATTCTCAATGTTCAGGACTGGTCGCTCGGTGAGGCAGGCGGAAAATTTGGACTGGCGTTCATCACTTTCCTTTACGTCGACATTCTTGACTGCACCGGCACAATGTATGCCATGGCTCGCTTTGCCGGAGCAATCGACGAAAGGACCCAGGATTTCGAAGGCAGCGCAGTCGCATACCTCGTTGATGCTTTCTCCGTTACCATCGGCAGTCTCTTCGGTTGCCCTCCCTGCACGGCTTTCATCGAATCGGGCGCTGGTATTTCTGAAGGTGGACGAACTGGAATCACCTCAGTAGTAACCGGTCTCTGCTTCTTCATCTCCATCTTCTTTGCACCAATTTTCGCCTCCATTCCCCCTTGGGCTACAGGATGTACTCTTGTCATTGTCGGCGCTATGATGGCGACCGCCGCCAAGGATATCAACTGGCGCTATTGGGGCGATGCTCTTCCAGCATTCATCACCATGGCCGTCATGCCATTCACCTATTCTATCTCCTACGGCCTGATCGGTGGTATTATCTCTTACATCATCATCAATACTGTTGTCTGGATCCTGGAGAAGGCTAGTCGCGGTCGCATTGTTCCGCCAGGTAAGGAAGGCAAGGATCCATGGACCTGGCGAATGGAAGGAGGTGTTCTTCCTCCGTGGATCGTTCGCTTGTCAAGAGGAAAGAAAGAATTTTGGCGCGAAGACCCTGTTTTCGACGGCGAGAAGACGTCTAATATGGAAGGCGTTGTCGTCGTGCAGCCCGATAATACCAAAGATACCAAATAGATATATACCCGTATAGATGGTGTTAGATTTTTGTTCGCATTTACATATTTTGATATAGATACATATAATCTATTCTTCAAACATCCTCTTCCATTGTTACGAAATTAGGAAGCTATGTGCCAATTGGTCAACACAGAACGGTTACATGACCTTGCTGGGACCCGCAAAACCATTGCACCACGTGTGATGCACTCGAGTATTGGCCATTGTACTCCGGCAAGGAATTCTCACCTACCCACCACGGGTCTTGATGAGGTAAGGGGTTTGCAAAATGATGATCTTCAAGAATATTGTTGACCCATCATAACAGGTGTAAGTTGGCGCTACATTTGAAAGGCTACTTTCTGCGGCATCTCCAAGACTGACGCTCAATTATTTTACTTAACAGATTGACGAGTCAACGCACCGGCATGCCAGATTTCAAAATTGCGTACATTCGAGCTTCCATAGTTCAATTCTAAGCCGCGGATGTCAGAGGCTCTCCAATGATGCCAGGCTCATCCCAGAAACTCGCGCGAATCTTGCGATCGCCTTCCCAAGCCCAACGAGCATGTTGAACGGCGAAGTTCTATAGTACGACAGGTTAGCCGGGTCATTTTAATCTGAAAATCTTAATAGGAAGTCACACTCACATCGATTACGAGAACGTCACCTACTTCCCACGTCACATCGGAGCCAAGAGCGTGCTGGTACTTGTCCATTTCTTCCAGCCATTCCTTGGGAATCACCTCATCCTTTTCGACTCCGGCAAACTAATTTACAGAAATAAGAGTCAGCACTTCACGTCTGCCTAAGGGAGATGTTAAATAATCCATACATGAGGCGGAACAGCGATTCCTTCTTCCTCGGTTCCGGTCTTAAATTTGAATGGCGGTTCCCAAGTATTGTTTACTTTTGCATTGGTATACCGCGTGGACATGGCCTAAATATGAATATGCGTAAGAATTTTCAGACTAGGAAAGCCATGACTGGTTGCTTACGTTGAAAATACTACCAATCTTCAGGGTTGGATGAAGACGAACTCCTAGATGCCATCAGTCGTCAGCAAAAAAAAAAAAAAAGCAGTCCAAAAATGAGTTATATCAAGCCAGGATAACCCCTTACCTGGCACGCGATGAACCACTTCCAGATCGCCATTCTCGGCCCAAGACCAGTCAAATCCACGACGCTGCCAGTCGGGCAGAGACTCATTCTTGGCTGCCTCGGGGGACCAGCCTCCACGCTTGGCCAGGTCAATGATGCGACTCTCCACACCACGCCGCTTATCTGCATCTGTCATCTTGCTGATGTCGCCGTTCAACGGGCCAAAAGCATTTTCCTTGTACAACCCATTACCTCCAACGATACCGCCCACTTGTGCGGATGTATGGGGGATCTGATAGACCAGGCCCTTCTTGCCGCATTTGTCCACAAACTCTGGCACTGTCTTCTTCAGACGGTCATAAAGCGCCAACGAGGACACAATGTTGGTCTCCCCGCCTGCTCCGGGTGGAACTTGACAGTACAAGACCAAGTATCCTGGATGTACTGGCGATACGGCGTATTCGTTATGCCAGCCTATGAAGTGTGATGGGGGACCTCTATCGGCATAATATGGATTAGCCACCCTTGAATCTTGGCTCTACATATAATGGCACATTTGTGCCGTTATACTAATGAAGGTGTAAAAGGGTGAACGTACTCATTCGTGGTCATGACGTTCTTTGCCAATGGCCTGCGTAAGACTTCCATGCCGACATGGACATGAGGAACCCATGCTTGCTTTCCCTTGCCAGCCAGTGCAGACAGGAAGTCCGAGAAGTCTTCGACGCTCTTCAGAGGAAGTCCTTTGAAATTGATAGCGCCCCCGTTCGCATCAAGCAGCTTGCGGATGAAGCTGGGCTCGTTGCTCTTTTCTTGAGCAGCAAGGCGGCTGATCTCTTCCAGCACTGTCTGCTTGTCAGTCTGCTTTTTGGGCGCAATAACTACTGGAAATTGGATAGTAGGCTGCCCAGATCCTTCGACCACTTGCATCTCCCTCTGGTACGGAGCGTTTCTGGTCTCCCAGTAGTCGTTGATCGTCATGATGAATGATATAATGACGGGAGCAGGTAGTTATCTTAGTTGTGTTTGTTGCAAATGGTGCGCAGTTTCTCTGATAGCGGTCTTAATAACCAATGATAATGATAAGTAGGCCTGAGGGACGAGATTCTGTGCTATATAGCCAGCAAGTTATGTGTTCAAAAACAATGAACAGATGTCTACTTAGCGTCTCTACGCTCTTTGAAGGTAAACCAGCGCTATTCTAATCGATCTCTTCACTGCCGCATGGATCTGGACAGTGTCAACGCCTTGACTAATTTGTGACAAAGTACCTCCATAGTAATAGATGAAATGAGGTATGACGAAAGATGGATATTACTCTGCATTTTTTTAAAGCTGCGGCGCTCACGTACTACACATGATTAGCATGTAGTTTACTAACCAGAGTTGACTACTGCTTTACGGTGCTGTTAGTCACTGAGCGTATAACAGTAACTTAGAACCCAATTCCGTTATGTTTCACGGGATCTTCTAATTGAGATTCCATACGACTCGAAATGCAGAGAACTAATCAACAAATTGGAATCTATTACAATCGAGTGAAGCGGATTTCCACCTTGTGAAAGATCACCTGGTTTCGCTTTTTGATCGATTCTGGAGTCCCAGTCGAGGCACGAAGTTTTGCGGTTCTGCTTTACTATCGGGGCCTATCAACCATCTCATCAAGAGTAATGGGAGCTTGCTCTTTAATAAACAGTTTCCCGATACACTACCGTTCATAATTTATCAGTTTGTTTGTTTGCTGGCCTCTCCAAGATGCCTCTCCCAGTCCCACCGCCTCTAGGCTATCCGGTCCCATATAGCCGCCATGCAGTTTCTGTTCAGCTCCCAACCTGGCAAGACATGTGTGGAATGGCGCAGGGAGAGCCTCGAGTGAAGAGAGTCCAAAGGATTGGTTACCCACGATCGTTTCTTCAAAAGGATGTTCAAGCGGTAAGTTTATGTCATTGAAAATTCGACATTTCCTTTTGTGCAAATTAGCAGAAGCTGATTCCATCAAAGTTGATTGATACCGCTGTAGAAATATTTGGCACCGCAAAGGAATCCTGCCTAATATTCCCATCCTTCTCTCATGCGGCCGCTTGTGGAGCGTTTATTCGCTCCCATATATCATCCCCAGAGAGTATCAATGGAGAATACTCAGTTCGCGCGGTTGATTTTCCTCGAGGCGCCGCCTCTCGACCTCAATCTTGCAGTAACCATGTACTGATTTGTACTGCTCAATCAATGAACGTTCGATTATTTGCAGTCTTCTTTCCGACCGAATTTCGCTCTACAGCGATCAAATTTTGGCGACTCACCGGAACTGGAATATCCTCGAGGTTAGCGGAAGATCTTCTCACGTCAAATACATTTACCAAAAACGTGTTTTTGCCACTTGTGACAGATGCAAATCCGTTCAGAAAGGCGTGTGTCGAAGACGCAGCCGATATCATAAAGTGTCGGATAGCCAACCTCCTTGGACGCACTCTGCCTTCAAATTCCAGCAAGAACTTCGTCGACGCAGCTGATGTGTATCTCTATCCCTCTGGAATGTCAGCTATATATCATTGCAATCAACTTCTCAATACCTGGCGTGGAACACAAAGTATCGTTTTTGGCTTCCCATATGAACTTACCCTTAAGCTTGTGGAGACCTTTGGCACTTCCTGTAAATTCTTCGGCTTTGGCACCCCAGATGAGCTTCAAGAGCTCGAACAGTTTCTTGAGATCGAGGCCGAAAATGGACGGAGCATTCAAGCTATCTGGTGTGAATGTCCCTCGAACCCTTTGTTACGGACCGTTGATCTTGATCGCATCCGACAGCTGGCCGACCAGTTCAATTTCCCAGTCGTGGTGGATGAAACAATTGGTACATTTGCAAATGTAGATTTGTTGCAAGTAGCGGACGTGATCGTTACGTCCTTGACCAAATCATTTAGTGGATACTTGGACGTCATGGCAGGAAGGTATGTGCCAATCTGCAGCGCGAGTTGAAGCAATAGCTCACTGGCACCTTTAGCATTGCTTTGAACCCGTCATCGAGGTTCTACAAGCCATTCAAGAAAGCGCTTGACTCATCTTACCGCAATGAGCTCTACGCCGCTGATGCTATTCAATTAGAATGCAACAGTCGGGATTTCTTGGCTCGAGCTGGTAAAATGAACGAAACAGCTGCTACCCTCGTGTCTCACCTGGAAACGTTCATTTCTAACCCCGAAAGCGCCCTTACCAAAATTTACTACCCCTCACAATGTTGGTCCGTTGCCAACTACCAGGCGCGTATGCGACCGTCAACTCCGGAATTCTACCCGGGTTATGGTTGTCTTTTCACGCTGGACTTCGCAGACGTCGAAGCGGCAACGGTCTTCTTCGATACTCTCGATGTACATAAGGGCCCGTCTCTGGGAGGCAATCTGACGCTGGCTCAACCGTACGTCCAGACGGTGTTTTTTCGGGAGAAAGATTGGGCTGCTCAGTTTGGCTTGAGGGAAACGATCGTTCGAGTGTCGGTAGGATTGGAAGATGCAGGTGAATTACTGGCGACTTTTGACAAGGCTGTCCGAAAGGCAAGAAAATCCACTGCCTTGAATATGTAAAGTTACATTACCTTTACCTTAGAGAGCTTTGTTTGTTTTCCGCTTGCATTATCCTCCTTTCATTTCCATACCTTCCGAATGTCGGTTTCCAAGCTCGTGCAAGTCATGCTCGAGCTACGTAACATGAGAACCTAATCAATTGTCTGATGACTGTTCAAAAGCAATGTAACCAATGGGTCCAAATGTGCGCGTCTTGGGTTGCTCAAGAAAATGGATATACTTCCTCTGCCCACGTAAATCTGAAATTCTGAATGATGCCGTAAGATGAAACTCTGAGTGCTTTGTACTATCTTGGATGACCCTGAGCTTCGATCATTTTGCATTCATTGAGACGAGTAAATAGTTGTGCACATCAGGATGCCAGTTGACTAAAATCTGCACAGTCATAGTTTGTCAGCATTTTGCTTCCACTTCTCATCCTCACTTGATAACTAACTTACCGAATATCGTCACATAATAATAATATATTGAAAAAATTAAAAATAAACGTAACAGAGAAGAAAACAAAAGCGTATCCAGTAATCAGTGATTTGAGCCAGAGTATAGTACAAGAAAAGCAAAATATTTTTCCGGATGAATGAGCTTTCGCATTCCCAGATATTCTTTCGTTGCTCGCTACCCTCCTCGAAATCATGCTGGACACTGTGAGTTACAATGCGCTCAGCCTGGCGCAGCCAACCAACTTTCGCGCTATGCTTCAATCCGGAGAGTTACTCTGGGGTACCTCTTGTAGAATTTTGAGTGAAGAGGCTGCGAAAATAGTTGCAACGCTCCCTCATCATTTCTGTTTTATTGACATGGTAAGCAACCGATTCTCCGAACCGAATATGCTGAAACACTTGATGATTAAAACGGAACAGGAACACACGCCATTGAACGCAACACTATTAGCCAACTTGATCAAGACAATTCAGTATTACTCAGCTGGATCGATGGTTCCCTATGTGAGAATCCCAAGCAGTGCTCCGGATATGGTAACCCATGCCCTCAACGCCGGAGCTGGTGGTATCGTGGTACCCCATGTCCAAAATGCATCACAGGCGGAGGCACTGGTACGTTTAGCCAAGTTTCCAACCCTGGGAGACCGCAGTTATCCGCCGATGATGCTATTCGGGAAACAGACGCAGACAAAGGATGGACAAACAGTCTATGACGTCTGGAACCAACATGCGGCGGTGTTTTGCCAGATCGAAGATGAAGAAGGGGTGCGAAATGTAGATGAGATTGCTAGAGTACCCGGAGGTGAGCAGGTGCCTTGACAGTTATGGCTCCCAAGCCTCTTGATTATATCCCACTAATTTCGAATCGCGATATAGTGGATGCCTTAATGGTCGGCGCCAGTGATCTACGTTTCTCGCTAGGGCTCGAGGCCGGCAGTCAAGACGGTGACGAGCCCACCTTTCTTGCTGCGTTAGAGAAGATTCAGAGAGCTGCAGATGAGAATGGTCTGTGTGTCTTGGGATTTGCAATGTCTCCAAAAGTGCTTGAAAGAAGGCTAAAACTTGGCTGGAGAGCGCTGATCATTCATGGTGATGCGCCCGGAATTGTCAATTCGGGTGCAGAGAGTCTGAAATCAAGCCTGAAAGTAGCCGAATTAGTCGGCAATCCGAGCGCCAATGGGAGCTTGAGCTAGCTGTAAATACAACCACCTTAGTTATTCAAAGAACGACTGATAGAACGACGTTGAGTGGCATTGTTTGCAATTCCATTAACTCATGGCAAATCGTAATAATCTAGTGTGCTGTAACGAAATATGTTCTATCTTGACAGGATAATAATATTACCAAATACTCGAGTTAGTAGGTCTGGTGTAGCAATCATGAATTTGTCATGTCATTGTGAAGGAAATTACGTGATTGAGCAAAATCAATGCAGCATTGCAAGCACTGGAAAGTAAAGCTGTCAGTTGTAGTAGATGTTGCGTATCACGGCGAAAAGTCCTTGGAGAAAATGCCTTAATTATCTTCATCATCACCATTATCACTATTGTTATTTATTTATTTATTTAGGAGACGATTATTTATTTCAGATTTTTATGATTTATATTCAACGCAGGTTATCGTTATCCATCGATTATACATCAACATGTCTTTTAAATTATATGGATACGAGGTAAATAGACAGTTCCCCAAGTTTGGATGGCATTGGTGACAATAAAACTCAACTCTCGAAACAGAGGAACCCTCGTACGAGGATCATCCGTATTTTGGTAGGCATCCAGCAGCAATATTCAGAGAAATGGCTAATGCAATCCGTAAAGGCTGAAGCGGAAGGCATTCAACTCGCCATCCATCAAGTTGTCCCTCGGCAAGGAATTGGCAAAGACGACTACAAAAGCAAATTTCCTCTGAGCGCAGGCAAAATCCCCGGGTTAGAAGGTCCAGATATCCAACTCACGGAAACGTTGGCTATTGCAATGGTGAGATGAGGGATTTCCCATATGCAAAAAGGTCCATGTTCTGACCGACGGATTACTTGCCGTAGTATCTGGCAAAGATTGCGAACAAGTCGAGGCTGTTGGGTGATGGATCGATCGTACAAGAGGCAGAAGTTCTCATGTGGATGAGCTGGGCCAATCAAGAGTTGCTCCAGACACTCGCTAGGTGGTCCGTTGTTCCTTTTCTTTCTAGATACAGACGACCGATGGGAGATATTGAAAATAACTTACAGGTTTCTTCCACTAATCCCATCATTTACGGACCCAGCGCCGTACTCGTATGTCGCTGTGGCTGCCGGCAGGGACGCCAGTCTTCGAATGCTTCAAAATCTTGAGCTGATTTTTCAGAAACGAAAATACTTGGTCGGAGGACATATCACTATTGCTGATCTTATGGTCGCTATATATGTCTCGCGTGGAATAGAATGGGTCCTCGATGCTGAATGGAGAGTGGCCCATCCTTTCATCATGAGGCATTTTCAGATGGTTAAAAATTGGGGTCCAGTGAAAAAAATAATTCCAAACTTTATCATGATCGATAAAGAGACACCAAATAAAAATCCGAAGGAGGGATGAAGCTCAGATGACTGGGCAGTGAAGGTTCAATTAGAAGGTCTATATATACCTTAGTTTTACGGAATACATTTCGCGATCCAAAAAGTACTTCAACTAAGGGAACACTTTGTGAACAAGGGTCGTGTTCATGAGTTGAACGGGTGCTTAACTGTAAAAGGCCCGGTCGGCAGTACATTCCCGCTATTCTTCAGAGAGAAATTGTACCGTTGAAAGCATTCAAACCCACTATGACTGTTGATTTGTAGTGGACATGACCATTGGAAGCATGCGGTCTCATACGAATTTCACAACTACCAACTAGTTTTACTTGTATTCTCATTAGCACCGTGACCGTTTCAAAAATTGTATAAAAAAATCCTTTTCTTTCAATAATATAGTTCGAATTCTTCTAAGCAATGGTGCTGCGACACTATGAATGGAGTGGAAGAAACAAAGTTATATTCCCTAGTTCTATTTGGCCACATCATAGGCGAACTTCTCGGCGCTGGCATTTGCATCCTTGACCCAAGTGCGAATATAATCTGGCACATTCTCCACCATATTCGTCGGTGCCGGTATGGGAGATCCCCACTGCGTCCAAGACGGAATCACGCCAGCCCAAACCCTTCTCCGCATCTCCTCGTCTTTCAAATCATTTCGATCTTCTCCTGTAGTACCAGCTCTGACCTTGGCACTGGCACTTTTAATGTCGACTCGAATAATCCCGGTTGCCGTCAGCTCGGCCCGTGTGGGAGGAATTCGGGTATTCTCCCATCGCTCGGGCAAAATATTGTTGGTGATCAGCTCCATCGCATAAAAGCGTTCACCTTCGTCGGTCACCAGATGTGCATCTCCGAAAGCAATGGCTGAGCGATAGTTGCAACTGTGGTGATTCGGAGTCAAGGCCAATACAAGACCATCCATAAGAGTCGCAGCGACGCAGATCTTGAGTCCGTCGGAATCGTCCAAGGAATTACTTGATTTCTTGAAAAACCGTGATGAGACATACCCATGTAGGTAAATCGAACGTTCCGTTCCTGCTTTTTCACCGTAAGACCCGGTGCAACCAAACATTGGAAGTATCACCGGATAAGATTCAGTTGCATCGCTCGCCAGCGCGTGAAATGAGATATGGAGGACCGGTGCGGAATCAATGATAGGGTATACATCATCATATCCATATTTCCCTACCCCACATCAATTCGGTCAGCCTCAGCTTATTTCGAAGCGCGTATTGAAGCTCAAGCTCAATTACCTCTGTTTCGATACCGCTTCACCTCGTTGATACTTGATTTTTCAAACTTATCAGGCTCCATGGAGATAGAATGCGTCAGATATGCACGTTAATGGGAGAATTGCTTGAGGTAAGCTGAAAGTATCGCAATTAATAAGGCATATAGATATCTGTAACGATGATGGAGTACTGAGATGAGAAAAATCTCGAATTATCATATCATTTGAAAACACCGTCATAAAGGATATCTAATGATAGTGCACAATAAATGCTTACCACTTTTGCGTTTACAGAGTCCTGCATCGTCAATTACCGAGCATAAACACCTATCTGAGGACAAAGGATGTAATCAAAGTCCATGCCATCAGTCGGCAAATTTGTCGATGCTCATTTGACCTCTAACAATCAGGTGTAGACTAATATACTTTTGACAGCGGCGTGAAGGCACTACTCATCAGACTGTGCATATTAGTCGCTATTACGCCAATTATTTTAGTAAGTCTTCGCTTCCTCAAATTAAACCATGCTTCTGATGTCACTAACCTCACCCTCGTAGCTCATTGTTGTCTAAGCATTCGTCTCAGATACATAACTATCCGCGAGGCAAGTTGACAACAACTATGAAACTCCTCAAATCAATTGCCCACGTCACTCAATATATTGTGCACATTACTCCAGTAAACCCGGACATATCAGTTTCATCATTAACGACATACTGGCTGATTTTCAGCTAGATTTTATGACATTCCAAAGTCGAACACTTTTCCTTCTCAAACAAAATGACGGAAAGAGATGATATTGTCCGCCGTCTTCAGGCTCTGGAGCCCCTCATTCGCAAATTGTGCGGCATTTGTGGAGTTCCTGGTGTCTCTTTGGGTGTTGTACTCAGTGGGGATGTGATTTTCCGCTTGAATTTGGGTTACCGGAACCTTGAGACATCAGCGGCCACAGACTCGGACACCGTTTATCCAATTGGAACTATAGCGAAAACTTTTACTGCTTCCGCAATTGGAATTCTCGTGAGCGAAGGAAAACTATCATGGAATACTCTCATACGTGATATATTACCGGAATTCCGGAGCAGGGACTTGACTATTTCACAAAATCTGACGGTCCTGGACCTGTTATGCCACCGAGGTGGTCTTGCCCGATCAAATCAATGGTGGCAAGGAGCAGGGGGGGAATTACTACAGGAGAAGAGGCAAACAATTCCTTTCTATAGTACGCTAGAACCGGTGGGCACCTTCCGCAGTGACTGGGCGTATAGTAACTGGGGGTACGCCATCCTTGGAGAGGTCATTGAGAGAGCGAGCGGTTTGAGATACGGGGACTTTCTCTCAAAGAGGATATTCCAACCGCTTGAACTTGACTGTACGACTACTGCCGAGCCGGTCGCTGCCAATAAACACAATGTGGCAAAGCCGTATGCCGCGCTCGACGATGCGACACTGCATCCCCTGCCACAGCCTCCGGTACACGGTAACGCCATCATGGTCCCCGCCATGGGAATTAGCAGCTCACTCAATGATCTTTGCAAGTATGCCATCGCGCTTCTCCATGCGCAGCGGACCGAATGTCGCGGTGGCAATACTTCTCATCTCGTGCTACAGAATGCAAAGACGCATCTTGCCGGGCACATTTTCACCGCTCAAGGGACAATGGAAAAATCTTACGCCTGTGGTTTTTACCGAAGCCAGCTTCCCAGCACTGTAATGGGCATGGGATGGAACTCAATTTACGTGAAGAAAATGCCTACCATCATCCCACGAGGACATTGCGGTCCCCTGATCGCCCACGGAGGAAGTTTACCAGGATACCACAGCGCCATTGCGCTTCTACCAGAACTCGAAGCTGGGGTTGTCGTTTGCACCAACTCTATTGGGCTTGGTGATGCCTCTGGGTGGATCAGCATGGCGCTGGTTGAAGCATTAATAGATTCACCCAACCCGACAGACTTTACTCAATATGCGACGGAGGCGGCCATAGGCCACGTCAACAGCGTTCCTGCTCTCCAAGATAAGCTAAGAAAAGCAAAACGTTCGTCCATGTTCGTCCCGCCTCGGCCGTTGTCACAGTATACCGGTCGCTATCGTGATGCAGATCGGGACTGGGTCATCGATATTCGGCATAGAGACGCGGGTCATCTCGAGGTGCTCTTCCAGGGTCTGGAGAGCCAAGTATGGCCATTGACGTACTATGAAGACGATACGTTCCTTTGGCTAACTGAGAGAAACGAACAAGCCAGACGGGGACGGATGACAACTTACCCACAAGGGGATGTCTTCAAACTGATATTCATGGGAAACGGCAGCCTGATCGACCGGGTATGTTGGCCACAAGAGCCAGGTCTTGCCAAGGAGAAGCAGTGCTTTACGAAGGAGGAAACAGCACAATAATGAAGTCCCGAGAGTTCTCTTACCTACCTAGTCTGTTGATATGACAGCGACATTACTATTGATGGCAGGAAAGAGCGAGGTTTCTATAGCTTTACGAGTCCCTGCCCGTCAGCTGAAGTCATTGTCCAATAATTTTTACAACATCTGACGTTTCCCGCATCCCATGTGCATGTGCAGGTATTAGGATCTTTTACTGGTCCGTCAGATATCTTTTCTGACGGGGTCGGGGAAATTTTTATGGCTGGCAAGACCAACCCGAGATTTCGCAGTGCCATGAGCGTGCATGAATATGCAATAGCCTTAACGGAGCGCATTCCGATGCAGAAATCTCGATGAGTAATTTGCTCTTTTGCAGGCGAGGCAACCAGTAATAGCCATAGTCTGACACTGCCTCTTGCGCATCTTCTACAAAGCCCCGGACTCCCGACATTTGGTATGGGATCGCACCTAGCTATCACATCTGCACACGTTCGGACCATCTTTTCAGCGTCATTTGCCGGGCTTTTCATTGGGCAGTGCATTTTCAATTCTCAATTCCGAAAGACAATTGCGATATGTCCTACCTGAACCGTTGTGTCACGTTGCTTTGTAACAACGCCAGTAGTTATTCGGAGGGTTAAAACAAGTACCTGGATGCATGCTGTAATATACTCAGGCTGGTTGCCTGTTGCCAATGCCGAATATGCCAAACACCCACTTCGGATACCCGCAATCTTGAGCCAAAATAACTGGATGTGGTTGTCGCTCCTATCGTTTTGTTTCACTGTGAAAAGGGTTCAGAGCACGAAACATAATACTAAGTCAATACGGTACCTTTTTTTTTTTTTTTCGCTACGTTCGCCTTCCTGGTTCTGGCGATGAATAGTACCTGGACCACGGGGTTCGATTAGGGTCTGTTCAATGACTAGAGAGACTTTCAGGGTTTCTCTTGCGCCGAGTACACAAATAAAATTTCTGAATCATTGCGAGAGCACTTAATGAATAAGCTTCGCTGGCAAAGTTTGGCTTGGTAGAAGCTTCCAGCTAATTTCAGATTCGACGCTCTGCAGCAGAGCAGCGGGGGGATGGATATTCTTTGAATCCCTGCGCTCATAATGTCGTAACACGAACCCCGCATTTCCAATATTCCTGCCCTTGAAGGGCATCTCATTGTTGTACTGGAAGATCGACGGAAGCGCCGAGGGCATGAGTGGAAATTTGATCTCGCAGGCTGGATACATAACACTTGCAGTGTCTGTATTTGCCGAGCCTTCAGCTGACTTCAATAACGCCTTGTCCCTTGGTCCAGGATTTTTGTCCATTTTGAATCTCTCGCAGAGAAGCTTCAAATGCTATCATTCAACGTACAAGGCCTGAGCATGCCGAGCTATTGGATTGGTGAACAAAAAATTATTCTGAATTAGACTTCCCTTGTGAGCGTTGCCAGAAAAAGAATGCTTTCCTGACAGCATCCTCATATGGGAGAACATCTGGCTGGCAAGGGAGAGTATTGGAACAACCTCAATGCACCACGGGATTTAGGCGCTCACTCGCAGAAGCATATCATGCAGAGTGCATAATACCATGTCACGATAGTGTAGCAGGGTCCACAGAATTCCGATGATTTTGTCCCTGACGGGTGCGGACTGTGTTCATCCTCCACCCTTGTCGCAGAAGACCTCTACAATGTCAAGATCAATCTTGTCTAGTCCGTATCCATAGGGGCTGCGCTGCATCTTAAGCCGCAAGATGTGGAAGACTGCTGTTGGCAAGAAACAAGAGCAGGCACGCCACGCAAGGAATGGCCATTTGACCCCACCGAAACGCGCTCCAATATGGGCACAGATACTAAAGCTGTCACATAGTTCTGAGAATGGCCGATTGGCTTTGCGTATGGAAATACTTTACGAAAGGGGCTGGCTAGACACGAGTAATAAGCTGGATCTTTAGTTTTAAGTTCTCATTATGGACACTCTGCGGCTGGCCAACGACGAATTGAACAAAGACACTGATGTAGAGCGGAGAAAGGCTCGTAATCGCATTGCACAACGTAATTATAGTAAGTTCAAGGTATTTAGATGCTGCGGCTGCCATAGATATCCCAGTTCCTAATGTGGCTTTGTTTACAGGGAAGAACATCAAAGATCGGTTACGAGAATTAGACATCTTGCGAGCGCGAGAAACGACTGGAAGACCGTTAAATGTGAATCAGATTGCAAATGCCAGCTCAAAGGCTACCTGTTCAGAAGAATCTGTCGAGCAAATGGGAGTACGAAACCATGGCCGTGGTCCGATAACGCCTCAACCTTCAGATTCGCTCTGTATTGGAGAGGATATACCGACGTCTCACATACAAAGTCTTCAGTTTCCTGCTAGAGATGGCACGAAAGGATCCAGCGATGTACTTCATTTAGACTGGACGGAAACTCCAGTCCTACCAAGCCCGCCGTCGGCATGTAACCTGGCCTCCGTCGGGAGCCTGGAAAGGGACGCACAAATGGAGCATCCAAGAGCCAGCGACTTGGATTCATGTCAATCTGTACGAAAGCAACACCTTTTAATTGCGCCCTCTCATTATATTCCATTCTCAATGCGCAAGCTTCTCTAATGCACTTGTGATAATCCTGACTGGAACAGACCGAATGCCCAGATCCACTGCCAACCGAGACATTACTTCCTGGTCGAACTCCGCTCCATCAGGCTGCTGCTCGGGGACACCTACGAGTTGTGCAGCTACTGATTGAAAGAGGAGCAAATATTCACGCCGTGGACGAAGACGGCCAGAACATTCTCCAGCTGGCCTCTCGCAATGGACATGAGAGTATCGTTCGCTTTGCATTAGACCATGGCGCATCGGTAGACTTGTATGACAACTCCGGGTATACTGCACTTCACCTGGCAGCAGAGAATGGATGGGAAAACATAGTAAAACTTTTACTTGAGGCTGGAGCATACGTTGACTCTGTGGTCAGCATTTTCTGAGTCATTGGGATCGGAATTATGCTTGTATGTGGAATTATCGAGTCAGATCATTATATTTCTTTTGAGAACGCCCTTTCATCTGTGCCCTTGTATATCTCGTGATGGCCACATACTCTAATCTATCTCTCAGGGCAAGGTAAAGCGATAGTAATTACGATATGGCTACCAATAAAGTCTTTATAGCGACACGGAAAGAAGATATTCTTTCCACCCATTTCACATAGTGCTTTTCGAAACCTGTTCACGCATAATCACATTTCTCCAAAGGTCGAATTGATTAACTTGCGCTAGAGCCCGCCGGATATTCTCCGCCTTGGCTGAAAACAAAGATCTTAGATAAGCGTTGAACGCAGCCTGAATCTTGATTTCAACCTTCGTTCCGGTATTCGTTATTCCTAATAACCGTATCGATGCTTTGGGCCACATGATTGATATTCGATGAGTTCAGACCTCTGCTGTCGTCAGAAAAAGCTGTCGCTGACACAAAAAGGGAAATGATACATACGCAATGGAAAGTCTTCCTGTATCCTGAAGATAGACATGGTATAGGTGTCGGAGAGAATTAACCTCAGTGGGACTGAACCCGGTATATCTAAATCCCTTAGCCATTTTTCGTATCAAAACTCAAGAAATGACTTGCACTTACGAAAACATCCCTACTTGATCTGTAAGGAACGACCAATCCCCGGATGTTCCAAGCTCTTGAAGCCTCATTTGAAGTTGTCGTCTTCGTGAGTTCAACTCTTGTGAGATTGATCGAACGTCCGCTTCCCAAATCTTTCTAACTGAATCATTACTCAAGATTAACTCAACTATCTTTGAGCCAAAAGCGGGCATTGCACCCGTTTCAGCTCTAGCTAGAAGCTTCATGTGCTTCTCCACCTTGACAGTAGTTTCAGCAGCAGAAGTCGCCACCAATAAAATTCCCACACGCTCGCCGTACAACCCAAAGCTCTTGCCGTATGTTGCTGCGACTAGCATCGGAATATTCGCTTTGGCAAAAATTCGCAAAGCCTCACTATCTTCGAATGGATCACCCGATACAAAACCCAAATACGCTGCATCAAAAAAGGCAAAAAACTTCTTCCTTTGAAAAATATCGGCCAATCTTTTCCATTGGGAAATGGTAGGGTCACAGCCGGTGGGATTGTTGCCAGCCACCTGAAGGACAATGACTGATTGGTTTGGGGCGCTTTCAAGAGCGGCTTGGAATTTTTCAAAGTTTATGCTGCCAGTGCGATGACTGTAATATGGGATGCTGATGGCTTTGATGCCTAGGTATTGAAAGACATTCGGATGATTAAATGTTCTCTAGTCAGTATAAATTCCATCAATACTGTGGAATTGGCTTCCTACTCCATGATTCGGCTGGCATATACACTGCCTTCGCGTCGAGGTCTTTCCAGGGGCCATAGTGACGCTCGAGAAACACGGCGCCCATGTGGCAAGCTCCGCTGGCGCCAAGGGTCTGCATCGATGCGATTCTTGCCACGAACGATGATGAGTTAGCAGAGGTTTTTGGTTGGCAGGGCTCGTTAACATCGTACCGGTTTTGATGGATTAGGGTATTGTTGGCTCCAAAAAATAGATTGGCACTCAATAGTCGAAATTCCCTTGTGCCCAAGTGTGAGGGCGGATATTCGTGATTCCAGTTCGGATCATTATATAGGATCTCTTTTGCCTATAGATATTTGATCAATATACATCGTCAATGTAGTATGGCCATAATAGCTGAATCGCACCATTTTTACGGCCTTCATCACAAAAGGCCCTCCCGAGTCGGTGCGGTACACACCGCACATCAAGTCAGTTTTCAATGGACTCGTGTCATTTTCGAAGGCGGCTTGAAGAAAATTTAGATTTTCTGTGTGATACATGTTCAGCAGGAGGAAAATCATGGAATTTACAAAGAGTGTCCCTTACCTAGTTTAGGCTCGGAAATATCGAGAAAAGGGCATTCGGACATGATGAATTATTCTTTTATCTGTATCATCTTATGATAATTGAAAAGAGTGGACATGATATGCGACATGCCTCCTTTTAACTCGAATGAAGACTATCCGTTAATTTGCGGCGAAAGAAACTCCAGGGAAGAGTACACAAATCAGAACGAGGACTTGTTTCTAAAATGCCATGTAACGCACAGTCAAATATGACTGGATATTAGGCGGTTGCTTTCACCACTTTTACGATTCCGCTTATGGAGTTCCAATTGTCTACAGTGAAGCTTTCGCTACACCTTCATTTACGCTCGGTAAGCAGTCACATCTTTTCGACCACCATCTGACACGAGACATTTATTTCTTCCAATGGTATTGGCGGTAGACAAAATAAAATCCTCCTGTCTTTTTCGCATGATCGAGGCAGTACTCGGCTGGACTAAAAAAAATACGAAAAAGACTTATTACAACCGGTACATCTCATTGATAACGCATTACTCTCCGAAGTCATATGTCAAGTCCGATACAAAAGTTCACAGAACCGTTCACTGCCTTTGTTTCACCCTCGGACTTTCTTGTGTAACTGGTCTCACGTCATTTGCGCATCGAGAGAAGATGAATGACTGTGCAGCGGCAGCACAATTGCATCATGCTGGAACCTGTTGGTCAAGCATTGGCCGTTTGCATACACCACATGAGGATGTGGCGGCTTAGCGAAACGGTCCGACGTCAGGACAAGAAGATCCTATCGACTATTTCCGAATCATTTATCTTCATTCAATCGCATTAAGTCGTCTCTGATAATGCACTTGTCCGAAGAATTTACCACGGTCTTTTGAGTCCCTTCATATTTATCACTTTTGAGGTTCATTAGCGCTTACCCTGTCAACGTAGACATCCATTCACAAAGAACAAAGAGCCAAGGGATAAGGCCATGTTGTTGACTCCGAAGCCGAAGGCCGAAGCCGATTCCGGCGAGAACAGATATTCATAATATTCACGGCATATTTATCTCACCTGTTCCATCCCATCATGTCTTCTTATCAGATCTTTTGACTAGGGCAAACCTTCCCATTAGCACCTGATTCAACCACTCCGGCCGTCTTAGAATGGCATCTGCCGCGAGTCAGGAAAGCCTAGTCGAGGATGCTGGAATAAATTGTCAAGAAGCTCAACCCACCGCCTACGATACACCACCGGATGGAGGAATCCAGGCCTGGCTGCAAGTCGCAGGTTCTTTTTTCCTCTTTTTCAACTCATGGTAAGCATTAAACGTTGGGCAACTCGAATTTCAATTAGATTTATTATCCTAAAATTCTCCAGGGGCACTGTCAACACTTTTGGCGTCTTCCAAACCTACTATGAGACAAATCTGCTTCAAGATCAATCTGCATCAAACATTTCCTGGATCGGTGCTATCCAAGCCTTTCTTTTACTCTTAGTTGGGGTCATTACTGGTCCACTTTATGATGCAGGATATTTTCGAGCGCTCTTGTTTACCGGATCTGCCTTGATTGTGATCGGTTTCATGACTTTAAGTGTGTGCTCACAATATTGGCAAGTGCTCTTGGCTCAGGCAATTTGCATCGGAGTTGGCAATGGGTGCCTCTACATTCCTTCGGTGGCCATCATTCCGCAATACTTCTTCAACCGCAAAGCGATTGCCACTGGTATCGCAGCATCCGGCAGTAGCGTCGGCGGTGTACTCTATCCAATTGTCTTTCGGCAGTTGCAGCCTCAAATTGGATTCCCATGGGCGACAAGAATCCTCGGTTTTCTGGCCTTGGCCACCTGCTCGTTCTCACTCTGTACTATGCGGCTTCGCCAAATGCCAGATCAACGACGTGTCTTGTTAGAATTCTCCGCGTTCAAGGAGGCACCGTATGCATTATTTTGTTTGGCCATGTTCTTTGGCTACATTGGATTCTTCAATATTATCTTTTACATTCAACCATACGCGCTTAGAATGCATGCAATGGGGGAGCATCTGGCGTTCTATCTCGTACCATTGCTAAACGCGGCTTCTGTTCCTGGTCGAATCGTGCCTGGACTTTTAGGCTCCAGGCTAGGTCCTTTGAACATTTTACTGGTGAGTGCTTGCATCAGCGGAGCACTATGTCTCTGTTGGATTGCCATATACACCTCCGGTGGTCTTATCGCTTTGGCCATCTTGTATGGGTTCTTTTCCGGTGCATTTGTTTCGCTTCCAGCCGTGGCATTGACAACGTTGACCCCCGACTTCCGTTCCCTTGGCACTCGAATGGGAATGTGCTCCGTTTTGTGCGGCTTGGGTTCATTGTGCGGGTCGCCCGTGGCAGGCGCAATTCTGGATAAGACTGGATCCTATTTAGGAACTCAGCTGTATTCTGGTATAACTATTTGCGCCACGGGGGTTCTGCTTTTCCTTGCGCGAATCTGCAAAACAGGAACTAAATTGAGGGCTACTGCATGATGTTCTAGAAGTTATATTGCTTGGGCTCAGACGCTGACAATTGTTTTGAGACTGTTTGCCATATCGATTCAAAAATACGTTTGTGATTGATTCTTTAGTTGAAGGCTGATCCTTTTTTCAAGAAAAAAATTATATGAAATAAAAGAATAAGAACTTATCCCAAACTCTAAGGCTCAGATTTCGATTCGTGGGTGTTTTATTTTTCATCCGAACTCTCTCGTAGGGCTCCACCATCCAGCTGCCAGTGTGACCAAGGCAGGCAATACTTACCTTACTTAAGGTAGAATACTTCAGTTGGCGACTTGTCAATCTCCGGAACCAGTGACACGACCAGCCAATCCCGTTGTCGGCTTTACCCCTAGGTAATAAGAAATTATCTGCGGCATTAATTAATTCTACCACTTCTATGATACAGCGACAGTCATAACTTAGAACGCTCTCTCTCATCGCCCACGGCATTTCCTTGAGAGAATGATATCAATAAGATTACCATTTCTAATCTCGCTAGTGATTGCTGATGAATTAACCCATTGCTCCTCTGCCCTTCTTTCCCATCACGACGGTGCCCTGACTAACGTCGACTGTATCAAGCACACGCATACCTAGTCTCTTCTCGTAAGACTCTTTGCTTTTCTGGCTCGACGTGCGCAGCAGTGCCCATCGCAGGTACGGTAATGGACTTAGTAACTCATCAACACAATCGATCAGCCAGCCTCCGAGGCCGAATCCTTGGTATTCCGGCAGTACATAAAGGTCGGTCAGAAATGCAATGGTAGTGTTATCAGTGACGAGGCGCGCAAATCCAATCTGCTCTAGATGTGTTGATACTGAAGCGCCAGCGTTGGTTGTCGTCGAGTGAGTTTCCGAAACAGCAGGGTCGGTACTATGGGTGCTCTGAGTAGTAGTCTTGTATACACCGAGGCAAAATGAGCCGTCGACAATCTGCTGCAGAATTTCATCCGGAACAGCTGTGGTCCAGTATACATATTCCTGGTCGAATACAGCGTTGATCGCGGGGATCGAGAGAAGTGTTTTATCGGTCGATATTAAAAATCCATCGCGGACCCAATTTCGCGTTTCGGTCGGTAACGACATGATCGGATATACTCCGTATAGTCAGAAAAATAAAAAGCAAGAATTTTAATTTGGTGATGGTGATGGAATTTCTAATGAAAAGAGGACCAGAGAATAGCGAGAGAATATTCGGCACAGATTAAGACTGAATTATATCTCTTCGATTGTCTAAAATTGATAATGTTGACTCACTACCTACTTCAGACGTATCAATGCACCCCGTAGGATACGGAAGGTCGTTCGTTTGTCCTCTTATATAAGGTATAACTACACACCGACTGGGGGAATCGCTAAGCGGTCTGGAGCTCGACCTGGGCCTGACTCATTCTATCGTCCAGGTACCTCTGTCTAACATATTTCTCAAGCGACTAGGTCAATGCAGATATAATAACCTAAAAGTAAAAAAAGAAGAGCGAAAAAAAATACGAGTTTCTATCAATCATAATTATGAGGGAAGTCCATCATCAACGAGTGTGAGGTTGAGCTTTCCCTGGTAGATTTGGCTCGGACGCCAGATATGTACATTGCCGCCTATTTTATAATATTAGTAGTGAAGGGGGGGGGGGGGGGGGGGGGGGGGGGGGAAGGAAAGATTTATTCCGATAATAGGCAGAAAATGAAATGGGTTCATACTCATGGCTTCTTTCCAATGTGCTAAAAATCCCTGAGCACGAGATAGCATCGAAATTGGTAGAATAACCTCAGGAGGAAAGCCCCTATTTTAAAGTCAATCACAAACGGTTCAAGGAATGCCCAATCAGAGGTGCTGGAGAGCGGGTATCCAAACATTGCTTTATATGCGAATGCAGCAAACAAATCTGCATTGGGTTTCAGTTTGCGGGAAATAAAATACTCATCTTCCTGTGCAATCCTGTCGAGTTCGAATGCAACCTTCAAGAGTGGATCCTGAGCGATCTCGTCCTGTAGATCGTCCAGAACGTGCTTGATAAAGACATATCGGGGATCAGAGACACGATAGACACGGTGGCCGTAGCCATAAAGACGTTCTTTGTGCTCTTTTACCCGACTCAACTTCAATGGAATCCTTTCGATTGAGCCAATCTCCTCGATTTGTTTGTACGCAACCTCTATCGCACCGCCATGGAGCGGGCCATACATTGCAGACAGGGCGGAGATGATACTCGAAATCAAATCTGGGAGTGCCGAGGCTGTGTGTAAAAGCGCAGCAGTTGAGCACGTCATTTCATGGTCTGCGATGACGACCCAAAGACGCTCAAAGGCATCCACGTATCGTGGATTGGGAAGGCCAGTGTGCGGGTCGACATGATTGGTCATGTAAAACCAGTTTTCGATATATGAGAGATCTGGCCTTGGATTGTTAAACCTCCGGTTAGAATGATGAGTGTATGCCACGGCCGTGATGACGAGGAATCGAGAGACGAAATTTATGATTTCATCATCTATAACACTAGGTTCACCAAGAAAGATTGTTTTAGCTTCATGAGCGGGTACCCGATTCATCTGTGTTGATTGTAGGGCAGATAGACCAGCAATAATCATGCCCATGATTGAACCCTCTCGGCTACACTTTGCGTTAGAAAGCGTCTTAGTCAGGCATGCTTTGGGCTGTAGGCTCACGGAAATGATCGGATAACGTCAAAGACAGCTTTGCCTGGCAAAGGTACGCTGTTGATATTGACTTGCAGCTTTGCTCGCTCCTCCGACGAGGGCCATCGCCCCCAGATCAACAGGTGCAGGGTGTCATAAAACCCTTTCCTGCCCACAATCTGGTCAATCGAGTACCCACGGTATTGAATTATTCCTTTCAGACCGTCACTAAAAATTGAATTAGTTCTTGACAGCTCCACCAATGCAAAAATGATGAGAGCACCTACATGTAGGTGATCTCGCTTCTCATCACCGCCGTATTCGAGAAGCCGGGATCGTACACTCGAAGCCCTTTTTCATTTTGATCGGCTTCGTAGATCCCCGCAGGAGCAGTAATGTGCTTCAGGTCGCTGGCTGTTATGGCGTTGTTCGTTATAGGAATGTTATAATAGCTCCCTGTCCGCGAGTCGACGACATGAAGGACGTCGGATGTTGGCTTCTGAATCTCGCTTGTGGTCTTTGTAGCGATGTCTTCTTTTACCGACGGCGTGGCTATCGAGCGGCTAATTGAACTGCCTATGAGGGTTGTATTGTCGGCGATATCTTGATGCGGTGCCATCATTTAGGTGTCTAATAATCGAAGATAATCAAGGGCTCCTATACTCTGTACGTGATGTAGAAGCTCATCACACACAGCTCCTACGTCGAGTGCGGAACTCACTGGTTATTATAAACAATATTACAAATAATAACATTACAAACGGGTTTATCAATCACGACGGCGTGAATATCATCCTGGAAGACATGGCTGCTGCATAGAACTGTGGTCTACGGAAGGCATCTATGGAGGGAGAATCATCCGCCCCGGCATGGGCGGGTTCCGGAAACATCGACGCAGAAAGTCCGCTCCACGGAGAAAACCTGTGCCGAGTACGCTCAAGTGTGTAGGTCGGAACTTCGTTTCAGCGAAGCATCTACGCAATCTCAGAATGGGTGGAAGGACGATGACCCTTGAGACTAGTCCAGCTTGTCGACTCTATACTTCAAGACGTACGCGAGACGAGTCGCTGTTTCTCATTCCGAGCCCTGCTACTACATTCCAACAGCTGTTGATTGAGTTGTGCAATTGTGCATTTGTGTGGATAGTTTCCAAAATAATGCAGGGGCACTGGTCTCCATGAGGCCTTGGTCAAGCGTGAAAGGAGTACAAATCCGGGTTACAGTGTCTTTCATATATAAGGTCCGAAATAATTGAGGATTACTTACCCCTCTATCCTTGTACAGGCATTTGTCTTCTAATGTACACATTGAATTGAACATTTGTTTTCTTCATTACTTTTAAGCACTTCCTACACCTAGCAATTGCCCATGGAGGAAAAGCGTGAAGAGCGGCCTTCGTCACTACAAATCTGCCATGAACAATCTTTATCTCGAAATCTCTTAATCGAGTTGCTTGCGTTAGTTGAAAGTGCAACCTAGCTTTGTCTTGACATTGCTAACTATTTTTTTATTAGGCACCAATTTGCATTCCCCGTCAAATGGTAAGAAATAACTCAAACGATACTCGAGGCTTATGCAATAATGATTAATTTAGGATCGATACACAAAATGCAATTTTTCAAAGCAAACCCCCGGTCAAGCGAGTAATCGAGATTGGACCGTCAACAACTCTTACAAATATTGCAAAGAGAACTCTTAAGCGCAATGCTTTGTTTGGAGACAATTCGAGGACATTAATATCAACGTCATCTGATATGGGAGAGATTCTATATCACTACAAGCATGAAGAATCTTTTCCTGTCGATACGGGTGAAGATGCATTTGTCGATAAAGACGAATCATCGAATAGACTCGAAGTAGCACAGAAGCCTTTGGCTGACCAGCGGGCGCCGGCAGAACTTTTGACGCAAGTGCTTGATGTTCCACTGTCAGCAGAAGATGTTGTGTTGGTAGTAGTGGCAAGCAAATTAAGAGGTCCCGTGTGGAATATTGACGGGCTAAAATCTATTCGGACATTATCTGGAGGTAGGACTATTGAGCTATCCATTTGACTGAATTTATCTAAGAGAATCCGTCCTAGGAAAATCCACACTACAAAACGAAATAGTTGGAGACTTGAGTACAGAGCTTGGAAAACTACCTGAAGGAGTTGAGGATTATGCCCTGAACGGATTGGCAACAACCATGAATGAAAGCTACTCTCATCAACCAAAAGATTATATACAGGGCCTGATATCATCTTTTGTGGCAACAAAAATGCCGGCCGGCCTTAGCCAGTCCATGATCAGGGATTATCTGAGCACCAAATGGGGATTAGGACAAGGCCGACAGAATGCAGTCCTTTGCTGGGCAGCAGCAGCTCCTCCTCCGGTGCGCTTTCAAAGTCGCAGAAGTGCCTATGAGTATTTCGAAAAAGTCGTGCATCACTACGCACAGAGAGCTGGTATTTCATTACATCCGAAGGCTGTAGGGATAGGTAGTGCCAAAGACAAGTCTCCTGTCATCGACAAGGTAGCATTTGACACAGCCATGAAAGAGCATAGGGAGTACCTCCGCGAGCACATGGACCTACTAGCAAGGCATCTGGGCACTGAACCTTCACAATTTGGGGCTGTCTCCAATCAAAATCAACCCTACGACCAGAATCTCGTTGAACTTGTCTCAACCGAGTTTGATACTGAGTTTCTAGATGGCTTAAAACCTCGGTTTGACAAGAGAAAAGAGAGACGATTCAATTCCTGGTGGAACTGGGCTCGCGAGGACATCATCAACTTATTTCATGCGCAAGCACTCCATGATTCATGTGGACCTGAAATCACCCGCAGTATCCAACGCATTCAAAGAAGATGGGATCAAAATTTTGTTCCACTTGTGCAATATCTAGGCTCCATGTCGACCAGCCTAGAGAGAAGTGCAGATCTCAAAGCACTCAGTCACGATATTCTGAAGACTGGTGACGAAGGAAGTGATATTTGGCCCAGATATGTCTTCGATGAGCCCTCATTCGCCCCCAAAACAGCCGTGGATGAAAATGGGAACATTGAATATGTACAGGTTCCTCGATTCAATGTACAAGAAGGGACAAGCTATATCAATTGGCTAAAACGAGGTTTCTCCATTCCAGAATCTAACCTTCAAATACCTTTCGTTCATCTCTGTCGGAAAAGCCAAGGAAATTGGATATATGACGATTCTATGACAAAAAAGCTTTTGACTGCTATTATGGCTGGAACGACCGAAGGATACAATTTTATTGGGAAGACTGCGCTTGTCACCGGAGCGGGAAAATCTTCCATTGGTGCAGAAATCGTCCGTGGACTCCTCGAAGGAGGCGCTCGAGTGATCGTGACAACTAGCGGCGATGTGTCAGTGTCGGCAAAGTTCTTTGAGAGCATTTACAAAGGTTCCGGAGCACGCCATTCAGAATTGATCATTCTGCCTTTCAACCAAGGAAGCAAAAAGGATTGTGAGGAGCTAGTTAGATATTTACTCCCTCCAGAATCTCCGATCGCTCTAGATTTCATTGTTCCATTTGCAGCTATTTCGGAGACGGGTCGACAGTTGGATGAATTAGATGGCAGATCTGAACTTGCACATCGAATTATGCTCGTCAATCTATTGCGACTGCTAGGATATTTGAAGCAACATAAAGAGACCCTGGGCTTGAATACCCATCCTACCATGGTCATCTTACCATTGTCACCCAATCATGGATCTTTTGGAGGCGATGGCTTATACTCCGAATCAAAGATTGGGCTAGAGACATTGTTCAACCGCTGGCACTCCGAGTCCTGGTCCGATTACTTGACAATTTGTGGTGCAGTCATTGGATGGACACGCGGAACAGCGCTCATGGCAGACAACAATATTTTGGCTGAAGCCGTCGAAGCGCAGGGAACCATGACATTCTCCACATCTGAGATGGCTCTGAATATTCTTTCACTTATGACACCAAGTATTGTGATACTGGCTGAGGACAAGCCAATCTACGCAGACCTTACTGGTGGTCTATATGTTGTGGAAAATTTAAGAGCGGTACTAAAGACTGCGAGAGAGTCGGTGTCCACAAAAAGCAATATTGCAAAAGCTATATCCCGAGAACGCTCCATATACCGTGAAACCCTTGATGGAAAATTGGATGACACAATTTTACCATCGTCAAAACGCCGAGCATTACTGAATCTCAAATTTCCTGAATTGCCGACCTTCGCAAGCCTAAGAGCTGAAAGCAAGGCTGTTAGCAGTATGGTGGATCTCAAGCACACCATTGTGATTGCAGGATATTCAGAGCTGGGGCCATGGGGAAATTCACGTACAAGGTGGGAGATGGAGTATCAGGGAGAGCTCACCCTTGAGGGTTATGTTGAAATGGCATGGTTGATGGGCCTTATAAAACGCAAACAGGGACCTGAGCAGTACGCAACGTCTTGGGTAGATACTGAATCTGAACAATCGATTGATGAAAGCGACATACCTGAGCGTTACCATCAACGGATTATGAATCACTCAGGGATCCGGGTAATAGAGCCGGAGGGCTTGGGGGGGTATGACCCCAAAGCAAAAGAGATCTTGCAGGAGATTGTTGTGCAGAAAGACTTGCCTGTGTTTGATGCCTCAAAATCCGATGCAGAGGCTTATAAACGACGTCACGGCAATCATGTCACGATTTTTCCAAAAGATGATGACTCCAACGAGTTCTCTGTACAAATTAAACAGGGTGCGCAGCTACTTGTACCTAAGGCCATACCGTTTGACCGCAGAGTCGCTGGACAGCTGCCTAAGGGCTGGAACGCACAACGATACGGCATACCAGAGGACATCATCTCTCAGGTAGACCCGATTACACTTTATATTCTTTGTTGCGTCGCAGAAGCATTTCTCAGTGCTGGTATCAAGGATCCTTTTGAACTGTATCAGCATGTTCATCTCACCGAGATTGCAAATTGCCTGGGCACCGGAGTAGGCGGGCTGACATCGATGCGTGGTGTATATCGTGATCGTTATATGGGAAAGTCGATCCCCAATGATATCTTACAGGAGTCATTCCAGAATTCTCATGGGGCTTGGGCAAATATGCTTCTCTTAGGGGCAACGGGTCCGATTCGTTCACCGGTGGGCACCTGCGCCACTGGGGTAGAATCTCTTGACAGTGGTTGTGAAGCAATCAGGTCCGGTAATGCCAAAATAGCAATTGTTGGTGGGTCAGACGATTTCCAAGAGGAGCTGTCTTACGAGTTTGCAAACATGAAAGCTACTACTAGTTCAGAGGAACAACTTAAGGCTGGCAGAAACCCAAAGGATATGTCCCGACCCATGACCTCGTCTCGCGCAGGGTTTATCGAGTCAGCTGGATGCGGTGTTCAGGTTCTCGCCACAGCAGAGCTTGCCTTAAGGCTAGGCCTACCCATCTATGGCATCGTAGCCTATAGCCAAATGGCAGGGGATACCGTTGGCCGTTCAGTTCCGGCTCCGGGAAAAGGTGTCTTGACAGCCGCCAGAGAAGCCTCTGGGAGAATTCCTGTACATTTAGATTCCCATCGTTCTGTTTTCGACAAAGATGAAACCCGGATCAGAGAATGGCGTGCGGCAAAATTTGTCGCAAAGGCCAATGAACAGCCCACCAGTCTCGAAGACTCTGTCAATGCACTGGCAAACATAGAGTTGCGGGATCACCGAAGCCCATGTCCGTGTCACCTTAGGGGCTTGGATCATCGAATTTCCCCGATCAGGTCTGCGCTGGCCATCTGGGGTCTTACAATCGACGACATTAACATGGCATCACTCCACGCTACATCCACCAAGGCAAATGATAAGAACGAGCCGGAAGTTTGGAATCAGATGATGGATCATCTCGGCCGGTCTGTAGGAAATCCGCTTCTCTGCATAACACAGAAATATCTTACTGGACATCCCAAGGGTGCTGCGGGGTCTTGGATGCTGAATGGAGGCCTTCAGGTCCTACAAACAGGCATCATCCCCGGAAATCGCAACGCAGACAATATTGATAGCGCACTGCAACACTTTGAGCATCTTGTCTTTCCTTCACGTACAATTCAAACAAGCAACGGAGTAAAGAGTTTCATGATGACCTCGTTTGGATTTGGTCAAAAAGGTGGCTTGGCCCTTTTAGTGGCACCCAGATACCTTTTCGCAGCGATTAATGAAGACGAATATCTTTGTTATAAGACAAGGGCAAAGAAACGGTTTCAACAAGCCGATAGTGCCTTTGTCAATCGACTTTTGAACGAAAATATCGTTCAAGTTAAGGAAAAACCAGCTTGGTATAAGACAGGCCCAGAGCTTGTTTTTCTGGACCCAGAGGCACGCGTCAGTCGAGGAGAAGATGGTAAATTTTTCTTTGATCCAGAAAACTTACACCCACTTACTCCGGTAAGTATGGACTGCAGCGTTGGATTAAAAAGTAACAGGCACTATACTGTGTCTTTTTCCCAGGACACCTCACAAACATTGCAACTCGATAGTTTACAATCGGAACTGCCTTTGAATAATGGTAATCTGCAGCAACCAGACGCTTTCAAAAAGTCCGCCGATATTCAATTTGAAAAGGAGGCCCTACTTTTGCAAAAAACACAAGCTACATTGCAAGCAAACCTAGGACACTTGGATCATATTACGACCGGGATAGATTTGGAAAATATATCCTCCGTGCCATCTACAAACAAAGTGTTTGTAAGAAACAATTTTACTCTCCTAGAAAGGGACTATTGTGCTAAAGCACCAAATCCTGCTGCCTCTTTAGCAGGGAAATGGAGTGCCAAAGAAGCCGTCTTCAAGAGCTTGCAGATACCATCACTAGGTCCAGGTCAATTTCTTCAAGACATTGAAATACAAAATGACAACAGCGGTCGTCCAATTGTAAAGGTAAGTACTGTGTTATATAGTTAACTGGGGAGATTTATATGCTTACACAAAGGTATCAAGCTTCATAAGGGCGTCCTTGAAATTGCAAGGGAAGAGGGGATACAATACATAAATGTTAGTATCACACATTCAGAAGATGTGGTTGTGGCTGTGGCTATTGCCGGTCGGAGCAAAACAATGTGAATTCTCTTTAAAAGTATTTCTATTAGATAGCCAATGTACTAGGGTGTGTACAGATTCAATTACGTTTATAGGACCTTTTCAATTCATATTTTTTTTTGCACCTTTAGTCCTTCTAGCAAGCGTATTGTATTTTCTGATAACTTATTTTGACTCCTTTAGTTGCAAAAACACACTTGCTGAATCGTGCTATAAACATGGAAAATGTAATCAATTGTATCAAAAGCCCAACAGGCAGTCTATTACACCAATTACTTGGGTACTTTTCAAGGGCCCCTCAGTCTACAAAGCACCCGAGCTGCACCGCCTTTTCCAACAGCCCAGATTTGCTCTCCATCTCTGCCAGCGAAGGCCAGATTGGCCACAGTAAAATTCGTCAGAATTCGTGCAATTAGTTTCCCATTTGGAGCAAGAATATCTAGTCCATGTCCGGCTGCCGTGATCAAATAGCCATTCCTACTGACTTTGATGCCATCTGGCACATATTCAATTGCTTGGTAGATGGCCCTTTTATTTCGCAGACTACCATCTTCAGCATCGACATCAAAGGCATATACTGTTCGGGGGCCGGTACTTTTATACTGTAACGGTTTCCCAACACCAGATGGGCTGCCAGCGCCAGTGTCTGTCAAGAACAAAGTTGAGCCTGACAGAGAGAATGAGATACCGTTGGGTTCCTGGAGGGACGATTCGACCATAGTAACTTCGCCTGTTGATGGTGTAAATCTGTATGTCGCAGTCTGCAGCTGAGGCGCCTCCGAGTTGACACCTGTTGAATGGGCATAGTCTTGAACATGGAGAAACTTTGTTAGTTTACGCTTACCAAGCTATTCTTGCAATTCGCTGCTCTCTTTATTCGCTCATGTTCAATTCAGTTCAACTCACCATTATCTGTAAACCACACGTCACCAGCGGGCGAGATGTCTAAATCGTCCACGCTATTGAAAAAGTAACCATAGTAATTGTTCAGCAGAGCTGTACTATGTCCAGACGAAATGTTCAGCGTATATATACCCGGTCGGATTGGCATAGAACCAAGCTTCTCGCTGCCACCTAACGTTGCATAGTATATCAAGCCGTCGCGATACCGTGCCCCAGCTCCCGCATAGATGGGGGGTTGAGCCATGCGCTGTGACAATGTCGGCGGGTCATTCGTGAGGTCAACCACTAGTTGGTAGAGATAGTCTTTTTCCAGTCGAGACATGTATAGCTCATTCGTCTCCGGAACATACACTGGGCCCTCGTGTGTAACCTCTGTCAGCTCAAACATAAAGTCCAATCGTGGACTTGGCCCAAGGATATCAGGTCCCATGTGAGGATCGAAAAGGACGAAATGAGCTTGCTGCACTGCCTGAAAGGAATGATCATCGGGCATCTGGATGGTGGGGTATGTATCGGCATCTCCGATCACATCGTGAACTTCGCGTTTGAAACCTGGGGATAAAACACTGCCATGATTGTTCACACAGACCACAGACGGAAATGAATAGCCTGGACAGGAATTTATTACAGGAGAGATGCTCAACACGCTGGAATTTCCGTACATACTCGGCGACATAGAAAATGCTTGTTGACTCATGTTTAGTACACAGGTCTGGGGACTGGCCACCTTACCATTAGTGATGCCAGTACAGCAACCTTATGGGCCCGGTGGATCACAATAGTGGAAAGGTGATTAAGAACAAGCATACAAGTCTGATGCGAATCCCGTTCGGCATATCGGATATCCACCACAGCAGCAGCATGGTTAACATCGGAATTTTGAACCTCCGTGAGAGAATACTTTAACAATGCGGCGGATATGATATCGAAGAGTGTGAAAAAGGAAGGTATCAATTCACGACACAATGACTGGGTCCCTTCAAGAGGCTGCTACTGAGCCAACCGCGAGCTTAAGCAAATGGGTTGAGCACTTGGACGCAACCACGATCCCTCCGGACGTCCTCGAGCGCGCCAAATACTTAATCTTGGATGGCATTGCATGTGGCCTCGTTGGTGCTCACGTGCCCTGGTCAGAGCAACTTGCAAATGCCGTTCGTCAATATGAGCCCAGAGGAAAGTGTAGAGTCATTGGATATGAGGACCACTACGGACCGCTGGCAGCTGCTCTACTCAATGGTGCCTTTATCCAGGCCACGGAACTGGACGACTACCACAGCGGTGCACCCCTTCATTCAGCCAGTGTAATTCTCCCGGCTCTTCTGGCCGCGACTGATGCGGCCGTGGCACCAGACCCAATATCGGGCCTTTCTCTCTTGGTTGCAGCCATTGCGGGATTCGAAACCGGGCCTCGCATCGGTCACGCGCTATACGGCTCGGATCTACTGTCGCGTGGATGGCATTCTGGGCCCGTATTTGGCAGTCCCGCTGCTGCGACAGCGACGTCAAAGTTACTGGGTCTGAATGCCAAGCAGATCGAATCGGCCATTGGCATCGCCGCTACCCAAGCGGGCGGGCTTATGTCTGCCCAGTACGAAGGGATGATCAAAAGAGTTCAGCATGCATTTGCCGCAAGGAACGGCCTTTTTGGGGCGCTGCTCGCGCGGACGGATTACCTTGGAATCGAAAAAGTGTTGGAGAGACCATATGGTGGCTATCTGGCTATGTTTTCTGCCGGTAATGCACGAGATCCGCCCTACCTCCTGAGTGAGATCACTAAGCAGCTTGGCGATCTGTGGCATACACAACGTATTCGGATCAAATTATACGCGTGCGTGGGAGGCTGCCATGGTCAGATTGAAGCCCTGGAGCAGCTACAGCAATCTTATCCTCAGCGTTTTGCGGCTACGGCCTTAGGTCAGATCAGACGCATCACCGTATGGCTGTCGGCCCCAATACATGCCCATGATGGCTGGTTTCCAGAACAACGCCCCTTAACCACCACCGGTGCTCAGATGAATGCCGCATACATTGGGGCGGTACAGCTTATAGATCGTCAGGTGCTGCTGAGCGAGTTTGCGGAACAGTCATTGAATCGTGCTGAGATCTGGGACATTGTTGATAAAACAGAGTGTCTTCACTCGTCAGACTTTGATCTGCCAGACCGGATCTGTGGAGCTCGAGTGCGTGTGCAGTTTCAAGACGGGTATGCTGTCGAGAAAACAGTCTACCAACCCAAAGGATTCGATCCCCCGACCACAAACGAGGAGATTTACCAAAAATGGCGGCGCTTGGTTTCCAGTGTGCTAACCATAGAGCAGCGGGAAGCCATTGAGCATACTATTTTGAAGTTGGAGGAGCTTCAAGATGTCCGAATATTGACGGCCATGCTATCAATCTGTGTTAGAAATCCATTGGGCTAAAACAATATGAAGCATTCTACGGTAGACTAAAGCACTGACATTTCGCGAGTTCCTCAGAACAACCTGGACGGATAATTCTATAGATGGTAGCAACAAGCTCAACACCTAACATGGGAGACTTTGTTTTTTTATGCACCCAATGAGCGCTTTTATTGTACTTGTCTTCGTCCCTGCTGGACGAGGGTACGTAAATTAAGACTCGGTCAAATGTCAGCTGGCGAACCGATAGAAAAACTAATAAAAGACTTTTCATGCTCACAGGTACTTCTAGTCATTTTAGTCACTCTCACTGATTTTTTTGGATTATCCCATAAAATGGCATTGCAATGTTCTCGGCATAGGAATTTCCTGTTGGCTGATGTGATCTGGGTTCCGTCGCGGTGCAGTTATTTCGCAATTCCGAAATCCCGAAAAGAATCATCAATTGCTGCACCCATCTGGAACAGCATTATGCCGTGTACACAGAAAAAAATAAATACTTCAGGAAGCACGTTGGTGTCGTTGAGAAAAAATTATTTAGAAGTTACTTTCGCACACGCATAACGAAGCTCATATAGCGATATCATTCGGAAGATCTAAAAGAATAAATTATCAGCTCAGATCACAACCATGGCTGATCCACTGCACCTCGTTCTCCAAGAGCTCGTGAAGTTTGTCCGCGCCAACTCGCCTTATTATCGCGAACTGTACAAAACTCTAGAGCCCAATGTTTCCGATCTACAAAAGCTTCCTGTGATCCAGAGCGAACAGTTTTGGGAAGCCAACACTGTGAACAACAACCGTCTCCTGACTGGGCCCATAATTGATGGTGGCATTTATGCCAGTGGAGGGACAACGGCGACACCAAAGATCTCCTATTATACTAGGGACGAGCTCCGGCGCCTTGTGCAAGCGTTGACCATTGGACTCGTACGCTCCGGAATCATGCCCGGCGACCGCATAGCCAATCTGTATAACGCAGGAGATCTGTATATGGGGTTTCTGCTCCAGATACTGTCCCTTCAAGAGTTCTCGATACCAAACGTCAACCTCCCAATCACAGGAAATATCGCGGCACAAGCAATTGTCAACCATCTAAAGATCTTAAAGGCAACGGTCATTTTCACCAACACGACGACGCTTTTGCGAGTGGCCGACCATATCTTGCAAGCCGGTTCGCCAAACGAGAACATCCGTTTGATTTTGTTTGCGGGAGAGTCTATGTATCGGGATCTCCAGCCACTCTTGAAGCGTGCATTCCCTCAGGCTAAAGTTGGCCCGCTCATGTTCTGCTCTGTGGATGCAGGAATGATTGCCCTACCGATCAAACCTCTCACAGAGGATGCGATTGATACGGATGCTACATATGTCGTCAACTCCCCCTCTATCATTCTTGAGCTCTTGGACGACAACGATAAGCCTATAGTTCAGTCTGGTCATCCCGGTCGTGTTGTGATCACAGACTTGACCCGCAGGTTGCAGCCAGTGATCCGCTACCCAATGGGAGACGTTGGAGAATGGGTTGACTTCAACGCCCAGACCTTTGCCGTCCGAGGACGCGATGCCGTCGCTGTCAAGGTCAGCACCGTTATCCTGGAACTGCCACTTCTGCGAAAAGTTCTTGCTGAGACGTTGGGAGACACCGTTCTCACATTGTTTCAAACGGTGATACGACGGAGAGAAAACCGCAACCAGGTGATCTTCCGCATTGCAAATGGCAAAGAGCCACCGAATCCAGAATTGGTGGAAAAGGAAATACATGCAAAGCTGGCAAAACTACGTCCCCAATATGAGTACAATGTGGCACAGCACAATATTTTCCCAATTAGCTGCGAATGGGTCGGAATTAAGGAGCTGCAATTCAATGTGCGGACTGGAAAGCTGAAGGATATTATTGACGAGCGTTATTGATTAAGATGATTTCACTGCTGCTAGTACATGTGCATGTTTGATGAGCACCATTTTAAGAGAACTCGGAATATAATGCTGGAGGCCATCTACCAAAAGGCCGATACTAGCTCATGTTCAATAATACTCTCGGAATTTTGGAAATCCGAGATCAGAACCACCGTGTAGGAAGTGTTCATCCTATCTAAAGACGGGGTTCCTATTAATAATACACAAGCAATTTTAAATATATTTGCACTTCGTTTCCCTGACGTAGTAATTTATATGGTCACAGGGTGATAGATTAATTAAGTCTGTTGTATCCTGGCTATTCTATGCCACCAGCATGTCTATCACTGTGCGCACCCCGCTATTGAGAAATGAGCATGTATCATCTCAGTTACGAGTAAGCTCCTCTCCGCCCTATATTTGTTTGATAGGCAATGTTAGGGGTAGGAATTAATATTTATAAAATTAACAGGAATGGGATGATCCACGCAAATGGTCTGCAGTTCGAAAATGGACTCTTGCAATACTCGTCTCAAATTATGCTGTCATGGGTCCTGTTTCTGCTTCTATGGTTGTCACGAGTATAAAAGAGATCTCGGCAGACTTGAATCTACACTCCGAAGTGGCCTCGCAATTGTTAGTTGGAATTTTTGTGCTGGGACTGAGCTTGGGGCCTCTTTTCATGGCACCTCTGAGTGAGGTCTATGGTCGCTGTCGGGTTCTAAATACAGGCCATGCCTTATTCCTTGTTGTAAACATTCTGTCTGCTTTGGAGACAAATGGAAAAAGATTCTTGCTGCTACGGTTTTTCGGAGGATTTGTTGGTAGCAGTCCGAATGCAGTATGTCCATTTCATGTTTACGCTCCTATGCTGTCTAGCTAACTGACTACTCACAAAGATTGGCACTGGAATATTGAGTGACCTCTGGAGCAACGAAGATCGAGGACATTCCCTGGCAGTTTATACCTTTCTTCCTCTCGCAGGACCTGCCATCGGTCCCATCATGGCACAATTGATCCTCGAGAAGGCGTCGTGGAGGTACATCTTTTGGGCAAGCTCTTCTTTTATCGGGGCAACCTTACTGGTTGGAATCTTCCTCTTGCAAGAGACGTTTGCTCCTGTGCTCCTGAGAAAGCATTCAGAGCAATGCATAAGACCAGGTCATCCAACCCGTTGCAATGTCGAGCATCCCTTCAACAAAAGTAGTGATAGAATCACATGGTATGCACTACTTAAGCAGGAGATGTCTCGTCCATTCATTCTGCTTGGGAGTCAACCGATCATCCAGATTCTGGCTTTGTATATTGGCTATCTATTTGGATTGAACCAGTTGACTATAGCAACTTACCAGTCTCTCTGGACCACATCATATCGAGAACCCAAAATAACGGCCTCGTTGCATTATATTTCGATCGCACTAGGTTTTATTCTTGGTTGCCAAATTGGCGGACCCATCAATGACAAGGTTAGGATACCCTTTCTATCCACATTTCGTCTCAAAAAAAAGGGGGTTCATGCTTCTTTTCTGCCAGAATTTTTAATCATGTTTGACGTTATTTTGTACCAGATATATGCAGCTCTGAAGCGCAAACACGGAATTGGCCTCCCTGAATTCCGTACTACGGCGATGATCATTGCCTCAGTTTTTGTTCCAATTGGCCAGATTCTTTACGGCTGGACCGCACAAAGGACTTGTTATTGGATTTTTCCTGACATCGGAATCGTTATCTATTCTTTTGGTCTGATCATAGGCTACCAGTGTATCCAATCTTATGTTCTTGATTGCTACCCCACTTACTCTGCATCGGCAATTGGGGCTCTTAGCTTTCTACGGGCCCTTGCAGGCTGCGCCTTTCCGGTTTTAGGGCCTCCACTATATCGTGCACTCGGTTACGGGTGGACTAGTTCATTGCTAGCTGCAGTTGCAATACTAGTGGGTTTACCTGCGCCGATGTTGCTCAATGCGTGGGGTCCGCGACTCCGCAGGCTGAGTCCATACGCGGCTGGAGAAACAGTGAATCTATAGTTGTCAAGTTCGCATTTGGCATGCTAAAGATCGATGGGCAATGGTGCCATGGATATGTGCCTTTTCATCCATCAGAGTGGCTCTACACAACCACTAGGAGTATATGACTTCAATGTCTACACAGAAAGTCAAGTTGATCGAAGAAAAGAAGAGCAAGCCTTCCAGCAATACTAGCTTCATACATTGTTTCACTTCTTCTCATTTACAAGAGGTTCTGTCTTTGATATTGCACGATGCTACTCGTCAAAGCCTGTTGTGTTTCTTGGATAGAGTGGGTCTTTTCCTTTCATAGCTCCTCAATATTTCTCGACTAAGGTAATTACGGTCAGACACGGAGCGTGTCGATCTTTAATGCAAAATGTTACACAGTGGACAAGAATATGCCCATATAGTTGTGTCAATATAAACTTGTGTTGATTAGCATTAAATCTATCGTATAATGTTATTCTCTTTCTTCTGCTTCATTAGCTATTGTTCGCCAGAATTTGTAATCTGAATATCCGGTCTCGCTTCGGAAAAACACAACACCGTGCAACAGCGAATAAGCAGCGATCAATCCAGCATAACATTCTATAGACGCGCGCTAAGAGCGCCTCCCGCAACTTTCTCCCTCCGTTAAGCGCGATAGGTATGTTTACAAAGGCCTATATAGGAGGGACTGAGCCCGCTAAAGTCATGATGTGGCCCCTGATTTATCAAAAGTCTCATTTTCCCGAGTTTGATTCTTGTCTATTAGCTTTTGGCGGGTTGAGCGGGGCTATACAATGTCAGAAAAATCCAGTCAGCTGGAGACTCCCGCTCAGCTCGATCTGGAGAGCGGTCCGGAATCGGCGTCTCGGGCTGCTGAAGATGGAAAACCAGTGCAACAAGAGAACGATCCAAATATTATCGACTGGGATGGACCCGATGACCCAGAGAAACCGATGAACTGGCCAAAGTATCGCAAAGCTGGCATTATTGCAACTGTTTGCATGCTGAGATTTGTAACGTACGCTACCCCAAGTCGACATGGTTGCAGCTGCTTATCAGAAAATGCTCACTTAGGCCTCTTGCATCATCAATGATGGCAGCCGGGTTGGTGCAGATCGAAGAGGACTTCAAAAATGCCGGAGTGATGTTCATCACCTTTTCTGTCTCAATATACGTATGAAGCGATGGATTTTTTTTATATGTACTGCATTAACGCTAATGCTTTTTAGATTATTGGGTTTGGTCTCGGACCATTGGCTTTGGCACCCTTATCCGAAGTTTACGGTCGGAATATAATCTACCATATCGGGAATATCATGTTCACTGGGTTTACCGTCGGCTGTGGTGCATCACCCAATGCAGGATCATTGTTCACCTTCCGGCTCCTATCGGGAATTGTTGGCGGAGTACCCTTGACCAATGCCGGGGGAACAATTTCCGATATTGTTCCCGTTAATCGCCGCGGGTCGTAAGTACAATGGTGCTCTCCTAAAAAAGACATGCAGCTGACCGGCATAGTATCATGACATTATTTACTTTGTGTATGCTAGTTGGGCCGGTCATTGGCCCGACAGTCGGCGGGTTTCTTAGCGAGGCAGCAGGCTGGCGTTGGATCTTTTGGTTGCTGACAATCATGGTAAGTGATCCAAATGTCTCGAGAAATTGCTATTGCAGTATATATACTTATCATAGAATACGATTCAGAGCGGCTTGGCTACGTTATTTGGACTTGCTTTTCTTCGTGAGACTTACGGTCCAGTCTTGCTGGAGAGGAAAGCAGCCCGACTGCGTAAAGAAACAGGAAACCCTTTACTGCGGGGAAAGGGAAAGATTGATTTGCCCTATCGCCAACTCTTATTTCGGAATCTGTCGCGTCCAACGAGGATGCTGATATACAGCCCCGTTATTCTAGGAGTCTCGTTATACATGGCGCTTGTATACGGAGTCATCTACCTCCTATTTACAACATTCTCGGTTGTTTTCCAAAAAACATATGGATTTTCTGAAGGGATTGCAGGTCTGTCATATCTTGGTACCGGCGTTGGTATGGTCATTGCTCTTTTTAGCATGGGGTGGTATAGTGATGCCATTCACATACGCTTGACTAAGAAGTATGGCACTGAGCTACCAGAGTACGTTAGAATTCTGCCATTACATTACCTCCGAGCAAAAAACAATGCTGATAAATCAAGGTATCGACTTGCCCCGTTGCTTCCCGGAACCATTGCACTTCCAATCGGACTTTTCATATACGGCTGGACAGCACAGTATAAAGTCCATTGGATAGTTCCCATTATTGGCACTGCTTTTGTAGGTATTGCCACTACTGGTTCGTTTGTAAGTTGGCCAAAATTATCCTTTGTATGATCAGAAATTCTTAACGCCATTAACAATTCACAGAATACGATCCAAATTTACCTTGTAGATGCATACACTGTACATGCAGCCAGTGCTTTGGCTGCGAATAGTCTGGTTCGTAGCCTAGCAGGTGGACTAGTTCCTCTTGGGGGGCCAAGCCTGTATAGCAATCTCGGTCTCGGATGGGGAAATTCCTTGCTTGCTTTTCTAGCCATTTTTTTTGCAATTTTTCCTTTGTTATTTTATAAATTTGGCGAGCGGTGGAGGAAGAGGTATAGTGTCAGCTTCTAGATTACGGTGCTCGACTCTACAAGCCAATGTGATAAATGCATTAGAATGAGAAGACGTATAGTGATTATGATTGGTGTTTATTTAAACATGGATCGTCTATTGAATCACAAATTTAAAATAACACATTATATTATTATATAAAATCTTTGGAAGATATTAGAATTTATAGATTAACATGAAATTGGCTACGTAAATTTAGCAAAACACAATTATATCATCTGGATTAATATAGAGCTGATTATAGAAGTCAGCCAAGACTAGAGTTGTCCGATTGCCAATCTATAGGACGACTATTTAATGCCTTCAGGAGTCTCGAAGAGAGAAGCAAAGTATTCCTGGCGTGACTGGCTTGCCGGATCAAGGTATGGCTTCTCCGCTGTTGAAAGAACGCGGAAACCACGGCGCCTTCCTACTTGGTCTTGGATAGGAGCATGGTATGTACACCTATTATCCCAAATGGCTTGGGTAAAAGAAATGTTAACATAGTTACCGACTTTCCCAGACAGTTCAAACTGGTATATGGCTGGGTCAATCGAGACAGAGAGAGAGTCCTCTAAAGACAAAAAAGAGGTACATACCGATGTCATTTTCGTTCTCCCAGCGAAAACGCACCTGAAGGTCTGGATTCTCTGCAATCAACTTGAGAACCTTCTTGAGAAGATGCACACTTTCTGCAACGCTCACGTCGTGGATTTGCTCGCAGTGGACACCAGCTGCAAATACGCTCTTCCATCCGGTGATGGGATGAGTACGAACAACGGGATGTCGATTTCTAAAGCCGGTGCCGACATTAGCCGGCGAGCCCCGTGGTCCATGAAAGGCAGTTTTTCCTCGGGCCTCGCTGAAAGAGTTTAGGGCTTGCTGCGAATGAGTTGCTTCGAGACTATCAAAAAGCTGGATAGTTTTGTCATTATATGCACTTGATATCTTCTTGCATTTTCGTTCCAGCCTCTTTATGGCAGTTGCAGTACTAGTATAGCTCCTGGAAGTAGAACTTACCTTTTGATATGGCACTGAAAGTCGATCGTAGACTTCATACCCACTGGCCCAGATAGTATCTTAACTAATTATTAGTCTCGTAATTAAAAACCCTGTTTGGAAATTCATTTTTCTCTGCTTCACTCTCCGAGTTTTCTATTTTCTTTTGCCATGCTCTGAAAAATAAAATTGAATATAAAACAAATGAAATGAGATGAAAAATAGAATTTAAAAAAGATATTCATTAACGGACCTCACTTACCTCCTCCTCCACCTGGAGGCAACTCCGTCAATCTCAGGCTGCTAAAATCAGGCGGATTCAGCTCAAATGACATATCACTGTGCCACTCGTAGATCCCTGTTTGCTTCTTGTTGCCCTTCAGATCCTTTCCATACATTTTCTTCAGGCGATCTGGATCTAGCGTTGCGAGTTCTGGGTCTTCCTCGCCCAAGACATTCCAGAGTGGATGAATGTAGAGTCCGTTTTCCTCGGGCCGGCCCGATAGGGCTCCGAGGCGGTACAGGAGCTCCTTGTGTAGCTCGCCATTGAGGTTCGTCTGGTGACGGAAGAAGACCACGCCTCGCTGAGCGACTATGGTTCTCATAGGTTAGAACACTCCCAGCAAAGTTCGATTTACGGGTAGACATACTGAGGATGGCCAGATCACGAATCAAATCATCCGATGTCTCTGCCCGAAGCCATTCGGCAAGGTCAACATTCTTGAATTCAGTGCCAATGCAAGGCGTGAGTTGGAAATGATCAAATTGATTGAGAGTTCCACTGAGCTGCAAAGGAGCGGGATACTCGATCTTCGAGGGGCTCATTGTTGCCAAGGTTGATTACAGGAGATATGCTACTTGAAGTCATGCAAATGAAAGTCAAATGAGACATATCAACCCAGCTTCCGCATCCCTTGCTAGGTCATTCTAAGAAGATATATCCAGCTGATGCAAAGAAGAGACTAGAAGTTACTCTAGAGCATCATGCAAACACAAGTTCAAGCTCGGGCTTTCGTTCAGTTCGTAATTTCAACTGCCGATGGATCTCGGAACTTCAAAGAACCGAACCGGAGGCAGAAGATTCCGCAAAGAATTCTGTTGTTTGATTGTAAAAAGGAGCAATGCAGGATAGCCTTCATATCGGAAAATGTACTCTTTGCTCTCGTTATCATCTCTATTCATGACCGATGGAAATTTTCGGCAGATGTGTGGCTATAACATATATACTCTAGGAAAATAATTGTACTTACAAATCTAAATTTTTAAAAATCTTCATATGACCGGGCATGTCAATCCAAGTTAGATTATTTTCAACACATTTCCAAGCTCAACATAATCTATTAATACGCAGTGAAGCATATAGAACAGTCAAGAATTGCCAGACCTATCTATAGCTTCAATTTGCTTTCCCTTTATCTAGATCTACAGGGCCCTCATGGGGGAGTCCACTCAAATCATCTGTGCCGTCCCAATCATTGATCCAGTCAAATGGTAGACTCAGGTCTGTCTCCGAGAATTGATGCAAAAGCTCGGGATCTATGAGAGGAGGTGGAGACAGTGTCGACGACGCAGACAACAAAAATCGAGATGGTGAGGGCTGTTCCACAGGAGCGACGTTTTCTGAAAAGGAAGGTTGTGGAGACCTAAGAGGCGTGGGGGAGCCCGTGTCAAGATGAGCTGATACATCATGGCTAGATGCTGTGCCTATCAGTCCAATCCAATCCTTTACAGACGCGGATTGAGTGGCATCGCTTCCTTCTGCATGTTCTAGGCGCCGCTTCTTGCGTGCTCGACAGGCACTTGCATGTTTAATGACTGCAGCAGTGAGCTCATAGCATCTACTTGTGGCAGTGAGGGTCTTTGCACAATAAGTTGAAGGGTGATCTGCTTTGCTGACACTCCGCAAAATAGACACGACGCGGTGCACAAGTTTAAGATCCTCAGGAACGCAGGTCGTTCTAGGGTACCTGAGTAGCCTTGAGAAAATCTCAGAGAAGGCCGAAAAGGGGCAGAACTCAAAGATCCTAACAAAGCTTAGTAGTGTAATGCGGCAAAGAACAAAATCGGCTTCTAACAAGTACGAACCTGCGCAATGCCGCTTCTTTCCCTCGAAGCTCTGCCGCATCATCGAGATCGATAATTCTGCCAATAGTGGCACGGGCTTCGTCTAAACATTGCCTGTCCCCTAAAGCGTCGGTACTGAACCGCATCACCATAACTAGACACATGCCATAAAGTGTAAGCAGCTCAGGGCCGACATAGTGACATGGATGGCTTGGTGAATTGTCATTATTAGAGAGCAAGGACTCGTTCAATAAGAGCCAACGTTGCAGCTCATGCTGTAGCCGGTAGACTGCATCTTCTCGTAATCTGGTTGACTGTTGGACAGCCTGTGCAGAATATAGACTTGTGTAAATTTGCTCCTGGATTTTGCTGAGATGGATGCGAGCGAGAAACATTTGCTGTGGAATGTCGTCTGTGGCAGGGGAAGGAAGGGGAACATTGCAGTCATATGAGGGTAGGGTACATGGCTTGCCAGTTAGGAAAAAGATGGCTTTGTCCAAAACAAATAGACACCAAAAGAGATTTTGACGTTCGGGTGAAAGTAATGAATGAGAAGCCAAGGAATAAGGTCGCTGCTGGTGCAAACCCATACCCTTGGCACAATGAGATGCATGTTCCATTAGAAGTTCTGCAACTTCAATTTGAAAATTGTCTAGTGCAAAGAGACACTTCTGCCTTGTCAGTATCAGAGTGTTAAGACATTGTAGCACTGCATCCTTAAGAGGGAGTGCGTGTACAACAGAGTGCAAATAAAAGAAGAAAGAGGGAGAGGGGAGAGAGGAAGAGAAAAGAGCGGGACTAAAAGGGTCCCCCTTACAAATGATACTAAAGCTTGCACAGTAACAAATTTTGGCTTTAGCAACTGGCCAGCATCTCGAAATGCACGCCGAAGGTTTACAAGGAAAGGCTTGAGAAGCTCCGCGTCCATCACCTTTTCATTCGTATCCTGTGGCGTACTGCGATATTTTGCACAGAGTGTATGAGATGTAATGCAGTTTAGTATGAGATATAGAGCAATATCTTGCTCCTCGGGGGGTGATGAATAAGCATTTCGGATGTAGTCGTATATCTGGCTTTTCTCAAATATAGGGAAAACAGTATTTATCTGCTCCAGGAAAGGCTGAACTAGCGCGTTGACGAGGCCTTCGGATGGCAGGGTAATTGACTGATTATCATGAGAAAGATCAGCATAATCATTGTGCACAAAAAGGCGGAAGGCGTCCTGGCATAATTGAGATAGCCATGTATAAACATTCATCTTTGGGTCATCTTGACCCTCTGTGTTCTCTGGAAGAGCTGTTTGGCTTCTTAAGCGTTGCTCTAGGGCCAGTATAGCATTTCGAATCAGCAGTAGCATCGAACTGGACCCGTGGTGCTTCTCGATGCCATTATCCTCGAAAGCAACATGATTGCATTCTGATCTAGACGGGGACACTTGGGTTGCGCGGAGAACCTCGACCTCCGGTAATATTTTAGGTTCACACGGATTTTGATCGCCACGGGGCAGGATTGCAGTACCACTGATCTGCTGAATAGCATTAAGTGACTGCCGAAGTGCATCTTCAATGCGATCTAAGCGGGCATGAAGAGAGTCAGGTGTGGTAGAGTGATCGCTCGCCGGCCTGGCTTCTTCCAGCATCTGCAAGCGCCCTTCGATATCTTCGAGACTTTCCGACCTGAAAAGATTGATTGGTCAGTATCGAGAAGCCATCCTCGTTAGTGTGAAAAATGCAACGTGCGAATCCATCCATCGAGGCTTACAATATCTTCACGTGATTCGTCCTCTTCGCTCGATCTGAATAGCTACATTCCAGACTTGCGTGTCGACAATTGACACAACCTGGAAGCAATCGATCGCATCTTATCTTGCGCTGCCGGCACGGATCACAGGCACGATCATTGAAGGAAGACATTACATTTTCAGGCAAGCGTCGTGTGCTGGAGTCACCGGCTTCGCGCTCACTAACCCTTAGTATTAGGGGAAGTACTGATAATGATTATCGGCTATACTAGTGTCACACTGTCGCCTCGTGTTTCATTTATACTAGATCCATGAGGGACTGAAGATGAGTCTAATTAGGGTGCCAAAAACCGTTACAAATCATGTCATTAAACGATGATTTTGCATCTTATCAAGGATGTGACTTCCTGTGCCATGCATATACTACGTTACAAATCTAAAGAGGGGCTCTTGCAACCACATTCTCGACTCCCTGGTCGCTAGATTGTTGAACCAATGACGTTCCCCTGGTTGCAGTGCTCTACGTGGCCCCCAGGTACCTGATTGCATGGGTAGCTAAAAGCTCAACAAAAGCCTTGTTTCATATCTGAGATCTTTGGAATAATATGGATTGGTAATATATACAGCTCACGGAGGATTTACCGGCATGGGCTGAGAAGAATGAATCAGAAAAGACCTTGAATGCATGTGACAATCACTCCAACGTTGCTGCCATAATCTTTGGGCCCTGATTCGTCTCAGGGATGTCCTGTAGTAGAGCACTGCGGGTAATTTTGTAAACCTCCCGAACGAAGCTTGCATCTAAGCTAAAGGGACGGCCAATGAGATTTGGTATGTATTTGCCCACAAGCATTTCAGCCTGCACGCCATTTTCTGGGATTTTCTGTTGCAGGAACTTCCGGTATTCCGAGACTCCAGGCTGAAGATAATGCGAGTGAAATGGCACGTCGATTCCTTGCAGTGGAGTTGTTGCGAGGCCACGCACCAAAAATTTCTGTAGTGATGGCTGCTCTTGCGCGCGCTTCAAGTGCTTCTGAATGAGGTTGTGAAACTGTGAACCCGGCTCGAGTGATGCAGGTGATGCAGATAATATCGTTCGACTTGAGGGAATTCTGGTCATCTCATCAAGTACACCAGTCAATGCAACGAGGGTTCGAACCTTGCATGGCGATTAGAAATCAAAAAATTGACAATAGTCATGAAACCGAGGGGAATTGTAAGGAGCAGCGTACATGGCCAGCACAAACGTATTGTTCACATGCTGCGTTGAAATTAACAATCTCTAAAAGATCATTACTCGTCGAGGCGATAGTTTGGACAACCACTTCGAGAGCCCTTTCGGTGAACCCTAAGGCGTTTTCGTCAGTGAGGATTTACGCTGGAATATAATGGGATTCGCCCTCTCACAGGATCCAACGCGGGAGGGGTTCACAGCGAGCATGGAAAACTCGCTGCGTCCATCCTTATCTCTGTGTACCAAAGATTGCATTGCCAGCCCGCGATAGAAGACAATATCCAATAATGTCTCAAATGGGAGAATATCGCCGAATGCTGCCAAAGCCCCGTATTCACCTAGCGAATGGCCAGCGAATACACTGCCCTCTTTGACCACGCCTTTTGTGCGCAGGTACTTCGTCATGGCCATTTCCGTCAAAAGGATTGCTGGTTGTGCAAATTGTGTTGTATATAGAAGCCCCCGCGCATTGTGAAAAGTAAAAGATGTAGACGAAGAAGTGAGGCCAGGAAGCACGCATTTCTGATTCTGGCCATCGCTGGGCTGTGGAACCTCAACCATCATCCTCAAGTAGTTTTCCCGAATGTGGCGACCAAGTTTACCACCGAAACGGACAGTTAATGTCTTTGGATTATGAATCACAATGTGTAAGATACTGAGCCCTGTGACATGTACATTAGCGTACGGTAGTTGGAAAAAGGGCATTGATCAAGGTGTATATACCGTAATTGCTGCAAAAAAAGCGGTCAGCTTGATCCCAAACTCGTCTAGCTGTGCTACTTGACTCATAAAGTTGCATGCCCATCCTTGGTTCTTGGCTGCCCTGACCTGTGAAGACATATGCTGTTTGTTCCTGTTCTATTTCGGCCTCACCGTCTAGAACCACTTCCGCTTTACTACCACGTTTACGGACAACTACTTGTAGCAATTGCCGGCCTTGGACCATGGCGAAGTGTGTAAAATTCATTGTGAGAGCATCTCCAGGGAATACCAATCCCACAAACGAGACAGAAAACCGTCGAATACGCCGATGGCTGTGGTCATCCAAAAGGTAGCTTAGTGCCGCTCGACTTAAAGCAGCCGTGAGCATGCCATGAGTGATTATGTCCGGCAAACCAACCCAGGAGGCAAAGAGAGATGAGGAATGTATAGGGTTAAAATCCCTTGATACTTGCGCATAGTGTTGGTTAGATGCCGGTGTGGTAAAATCCATGGATGCAAGTCCGTTCCAGCCCGGAGAATCTAGCTGAAGCTTCTTTGCACCAACTTCTCCCCGACGGCGTAGGAATTCCAAAACAGGGTTCCCTTTGCATATTTTAGCAGCGAATTTTACAATCCCAATCTCTTTCAAATCTCGTGATTCTACAACGAAAACCTTCCCATCCGTTTGCATTGTTGCGACGTGGTCTTGGTCAGCCCAATGTGTAACATTTTTGACTTTGAATAGAAGACGGCTGTTTCGAAGGGGCTTGGTTGAATCTTTCAATTTGAGCCATGTCTGACTGTACAGTACTGCCTCATCGACTTCTGTCTCCACATTCAAGTAGATATCTGGCTCTTCTTCCTGAGCAAACATCTGATGATAATCATCATATTTTCCACGTACAAGGAAAGTTGATATAACATCGGCAATATGTTGTTCTTGTCGTTTGACTTCGGCTTTGACTTTGAACGATTTGCCCTGAGGTCCAATAATAATACTTTGAAGTTGTCCAGTAGTAGTCACAGTATCACCCACTCGGAGAGGCGTTATACCAGGGCGATATTCTGAGCTATGCGAGTGATGTAGAAGCTGTAACAGGTCGAGGTTGGCATCTTCTTGGACTATTGGCCCAACCAGTGCGTTCCATGCGAGAAGAACTAAGACATCTAGCGGAAATACATCCCTCTGAACATTATTGTGCCCTGGGATATTCACTGCTGAGAGTAGCGACCCTAAGAGATGCCTATCTAACCTTTGTTTGGGGCCTTGAAAAACTGACCGCATTCCGGACTTTGTAGAAGTAACACTCCACAAGTCGCCATAGAAAGATTGGATTCTGTGTATTCGGCCATCGAGGTCTTCCTGCCAGGGATAGTCTTTGTTTGTATGGTCATGTATAAACATGAATGACAACGAAAATGAACGGTTGGTTTCAATTCTGCTCTCGCCCGAAAGGGAAATGACAATTTGCTTTCCATCCTCCTTAGAGCTAACTCTTATGAGATCCCTGAATCCGGGTGTAAGTTCTTTTTCCATAACAATCATCTCGTCGCCTTGGCCGATTTGTAAACTGCAGCCCGATTCAGAACCAAAAATTTTCTTTAAAGGGTTTAGAACTCTTTTGGTGCCTTGGAGGATATAAGATTGCTGGAAAAGAGACCGTAGTAATGCATTTGCACTAGTTCCAGCTTTCAATAGCTCCGGGTCTGTTACTGTATCGCCACAATTGTGTTCCTGATGAAACAAATCAAGGTATCCATGATAAATTCCATCTAGAATCTCCCCAGCGCCCTCATCAACTCGTTGCGAGTATTTGGCAGCGACTGGACCATGGAGGATACAGATCCGCCCTGCATCGTTACACACAGCCTCAATATCCTCTGATTGCCAAAGTGAGTCTTTCTTGAACCAATATTCAAAATTTTCATCGAGCAGTGGTATAAAATTCACTGGTTTATGACTACCAAAGCGACATGTACCTAAGAAAAAGGCAATATCGTCGGGGTGAAGAAGTGTATCTTGTGCTCTTTCAATATATGATCGAAATTCACGTAGGAACCCATGGGGATTTTGGTGGATATATTCGTTGTTCAGCGCGAATTGAGCCGAAAGCCTCTCAATTGCTCTTTGGGCAAAGCAGTGTACTATTTCCACATAAGAACCATCAACCCAGCGGCCATGTTGATCGAGGTACATAAGCTGTATCAGGCGCTCTAAGACACCGCTATATGTCATGTCTTCAAGGTCAACTGCTTCGCCCGCCGAATTTTGCCCAAACCATGGTTTAGCAAAGTCGGCGTTCAGACGATGGACAATCCATGTTTTATTTTGCAATAAGGCTCCCAGACGTTGGTCGCGCGGGAGAGAAAATATCTGTTGATCCAATTCGGCCCAGAGCCTAACACCACGTGTGGCCAATTTGTGGATCGGGTGGCCCATTTCGGACCTCACCGTGATGATTCCACCAACCGGCTCACTGTAAGTCTTCTCCCACTGCTCAGTACCAGCTGTCTGAACAATAAGTTGCTTTGCAGGCAGCGAAGTGTATGCTTCTTTTGCTACCATAAGCCGGCTGCCAATGAGAATACCATCAAAAGGCATATGTGGGCGCTCAAATCTCTCTGCCCATGTTCCGGTCAAATACTGATAGCTTCCTTTGGCATCGCCAAAACCACTGCCTGCAACCAAAATAACATTTGCAAGCCGCCTAATCATGCCGTATGTCTCAATGATGGGCTGGTGAAAGTCCTCGTAAGAGTGATGTCCACCGCCTCGGCCACCGGTCCACTGCAAGACGATTGTTTGTGAAGGAAATGCTTTAGCAATGCCGAGAACATCATGTATAGCACTTATCGATCCAGGCTTGAAGGATATATGCTTCAACCCGAGCGTAGAAATATATATTTGTGCAACGTCCAGAGATGGTACACCGGCACCAATCGTGAGTCCTTCAATGGCTATACCCTCATTTATTAGCTGGTGGATTAGAGGTATCTGCCAGGTAATTGCTCGAGGAGAAGCATAAATCAAGTTAATTGTAATTCCTTGCCCCTCACGGATACACGCCGTTAGGTTGCGGATGGCCTTGGCGAAAGAGGCTGCATTAAAATAGCCTCCACCAGCAAGCTCAACATGATAACCTGCATTGATTATGGTTGCAACGAAATCTGGATGTACTGTAGTAGGTGTCATTCCAGCAACCATTATTGGAGGTTTATCAAGTAGCTGAGTAAATTTGGTTTGTAGAGTAAGTTTGTCATTGGACAGTCGATATGCACGCGGTCCAAATTGCTCGCCCCATGAGGGTACTTTTAAGTTCCATGGCAGGGTGTGCTCAAAAAGAACGTACTGTGGCCATATTCCTAGGTCTGAGGTATCGTTCTCATTTGCAAGGACAAGAAGGACACCACGTCCCTCCTTCAGCTTTGCTAGGAGGCCAGTGAGGCCTCTGTCAGCAAAGCTAAGAATATGTGTAGCTCCAGGAAAGGCTACAGCACGAGGCCAGTGCGCTTGCTGCACCATGATTGAATCCACCAACATATCAATGACACAAGACGCTGTATTATCTTGTATTTCCAGTCCATTTTGGCCGGGGAATTCCAGGATATTCGGGATTCCCGGCAGAGTGAGGCCTTGAAGTTTTCTTTTCACTACCACAGCTGCGTCTGCAAGGTGTGGGGTGTGAAAAGGGGCTGAAATTGGTAGAAATTGCTGGACTATGACAGGCTTTCGCTCAGTGAAAGGAGTTCGGGACTGATCAAGGTCGGGCTCAGCACTGCTGTCCTTCAATAGACGATATAGTCGCCAGAGAGACTGAGGTGGTCCCCCCACCACGAAATTGTCCCAAGAATTGACAAGCGCGAGATGAACATGGTCCTCTGGAACTAATTGTTCATTGCTCCATGTAATCATCTTCTCTATGTCCCATTGATTTATGCCTCGTACACTTAGCATACACGATGGCCTCCCAAGCCCCTGCCTGATGCTTTCCTCGTTCGATCTCCACGCGGTCACCAAAAGGCTCTGTGCAGCTTGGTGGCTTTCGTATCCAATCCAGAAAAGAATGGTCAAAGCCGACCGAGAAATCTCAAAATAAGACTGCCAGGAGTTGGACTGCGATAATAATGTCGCGACGACTATTCCCTGAGAATGGCCCGTGATCCCTTTAAAACGTCTTATCACCTGCCCTGGATCAGATTGTAGAAGATGAGCAAGGATAGAAAATTGCGCCAGGCTTAGAACTCCAATAAGTGGAAAGCTATAGGGTGAAGATGCTAGCGTGGCCTCGTCCGGAATTGTCTGTGGTTGGAAGAGCCAGCGACGGATTGCAAGAGGATGGTGTTGGAAGAGATGATGTGTCTCGCGCAATTCCGAGAGTTCCAAGAGAATTGAGCTAACCAAATTTATGAAATCCTCAAGTTGGCGCCGATATAAATTGAAAAGCTCTTGTAGCATCCAGAATGCATTTGCATTCGACGATCCTTGGCCTCCGAAGACTGCGTATACTAGTGCAGACCCATTTTCCGCCGCCGTCCATAGGGCACCATGATTCGTTTGCCCATTGGCACGAAGGGCATAGTATGCTGCAATTGCTCGCCTTTTTACTTTTTTATCATCAGGCAAATCGAGTAGATTGCGAATTCCACCGTTGTCATCCACGTCCGATTTGATCTGATGAAATGCTGCATTAGCAAGCTCTGCGGTTTCATCCTTGTTGGCAAGGAAGCCGAGGAAGATAAGGGCTAAACAAATTGGGGACTGCAGCTGCGAATTTTTGACCAAATCTGCATCTCTGAGAAAACGCTGAAATTCTTGCTGTTGACGATCTATATCTCCAGCAACTCCAGGCTGGTTTGCATGAAAATGGTAGGATATGTCATTATGAGTGACTTTGAATTCACGAATAATTGAAGCCATTGTATAGAGTCAATTGTCGACTATACACCTTTCAAGCAGTCTTCTGATAATAATGTCTCTGTATCTCTGTACTATAGCAAATTATGTAAACTGTGTATGATAGTGCCAGACTTTTGCTTACAAGGTGTAGGAATTGGTTGATTGGTGCATGTACAATAAGAGAGGACTCTGTAATTTCCGAATCGAGTCTGCTCGGTCTTTCAATTGCCGACGGAATTTAAAACATCCGCCATTGCACTTTGCTCCTCCGTACACTGGCTCGGTTCAATTCTGGAAATTTTGTCATTTCCTCCCTTTGAAAGAAATTGATCCGTCGGAAATGCGATCATCCTTAGGCAAATGCCTCTTCGAATACAAAGCACTGAGCCGGGGGGACATAAACTTATTAAAATGCAGGATTATTACAGCAATGATAGCAGGCACACTTGGACATATATGAATTGTCTACTTAACTCGTGACAAAATTTCTCGTCGCACTATACAGCAACACTACGAATGGCGAATAAAATGACGCACCTCAATAACGACAATACCAATAGCACAGCATATGATGATATACTCATATCAATTGTAAGCTATGTGTACGAGCCGATTGAATTTTCTGAGCTTGCCTGGACACGTGCCAAAGCTGCTCTGTTGGACGCCCTTGGGGTGGCCATGGAAGGTATCCATTCCAGCGCCGAGCTAAATCAACTGCTTGGGCCAGTACCACCACATTCTCCAATAGTTGAAGGTGGATTCAAGTTACCTGGAACACATTATCAACTCGATCTTCTCAAGGGAGCTTTTGACCTTGGCACCAGTATTCGTTATCTCGATCACAATGATGCTTTTCCCGGGGCTGAATGGGGTCATCCTTCAGGTGAGCTGCATATTTACTCTGTAAGCTCTATAAGTTGCTTAACGACGAGCAGATAATATTGGAGCCATTTTGCCAGTGACGGACATTCTTTGTCGACGCCCACACACCACAACTAGCTCCCATCCCTCCCCTACTATGAAGGATGTCTTAACTGCTTTGATTAAGGCATACGAGATCCAAGGTACACTCCAGATCGAGAATGCATTCAACAAAATTGGACTAGACCACGTCATTCTCGTCAAAGTAGCATCCACCGCAGTTGTGTGTTGGCTATTAGGCCTTTCACGAGATCAGGCTCTGGCGGCAGTCTCTCACGCATGGGTAGATGGCCACCCATTGCGTGTATACCGACAGGCCCCGAATACCGGCCCTCGCAAAGGCTGGGCGGCAGGAGATGCTGTGCAACGAGCTGTGCATTTGGCCCTGCTTGCAGCCGTTGGCCAGCCGGGGGTAAAATCTGCGCTCACAGCGCCGAAATGGGGATTTTATGATGTCCTGTTCCACAGCAAGCAGCTTTCCACACCTAAGCCTTTTGGAAGTTGGGTGGTTGAAAATGTCCTATTCAAAGTAAACACAGCGGAAGGACACGGGCTTACGGCAATTGAAGCCGCTCTCAAATTATCGAAGAACATGCAGCGACAAGGAATTGTACCGGAGCTCGTTGAGCGCGTTCGAGTCCGGACTCACGAGGCAGCAATGATCATTATTAATAAATCCGGTCCTCTCCACAATGCAGCTGATCGAGATCATGACCTACGATACATGGTCGCTGTAGTTCTTCTCAAAGGAGCTCAGATTGACACGAAGGATTACCAGGATGAGAGTGCGTGGGCCACAGATCCGCGTGTCGAAGAATTGCGGAGAAAAATTACTGTTGTTGAAGAGCCTCAGTTTACCCAGGATTACCACAATATCCATATTCGCAGTCTCACCAATGCGATTCAAATCACCCTCAGCGATGGAACGTGGCTTGATGAGGAGGTTGTTGAGTTTCCTGATGGCCATGTTAAAAGCCCCAATACACTGGCCTTGGTCCGTGAGAAAGCCGTCCAGAACCTTGGACTAAAATTTAATAATGACCGTGTTAAGGAAATTATAGAACTTGTAGATAGTAGTACATTTGATGAAGTTCTAGTTAGTGATTTTATAGACTTATTTACTCCTTAGTATTAAAGAATTTTAAAAAGATTTAATAAAATAACTCTAAGTTTTTGTTAATTCTATAATATTTATTCTAGAATAATTATAATAAAAAATTAAAAATTATAAGCTTAAAAAATATTTTTATAAGTTTAGATTTAAAAAAAAAGTAAAAAAAAAAGAAAAAAATAAGTAAGATTTAAATAATAAATTAAATTATAATAATATATTATACTATATTACTTATATATATACTTTATATACTTTTTTTATTCTTATTTAATTATACTTAGATTATAAAATAAATTAAGTTAAGATTAGATAAATCCTTTATATAAGGTAGTAGACCTAGATAATACATAGTATATAAAGATAAATAGTAAAGATAAAGCTATTTAGTATACAAGAACTTAAGAACTTTGTTATAGTAATTTTTAAGGAAAGGTATTAAGTTATATCTTCTAGATAGTTTTCTATTAGTATATTAAGAGTTCTTATCTAGTAATATAGTATTCTATAATATTATTTAGTAATAAAAGTAATATAAGATAATGTAATAATTTAAGCCAAGTTATTATACTTCTTTTATATACTTCCTTTATTTCTACTTAGTTATACTATATTTACTATACTCTTTAATAGCTTATCTAGAGCCTTCCCAAGTCGAAAATTCCGGTTCAGGTTTGCCAAAAGGCCAGTCGTTCAACAACAACCTTCGGAGGTGGAATTGGCTGAAAATTGCACCAAGTCT